GTATCTTCAAATACTCATATAATGATGTCGTCATCTCGTGTCGAAGTTTCACCAGTTCTGCGTCAATTACAAATGTTCGGCATGGGTATAACTCGGCTTCTTCTTCCTCGGTGAGTGGGATTGTGCCAGGAGGTTCAGCTGTAATATCAGAATCCGATATCCCCAGAGGAAGGCCAACTTTCGAGCTGAATAGTCTATAATGGCAAGTTATCAGTTTCAATTGCATGAAGGTGGGGATTTTGTCACTTGTCGTACTGATTAAGGATGTACACTGTCCACCAAAGGCGATTGACTCGCTCACGTTCTAGGGCAGTAGCCACGGACTTTGTGCTGGAATGTGGAAACGTGGACTTTCCCACCAGACTGTGATGAATGCCCATGACAAGGCATGTACGAAGCGCCAGACCGATATGCCTGTATGCCTCGTTCTGGCGGTTCAAAGCGTATGAGTAGTACGCGAAAAGACAAAGGACTTGGGCGTATTCCAGCGTAGGTTCCTCATCCATCTTTGGAAGCAGATCGACAGCATCTTGGAAGTAGTCAAGGCCTGGAGGCTGAAGGCTAGTCGGTCGATCGCTGCATCCGGAGCCTGTCCACATGTTTGGGCGCGTAGCTGAGCCGAGCTGGGTTCCTTCCCGATGGGTTATCTCCCCGATTGCAATCAGACACAAGAGCTTACAAAGCCATGTCCGATCCTTGTTCTCTGGTCTGGTAGGGAAGTTGTACATGTCGATGATTCTCTGTCTCAAGGAGCGCCCGAAAAGACAATATCCGAGAAAATCGTTTCGTTCTTCCATTACAGTCAGGAGGCTCAGGGTGTAGTCCTTTGGTGGTAGCCTCAGTGTAACTTGGCTGGATCGAGGTGTGTGTGCTATGCGAACGTAGTTGTATTTCCTCTTGATATCATACACATGGGGTGCAACCTGACTACCTAGCAATCGATCCTGTTGAGAACCAACAATTGCCGGGATCCTGTTTTGCATTCGAATGGACGACTCGCGGAATTCAATGTGAGCAATTATCGTCTCGGCGAATGATTGATACGATGGATCTCCGAGATATTCTCCGCGACATCGAGTGGTACGGCCATTATCTGTGGTGGTTACAAGTCGTCTTGCTTTTGGTGAGCGAGTATCTTCTTCTGCGTATCTCTTCCCCAAATGATTAGTGGATGGCGTCTCAACACCTGGGTCTCGGGCCAACAATAGCTGGCTGGGATATGAGGGAGCAGGGTTTGTCGGAAAGACGCAAAGTGAGGAACTCAGGGCGCAATTTCGGCAAGGGCGATCTGCAATAGTCAATTCAGAATCATAAACTCTGTAACTGTAACTACAACAGACGTACTCCCTTCACATTTTATCTTCTTGGTATGGCACCGACGGCAGCTAGAGAGCGAGCAGTCAGACATATTGAATTGAGTATTCCATCAAAGAGGCAAGATTAGCTTACGCATTCTTCCTCCGACTCAAGGGCACAGCAGGCAGGCTCGCAGCATGGCTTATAGCCCATTGATCCATAAGTACTGAAGAGCGACGAGGACGTAGAAGTCGAGGATCAGTCGCCGGGCTGGCCTTGCAAATTGCCTAAGCACGCTTTCAGCGAAGAGAATGTATTGCAACTTGTGTGCAGTTCCGAGGGTGTCTTGATATCAACTGTTCAATTATTGGAGGTTGTTCTTTGATGCTGTCCTATTGTTCAAGTCTACAAGCGGGAGAGTGGGAAGGTTTCAGGATGTGGGTTTGTCAAAGATTGTCAGGAAATACTACGGAATTGAGCCTCAGAGGCCAAGGAAGAGGACTGCCTCCGGTGCCCGTCCCGAGCACCACCTATGTTATGTAATTGATTACCATTTATAGTCGACTTGGAAAGTCTGGAAACTCTTTTTCTGGCTTTCTCTTGCTCTTCCTTCCGTAGGAAAACGCTCATTCAGCTGCTTCAGAGTATCTTATAGTATCCATGCTTAAATCATCCCGTACCACAGCTGGTCGAGTGCTCAAAATTTCCTGCCATTGTGCCATTGTGCCATTGTGCCATTGTGCCATGAGGGTGGGAAATCGAGAGTCCAAGAGCCAGATAAGGTCTCGGCCGGCCTCGGTGAGCTAGCCTATCAGCTAACCGAGCCCGAAGGCCGAGTGAGAGCTAATCGACTCCAGACTAAGTGGAGTCTGATAACACGGGACCAGTCATGTTGAAGGCATTACCCCAGCTTACCCCAGTTTATGTTTCTTGGTAGTGATCCAGAACGTATTGACCAAAGTTGTGTCTCGTGCTGGAGATTCGAGATATATCAGTGCTATTCCAGAGCAGACCATGGAATTCTGAGCCCATGCCGCAAGAGCATCTCCGATTAAAGGCCAGAACAAGCAAAGATGGGCAAACGTTCGACAGTGATCAATACGCTGGCTCTCAGAGATGAGCATGGTGAAATAGTCTCTGCATGGTACAATGAGGACGTCAGTATGACCATCCGATAAAGTATACCGGTTCACTGACAGCGGACAGGTTCGGCCTCTGCCACCACACCGTCGCACATGGACTGGCCTGACGTTCTTCTGCTACCAATGCAGTGTTGGGATAATCCCTATCCTTTGGTCGCTCGGTTCAAGTCTTCTCGTTTTCGGACTCGTGAGTCTGCTCTCGCTTATTCCAGGCTGCAGAATTGTTGACTCATGGCATTAGAATGCGTGGCAATGCATCATCACAGTCATATTTGGCTTTGCTGCCGTGGGAACTCTTGTCGCGGTTGGGTCTGAAATGTACGTGATGTCCTGAAACGCCTAGCCACACGGAAGAAGTCAGACTAAAGTCCCAACTTTCGGCATCACAGGGGAGGTCGTTGGCACGTCAACTTTCCTGTTGTCAGCAGAGCCGTCTGGGGAATGCGTGGTTCGGCTTTCCCTGTGCTTAACCGTGTCGTGCTCAACATCACGTGGTACTCTATCGAAACCTGGCTAGGTGGCTTGTGTGAGTTGAGACAGTAGCATCTGGACGAGGATGTTCTCTGCTTGACTAAACTCTAGCACAGGCGTCAAGACCATGATCGGTGCATTGTGGCCATCATTTTACACTATGAAGAACACATTTCCGGCGTCCGTACCGATGCAGACCAACGACTTTGTTGCCTGGTTCATCTTTACATTCTTCTGCTTTGTTGCTGTTCTGGTAAGACCGGAGAAATTCCACTGGCCAGCTGTTGTCACCTCATGCTCCATGTTCATCTTCTCCATCTCAATGATGGCCTGGATGCTGCACAAAGTCGGAGGTCCCGGACCCCTTTTCCGCTCCAGTGCGGCTTTAACCGGGATCGAACCGATAAGCGGATCTCAGTTGGCTTGGATGGCCGTCCGGACCTTCAACACCATCATATCTAGTGTGGCTACCGGCATCATCGGCTACGCGGACTGGGGTCGTTATGCAAAGACCACCAACGCTCAGCGAATCCCCCAAGCCTTGGGTGTGGCTCTGGGAAACACGTTCGTGGTGAGTACATCCGAGTTTTGGTACCTTTAAGGGGTTAACCGTGATTCAGACCACGATGGGGGTCCTCTGCGCTTCCTGTGGTGCAGCTCTCTACCCAGAGGCTGGCCTTTTGTGGAATCCGGCCATTTTGCTCAGTCAAATCCAACTCCATGGATCACCGGCAACACGAGCTGTGGTCTTCTTCGCCTCCCTCCCTCTTGTGGCGTCCTCATTTCTGATCACGGTGACGGGTGCGGCCATTGCAGGTGGAAGTAAGTGGTTCCAGGCGCTGCGAGGAAATGTCTCGTCTAACATAGAATTTTAGTCGACCTGTCAGGGCTTGTGCCTAAATTCCTCAATCTTCGGCGCGGGGCTTGGATCGTCTCTATTATCGGAGTTTGTGAGTTAAATTACACCCTCCTGAATGGGATTATCAAACTAATGAGATGCTATAGTGATACAGCCATGGCAACTGTAAGAATTGAGTCTTGCATAGTCTCAGACATCTATTGATCCGTCGACACAGAGCGAATTCTAGCAACAAATTCGTCACAGTGATGGGGTCATATGCTGTGTTTCTGGCGCCACTTAGTGAGTTCTTTGACGTATGACCATAGATTTCTTGCCTGACATCCAATCTAGCCGGGCTCTTTCACTGCGACTATTACCTTGTGCGAAGACAACGATTGGCCTTGAGAGACTTGTATACTCCCAACCAGTCTTCTTCATACTGGTTCTTCCACGGTTTCAACTGGTAACTTGCTCCCAGTTCTCGTAGCCTTCGAAGCTCATGCTAACTATGGATACAGGCGAGCGCCTCTAGCCTTTTGCCTTGGCTTCCCGTGGTTTGTCCCCGGCTTTGTCAACAGCATCACTCCTTCGATCCAAGTCTCGTCAGGCTGGTCACATTTGTTCTACATGGTATGTGCCTCGCAAAAAGGAATTTTCTAAGGTCACGTTGACCAACTGTTTTCAACGCAGAGTTACCCAGCAGGTTATCTAGGTACAGGTGCTATATACTACGCGATTAATCATTTCTTCCCACCGCCTGAGCTCGGTAAGGTGGATGCATACGACTATTACTCAACATTCAACGCAGGCGAAGACCCTCCATTCGGCATTATTGAGGGTCAGCCGCGAAATTCAGAGGAGACCTGGGAAGAGGACTCTCAGACAAAGTCGGGTAATAAGGTTGTTGAATCAAGGGAAGTCTAGGAGATGATCTATATCTGGAGGCATGGTGATTGTGATAGCCAATGTAGAGATGGAACGTGAAGCTAGAAAAAGCAGAGTGCACACTCGAAATCATACATTCTATCAAATGACTAGACGCGAGCGAAGCCTAATTATTTCTTAGGCTGTTCGCATAGTTCTCACATTCGATTATTCTTTTGGCTATGCCTCGAGATCTTAGTCGATATGTTTCAGTAAATACGTGATATAGAAAGCGCTCTAGTATACAAGTTAGTCGTGTCTCTTGTAGCTGCCACTACCCCCATCCAACGATTTGACCGTGGTTTGGTCAAGAGCAGCAAAACAGTATGGGAGGCCTATCGGCAGATGCAGCTCCAGTTGGGCGTCTGGCGGGAAAAGTTGCAATCATTACTGGTATGCCCGTTCCGACCTGGCAATAGACTAGACCCAGCAATTTGGGAGATAGACGGCTCTTCAGGAGCAGTGAATAGGAATGATCTGACAAGTTCAAGGAGCCGCCTCGGGATTTGGACTTGCTACTGTCCATAAGTACATTCAAGAAGGTGCAAAGGTGGTTGCTGTAGACCTCAATGAACAAGGTCTAGTGCATCAGTTCCACGACTTGTCATCAAGCAAAGGAGCCAACATTGTCACTCGAGTTGGCAATGTGACCTCCGCTGCAGATTGGGCTGCCCTCACGAAGGCTACTGTTGAGCATTTTGGCCAGCTCGACATTCTCGTCAACAACGCCGGAACGAACCATCCGAACAAGCGAACGGAGGATCTGACTGAAGCCGAATTCGACAGCACTTTCAATGTCAACGTGAAAAGCATCTACCTCGCCGTAAATGCGGCTCTCCCTTACCTTCGTCAGCGGGGCGGAGGCTTGATCCTCAACGTATCTAGTGTTTCGGCAGGAAAACCTCGCCCTGGACTGGTGTGGTACGCTGCAAGCAAAGCAGCTGTCAATAATGTGGGTAGCTCTCCTTGTGTGAGTCTTGCGATTATCAATAATCGTCACTTTTGAAATAGGTCACAAAAGGTCTTGCAGCAGACTATGGTAAAGAAAACATCAGAATCAACGCCGTGTGCCCTCTCCTGTCCGGCACCGGCCTTTTCGAGGCATTTACGGGACTGCCACCGACTGAAGAGAACATGAGCCGATTCCTCAGCAACATTCCGCTCGGGAGGCTCACGGCGACCCAAGATGTAGCAAACGCCCTTGCATTTCTAGGAAGCGATGAGGCTGCCTTCATAACAGCCGAAACGATCAAAGTCGATGGTGGTAGAGCAGTTGGGTAAACGTACTTATCAATCTTAGAAAAAGATATACTCCTTAGCAGTCTACAGCAACGAATGAATTCAACGTCTTAACTCACGCGAGTCATACCCAAGTGTACTCCCTTTACTTGAATGTTCCCTCCTCGGCTCCAGCGTCCGAATGTTAATGGTTCGCGAACACACAAGGCACACGATGGTGAAGGGCAAGGAAACCGAGATCGCAATCACCAACCTACCCTGTACCTGGGAGTAGGAGACGAGGATAGCTGGTAGGAGATACTATGACAAGAGTGAGTAACATTGCTTTATGGCCTGACGGCGTTTCCACATTCAACAATGGTGGTTACGTGTTTTGGCCTGTTGTTTACCACCTGTACTAGAGTAGCTGCTGTAGACAATCTGATTGTACACTCATTCGTTTGATGAGGTGACGCAGAGGCAATCGATCATAGCCCCCCAATTCTGAGGACTGACCATAAAAGATCAAATGCTCGGGGTTCATCTTATGGCGCAGCTTTCTACACAGATTGTAGCAATCAGAACAATACAGATCAAGAGCAAAAAGTGACCGAGTCACGCAAAGTGGACTTTAGCGAACGCCCAGTTTTAGGTCGCATTTTAATGGCCATATCATCAGCAAGAAAAGATACTGAGTCCCGGCGTCAATCTTTGGAGATGCACAGTCCCTCAAGCGTCTCGAATCACGGTGGCAGTCATTTATCTTACCTTCAAGTACTCCAACCCTTGGGACAAATCTGCGGTCTGTCAAAAAAATGGGTCAACTGATGGTCCCTTGAATGAATAAACCCTCATGGACGGCATCGAAATCTACACACCAAACTTTCGCTCACCGATAAAGTCGAGAGCGAGAGGGAACCTGACACGCAGGAGGAACTTAGAGGACGCCGATGAACCTGCCTGTTATCTGAATGATCTGACGAAAGGCTTCGATGCCATTGCATTGTCGACTTCGTCTTGAATAACAATAGATGTTTGGAGCGAAAGATGTATGTGGACAGGAAATTACTCTTTAGGCACTCTAGCTTCATCAGTGTCGTTACGATATCTTCATCCTTGATCAGACATATTTTCCGAGTGTGGTTCCTCGCAGGTTATGTACTGGACCCACAAATGTTCGTCAGAAAACGAAAGTGTGGGCCCAATCATCAGAAATGCCTCTGTCAGAAATTAGTCGCACCTCGCAGCCTCGTTCGGAGAAAGATTACGCCTTCGGACGAATACTCGCTCCTGCAGCACTTCTTTTCTGAAATCTCTACAACCCGATCCTTTGCCTACTCTGCTCTTTACTAGAACACGGTCTTGTCAGAAAATAGCCACCTAAGCCATTCTCGCACTGATTGACATTGACCGATGAGAGACCGCCATCTCCAACAACCATTAGCAATGCCATCTTTGCAAGCCAAAGAAGAAACCAGAGAATCCTGGTATGGAGTCCAGGACCCCAAGAAGAGAAAACAGATACAAGATCGTCTAGCACAACGAGCGCGACGTACGCCCAACCTCCCTCTCTGTTTCGGCATAGCGGCTGCCTGTGCTAACCAACAAAGCAGGTAAGAGAATCGCCGAAGCCAACAAAAACAATGAAAAGGCCATAGTCATCAGCCCTCGATCGTCGAAGCATGTTACAATAGCGCCACAACGTCACCCGGAGAGTTGCTCTTCCACTTGTATCGAGACCAATGCATCAACTATCATCACGGACTCACAACTAGGCCATTCAGTGTCGAGTCCACATCTACCAAATTGCCCTCAGACGTACAATATCATGCCCCATGCCGTTATCCCTTTGAAACGATTCCCTCTTCCGGTGGATCATCTCCTTCTGGTCCATCCAAGCAGAAGCGCGCTTGTGGCCTTTGAAGATAACGGTCATCGCATGGGTATAGGATGCGCCTGTGTCGGCCTGGTGAGATCCTGGCGACAATCTCCAGATTTACCGGCGGTCTTGCAACCGACACCGCTTCAACTCACGACTCCGCATTCGATATGGATCGATAGAATGCCATTTCCACGAATGCGAGATAATATCATTCTATTGGCCCATATGATTGATCTGGAAGATTTCTATGTCGATCTCCTCACGAAAGAGTCCTTTGAGTTTAAGGATGGATCGGCTCCCCATAACCCTGCTGCCTATCGGATTGATCCTACCTTTAGAGCGAAATGGGGATATTTGTTCCATTGAGTGCGACATGCCATTCATCATTCTATTCATCCCAACTCTCGGCTTTTCCTCCGGACAAGTCAGAGACCGCATCTGGTATTCCCCGTATCTAGTATGGGAAGAATGTACCATCGTACGAAGCGAATTTGCCGGAATGAGACTCCCTGGTGGATTCGTCGATCTAGAAAGGTAATACAATAAATCAGTGGGGACTCTTAGAGCGCCATCGGTATGGAAATAAATACTAACCAGCTTCATCAACCCAGTCGTACTCTCCTCGATGGTAGTCGGGGCTTCCGTCAAGCCGAACGACTGTGCCGACTCGTTACCCATCTTTGTCTGGACCCAACTGCGATTGTCAATACTCAGGTCGCAAATGTTCCGGATGAGAGACTTACCCAGGATGCATTGGGAAGGCGACCAGAAATTCGTTCTCGAGGTGAATCTTCTTGACGATATAGTTCAAGGCAGCTTTCGAAGTGCCGTACACTGCGTTTGGAATGTTCACTTTCTCCTGATCGGTGATTGTGCCTGCCGAGGACCCCATAGGGATGAATTTGGGGGTTCGTTGAGACTTCTTGAGTAACGGAAGGACGGCACGGAACAGGATGATAACGCCTATCACATTGACGTGATAATATTCCAGGAGATCAGAAGTTTGGGCATCCTCAACCCTCACAAAGATTCGTCCGACAGCAGAGTTTGGGATGACGACGTCGAGAGATTTGATGTTGTGGACGGTTTCGAGTTCCTGGACCGCATCCGCCGCATCGGTCTCGGAGGTGTTGTTGATTTTGACGACAATGAGCGAGCTCGAAGGTCCCTTGGGAAGATCGTTCAAGGACTTGCTGGTAGGGTCACTTGGATCGCGTACAGCGGCGACCACTATGTTGTTGGGTCTTTTGAGACAAGCTTCGACTAGGCCTCGCCCAATGCCTGACATGTGTTAGCAAGTTAGGCCGTGTTGATATGTGATGAAGCAGCCTTGCCTCGGTTGGCTCCGGTGATCAGATACGTGGTGGTGGTAGTGGCCATGTTGGTTTCTGGGCTATTCCGGAGATGATGAGACCCAGTTCAGAGTGCGGTTGTTTGTTGAATGTCTACTGGTTTTGAGCGAGGAGACGCAGTGGTTTTATGCCTGCGATGCGGCGTCGACAGGGACAAAATCAAATCCGTCGGCAATACTGATATCTGTACTCCGGTCAGAAGTTAGCTGGTCAGAAGTAAGTAGAGATATTGTGCCATAAATCTGCGAGACTTTACTGCGTCAGAAAATGAGACGTTGTCAATGACTCTCCATCGTCTAAGAAAACGTGGAAGGGCCCACTTCAGCCTCGTGTCATAAAATAGTCAAGTCAGCCCCGGTCCTTAGTAACCTATTCCCTGGATAGTGATGACAAAGCACGTCAGTAAGTAGCCCAGTTTCCTTACTCTCTTGAGGTTCTTGCAGTGATATGTGGTAGTTAGGCACGGAGTATGTTGAGGTCATTTCGTCCGAATGTAGTCAATAGAGCCCAGGTAGCTAGGCGCTTCATAGATATCACGATGACTGATCAGTCGAATAACTCAGTGATATGATTGGCATCACTTCCTATTCTTTAGAATGACTAGATATTTATCGCAAACGGAGGTGAACTACACAAAGAGGTTCTACTAGATCAATAATGGTCGATATATAAACACTTCGATAATGCATCGCTAACGTGGACTTTGGTAGCAAACACGTCAACATCAACCACGACCCCGAATCACTTCAAGATTCATCATAGCAACATGCCGCAGCAGTTCGAAACCTCCATAATCGAGATGGTCCTCAGCAGCGAGGCATTCCTACACGTCATCGAAACGGTCAAGGATGGGATACTAAGGTCGGCATCCGAAGGGCAGTCCAGGAGTCAAGTCGGCAACGGTGGTTGCGACGTACGACTCGAAGATGAAGTGAAGCGTCTCAACGGTCGTCTTGTGGAGTTGGAACGCGAAGTACACCTGCTCAGATCTGTTCGTGGAGGACGATGAAACAACACAACGGGCTATCAATGTCGAATTTGGTGTTGATATCAGTCTTTTACTCGTATCCGTACCTCTTTTGGTTATTCCGTGCTCCCCTACTCCATATTTGTGGCTCATGTCCTCCGTATCTCACCGGAACGAAGATCACCCGTATTAGACTGGGTAAAGTACAGATTTCCCCCCTGACAGGACCCCCCTGTCACGTCTACCTTGGCAGGGCGCCACTAGGCGGGATATCTGTAGGTTGATCCCCTGTCAAGCAAAGTCGGGCGTCGAATGGCCAGACCCGGAAGGTTGAAACACCAAGCCGCAATCTCCAAAACTGTGGGCGTCTCGCTAGCGCTACAGAGTCAGCTAATCTCACCTCGGCCACGACGAAATTATATCTTGGAAGGCTTGTGGCTGTTACGCCATCAATAGTCCCCCAGGCGTTTTGACATGGGTTCTGGCAGAAAGAATGAAAACCTTCTCGAGGGGGGCCCACGATGGACAAACATAATAAATGTCAGTGTCGCGCTTGTAAAATGGTCGAATGTTTTTCAGTCCGTCCAGCCTTGTCCATCACCAGTTCATCCCCCGTCAACCTCTATCGTCCTCCACGATCTCAAAGATGAAGTCCTCCTACTCTCCTTTGGCAGTATTGGTGCTGGCCGCCACCGCGGGTGCTCAATCCGCGCCCGGTTTCCCGGTACAAGTCAACAATGAGCTGTCTGTGGATTTTCAGAGTTCCTCCGACAGCTTTCTTCAGCCTGGTCAAATGTTGTCCCTGAACGGTAAGCAAAGGCTGGACGACCTATTGCTGTCAAACCAACTACTCTGGCTAACACTCTTTGATTTCTCTACAGACGTTCAAGACGCGCCCACCGCCTCTGGCCCATCCGGCTCGACCAGGACGTTGAGTTTCATGTTGTTCATGATCGATCAGGACGTCAAGTCTGATGATGGCTCACGCGTCGAACTCCTTCATTACTTCCAGCCCAACCTCGCTGGTGCATCAGAGGTGCTCTCTGACTTCTCGAAAGACGCTCAGAACTTCACCTCGGCGTCTCCTGTGCAATACATCGCTCCAGGACCCCCGGCGGGCGACGGTCCGCACCGATACACGCTCTTGTTGTATCCACAATTCGAGGGCTTCTCTGTTCCCAAGGCCTACTCGTCCTTCTTCCCTCCGGCCAACGTCAATGCCAGAATCGGCTTCGACATGGCAGGCTTCGCCAAGGCCGCCAACTTGCCTCAACCCGTCGGCGCCAACTGGTTCGAGGTCCAGAACGGCGAGGCTGCCCCATCAAGTACCGCCGGCTCTGGATCCGCAGCTAGCACGAGGACGAGCTCGAGTGATTCAGCATCGACGTCTGCTTCAGATAGCAGTGCAACAACCACGGCCAGCGGCAGCACTGGGTCATCAGAGACTTCAGCAACTGCGGCAACAGGATCTACTTTGGCCACCTCTCTACCCTCGTCATCAGCCACGTCCTCAGCCAGTGCATCGGCCAGTGCATCGGCTACTCCTGCATCTTCGGGTGGCAATGCGGCTGGATCCGTGGACGCAAGGAACAGCTTTGCTGGATTGGTGGTTGCGCTTTCGATGAGCGTCTTCGGACTGTTGCTGTAAATGATGGATGCAAAAGATCTGCATAGGTTCTCTTGGCCATGGACATATACACGGCAAGCTGCAACTCCTTCAAGCAAGGTATCTGTATAATATGAGACAGGAATTCTCAGAGTAGAATAAAATGACTTGATGCAGTATGGACTGAACGCCCGTAGCATCTCGTATGGATGAGTACGAGTACTTCGTATATCAGAGCAGCGAGTTATCGATCTACAGAATATCAAAACTTTAGCGTGCCTGTACCTGTCGATCTTGGAGTCTATAAGGCTAGACAAGTCTGTTAATGAGATGAAGGGTTATTCTGTGAGGTCACTCTGTTTAGGGGCTTTGGTGTAAGTACCTGAGGTAGCTAGTCATAGAGGGATTAATAGGCGTGGCACTGCTTAAGTTATAGGCTGCTTAGAGTGGCCAATCACTAAATACTTGGGCACTTAGACGCCTATTTCATACCCGCATTAACTCTTCCCCGTGAAAACGGCAGATTCCGCCCCCTCGCGCGTCATTGCTTAAGGGGTTCGAACTACTATTGTAGTTAGTGGAAGTCAAACTGCTGAGCCTCAACTTCAATCAACCAAACTTCATTTTATTTGGTGTCACCGCGTTTTCTTGTCCCCGTTCTTGTTTCTTCTCCTAGTCGTCGTCTTTGCTCTTATTCACTCATTTAGAAGTCACTCCTTCGTCGCGCAGTCCAGTCGACTGCCTTTTCATCCCAGCTCATCTACTCGACAGATCGGTGCTCCCGTCGATAAATACCGTACTCCCCTTACCCGATAACGCACTGAAGTTTAAGAGCGCGAACCGTCTCCCACGATCAAGATGCGATCCCCAGTTCTCCTTTCCTCACTATTGCTCGCGGCACCGCTGGCAGTGTCCGCGGCCGGTACCTTGGGGTTTGCTGTAGGCAACACGAACCCTGATGGGTCGTGCAAAAAGCAAAGCGATTTCGAGGACGACTTCAAAGCCATCCAGTCCAACACCGACGCCACCATTGTTCGAACTTATTCCTCCTCCGACCAGTACGCGAATCCGTGCAACACCCCGTCGGAGGTGTTGGCAGCTGCAAAAAGTGCCGGTATCAAAGTCGTACTGGGCATGTGGTGAGTTTTTTTGGGCACAAAAGAATGACACTTGAGGTGTACATAGTAAGAGCAATATCATCTGATGAATCGTCCTGTGTCTAGGCCTGATGGAGGTGCCTACGCCAAAGAAAAGGCCGCCATCGATGCCGCCAACCCGACGCAATATGGAGATACACTCTACGCCATCACGCTCGGTTCGGAAGGAATCTATCGAGGCACGTACAGCGCCGACGATCTCGTGGGTTGGCTCAAGGACATGAAGAACGATTATCCCGATGTCACTATCGGAACCGCCGACAGTTGGAATGGCTGGGCGAACGGTTCCATGGACTCGATCATTCGAAACGTCGATTTGGTGTAAGTGTGGCCGTGAAGGGGCCTTTCGGTTTCCAAAGCCAGCATGTACTAACGGCTTCCATCATTAGTCTCGCGAACGGTTTCGCCTACTGGCAATACCAAGAAATCTCCAACGCGACAAAAACATACTTTGACGACATGGCTCAAGCTCTCAGTCACGTTCAAGAAGTGTCTGGTAGTTTGGACAAGGTCAAATTTATGAATGGTGGTGAGTATCTTCAACCCTCTAGGTAACTAAGAGAATCGAATGACTAATATCGTGATCAACAGAGACCGGCTGGCCGGGAACCGGTGGCACCGATGCCGGTGCGGCCAAGGCAGGTGACGACAACATGAAGACGTACTGGCAATCTGCCGTCTGTGGTCTTCTCGATTGGGGTGTTGATCTCTTTTGGTTTGAAGCCTTTGACGAGCCAGACAAGCCGGATGCCATTGGCGACAACGGCCAAAAGGCAAGCGAACAACACTGGGGTTCATTCACATCCGACCGAAAGCCCAAATTCGATATGCACTGTTAGGATAGAACAACGACAGGGAATCTTTCGGTCGATCTCGGTCAATAGGTTTTTTTATGGTACATAATTGCCGTTTGGGGGATGGTACAGGCAGAGCATTCAGACAACCCCGCCGGCTACGTACCTAGTTGGTTCCAAGCAAGCTGTTAACACGTCGAGTATTCCGTACCGAGTAGAGATCATATTCATGTAGGCACAAAATGTTGTCTTTGGTACTGCCCATCGAACGTCTCCCGTTTATCACTGTACCAAAATCGACCGACTTTACGATACTGGATACCCCGAAACACCTAGATACAGTACCCGTCTAGAAGTGATATATATTAGCACCTGCATCAAGTGTGTATATATATAGGCATTCATTGGTAGCCTTAGTGCGTTGGTGCAGAGGCTGGTGTCACGTAAATACTCATCACAGCATTGATCGATGTTCTCATTATTACTTCTTTTCAATCCCTAGGAATATTGATACTAGTTTCATCACACTCCAAAACTTCCTCTTGGAATTGTTATTTCCCCCCTTGTTTAACGATCTTGTTATACACAAAGCTAAATTAGTAGCTACCTCTTCGTTCTCATCAAGGTACTGGGAAAAAAAACAAACAGTACATATAAAGCTTGCGACCGCCAGCTGGCAAACAATAGACGAGGCTAAAATTACCTGGGTTGAAAAAAAACACTTCAAGGATTCTGATCGGCTCGTCTACCTTCGAGGATCAACTCAACTCGCTTGACCGGATGGATCAACATTCCAGGAAGACACATTCTCCCCTCGCCGGCCACTTCTTCTTGCTCGCCGCCGGCGTTGTTAAACCTCATGCCCAACCAGCGGTGCCAGAGCACCTCGGGGAACCCGGCGTTGTAGTACCACGTCGTGCCACGGAAGTTGTGTTCTCGGTCCCCGAAGACGCTCGTGCGAGCCCCTCCCGTCGCACCGTTTCGTCCGCCGTTGAACACGGCCTCGAGGTACTTGGTCGGCCACTTGCGGTCGATGTATTCTGGGTGAGGGGCGTACACGGCCTTGAGGCCGTGGTGCAGCGCGCAACTGGCCGGCCACATCTCACTAAACATGGTGTGTTTCTTGACGGCCGTCTCACGGTGCATCGTGGTCAGGAGCTTGCGGCTGAGCCGGCTCGCCGTGATGATGGCCGTCCTTCGTGGAGGTCGGCCACGGGTGATGTTGTATCCGGTCGTGTCGTCCGTCAGGAGCCAGGTGGTGCCGTCGGGATCGAAGAGAGGGTTGAACGTGATGAGGTCAGCATCTTCGCCGACTCCCCATGTATACTTGTCCTTGTCGAAAGAGGTCGGCGGAAGAGGGTCACTTTCAAAGGCGACGTCGTCGTCAAGCGGCCGTTCAGGTCCCCAAATAGGTTTATCCCCTTGCTGATTCACGGCGCCAGGAATGTTGGGGTCCTTGGCGCGATTGAGACTGCTCCAGAGATTGTTGGCGCTGTTTGTGCCTTGCTCGGTCTGGACACGAACCGTGTGACTGAAATCGTCCCACTCGCCATGCTCCGAGGGCACAAAGAATCGGCTGTTTCGTTCCCACAGAAACTTCCGCGGTTGTTTTTGGGCCCATTTCGAGACGCTGTCGAAGAAATGATACCAATGGTGGGTGGTGCGGACGTCCATCTCCCAGTTCCAGAAGAAATCGTATTCTGGATGCTGGTAGGCAAAATATTGCATGGGCATAAATGTGCTACGGTAAACACCGTGCACGGGCAGGTCTCTCATCCAAGTCTCCTCCAGACCACCGTACATCAACAGCATCTGTCGCTCTGTCCAGAGAGTACCCATCCCGCGAAACTCTTCTGGTAACGAGTCTCGAAGAACTCGCTCGTATGTTTCGTCGTCGGAGAAGACAGGTAAATCTTGGTTTTTGACCTGTATGAGGAAATGTACCACATATTCTCCTCCACTCATCATAGTCAATTCTGAGATCAGAGATCGCAAGTAGATTTTGTCCTCGGGCGTGTACGGGTAGTCCGACCACGTCCGAATGATAACTGCTGTACGAGGCAGTTTTTCCGAGCCGGTTTTCACACTGTTGGCCGGTTTTGCTGGCATCGACGAGAATTCAGCGGCTTCATCTCGCTTTTCCATGGTCCCTATCTGCATGGCTCTGAATTTCTCGATTCGGGGTTTGGGCAACTCCTTGAAACGATGCTTGTTCGCAAGTACACATCTGTTTTGAGCCTCGGTCCATTTCACACTTCTGAAATCGATTTCTGGCGTTTCTTCCCACACTGCATCTGCTCCCTCCCTTTCGCCTTCCTGTTGAGCGCCACTTCCGCCACGGTTGATGCTGTAACCGAGGCCGTATGGACCTAATCTTCCAAACCGCTCGTAGCAAATGTCTGTCCTCAACCCCAGCAACTGAGCCGAGCCCATAACGGCCTCAGGAAAGCCTCGAGGAACCCCTTCGTAAACCCGGATTTGCGGAATCGATATTGTTTTCTTCTCGTCTAGGAAACAGTCCACCTTTTCTCCATATTTCGCAACGTATTCAGGAGACTTGTAGTCTGGATAAGGGTTGAAGGGCTTGCTAGACTGAATCGCCCGCTTCACTTTCTCCGAATTGATTTCTTCGGGTGGATCTAATGGTGGCTCCTCAGGTAGATCCAGATTTTCCATTGGTACCTCGTCCTCTTTCTTGGGATATTCTGGCACATTCGAAGTTGAAGGTACAAGTGATCGCACTCCTCCATAGTAGCGATCCAGGAAGGGAAAGCTTTCCCACGGCGGTGGTTTGGGTTTGATCTTCTCTTCTTGTATGGCCACCTGAACCTCCTTGTCCGCATTCCAACTCATTCGCACGAGAGAAAACACAAAGATGAGCAGTCCGGCTGCCACACCCAAGCATATCCACCTCATGATCGATCTTGGCATTCGGCCAAGGTAGGAAGGTGAAGAAGACCGATTGGATGTGTAGGCATTATTTATGAGCATGGGTCGGTAGGAGGAGGAGGTCGAACGAGAGGTCGCAAAGGAAGGGTCTACGTCGTCCATGACTGCTTCGTCATTATCGTCGCTGCTGCTTGGCCGGGCCCCAAACCCATCCTTTTCAATGTCTGAATCCCCCCGACTTCGTATTCGTGCCATGGATGAAGCGTTGCCTATTCCTAGTGACGAGCTGCGCTGCCACACCATTGTCGCAGATCTGGTGGCCGCAGCCACGGCACATTGTTTGGCAACTGGGTCGTGGTCGATAGTTGCCCAATGACGCCAGCGAAAAAAAGGTGCGCGGGCAATGACAACCAATTGCTGCCGTGTAGAGAAATCGTGTGTTTCTGGCGCAAAGTCGAATAGAGGATCGTTTGGTAGAGGAGTTTCCGGTTGGCCGCAAGGTACGGAGTATGGGGTAAACAGGTTTTGGGCGCTTGTGTTGCGGTTGTTGATTAACAGGAGTAATTTGTAGGTACAAGAAACAAGTCAAAGTATTCACAAGAATTGATGTACAAAACTGCACAGACACTGAAGACGACGTATATATTGCGGAGGCAGAAGTTGGAATAGATCCTTATCGCAAAAATTGGGCATCTTCCTCGACTTGGTTCTTCGATCTTGGTCCGTCCGTCAACAACACGAGCCACTTGGATCCAGTCAACGCCAATCATGCGCCGCGCCAAGTGGATGGAATACGGGGATGATTTTTGTAATGACAGCTATGATTCTTTTCTAGAGAACAATATTTCCAGTGTCTGACAGCCGCAAGAGCCGCATGCAACACCACGCTTTACCAAAAATACCAGGGGTGTCACTTTGTTGATTCTACGACGAAAGTAATGGAACACTCTCACATCAAAGGTTAGGTAGTCAAGTTCAGTTCTCTACTGGTATTGATTGATCGCCATTGATGAAGACATTATGTGTATGTAGCATCAACAATGTATGCTCTGGCGGCTGATCTGATTGTCCTTTCCCACCCGCCCAGACTCGAGTTGGATCGACTTGTTCCTTAGTCCACTTGGCCTCGCAATTTGCTTCCCGTCTCTCAACTACTCCGTACCTCTCATTTGATCGTCTTTCGATGGCTCTAGGCATCGTTTCCACTTGGTGGCAAGCCTTCTGTACCTCTACCCAAGTCCTCCTTCAACCCCTGTCCTCCTATCTCGAGTTTCTGGCAGTCTTGAAGGACAAAAATCATCCTTGCCCAGTCAGTGTCACTGGGATTTTTCCAGGCGTGCATCGTTCCTCGCTGGACCGCGACATCTCCTCTCTGCATCTGTCTACGATCTCCGCTGTCCAGCACCATCTCGATGGTCCCTTCGAGGACGATGCCGTAGTCCAGACTTTGCGTTCGGTGCATCATGCATTCGTATCCCGGGGCAAAGTCGACTACACGACACACCGTGCCACTAGGGTTGACCAGGCCTAACTTGCCACCCGAGATGACCTCGTCGTGCGTTTTGAGGTCCTTGTCGCTGTTCAGGTCTGCCGGGAACTGCGAAGTGGAGTAGATGACATTGAAGGCCATCGACTTGTCGTCGTACTGGCTCCATTTGCCTGGACGGGAATCTTGAACAATAGCTTTCCCTGTCTTTGGATCGTGACCGGTTATCTATTTAGTATGGCGTGAGCACAGATATCCAAGTACTTCTGATGTTTTCTAGGAAACTCACATGGGTAGTCAAGCCTGGCAAGGAGGTGGCCAGTTGATTTGCATTTGGGGCACGTGAAGAAGCCATATCGACGGTTAGGAGTTTGGACTTGGTGTCAGAGATGTGGAACGAATAGATGCAGAGTCTCGTGGTCGCATAGGTGATCAGTCGAAGTGGGATGAGAAAGGCCGATTGTTGTAGTTGGTGAAGAGGTGATCCATACCCCGCATGCCAGAGCACACGCCTCTAACTCAAACAGCGACTGGCTTGACTCATCTCACAGTAAATGGATCAAATGGATCGAGTGGATATATGCGGCTTCTTGGTACTGGTATATGAAAAGATGGGCTACATGGACTGTGGACCACCTGCGACTACAGTGTACTTCCAGGTGGCCATCATTCACACTGCTGTAACTTGTCCCATGATGGAGGCCGCCCACGCCATCTCCCATTACATTACAAGACCATCTTGAACTCCGGGTCGCGATCATCGCCATACCCAATGAACTTGTCGTATTTGCCTGCAGCCTTGTCTCGGTTGATCTTTGCGCACCACAGGACGTTTAACAAGATACTGTCAAGGGAAATTAGCACAAGTCCTAATGAATCCGAAGGAGACCCGCTTACGCGAACCACGCATAGACCAGAAGACCCAGTATGATGGTATGTGATTTGTGGTATTGTGGTGCTTGAGTAGATGGGTATGTGAAAGCTGTACATCTGTGAGTATACTTCTTTGTACTCAGATGTAGTAGAACTCACCGGAAACAAAACCACCACAGTTAGCAATCGCCAATTGAAGACCTGTACAAAACTCGTCAGTATGCTTCTTTCCCGACCATACCTGGTACTCGAAGGACAAAACGAAGGGAATACTGACCGGAAGTTGTAGCACGCTTGTAATGCCCGGCTGAATTGTTACTATTCCAAACCAAGACAGGTGGAACGCTGGCGTATAACCCCGTTGCCATCAAGAATGTCATGCCGTACTTGGTATGATTGTCATGCACTCCAACGTTGGCAATTGCTGCATAGCCAATAATAGCCAAGGGTAGTACGCAGAGCATAACGACTCCTCGAAGTTTGAGGCGATCGGATAGGACTGCCACAATCACCGTGAGGACTGCTGCCACTGCATAGGGGATGACCGACCATAGTTGGGCTTCGTTTGCGGTGTACCCCAGGCCTTTGATGATGGTTGGCAGGAAAAGCCCAAATGAATATAATCCGGAGAGAATCGAAAAGTACGCGGTCGCACTCAGCCATAGCTGAATATTGAACAATCCACGTTTGACCTCAGACCAGCGGAATTTCTCAGCACCCTCCGCATGGTGACCGTCTGGGAGATGTGCAGAAGTGTCCATCCGCAGTCTCCGTTTGGCCAGCTCTCTTTCTTCAGGCTTGAGGAACCAAGCTGTGTCGACACTGTTTGGCAACAAGAAATAGGCTCCGACGCCTGCCACGAAGGTCAACAGCCCTTCAATGACCAATATCCATCTCCATCCTGCATCAAGGCCACCGCGTGAGCCAATGGATGACAGGCCGCGTGCCAGGAGGCCGCCAAACGCACCAGCAAGAGAAGCGCTGGTGTAGAAGAGACCGATCCGAAGAGCCATTTCGCCTCGGGTGTACATCCCGGACAAATAGAGTACCATACCCGGAAGGAGCCCGCCCTCAGCAAGCCCCAGAAAAGCACGAACTACCAAGAAGCCTGCATAGTTTTGCACGAATCCGAGACACATGCCAATAATCCCCCAAGCTGCGGTCAGGAACGATAGCCAAACCCGTGGACTCGCGCGACGGAGAATCAGGTTGCTGGGCAGCTCAGACGCGATGTAGAAAGCAAAAAAAATAGCGAGTCCGTTGGCATACTGGCTGTTGTTGAGGCCAAGATCATCTTCGAGACCGAAGATCTTTGCATTGCCGACGTTTGTGCGGTCGAGAAACGAGCAAAGGAAGAGAAGAGCAAGAACCGGAAGAATTCTAGGAAGCATTCAGTCCGATAAGCAGTGCTACGTAGCACCACAGTCGAGCCTTACCTTGTGTCCAGCTTGAAGAGAAGTTTTCGAGTAAGTTTCTTGGTATGTTCATCATCGTCGAGATCCCGTTGGGCCTCAAACTCGTTTTGAATATCGACTGGCTTTTCCATGGCAGGTTGCGAATCTACTTTTTCAAGAGATCTATCGCGTGTGTTTTCGGTGCTGGTGGCCATAGTGACCATGTTCTGGGGAATCAGCGTCGTGACACAATGTGAGTACTGTAGTTTTGAACGACGTCACAGGCCTTGAAGGATCGCCGACAAGATTATTCCAAGACCCAACAAGTATCAACAAGACGAAAAAGATACAAGGATCAAATCTCAGTAGAGACGTTGTTCAACTTATAGGTTCATCTGTGCGACCAACCTTTGTTCTGGAGACCCCTCGTCTCTTTTGTACCCCGTGGGCCAGGGCCTGAAAAGGATACTGTAGATAAGGTACAGGGCCATCATCCATGCGCTTTCGGTATTATTGATTCGTGATGGCAGGCCCAGCTCGGACATCCGCCGGGGGCGTTGTGTTACATCAGGCCAGGGTGTAGCGCCAGATATAGTTAAAGATCGATGCGAGTAAGGCTTGGCTTGGTTCGCAAGCTTCACCCGGGCGAAATGGCAGCGAGGAGAACAGCCACCAAAAACCTGGGGAAACGAGTATTTCGAGGCGGAGGTAGAAGAATGTCCGAGTCTCTGTGTTTGTGCGTGGAGATTGCGAGGAAGACGGTTGTTGTTCTTGACGCCGGTACCGGTGTTTCTTTTTGCCGAGGTCTCAAGGTACTGTGGAACTCCGTATTCCCGACTTCACAAAACAACCTCCCAATTTCATCTTGATCCAGCTTTCCATCAGGACATATACATATCGCCGTCTGACTTTGCAGATATAGTCCTGACGAGATAAGCTTTACAGCCCCGTTCCCACCAATCGATTCCCACAAGGCTCCTTTATATGCGTGACTCGTCGTCGGGTGGCAAGGCGTCGGGAGAAAAGCCGTCTCCTCCATCAAGTCGCTTCGTAACTGCCAACAGGTCACAATGTACGTACGCTAATTCCAACCTCATTTCTATTCTGTTCTATTTTCAGAGAATATCAATTCCTTTCCAAACCCCCGTTTGCGTTCGTCTAATCCGCCCGGACGACGCTAACAAGTTTGTGTGTGTGCGTTTTAGCTCGTAAGATCAAGCAGTCGAGAAAGCAGCCACCATCAGCAGCAGACATGTCGAAGCTTTCCGACCCATTGAAGCAACTCATCAACGCGGCGTACGCTCTGCCGGGCTACCTCAAAGCCCCGCCGACGATCCGCTCGACGTACTCGCGGGTGGCCAACAGCGCCAAAGAACATGGCGTGGGTATCCCCGCTTGGCTGACCATGGCCACGGCGACGACCATGACGCTCAACTCTCCCGGCTCGATGATCGAACTGTTCCATTTGACACAGTCACTACCCTCGCCACCTCCGGCCGCTGAGACGGCGGGTTTGATGCGCGAGGTCGGTCTCAAATGTATCTCTTTCAACGGCATCCCCCGCACCATCAACTGCCTCGGCGCGTTTCGCGAGGGCATGCCCAAGGACGTCTTCGACAGCATCCCGTCCCAACCTTCGCGACAACTCGATCCGGACAACATTTCTACTTCGTTCGCCAGGGGCCGTGCCCTCTGGGACAGCGTGTACAGGCCCTTTGAGGGCAAACTGCTCGACAAACTGGCCCAGAGCCACCCAAATTTACCCGTCCACATTCTCAACGGCCACTACTCCAACCTGCTCTCGGACCCTCCCGCGGACTCGCCCATCAAGGTCGGCCGCGTGCTCACGTCTCTCGTCGCCATCGCGTGTCTGCGCGCGCAGACCGGCGTCGGTCCCCAGGTCACCAGCCACGTGTTCGGGCTGCGAAAGGCCTACGCCGACGGCTCGGCCGAGAAGGACATTGAAGGTGGTGAATGGTTGGCGACCGATGAAGGGAATCAATGGATTATCAACGCCATCGACGAGATAGTCCAAGGATTGACGGAGGGACGAGGCACGACTTTTGCCCCGGGAATGGCCGGCGCGAAGTTGCAGGCCAAACTGTAAAAAGTCGGCCTCGACCGGCCCCCGTACTAGGCTCCTGCAGCGAGTATCTCGAAGTCTTTTTGTCGTCTAGAAACGGGAAAAATGAAAAATCCCATTGGAAATAGAATCGACATGTTTTGTACATATCATTCGTTCGAGACAGCATCTCTTGGTAGATACGGAAAGTGTTCAATGCTCATCAGGACTCTGCATTGTGTCATCCCGTCATCGTGGTTCGATGTGCTAGAGTGGTATTTCAACACCATCATGAATGCTGATTGATGAGTCTTCGAAAATACCTCCTTTACAATTATATTCCAGACATCTAGGCTATCTAGGATCAAATAGCTCACCCATGCGTGTAATGCACCAAACGACCCTCGACCGGCCATTCCCCTTCCATCATGCTGAGATGATATATGACGCAAAAAAATCAGCTATCCTTTTCTTTTTCCGTTTACTCCGTACCTATTCATACCTTACGTCTCTCGGTCGCTGCAGTGGAAACTCATCTATCCCAACCAGTCCCTTACAGAAATGCTGCTCATCCCGTTTATTCCATCTGACCCAAGGTCTCGGCAACAGCAAAATTGGCATCCGTCTTCTCCTTGACCTCCTCAACCGTCACGCCGGGCGCGAGTTCCGTGAGCGTGAGGGTCCCCTTTGCCCTGTCGACCTCGAACACGCACAAGTCGGTGATGATGGTACTGACGACCCGGGCACCGGTCAATGGCAGAGAACAGTTCTCGACGATCTTGCTCTTGCCGTACTTGTCGACGTGGTCCGTCGTCACCACGATCTTGGTCTTGTCCGGGTTCGAAACCAGATCCATGGCGCCGCCCATGCCCTTGAACACCTTCCCGGGGATCATGTAGTTGGCGAGGTCCCCGGCGGCACTGACCTGCAACGCACCCAGGATCGAAACGTCGACGTGGCCGCCGCGGATCATGCCGAACGACTCGGAGCTGTCGAACGTGGAGGCACCGGGCACCAGAGTGACGGTCTCCTTCCCGGCGTTGATGATGTCCGGGTCGACCTCTTCCTCGGTCGGGTACGCGCCCATGCCGAGAATGCCGTTCTCGGACTGGATCCAGACCTTGACGTCCGAGGGGAGGAAGGACGGCGCGAGGGTGGGCATGCCGACGCCCAAGTTGACGTACATCCCGTGCTTGAGTTCCTTGGCCGCCCGGCGGGCAATGCGGTCTCGTCGGACGAGAGCTTCTGATTTGGCGTCGGACTTGTTGGAAGGCGTCGACGCCGCTTCGGATTCGTAGCCGCTGTCGTTGCCACTTGGTCGCGTCTTTTTGTTCTCAAGTACCTTGTCGACGGTCGCTGGGACGATGCGGTCGACGTAAATGCCCGGAAGGTGGATATCATTGGGGTCGATTGATCCAACGGGGACAATATTCTCGGCTTCGACGATTGTCAGACGAGCAGCCTTTGCCATGATTGGACCGAATGCCTTTGTGGTGTACCTTTTCGGGAAGTCAGTCATATTCCTCCAATGGTCAAGTTGACAACACGTTGTATCTTACCTGAATTGGCAGTTGCCCGCCTCGTCGACCTTCCAGGCACGCAGAATGGCAACGTCGCCGGTCAAGGCTGTCTCCATGACATAAGTTCTCCCACTGAAGATTCTAGTTTCTCGGGCTTTCCCCCCTTCCAGGACCACCGACTTCTTGGTCTCTGGATCAGCCGGTCCCAATCTTGTAGGGATCTCGCCGGTCTGGATAAAGGTATCTGCATTGCATCAGCCACATCTTCCGTCCATCAACACATCAGTCAGGGTTGCCGCCACTTACGGACACCGGTTGGTGTGTAGAAAGCGGGAATGCCAGCTCCACCGGCACGGATTCGTTCCGCCAACGTCCCTTGAGGGCATAGTTCGATCGCGATCTGGCCGGTCAAGTACTTTTGCTCGAGCTTCTTGTTGCTTCCCAGGTATGAAAGGATGCAGCGTGTTATCTGGCCTGACTTGGTCAGGGGCGAAAGTCCGCCAGCTCCTGCAGCGCCGGCATTGTTGGAGACGGCAGTAAGGTTGTTCAGCGAGTCGACCCCTCGCTTATGCATTGCTGTGATTATAGTTTCTACACAAGTCGTTGTCAGGCTAGAAGATCAATTTTGTATCTCTAGAGATCCAAACACATACCAGCTGTTCCACACAGGCCAAATCCGGCGCTGAAGACGACGGATCCGGACTTCAGGTCTGCGACGGCCTCATCGGCATCTTTGAAGACTTTGGATCTCGTCCTGTCAATGACCGGCTGATCGTCTTCGGCCTGACGGGTTGCTGCTTCTTGCCATCGTGACCGTGAGGTGGTGAAGAGTCGAGCAGCAGCCGGCCTTGATACCCAATGCTTGACATGTGATTGGCGGACAATAGGTCTACGGGGAAGCGAAGTGGTGATGATGTTAGAGCAAGAAGTTGCTCTGATGTCGTTGACGCAAAGCAATAATGTCCTTCTCGTCGCCATTGTGATATAGTTGAAATGAGTGGCCTGTATTGAAAAATCTCTTTCTACTATAATCTACTGCCCCCAAGTACAACAATATTATTATAGAGATATGTCGACGAGAATCCAAAACAAAAACCTCTCGGGTAATTTGAGCGACTTCGGATGTTGGTCGGGCACTTCAGGGAGCATTATCACGGGTCCGTATCCGATAAACACGTGACTGAGGCTAGTGACCGACGGCCATATTTTTGACACCGAGTCCTTTTGTTTACTTTGCCTCTCTGTCTGACCTCTGCAACTTCCAGATCATGTGGGGTGCACGATCAATCTTGTATCACCGAGGATGCAGGTCTCACACATCCCAATAGAATCATGCGATGACATGTGCACAAACAGAAGCAATGTGGGACCGCCTGTAGATTGAATAGCCATATATCCTGGTGTGGGAATAGTATGTGATGGTGACGGTGCAAAATGCACTTGGGACCGACAAGTCCATAGATACAACCCGTATACGTCGACCATACATCCTCCAGGGTCTCTCAGACACTGCTGTTGCAAAGCCTGTCATCTCCATTGTCACGTACACCGGCGTCGCAGTCCACGTTCTTGCTATTCTTGTGAAATAAAGTCGTTGAAGATGGCAACGTCCAAGGCTCAAGGGCAACCGTTCTGGCTTGGGTGAGCATTATAATCCAGAGACCATTCTTGAGGCATGATCTAACAATGAACAGTGGTGCCGCTGCTGCAATGGCCGCTTGTTGCAGTATGCACTGTCTCCGTTCCGTTCCAAAAGACCAACGCTGACCATGGTCGCAGCTCATCCTTTAGATCAGACAAAATAGTAAAATTTTAACAATCTCGACATATTCCAGTACTAATCACTGTTGCAGCCGAATGCAAGTCATCTCGACGAGACAGAACATGTTTAGAACCCTCATTCAGTTCGCGACTCGTGATGGTAAATGCTGAATTGCAATGGACCTTGGGCGTGGCTGAATCTGTCCAGGAATTCCTTCTTTATGGTGGGGAATCTCAGCTTCTATTCTTCGGCAATCCACATATTCAACCGCAAGATTTGGATTATACAATTACTTTGCTCGCGAGGCTCGGCAGAGAACAGGGCAACAGCGGCTATCCAGTCCAATTGAGATCGCTTGCGCTGGGGTTGCTGGTGGATTTGCTGGATTGATTGGGAATCCCACCGAAGTCTGTACGATACACACCTTGTGAATTGTTGGCTAACGTCTGTAACCAGGTAGCCCTCGTCAGAATGTGCGCCGACGGTGCAAAAGCACCGGCTCAAAGATTCGGATACGCTCATGCATTCGATGCCCTAATCAGAATCGGCAGAGAGGAAGGCGTCGGGACCTTTACTCGAGGGATCGGGCCGAATGTTGTTCGCAGCGTCATAATGAATGTGTCGCAGATCGCCACGTAGGTTGCATGCTTGTTGTCAGATTCGGTCCGTTGGCTTACACAATTGCAGATATTCCGCTGCGAAACGTGCCTTGCTGTCGAACCCATCACTTGGCCTGAAAGATGGCATGCCGACTCATTTCCTTGCATCCTTACTTGCCGGCACTGTTGCAACTACAGCCTGCGCACCGGCCGATGTCTTGAAGAGCAGGGTTCAAAATGCTGTAACAATCGATGGAGTGAAGCCGGTTCGTAATCCCTAACTCATTCGTCGACCATATGCTGACCGATTGCGCAGAGTGTGGGCAAGATAATTGCTGAATCGCTGCGCAATGAGGGCCCGCGGTTCCTTTTCAAGGGCTGGACTCCAGCCTGGCTAAGATTGGCGTAAGTATCCAACCTGTTGCCTTCATAGCGACACGGCCACTGACTGTTCCAGTCCCAATACTGTGCTCACTTTCATCTTTCTCGAGCAACTGCAAAAGCTTGTCAATCTGTCGAGGGAAGTGAGTGCCGCTGAGAATCTTCCAGTATCTGCATCAGTCCAGAAGGCTCAATAGAAATTGGCCAAAAATCATCTTGACTCCACAGCATCTATTCGTATCATGTAACATTGGGCCAATCCAGCCAGTCCATAAACATGGTCTCATCGAGTTGGAATAGTTCTTGGGACGCACTTGCGTTATTGATGGCCTCCAAGATTTGATCATCAGTCATGTCGAAGACGTAAGGTTCAGAAGAGACATTTGGCATGTTGACTGGGGCATTGGAGGATGATGAGTAGTCGACGTTCGGGTTGCCTTGATGCATTGCCTGTTCTGAACCGCCTATGATATTGGCTGGATTTCCATCCGCTGGATTGAGAAGCGAGCTTTGCAGGATCCGACGAATATGCCTAGCAAAGAGGACTGAAAGTCCTTTGCGGTGTTTTGGGGTACTGCCAATGCGCTCAAGCACCTGAGTGGTCTCTTCAATGAGAGATCTGGCATTTGGAGCCAGCATAGTCCTGCCTCCGAAAGCAGTGGCGCCCAAGGCCAATGCAAAGCATGCTGCAAATGATACCATGATGACGGTATTATTAGGCATAGATTTAAGCCTGTTTTCACCTTGGACCGCCGCCCGCATCACATTCATTGCTGAGGCGAGACCAGCGGCTCGAAAGAACTGTTTAACGTCGTTCGAAGCTGTCGGATGATTGACAACATTACAGTATGTGGACAACTTTGTGTGGGAAGCCAGGATCTCGACGTAGGGTGGTAGCTGTCCTGTTCAAATATCAGACTGAGTTAAAATTGACTTCTCCCCGGGACACACCTACCATCGCCCTGCGTGATTTGTCGTGACCATACTGCGAACCATTGCTCGAAAAATCGGTCGATCTTGTCCTTGAGACTGGAGTAGAGTTAGCGCATAAGGCGTCGTATTTGAGAACCAACCCCTCACAATTTGACTGCGGTCGAGCCGCCATTAATGCCCTGACTCCCGTCACAGAATTCGCGAACGCCTGTGATCAGCCCCACCTAGAAAGGGTCAGCATCGCCACAATTCGGTTCACGTTGGACATACCAGATCGCGTCTCAAGACAGCAGCAGAGATAACACTACCATCCCAACGATCCGCGATATCGGAGATATGCCACGTGTCGCAACTTTCCACCAAGGGCCCAATAGGCACAGCGTAGGGTCGTCCTCTCGCCAAGCAGATACTAAAACACAATCAATCATCTCTTCATCGTTGGGATAGGAAGTGGTCGTACCCTCGATCAAGCACAAACAATGCAAGGTATACTCGTTCTCGGGTCCTCAGTAAACGACGGCCCCAAGCTGATGTTGGGTCGACATTCGGGAAGCCATCGATCTGAAGGGCTCTAGTCGCATCAATACAGTCGGCTTTTGCTATTCGATCAAGGAACCCAGCCGGACGAATAGTGGGAGAGGGGACCACGATTTTGTTCAGTGAGAGGTCCAAAGCCAGAGTGAGCGCCGCAGACAAATATGCACAAGTCTCATCATCAGCCCAGTGCTTTGCAGGCGTCATCCAAGGAATGTTGACCATGAATGCGAGCACAATCTCGACCGATCTATACTTGTTGTAAATGACGGTTCGTACAAGATGATTTCTGTGGTGAGAAAGTCGCTTCCACAGTGCCTCTGCTTTAGGTAAGAACAAAGCGGACGCGGCCAATATGGATGTAAACAAAAATGCCGACCTGGAACGTACGAATGCTGAAGTATGCAATGTCGGATCGAGGCCCCACCTAGTGTGAGATAATCGCTCGTAGAAGAACGCGAAGAGGGTGTCTGCTTCCTCTGTTGTCACCAGGCCTATCTCAATGGGATCAAGTTCCGGGGTATTGTCCAGGTTTGACATCAGCGAACCAAAAAATTGTTGTAGGTCTGCATCAGCCAGATTAGACTCGATAGATGTCTGGTGCGCAAGTGTGCCGGCCGGGGAAGTTGACATGTTTGTTGATGGAGACTGGCCCGGAAGAACAGAAGCCATGGCGAGGAGTTGTAGGGGATTATCTGCATTGTTGAGCGCGAGCTCATCTGGCTTCTCGCCCATATTCGCAGGCGATACTTCGTGAGCAGTAGGTGAAATGCCATTCTCTTTGACAGGATGTAGATTCATTCGTGGATGGACCAGTGGGGGGTGAGACGGAGAACTATGGACATTTGAAGTTGAATGCCGTCGTAGAGGCGCTGTTTGAGGAGCAGATATCAATTGTCGAAGGTCTGCTTCCACGTCAAGAGCAAGTCCAGTCGAGCCGTCCTTGGAACGTTTGATTGCCTGTTCGACTTGATAAATTGCCTTTTCCAAGCCTGTCCGCTTGCTTTGAAAAATTAGAGACCGGAAATTAATTGATCCCAAAGGGCATCCTTACTTCTTGACGCCTTTATATCTCCCAACGTGATACTCTGGAGTAACACATTGTAGGCCAGCTTGTTGACATTTCCGACAGATGGTAGCATTGGCGTCACGAGTACATTTTACTTTGCTTCGTCGGCATTCGAGGCATGCAGCTTGTTTGTTTTGAGCTGGACTCGAAGCAGCATCTTGATCGGCCGGGGAGCTAGTATTCATGCCTCGTAGTAGGCATGTTCAAGCTTTCAGCGCACGCGATTCCGGGAAAATAGAATGCGAAATAGAATCGGACCACACAAGATACAATTCCGTGTTGACTATCGCGGGATCTGATGTTGAGATGCCGAGGAACGAAAGTCGAAGTCGAAATGCAACGCTCCGTTAATTTCCCCGAAGAGCCGAAAACGGCCCCCACTGAATATCACGTGCTCCGGAGCCCCAGACCCGATAATGCGGCGGGGCATTTCGGCAGGTGCGCAGATCTTCCACCGACCGTCAACACATCTTTGGGAACTCAACAATCTCGACGTATCTAGATATCGGTCGCGACGTGCGAACACTTGCTCTTGTCATTATCATCGCGAGGATGTAGGTGACCATACGGCATGGGGTCGATGCTAATCGAAACATATGGCATTTTCGTGGGTCATCTTTGTGAGTTTCTGATAGAGAAATGATTCTTCCTTGCTTCATGTCAACGACGACTACCTGTTTGGTCTCGGCATCAGAGCTTTGAAAGCAACAACATTTGTCATACACCTGCGACGAATATTCGACAAGTCGATCAGACTGGCATAGGGCGTTGGTGTTAGAGACCTGAAAAGAAGTTCAGTTCCGTTTAGCACTCATTCCACACAGCTCTCAGACTAGCATCCAGCCAACGACCAGTTCACATCGAATCCGACTTGAATTCTACCTTCGCCAAGCTACAGATTTGTCTTCTAGAAATTCGAACATCAAGAATACATAGTGGTACACTCCGGTATCGAAGAGTCCCTCCGACCGCCATACCTGAGCGAGTGTAGCGAGCCTTGCGGCCATGCCCTTCCGATTGCTACTGATACTAACGAATTACAGAAACTTTTCATTGTTCCATCTCGGCGTGGCGTCTCGCTGCATGGATGGGTCAACATAAGCTTTGGCAGACCCTGAACATAACGCGACTACTCCATGACACGGCCATGGCTAGCCACAACCGAGCGCCACATCGGATATGTTTCGCGTTACCGAGCACTCGAGCTACTTTTATCAGAAGCGAGAGAGCATCCTTGTTCGTTTCCGTGCGGGTCAGCTCATAGCGGTATTGGGAGTGCAAGATGAGACCCTAGGTATGCATTCACCCTCCATGCATAGCTTTGATGACCTTCCGGGATGCTCGCGGGATTGCTAATCGTGAAAGACCCTAAAATTTACGATAGGTAAGTAGCGGAAGCTCTTGCTCAACAGGGCTCGCTACGTTTCATCGCCGTGCGCCATGCCAGAAATGAGACTTCTGCAGTGGATGCCAGAGGACTTGCAATGGGCAATTCGACAGCGCACAACAATCCCAGACTCGCAAAGTCATACTCGAGTTTCCAAAAGTGGAGTCTGGACTGCATTTCGTCGCTTATGTCAGTCAAAGAAGGACGTTTTCCACCCCAATCTCACAAATGGAAACAAGATTCGAGTCCCTGCATGACGGCAGCCGAGTGCATATTCGACTGCTAAACCCCGCAAGAGTCCACTACTTCAAGACGAGGCCTGCAGGGCTATCATGTCAAGCGAGCGTCGCGACCCTGAAGCTGTAGAGGTATCCACCACTGGGGTGATCGACATATAGCCAAGCTGCTGTTCCCAAAACGGCAGTCTTGACTTTCCTTATATAATACTTGCCTAGGCCCCGTCCCAGGACGGCGTCGTTTACGGGGTACCAACGTCCAAGAAAAAAATGTGCTCCATGTGTGGACTGTTCGTTAACAAATGGTGATGTCGCTGCTGCAGTGTTTTCGAATCCATTGTGAAAGAGGCAATGCTTCACGACGTCACAGAAGTAGGAGTGCTTTACAACTCGGGTCAGAGAAACCTGGACAGTGCAGACGTTTACTTGGCTCTCACCTCAAAGCGAGCTCTCGGACCCTGGAAGACTACGACGTCGGACCAAAGACGACACGGGGCCTGTGCGGAAGTTACAGTACCTGATATGTGGAGCACCTCAACCTTGACAAATCTTGAAGTCCAGTTTGACTCATCGTGCCACAAGGACGAGTATTGAAGAATATCGAACTGCCAGAGAAAGAATTTCGCAAAGACTGTGAAGCAACGACGGGCTGATTAATGTCACATGACACGCCGTTCCTGCTCAATCATGGTAGGCAATTATCCATGATCTTTCGATGTCTTGTTCAATCCTTCTTTTTGATGTGTGTCCTGCTCCTCCCATTGACAACACCAAAGCCTTTGTGTCCTATACCCTGCAGCGAGAATACCAGGCATCTCCCACATGACCTTTACCTCATACCGCATTGTCCGTAGCTGCTTACATTTCGAAAAAGAAACAAAGATACTCTCCAAAGCTTGTTTCAAGCCTCTCGAACGGGACTTGGAGTCGCAAACACTCTATCATTCTCAATCTCGAGACATCAACAAAAGATATAGCTATATAATATTGTCGCCTCGCCGGCACTTCTTGGTCCTTGCAAAATGGGACGAATAGAAACCACTTGGCGTTTCCTCATCTTAACAACTTAGACACTCACACAAACACATGAATATACCCCTTGATATTGCCCCACGACAGTGACGATCAGGGTCCAGTTCAAGATCTCGATGCTCTTTGCTGAAGGACCCTTGGAGGGATGTCCTTCGATCTGGGGTGCCACTTACCCGCTACGATCATCTGGTCCCATGTCTGGAGAACTGGAGTACATGTCGTGCTTGTTCTTTTGACATGTGGATGGATGGACACTCTTTTTCACAGGTAACAACGATGAAAGGACGTGAATCCGAACTTGATCGACAATCGACGGTCGACAATCTACAAGTGGGAATTCAAGATGGGCGAAAAGCATCAATAAACTCTTGCTCCGGTGAGTTACACTTTTGTATGCCGGGAGCTACCTTGCCTTGTCTTCTGGATACGAGGGTGAGTATTGTGGTATGATGGTAAGCAATCTTGAGTCGTCCACGGCGCATCGTCGTGCTTTGGGGACAAAATGTCAAGAGCTCGGCGACAGACCCTGGCGACACACGCGGATGCGCAGAAGACACGAGGGCTCTGATGATAGATCTTGGTCTTTCCTCGAATGGATGATAATTGTATGGTTCATCACTTCAGGTGTCGTAAATACTACCCTCGGTGAACTGTCAAAAGTAAGCACTCCCTATCCGCGAGGATGCCGTGAAACACTACAACGTAAGGTCATGTTATACTCTTTAACCCTGACATCCTGACCATGATTTGGAATCAACAAAAACGTTGTTCTTGAAGACCAGTAAGCTTGCCTCTGCCTTTTGTCTCTTGGTGGCCTTATTTTTACAACGTGTCAATAATTTCCATGCTTGTTCATTCGATCCCGTCAGCCTTCGAGTAGTCGAGTTCGAGTCAACTATTGCTGTTCGTATTCGTGCCGTCGAGTGGTCGAGTCCGAGTCATCTGTGCCGTTCACACAGTACGTGCGGCTCACCCTGCTGGACTGACAACCCTCTTGCCGGAGTGGAACGAATAGAGGTCAATCGAGGGGTAATACGAGGTTCGCCGGCCCACGTGTTGGCTGTCCGACTGTGTCAACGGAAAACTCACATGGGCCCCCGAGTCAACTTTTGGCATCCTAGCCCGGTGGGTGGTACGAGTCCGTGAGCCTCACTCAGACCCCTGGAATTGACTCGATTCCCCTGGTCCAGCACGTACTCCTTAACAAGTACTGCCGTAGATTTCCCAGGGTTTACCCAGGCTCGAAAACCCCAAAAAGTCGTACTTCTTAGGTGTGTTTCAAAGGTAGTACTCTTCCCGTAGTCCATACCTAAAGGGAATCAATGCATTTTCCACCAGTGGTTCGTGCAGTAACCAACAATCCCTACCTTTTTCCATTCCTGGAATTAACGTGCAGAGGGAACAACGGTGATTTGTTATTTGTCGAATGTTTCCCGCCCCCCTTGTCCAACGCTTGTACAAGACCGGAAAACAGGGTCCTTAGTAAGCGCAGCAATGGTGTCTTGTTCATGCTTCCGGGTAATTGTGAGCCAGTGGTATCCTGACATGTTTCGACAATGCAGGCTGTTTGGACCTGTTTTTTCCTGTGAAGGAGATCTTGCTGGGATGGACATGAACTGGCTGACTTATCGACCCTGGTCTCTGCCTAAACCCTCTCGCAAAAGAAACCGAACCTCAGGCCCTTTGAAATGCATGCTGCTAGTGTTCAGGCGGCTGGGATGTGTGATGCATGGCTTGCGACTGGGTTTGGATTTGGATTTTGCAAACTCGCAAACCTTTGGAACCGCGACGACAGTGTAAATCCGGCCCGCCTCGTATTTGTCCAGAAATCTCACTTCCATCTCGGGCCTCTTTCGCGGTAGCTTACTCCGTACGAGGAAAGTCCATATGATTTTGATTTCTTGCAGACCTTCAGTCATCCATGGGCGATTACTCTTTTCAGATGATTACAGGCGCCAGTTTGAGATGGGAGATTGTAACATGATATCAAACTTGTCCCATCTCTAGAGGACTTTCCCGGTCACTTTCGAGGTTGAGAGCTTGCTGAGTTGGCAGGAGACAATCAACGTCCCGGATCTGTAACCTTGTCAGCTGCCATAGAGATGTACGAGATAAGCTAGAAGGAGAGTCTGTAGATTAGCCATTCAATCTTGTACCCTTGCAGCCGTCCTTACCACCTTCGGTACTGACTTATCTGATAAATCAGTGTTGTACCAAGCTTCGAACGGACAATTGGCGTGCGATTAAGGGGCCATTCCAAAATCCCGACGCATGCCGCACCAGGATCAATCCCAGTTCCGTAGAGAGTCAGAAATCTGACCACGCAACCTACTGACTGCATGCACTCACTGTCTCTCTGATCCATTGGAAAGGGGATAAGTTATGTTCCAGCCGTGCTTGCGAGGAAAGATTTGATGATTTTTTCGTCCATGTATCTCCACTAGCATGCTCGCCGCTCGACTTCCAAGTTGTCCGTGCAAACACCCTCCTTCCTCTGTAGGTTCTGCAAACACCATCACCGGCGGTCAATGGCCGTCCTTCGCATTTGCCCCCAAGTTCAATCTCTTTGCAGTGAGTGACAAGACTTGCAGGTGTGACCTGCAGGTGTCGCCGGTATCGTCCGTGGGCGCGCGCTTCCACGTCTCGCTGTGTGTTCGTCAAACTGTTGTCGCTGTCCATTCGCGCAAATTCCGATACCACATTCCTCCTTTTTATTCAGCCACATTGCAACCGACCTTGACTTTGCTGTTCCACTGTCGGTTTGATTGCCGGAAGAACATGAAGTAGGCGACCTTGTCGATGGTAACATCGGGCGGACCATTCGCAGACCTTTCTTCTATTCGGGACATCCATTATGCATCCATACGGATATCTGAAAACTCACCGTTGTCTTCCTTCGCCCGGAAACCAAAGACAAGGTGGAGTGCGAGTGCCCACGATAGTTACGCGTCCTCTCTGACGCAACCCAGCGCGAAGCTGCTTTTATCACGACGGAAGGTGTCCGACTTCACGCGTCGTAGAGTTCTTGGCTGCGGCTGTTTGTTGTAGAAGGGGAAAAGGAATTTCAATACCCATCTTCCTTCGCTACTACGTACCTAGGTACGTAGCTAACACGCGCGCGAGTCCGATCTTTGACGGGCGAGCCAACATTGTCGAACCGGAGGAGGTTGTGACGATCGAAAGAGATCTTCACTGTTGGAAGAGCACAGGTAGGATGTCAGGGCTCGTCGAGCCAAGGAAGAATCGAGTCCGGCTAAATATTTCAAAACGTGGCAAGCGACATACACGCTATCGTACGTAAATATTCAAAACATCTTGATCCTTTGAGTCCTCAGGGGACTTGATGCTGTCATGGCATGTTCGCTACGGAGTAGAGTCTTTGGATCTTCGATTCGATCATACCGATAATCAAGATCAACCGATCATTCAGGGCATTGTTCCAATCTGTAAACGAAGCAGCCATCAAGGCCACCAGCGGAATTCCCCGGATACACTAGGGTGCACTGCGTCACTGCGTCGGTCAGGTATCATGTAGACTATTAGGAACGTTGACAGGATTGAACATACAGTTACGGGACACAATAGTCCATATGCTCATGCCACAGGTAGTTGAGGTACACAGTCCACCTTTCCGAACAAAGTCTACGCGACGTCGTTTAGTCATCCGAGTAGTAGTTGGCAGACTTCGGTTGTACTATACCTAAGGTACCAATCAATGAGATCAACATTGATTCTCTCGAGATGACAAAACAGGAAAGGAAGATCATCAGCCACCACTACGAAAAGCAGCCATCTGTACGCACCAGACAACACCATTGGTTGAATAGTGTATCACCACGCAGATTGCGATCAGCGATGAACCTATCCAAAGGCCGTCAGTGCTGTGCCACGAAGCATCCCCCGTTATCCGTACTTAATTCTTTCCTGGTAAGGTTCGTTGATTTGAATGAGTCGGTAAAGGCAAAAATGAATGTTGATGAGTGGAGTACACCTTCCTAGGAGGGGACAAACCTCTTATTACGGATTGCCATGCCATAAAACATAGCCCATTCTCGTTATAGCTGGCGTGCATAGAATACGATAACTCTAGCATATAGCGCAGAGAAGGAAAAAATGGTCATGATCCGCACTTTCAATAGTCGTTGATCTATCCGGGGAAAGCCGTCCTCTTTGATACGCAGTACGGAGTAAAGGAGTATAAGGAAAGGGCAATGATCATCCGCTTTCTGGAGTACCATTATCTTTGCAGACGTGTCCTAGTGACTCGGAAACTCGTGTAGTACCACTTGGAGCACACGCCGCCACTTCAACCGTGATGCCAACGAGTGCCGGTAAACCACCGGCAGGAAAAGTACTACAGGGCTCAAGAGTCTTGGGGTCAAAATGCTTTAGCCTACTAGTAGCAGGGAAGAGATGACGCCAATCTCATACTCTCTCGTCTGGAGTGCTTTCACGTGGAGAGCATATCATGAAAAACAAAAACGTTGTCAAGTAGAAACAAGACTTGCCACTCTCACTGTCAGATCATGCAATGGCTTAGATGCCTCCTTTACTCAGGAATCGGGTCAGATCCGACTACTACTGAACTATGAAAATGTGACTGTAGCATGCAGACACTTTAGGGCAGCGGAGGGATCTCCCCTTGTGCCTCGACGGGTCTAGCCCTGGTCCTCCTTCATCGGATTCGGGCTCGCTTACAAGATTATATGTACAGGATACACATCAATGGTCAAGATTGCCGATTATATGATCGACTCAGACTCATTGCTTACAGTACGATCAACTGGTGGCTGAAGTCAAAGCGACAATCATGATGGAAAACTTTGTTAGCTACCTCCTAATTAGACAGCTTTTTGTAAAAGGCCCGAGCCCATCTCATAGCAGAAAGCCAATCGATCCATAAACATCATCATACTGTTGTTTGAGCCCCCTGACACCTCTTTTATTCTGGGGCCTAAAAGAATTGAAATAACTGTGTAATTTCAACGGGACACAATGAGTTCTTCATCACGTACCCCTCCGTTCGTCCAAAATACAAAAAGGAGTATCTTTTTTCCAATCAGTCCCCATAATGAAAAGGTCAACCCCGGATGAAAATCAATCTGCCGCCGGGATTGTGTATGCAGTTACAACTGTCCCTTGCACACCAAAAACGCCAACATGATCATAGCCCTAAGATAACCAAGCCACTGCAACCCATGATTCATCCAGCCCTAACGCTATGCAAAAGAATAAAATCTCAAAGTGAATCAAGCCGCCCAGTACACATAAGAGATCTTGAGCTCATCTTCTGTTGGCGTGGGTCGCATCTGATAGGCGTGGGCTTGATACCGGAGTGAAGGCGTCCGAGTTGAAGAAAGGCACCAGGTCAAACTCTTGCGGAGACTGGCAGAGTGAGCCACAAAGCGTTGGAACTCCGACTTGTAGATTGGTGATTTCGTTGTTCAATTGCTCAATCTGGGCCTTGAGGCGGGCAACTTCCTCGGTTTGTTGAGAGTAGGAGCGTGACAGGATTTGGTGCTTCTGTTGCCATTGATTGATCTGCTCCTCGAGCTCCTTCTGGTGACGTTCCTTGCGCTCCCGATAAGCTCGTTGTGAAGAACGATTCTGTTCTCGCCTTCTCTGTTGGACGTTAGTGGTTGTAGACAGGCGGTTCAGCTCTGCGGCTCACCTCAAGCTTGTCGGGAATGGAGCTCTTGACTTGGGTGACTACGCTGGAAGTGGAAGAGACGCGTCTTTCAGGAGTTGACCGGTATGAAGCATCAGATCCTGAGGCGGACAAGCTGTCGTAAGAAGTGTCGAGTGTAGCGTAGAAATCTGCTGCTCGTTGTAGAAGCTATGAGCAACATGTCAGCACACGAGTTCAAAGAAAAGTAGAGCTGGTGAGCTGACATCATTGTAGTGAGTGGCCATGGCCTTTGGGGATTGAACGCCAGTAAAGTCCCATTGGAAGGCAGGGTCGACGGGTGAAAAGGCACCGTTCTGCTGGCTCCAGGTGTTGAGTGAGTAGTCGGTCATGGCGGTGATGAGGTATATCTTGTTGATATTCTGTATCGTGGTGTATATGGAAGTGATTGATCTTTGTCAGATGGTGTTCTGGAAGAATGGCAAATTCGAAAGTCAAAGCTGCTGGTGAAAGGGTCCTGGTCTGGGGGAATGAAGGGTCCTCTTATACCACAGTATGCAAACACAAGGCTGGCACGGGTGGAGCGAAGGAAAAGGATTGCTTCAACTCTGGTAGAATGAGAGGTTGCGAACGAGGGGCCAGGTCGTTCAAGTCCTGGCCGCGCATCCAGATATCAAGCAAGCAGAGCGGACGCGGACAGCGCCTGGAGGTTCCTGGTGAGCATGGATCGAAACAGATGGAGGGGCTTCCAAATACTATACCCAACACAGAAGGCGCACTAAGCATGCACGAAGCCCGGTCCACCTCGCAGGACCCCCTGCTAGCGGATGGCTTCGGGGTAGTAAGGCCATCAACGTTTATCAGTCAGCCGGGCCCTGGGTCATTTCATGCGTCCTTATTCACCGACCAAAACCATTCCCAGAAAGGCACAAAGTGGCTGAAGCACTACTGCAAGCTAATTGCTTTGCGAGGCCATCCACACATTCAGCCAGTTGACGCACCGACCTTTGGGTTTTCGCCGAAACAAGACGTGGGATGTTGGGCCTCCGTTATTGCTTTGATTGCTTTGTCCAGCAGTCAAAAGACTGGGAAGTTTGGGCAGCGCACACCTGAGGACACGAACACGGCAGTGGGCTTGCCAATTGCAAGGAAAGGGTATTGCTGCTTTGGTGCCCTACCACATGACGGGAGCTCCGGCTGCCTTGCCTTCATCTCTGGACGCCCTCAGGTGCTCTTTGGATGCGCATCCTCAGTAGAACTGTCGATCGGCGTGGAACGAGTTGAACGAGTTGAACCGTCCACGGCTTAACGTATTGACAGCTGCAATATTCTGGCAAATGCGACGGTGGCGTCATCATGCAACAAAAGCTGTTCTTTCAAGTCGATCGAATTGGAGGGGTACAGGGCGCCCCGGGGTGGTATGGGCGTCATCCAAAGTACCATCAGGGAGGGATTCACTTTCAGGCGGCTCACGGCGGTAGCCAGACAAAAAGTCTTCCGTGCTTCCTACAATACTCGCGTATCCGCACCGTAGATTCTTTACCGTGGGACGCTCCGGAGAGCTGCCAGCATCCCGCGTGATTGGACACCATTCAATTTAGCCTGTAACTTGTAAGATTTCACGCTTTTTACAGTACTTCGTCCAATTAAGCACCGGGTGAACTTCTGTTAACAAGCTGGTTCGCAGGGTGAATCGTTTCTTGCCTGAAGCAACAGATCAGGGGTTCCTATGTCATGATGGTTAGCCGGGTGCTGTGTCAACCTCGTCGTCCCTCACGCCAAAACCTCCTTGACCCAACTGTGGCGGTGTGCACAACCATTGTACCTCGTTTAGCTTGCTTTGTTTCGTTACACCGGGTCAAGAGGGGCGCGAGAACTCATTCCTGGTACGTACATCCTATAGGCTGCAGTATCTCTCTTTCACAGAGTATACGTCGCATTACGAAATGGCCGGAGCAGTCATGCCAGAACCATAAAATGAAAAACTAGGTATCGTGAGCAAGGAAAGGATACATAATACATGATCATGTGGTACACGGTACAGAATTCACTAATCCCCCTGTTTGAGCTCTTCTAGAGGCAACAGCTTCAGACCATTGACTCATCTTTCTGGTCGCACATCTACTGCAGCAACAATAAACTTACCATTCCCACCAAAATGTCTTTTCCGGTGCAGCTTAAGTGTCCGTAGGCATGTGTAACGATGGCCTCGACGCAGCTCGATCCTCAAGTACTGCACACGGTTGCGACGTTACAGTCGCACCCTCTTGAGCCTAATCATTTGTCCAGTCCACAGCTATAGCGGAGCCCCGTTCCAATGCTTGACACGGAAAATTCGATAATGAACCGGGACGTTTCCCCGGGCATTATTTACGCCATGCCATCGGATCAGCAGATCCGTGGAAGTTGCCGAAATACCTGCAAGAAGACGTCGTGGCGGGTCAGAAAGAAAGGATAGGCGACAGCCCTATTGCATGGTAACCTGGATCTACGTGCGTTGTAAGCTCTCCAAGTCGCTTACATTATCGTGTCTTGTTGAAAAGATGCACTCCTGAATATGGCGGAAGGCTCCATCCCAGATCATCGGATCGGTGGACGATGAACAGCTTTCATTTGTACATGTCTTATTAGTCCTGAATTATTGCGGGGTGAGACCAACAGTATGTCGCAGCCGTTGACCAGGATCGAGCTATCTGCTCTGCTTCTCTGAGCTTGATGCCATCTGGCGTTCTGTTCTTCCCGGCAATTTCTCTTCTCCTGAAAATACCTTCTTGCCGCAGCTCGCAAATCTCGATGAAGAATCTTTGAGGATTCCACGGAACACACGAGTATGGTGCCAGTCAACCTAGAACATAAAGACATAGGGCGCAATATCAGGCTATCAATATTGATGGTTGCGATGAGCCCTAGGTATCTTGTGCCGAGTAATTCCAAAAGGGGAAAAAGGTGAGAGGGTCGTGCAATGGGTCATGACGCACGCGCGTCGGTGACCTCGAATGCATCAAAATCTGGTCCCATATGATCGTGAGAAGAAAGCATATAGTACTCCGTACTCGTACTTGTACTCGTAGTTCGAAGGGAACAACTACGAGCTGAGAATTTTTCCAACGAAAGTATTCAACGTGGTTAGGTGATATTACTAGCTCTGGAGAGTCAGTACATAGAGTAGTCGAGAGGAATCTTCTTACGAGTCCATCCTCCTAGATGGAGCTAGTTTAGAGTGTCAAGGCAAGTTGACGGCTAAAAGTTGTTTTGAGAATAAACGATACGAAAAAAGTGAAGTTGATGAGCTTATGTCTGAAACCGCGGGATATGTTTAACTACCTGGTCGTACTCGTACTCGTACTCGTATAGTGAGGACCATTTTTCTAAAGGGAAGGCTAAAGGGAAGATTTGCCGATTGGTGGATTCCTGGAACTGAGGTTCTCCCATTCTGCGTGGTTGAAAATGTGTGGATGGACCACCTGAATTAACCATCTTCAGTCCTTCGCGTAGGTTCAAAGACACATGAGAAAGTCCGGAGCCCAACGTGGAATTCCTCCCACAATTATCTCCTCCGTGTATGAAGCAGCGAAGGCCGAGGCAATGGCTGGCCAGAACCTTGCAACCTGTGAATGGTCGGCTGAGTTGTCCCGCACAACCTGCAGCTGCCTCGCAACCAACAAGCGAGAGACAGAGTCACCGCTACCTTCCGGAGAACAGGAACATCTCTCTAGACTGTGACCATACGAGCGCTTTATTGATGAGAGATTACTGTCTCCCAGCCTTTTCTTCTAGAAGGAGATTTCGTGACCGCGTTGCTGATCTCATCTTCTAAAAGTCTCAGAAATTCGGTGGCAGGAGGAGGTTGGTAAATACCGAGCCAGCCAACGCAAAAACCCGTCGTCTTCTGCCCAACGTCGAGTTCATTCTCACCCATCTATTTTCCTCTGTTGTACCATTTCGTCGGTCGTTAATTCTCGAAGTTTGAAGTTTCCGTACAGAAAAGAAGATTTGGTGTTGGTGGTGGAGCGCATTGGCCGACAAGACGCCCGAGCGACTCGATCTTCCTTGCACGAGTACCAACAAGCAACCCATGCGAACAAAGGGCACAGACGACTCACCGCACTGACTTCACACTGATCCCGACGCTGCGAAACATGCGGCTGCAGCAGATACCTCCCTCACTCAGAGGCTTGGTCGCCGGACTACTCCTCCTTCAACCAATTACTGCATCCTTTATCCCCGACCTTCTGCGCAGTTTCGAAGACCTCCAAGATGTTCATAAACGATGCTCGAACCCCTGCGGGTACTACGGCCAGTTATGCTGCGCCTCCGACGAAGTCTGCTACACCGACTCCAACGATCAGGCTCAATGCGGTGCAGGCGGAGCGACCACAACCGCCGCTGGCGGACAATGGCAATACTACACAACCACCTACGTGCAGACCGACCTAAAGACGGTGACTGAAACCTTCAGTTCATACATGCCCGCCTCGACGAAAAGTTGTTCGTATTCGACGGGAGAGACGCCTTGCGGAAATGTTTGTTGTTTGTCGGGCCAATACTGCCAATCGTCCGGAGTATGCGTGGCAGTCGGTGGCGGCAGCTCTGGATACTACAGCAGTCTCTACACAGTCACCACCGTTGTCACGAATACTGCCAGTGCCCCTCTCCGACCCACCAGCAATACCTTGGTCACGGTGACAGGAACCGCCACAACTACACAGCCATTTGTAACGCCTGTCGGCACTGGCGGAAGCATCATCTACGGACAATCGACCAGCTCTGGCGGTGGATTGAGTGGTGGAGCGATTGCCGGTATTGTCATTGGCGTCATCGTCGGCATCATCATTCTCTTACTCATCTGCGCGTGTTGGTGCGCCAAAGGCTTGATTGATGGCCTGCTGGGCATCTTTGGGCTCGGTCCTCGACGAAAACGAACGACGGAAGAAGTCTATGTCGAGAGACACTCCCACCGATCAGACCGTCATGGCGGCGGCGGACGGACATGGTTTGGCGCAAGACCCAGGAGAGACGAAGTGGTCGAGGAGAAGAAGAGAAGAAGCGGCATTGGCACAGCTGGGTGGGTTGCTGCGGGCTTGGGTACTTTGGCACTGTGGCTCGGCCTCAAGAGAAGAAATCGCAGAGACGACAAGAGCGATGTGAGCTACGACAGCGCCTACTACACTGACTACATGTATTCCAGTAAGTGATAGTTCACATCTCCCCCATGGAGCAATCCCACTAACTCGGTTGCAGGTGCAGAGAGCTCTTCTGATGGGAGGACGAGGCGGACTGGCAGATCGGCATCTCGATCTCGATCCAGGAGGTGATGGGGAGTATAGATGAGATGACGTACGGAGTAGACGAGACTGTAAATGATTTTCCTCTGATGGGTTAGCGAACATGCATTTCATGGGATAGGGTCAGCGATATTGGATTTGACACCGAGCATTGGGCCAGAAGTATTTTGTGTTAATACTCCGTACTCCAACTTTGGACGAGAATTGTGTATATGGTATTCAGAGTACGCGGTAGTGATGAGGTGAAACTGGAAGTGAAGGGAAAAGGACGGGACGATTCGGTCAATGACCGTTTGTACAGCCAGTCAATCAGTATTGACGTTGGCATTGACGATGGTATCAAGGACGACAGAACCTGAGTCATTCCAGATCAATCGAATTGAGAAGAAAGAATACTCAGTGAAGTAGTGAATTAACCTGTCACTCATCAATTACATCAATTCCAATTCATCTTCTCATAAGGTCAAGACATTTCACTTATTCCTCACTTCATCTTTTCACCCAGTGATATGTCCTCGTAGATACTTGCTATACAGACATAACTTTTGTACCGAGGTAGCACAATTCTTCGGGACGCCGAGTCAGCTGCAGGGTCAAGAAAATCTCCGTCATTGTGCCTAGAATACGAGACGGTCATAGGATCATAACTACCTAGAGCCTAGAGTGCGCGCCATCGCCATCTCCAAGGCCCCCCAATACCGGTGCTCGGCACTCCATAAGGTACAGTAAAGAGACACTGACAGGACTCACTACTCCCTATTATACCCACTCAACTCACCCCTAATTGTACTCGTACTGAGACCCAGGGCGTCAATCGTTAGGGCTTTTGGTACGGAGTACTTGTTCCTCTCACTCCGTCCTTGTCCCCAGCAAACCAAAGCCGTTCTTCACCGCCAAGTCGGGACGTCTCCACCATTCTCATTCTTCATCACCGCAGCGCAGGGGGGTCGACTTTGAACTATTGTACCACACTCACCACCACCACTACTTTACTTACCATTGAACTATTTCTCCCCGCTTCATCATCTCCTCGTCCTTAATCCACGGCGAATCTACAACCATCCTCTCACAATCCTCGTCGCGGCTTCATAACCGTTTTTCAATCACACACACATCGCCTTTTCACCTCGACTCCATCTCCAATCCAATCTCTCGATCCCTCGATCCCTCGATCCTCGATCTTCGATCTCTCGGCCACCTTCTTCCCTCCGAACCCCAAAGGATGAGTCTTAGTTGACGTCGGCACTCAAAAGATCGACCACAACCATGATTCAAACACAGCATCTGTACTCGCATCAGCAGCAGTACAGCCAACACGAGTCAACCTGGCAACATGCCGGCCCTCAGCAAGGCATGAATCACGGATCTCAGCAAGCTCAGGCCCAGGCGGCTGCAGCTGCTGTGGCCGCGGCCCAGCAACAACATTACACGCGCATCGCCATGAACCAGAACCACAACTCTTCTCACACTCAAGCTGGTAATCGACAGAGCTCAGGCGACAACGCACAAAACAACATGGGCGCTTCCCTCATGAACGACCGCGGCTCGCCGGGTCAGGACGATGAAAATCGCAAAGTCTTACAATGGGTGTCGGAGCTCATGGATCCTAATCGGAGAGAGGGTGCATTGATGGAGTTGAGCAAGAAGAGAGAACAAGTCCCCGAACTCGCTCTGGTCCTTTGGCACAGCTTTGGTGTCATGACTAGCTTGCTTCAAGAAATCATTTCGGTCTATCCTCTCTTGAATCCCAGCCAGCTCACTGCGGCGGCCAGCAATCGTGTCTGCAATGCCCTTGCTCTCCTCCAATGTGTCGCCAGCCACAATGAGACTCGAGGTCTGTTCTTGACTGGTAAGTCTGCGTTGCTGTACAGATCGGTCTTCGATGCTAATGAAATCTATAGCGCACATTCCACTGTTCCTCTATCCTTTCCTCAACACTACTTCCAAGTCGCGTCCTTTCGAATATCTCCGCCTTACATCGTTGGGTGTCATTGGAGCCTTGGTCAAGAATGAGCCATCTGCCAGCGTTTCCATGAACCCCAGTGGAACTCCCGGTAACAACAACAATTCTTCCCCGACGATTACGTTCCTCTTGACGACCGAGATCATTCCACTCTGCCTCCGTATTATGGAGACCGGCAGTGAGCTCTCCAAGACGGTTGCGATCTTCATCGTCCAGAAGATTCTGCTCGACGACACTGGTCTGGGGTACATCTGCGCCACATATGAGAGATTCTACGCCGTGGGTACGGTCTTGAGCAATATGGTCATTGGCCTTGTCGAAACTCAAACCGTCCGTCTTCTCAAGCATGTTGTTCGATGTTTCTTGAGGTGAGTTGAGTTCCTGGCCTGCGTGAGTTGTGGCACTTGCTAATGCCTGTCCAGGTTGAGCGACAACAATCGTGCTCGTCAGGCACTTCGCCAATGTCTTCCGGAGCCTCTTCGCGACGCAACCTTTTCCAACGTTCTTCGAGACGATGCCGCGACCAAACGCTGCCTTGCTCAACTTCTCATCAACTTGAGTGACACGGTCACAGACACTCAGAACGACCAATTCGAGTGAAGCACATCGGCCGATCTTGCTTGACCTGTGGCTCGATTCCTATCTGCTTTGCCAAGACACGACATGATACCCTTGATCAAGGTGACGAATCTTATTTTCTCTCTCTTTTCAGCATTGCGAGCGGCGACAAACGAACACCAAAGAACATAACATGAACTTGGACAATTGGAGTACTTGGCGGGGTCTTTTTTCCAACCTTCTTCTTTTCCGCGGGACGATAAGTCGAATCAACATAGAAATCAGATACCCATATGGATCTTGGCTGCATGATTTTCTTGAGCGAAAGTCAACGCTTTATGATCCAACGACGAAGAGGATTTTCCTTCTCAGGAAGAGGAAATGTAACAAGATGCATGGTTTGGGGGTTCAGCTGAAACTGGCTGGGAGTTGAGACAGAAAAGTTCTTGATTGGTGGCGGTGATTTTTTTATTTTATGGTTTCTTCTTCTTCTTTACACTACTCGCATTGGGGGCAAACAGAACAGCGTTCTATGGCTCTATGTTATCATACTGCAAACAAATCCCTCTCTTTTTGCCTAATCCTAGCAAGATGGAAACAAAGGCTTGATCATTTTTGGATCGTCAAGTGGTGCAGGGTTTTGAGTCTGCGGATTTGGCCATGAGCGTCAGGCGCAGCTTCCAACATACACAGAGGCAGGCAAGACCTTAACTTGGGTATCTACCTCGTTAAAGAAAGTGAGGCTACAACGCAAGTCCAATGACTTAAGCTACCTAAATCACTTTCAATGATTCATGTAACGGCATGATGGAATGCGGTTATACATGTCCTGCACACACGCGCGCGCACACACACACACACACATACTACAAAGGACCTTGCGTGTGTGTCTCTACAAGGCGCAAGACAAGAAGTACTAGCTGTTGCTAGCTAGCTACATCGGACGCAAGGTCGAGTTGGGCGCAAGATGGGTGTGAAATATAAAGATCGAGGAGAGGAGAGACACGAAGTATCGATCTTGATATTGTCAGTTGTCTTTTTTTGGCAGAGCTTTTTTGGAATCTGTTTTTTTATGTTTCTCTCTTTTTTTTCCGTCCTTTTTCCTCCAAAAGAAAATTCAAGGGTTCAAAGGTCAATATTAATTTGGCATTTCTTGCTGTTGTCGTTGTTGATGATGATGATGATGACGACGATGACGACGAGGTTGAGAGAGGTCAAGAAAGATAGCGAGCTTTTTTTCCGCTTGGGAGGAGAGGGAAAGGGTTTCCTGCAACAACACAAGAATCATCATATTTCGTGTACTTTATCCCCACGCTGTTGTTGCTGCTGCTGCTGCTGCTGCGACGTTGACAAGCAACCCGAACCGATCGAAAGAGGCGTTGATCTTTTGTTTTTGCTCTTTTTTTCCCTCTCTCTTCGGCATGCTATGTCTGGGAGCGCCATGGATCCTCCTCTTGCCCGGGAGAGGTGATGGCGACTCGTGGACGTACGGTGTGGGTTGGTTGATTGTTGATTGATTGTTTGTTTGTTTGTTCCTAGGTATATCGTCCACGTTCTTTTACCCCTTCTTTACATACTTTGTAAATGTATATATTTGCAACAAGATGCACAAAAAACCCAGGCAGACAAGACCGATGAAGTGCGCGTACGCACATAAAACACACCGACAAAAACCAAAAAAAACGCATACACAGATTGTGAAGGGGGGGGGGGGAGAGAGTCATTTACCAAAGCGAGGAAAGATGGTATAATATTGTCAGATCAGGTTTATTTACTCCACATTTTGAGTTTGTTTGAATTTTTAAATAAATAGAGATGAAAAGAATATGATCAGGACGCAGTCAAGGATAAAAGTAAAGTGTATGGTACAGAGTTGCTCGTTAAATGTGTTCAAAACCCTCAGGTACCCAAGGGAGATGGCCGGGATTCTGAAAGCCTTATGGTGGGGTAACTGATAAAGACGTCTATCTACCCACCTACAAGGACATCTCTTTCCATGACGACAATCTTCCCGCCTCTTTATTACAAAGCCTCGCGAAAGAGATAGAGACGAGTTTCGGATTTTCTTTTTTATTTTCAACCTAGGTAAATCACTTACCGGACAACAGTTCTCACACCGCAAGCTCAAACGTCACCGACTCCCCCGCCCACACACACAAGGATGTCCAAACCGACACTCGTCTCAAAGCCAGTCGGACCCATCGGATACGGCCTCATGGGCTTGACGTGGCGTCCGACGCCCCAGCCGGCGGAACAAAGCTACGAGGCCATGGCCAAGGCGCTCGACCTGGGGGCGAATTTCTGGAACGGCGGCGAGATCTACGGCTCTCCGCGGCGCCACTCGTGCCACTTGCTCAAGGAGTACTTCACCCTGCACCCCGATCACGCGGACCGAGTCGTGCTCAGCATCAAGGGGGGCTGCAAGCCCGGCACCATCGAACCGGACGGGTCGCGGGAGAACGTCCGGCGGTCGGTCGAGGACTGCCTCGAGATCCTCGACGGGACCAAAAAGATCGACATCTTCGAGTGTGCGCGCGTCGACCCGAACGTGCCCATCGAGGACACCGTCGGCCACCTCGCCGAGCTCGTCAAGGAAGGCAAGATTGGCGGCATCGGACTGTCCGAGGTCAAGGCGAGCACGATCGAACGCGCGCACGCGGTGCACCCCATCGCCGCCGTCGAGGTCGAGGTCAGTCTCTTTGGCAGCACGGACATCCTGAGGAACGGCGTGGCCAAGACATGCGCGAGGCTGGGCATCCCGATCGTCGCCTACAGCCCCCTCGGTCGAGGAGCCCTGACGGGCGAAGGTGTCCGGAAGAACGCCGACATCCCCGACGGCGATTTCCGCAAACACATGCCCAAGTTTCAGGACGACGTGCTCGAGCAGAACAACCGCGTCGTGGATGAGGTGGGGAAGTTGGCCGAGAAGAAGGGCGTGACGAGGCCGCAGATCGCCATCGCCTGGGTGAGACAGTTGAGTGGACGCACGATCGATCTCAATGGGGAGAAGGTGACTCTCGGAACCGTCATCCCCATCCCTGGCGCCACCAAGATCGAGAGGATCGAGGAGAACACGAAGCCCGTCGAGTTGACCGACGACGAAATGAAGGAGATTGCGGACATCTTGAAATCCAATCCTGTCGCGGGCGATAGGTATCCCAAGGCCGGCATGCATTTGGCGGACGGATGATATGGTGTAATAAGAAACGAGCATGATTGGGTTTTGACCTCGTGAAATAGCGGCCACTGTAGTATGGCAGAATACTGAATCATGTCGTCTCTCTCTCTTACCTAGTGGCATACTCCCAGTCCGCACGGAGAGGCATCACGACGCCTTCATAGAACCGGCCACGGAAATCCTGGTCGTTCAAGTCATAGTCCGATGTCTCAAAGTTGCAGTTGATACATCGTTGCGTGGCCTTTGCGTAGTTGGGCAATTCCTGATGGTGAATAAGTTCTGCTAATCGGGTCGCCGTGGCATATTCAGTAATGATGTCGCGATTGCCGTTCTTGTCTAGGTCTGAAGCTTCGGTGAGATCGGGAAGAGGCTTTGCATAGGACAGTTCGATCAGAGCCACGCCCAAAGCGAAGATAATTTCGTTCTTCACCAACCTTCGTCGATACACCCTCTGGGCTTTGATCGCAGTGGGTGTGCCGATGGGGAAGGAGACGTATGGCCGGTCGAGTAGATAGTTGCCTCTTGTGTCCCGCAGAAAATAGATGTCACACAGATCCCACGACGGAAGAAGCCAAGGGGTGTCGTAAAGTCGAAGTACAGCTACAGCTAGTGCGAGAGCCACCGTGCACCTATGTATCAGTTAGCCATCTGAAGCTATCAACGATCTGGGCACTCGTAGTACTTCATTCTTGGACCAAGCGTGACTTTGCCAGTTTCGAGCAAGAGATGATGCAATGAAGCGTCGGGCACGACCTGGTTCTGTGCGCCGACTCCAGAGGTCAAGAACAAATGGTGTCTTCGCAAATGATCTTCGAGATATCCCAGACAGCGATTGACAGTGGTTTGTGAGCCCAGACTCCGGCACAGGTTGTCAATTTCAGGCCCTGACAATTTACTAATATGCGAAGTGGCCGGGGCGATTGCTGTTGGATTTGTGGGTGTGTCATTGTGGAATCGTACCCCTTTCCGAGGTGATCGTATGGTCCTTGGGTCTTGGTCAACGCTCAGGAAAGATACTCAACATTCACCAGCAACTTACGTGGCCTGTACAATCTCTGAACACTGGATCTCCACATCTCGCCATTTATACGCCACCGCTGGTACAAAAGAGGTTGCCTTGTCAAAGACGAGCAGCAACTCAAATCGACTCTGCTCCGCTTCATCGTCGTTGTCCGCCTCTTCGTCCATCTGAGCTTTCAGAAGCATGTTTGCTCTATGGGAAAATTGGCAGGTGCAAGGATTTGCCCACTTCAGACGAAGCATCTCCGAGAGACTGTTAGCGCTATCTCGGATGTTCGCCCAGATCCTTGCCTTTTTGCGGCGATCTCTCTCCAGCCGCAAACATTCCACCTCCAAGGCAATGCCGGTGAGTCGGTTGATTTTCGAGATGTCATTGTCGATGGCATCTATCAAAGCAGAACATTTGTTCGATTCGAAGCCGCCCTTTATGCGTGTCCAAACATTGCCGAAGAACTGCTCACGCGCTTTGCAGTCCATTGTGCCATCTGAAAGAACCCACGGCGGCTTGACCCAAGACGCTGATTAGTACTTCTATAGATCACCGTAGTCCATAATCTGCCAGAAGACTCACTCTGAAATCTGGTCCAAGTTTCAGCTTATGTGCCAGTTTCGACATTCTTTTCCTCAAAGCACATAGAGCTGCTAAATAGACCTGACAGCTCGGCCCGAGCCGTTCTGTGAGTCTTCGCTGAAGATCGCCGTCCCTCCAAGCCTGTCGTCTCTTCTCATCATCACTTTCTGAGAGCAACGTTTTCATCTGAGCATCAGACAAATTCAGAGGCGCAAGCAACTTCCAGCATGAATATTCAAAGATGCTCAGAGACACGGCGAATGAGCTGTTGATATCGGCGAAGATGCATTCATAGTTTTTCACGCTTTGGACCACGCTGACCTGCCATTTATCTTAGACTCAAAGTGTGAAGACGTGCTGAATTACTTGCCCCTTCCGCATAATGTTCAAGTCCGCTTATAAGCAAGGGAACTGCTCCCAGGACCAAGCCAGCAACCTCAAATCCCGACATCTGTTTGCTTCGAATTCGAAACCGCTGGAAGGGACGGCCTTACAATCAGTATCAGAATGAAAGGAATACTCCACGCAAAGCATGGTACCTCGAAAGAGTTCCAATGCCAATTCCGGCAATGGCAGAAGGTGTTGTTTCCGATGTGTTGTCGACTCAGCCGCATGAGGCTGCAACGTGTGATCGCTCACTTACCCCGCCATCACTGCACCTTGTCTGTTCCTTCCTAGTCTGAGTTGGTCAAATATCGTCGCTTCGTTCTCAGCTGCGACAATCTGTGCCTGCGACCATTCCATCAATCGAGTACAGGACGACATGGAACCTCTCATCTCCGACGCCTTTTCAGATTGCCTCGCGAAGTTCGAGCAACTGGTAGAGACACTCAGCGGTGCTGTTCCATCCCAACCTCAATCCAATTCCTTTGCAGGCGCCTGCTCGGATGAACTGGTCAAGTTCAAATTGTGGGCGGGGAATCTAGGGGCTGGGTACTCCGGGAAAAGGTATGAGCTTTCTCTCGACTATCGTTTGAGGGAGGCGTCATTCTTCAAAGAGCAGGTCAGTCAGTGTTTTATCATCCACAGCTATGGGGCTATTAAGCCATGCTTTGTTTAGGTGTTGAGATTGCTACGCATCCTGGCCGTTCATCTCGATGTCGCTCTATCTCTGGCCGCGAACAATTATTCCGACGGTCACCTCAGGGTAGTTGGTTCTGCCGACCTCTCACAGGACCAGAAAGCACCAAATTTAGCAACTACAGAAGACGACGATTCACCCTGGGATATATCTTCTGGTTCAGAAAGTGAGACTGACAAACCTCCTAATCGTAATGCAGCGGACGCGGACGACCAAGTCATGTCTCCAAAAGCAATCACATCAAGGTGGATCACGCAGGAATCAGACATGCAGGCACGCATGCCCGACCAATCTTTGGCATCATCATCATCATCATCATCTCCCCTGAGGGTATTAGAATCCATCCAATTCACACTTTCTTGCCTCTGTCGGCTGCCCATCCGGAAGCCGGCACCGTTTGATCGCATAAAGCAACGAGCTTTCTTGGATACCTCTCCATATCAGCAATTCGATACATCCTATGTCCAAGACAAATATCCTCGCCTGGATGATGAGGTTGCCGCTCGCTTTGGTAAGTTGATTACCAGACGCCGTCAACTCTTGCGCTATCGGCAGACCCACCACGAAAGCCTTAAGAGTCCTGCTCTGGAGAAGACTTCAGCAATTGATGCGAAGAAAGGTTCTAAATCTGATCCATCGATTGACTCTGAGTTGGATGAAAGTTCCGTCGTAGTACCACCCGACCCACAAGACATTGCTAGTGAACATCCTACACAAAGGACAAAAGCAACCACTATGAGAGTGAGCGATGAATTGCCTGAAATATACCCTGCGTCAATTCCAGAGTCCAAATCATCTGTCGCTTCGACCTATACTGCAAAGGAACTCAAAATCGAAGTGCCACCCCGACCCAGAGCAGGAGATGGGTGTGAGCTGGAAGATTTTGAGTGCCCCTACTGCTTACTGTTTCAGACCATCCGCACGGATCATCAGTGGAAGTAAGCTAAAGAATTCCGCCCTCCCTGTCGTTGCACGCTGACTTGGTAGGAAACATGTCCTGGAGCACATACAGCCCTATACGTGTACTTTTCCTGCTTGTGGAATGTCAGATATATTCTTCGAGGACCGCGAGCAATGGTGGAGACACGAATTGTCGATGCACCGAGTTGTATGGCATTGCAATGAAGTTGACCATCCGGAGTTTGAAGATCAAACCCATTTTATCAATCACATGACTACATCCCACGGTATTCAAATGACGCCAGAGAAACTGCATTCCTCACAGGGCATGTTCCAATCCCCTAGCAAGTCTCCCGGCGGGGTGTGCAACCTCTGTCAAGCCTATTCTAAACGGCTCAAGAGCCATGTGGGCCGTCATCTGCAACAGCTTTCTCTTTTCGCTCTTCCACGATTCAATGATATTCAAGGAAGTGGCAAAGCTGAGCTTGACAGCGAGAGCTCACGCCTAGTGGTCGAGAACGAGCCTAGATCTTCCAGATCATCATCTATCTCCGAAGGACCGGCGGAAGGTACTGCCCATCAACCCTATAGCAGAGATGACAGGCAAATTCTTGAAGGCTTTGGCCAGGATTATGTGTATGCCCCTGAAATACCAAAGCTTGCTACAGAGGTTGACTGGGACAATGTGACGGACAAGTTCTCTCAAGCTCGGGGTCAAGCAGCAACCCAGACGGTCACATCGACCGAAATTCAGATTCTATCGCGACGCAAAATTCTGGGAGTTTGCGCCTTCGACGAAATGGCCAGATCAAGTTCGAGTCAAGAGATTTGGTCCCGTCTCCTGTCCTCCGGTATCCAAGTCATTATCTTTGGCGATAAGACTATTCTAGATGATGATTTCGAGGACTGGCCTATCTGTGACGCGCTGCTTGTAAACGACTCTGAGCACTTTCCGCTCCACAAGGCCATTGCGTATGCCAGGCTCCGTCAGCCCTTTCTTATCAATGATCTGTGGATGCAAGACGCGTTGAGGGATCGTCGCATATCCCTAACGATACTAGCCCGGTACAGTATGCGAACACCAAGACAGGTATTCGTCAATCGTGATGATTGGCATCTTGTCGCACCCGAGGGACGCGAACACGTTCTTCAAAAATCGGGCTTCGATCTCCGCCGTGGAGTCTCCTTGACAAAGCATGTGGAAATGTCTTATAATGGAGATAGCCTTTGGGTGGATGGAACACAAATCTTTAAGCCCTTTGTTGAAAAGCCCGCTAATGCATGGCATCATGATTTTCTTGTCTACTTCCCCAGCTTCCAAAGTGGTGGAGCCCGAAGGTTGTTCCTCCACGGTGGGAAGGCTATGTCTGAATACATTCCAGACTTAATTTTACCACGATGTTTTACTGACAAGGGTTCAAGTTATATCTATGAAGCATTTTTAGGTGAACAAAGTGCGATGCATATCAAAGTCTTCAACATGGACAGTCTATTCTGCCATGCAAAAATGCGGAGCTCCCCGTTAGTTGATGACAGAGTACGCTTGGATACCAACGACAAGGAAATGAGCCACACAATTTCCCCGAGTGTTCATGAGAAATTTCTATCAAATAAAGTCACTCAATTGTTTGGGCCGCGAATATGCAGTGTTGGATTTATACGGGTAGATTCTGGCCTGAGTTATGTCGTCAGTGTTGGCAGATGTGAGTTTCCGGGAAGTGATGAGGACTACTATGAGCAGTGTTCTACAATATTGCGGTCATGGATTGATGGTACAGAAGATACAAATCAGGTTCTGCCGACCATCCCATCGCTACCGTCATTCAGCCTTAAGGGTCTTGTGGTATGTATTCAGTCTGGCGACCACGTGCCGATGCAGTCTCTATCCTTCCATTCTGAATCCGAAGAGCTTCACGTTCTTCTGAAGCAAGCTGAAGTAACCTCAATCCGAGGGAGCACCGTTCTGAAGAAGGCCTTGAAAGAAGCTAAGCCTGCCCTTTTGGGTAACTTCGAGAACTTTGATCAATCTCTCTGGACAACATTATGCAACTCCGAGGATGTACAGGTGAAACTCTGTCAAGAGGAATACACCGCATCGCAAAGATACATCGCACAGCCTTTGTATCAATTGTCATGGGGTGGTCGATCTGTGCACTCGTTGAGATATCAGTGTGAGGATCTTGGACGGAGTATGCGAGAAGAATACGCGTTGCTTAACAGAACCATGGTTGATGATGTCGAAGTCCATTGTGGGCCGGGACGAGTATCTTGCGCCAGTGCAGAATTTTGGGCAGCGTCATTTTTGGCTAGACAAGAGGTTGGAGTCAACGGTGACCAACTTCCCCAAGTCATGGAACTACTAGATGATCTGGGGGCTTGCGACAGAGAGAAAATGCAGAACATACTCGGAATGATGAGGGCCCGGGCTAAGCACGGTCGCGGCGATGTTGGGGGTTGGTTTGAAGTAAGGGCAGCTCTGCGCGAATGCATCCGGGACATGAATTCAAATTTCGATGCCCAGAATCACCACCACGACGTACAAGTCCAAGGTCAATGGTGCACTGGAGAAGACGAGCGACTGTTCAGATTCAGGTGGCAATTGCTCTTGGACTTCTTCGAACTACACGATGAATTATACAATCACCCTTGGGACCTCCCTTTGGACCCTTATGCCCTCATCAGATTCGACGCTTTACACAATCGCCAGATTGCGATATGGGCTAATTCTCCTTGGGAATCAGGACTTCCGAGATCGAACGCACCGCTTCCTCAACAACTCGTGAGGGCACACGATGTTTTGAGAGACTGGAATGACGATGTGAAGCCTCGCCTTCACCACATAGCAAATATAGCAGCTCCAGCAGCTCGCTCATTGCTTACAGTTATCATGGACAAGCTTGAGACTCTGAAGACAATTGACGGGCGTACTAGCGCGTTTTTCACGGAAGAACATCTCATGTACGGCTTATATTACTTATGCACGGACCTCTGGTCACAGGAGGCAAAGTCAACGCCGGCACCGATCTTCGAAGATGTTGCTCAGCTGTGCTTTGAACTGTGGGAGTTAACTGGAAATAACGGCAGCCAGTATCTTGTTCGCCTCCGTGCAAGCCCAGGCTGTCGGACCAATAATCCGTTTCTGGTAGATGTGGACTCCAAGCACACGGTAGATGCAGTTCCTGCAGAAATTATAGGAGGCTATCTGAGGTTAGAAGATCTCGTCACTCGCTGGCAAATTGTCACTGAAGATGACACTGGGAAGACGAGCTATCTGTGAACAGGATGGAAGTCACCCAACAGTGATTCGGCATATTCTTAGAAAGCTTCCTGCCCGAGGCAGAAATATCACAACCTACATATGACGGCAAACCGACATCGAAGTCCCTTGCCGCCCTGGGAACACACACAATCCAAAACAATTCTCAAGACACTACCGATGCCACGATTCACGAGTCTGGAGGAAGCGACGACATAGGACTTCAATAGGAGATGCAATCATCCAGGAGGCAAAGTGCTGTTGTGTGTGTGGACTTGTAACACGATCAATTGATCCTTGCATGCAATCCTCATTATCACGAAGTGAACCCCCGAGCCAGGTGTCAAGTGAATGCATCTTGAATCGCGTACTCCATATCCTACACTCCGTATTACATTCAATCCAGTGAAATTTCCTTCGACATTGGATCAACTTGATTGCCCAACAAGTTAAAAGACCCACCACGTCGAAAAGTGGCCTTTGCTTTACCAAAAAGTGGTTTGGAGGTTGGGCTTGTCCAAAACCAAAGTTGGGAGTAAACTTGGGAATCTTGGCTGGTTTCCATGACTTGGTCGTATCAATCTTTCTCTTCTACCTCCTCGAGGTGTTTAAGAGAGAGAGAGAGAGAGAGAGAGAGAAGAAACCAGTGGGAAAGGCATTAGGAAGCGTCGACCGATTGAAAAGACGGGGCCCGGGGCTTTGAAACTCTCCAAATAACGATTTTTTTTGTCGTTTTTCTTGTTTTGATTTTTCGAGGCAGGTGAAGATGAGTGAAGTATCTGCAGAATAGTATGTGAAGTGTGTCTTTTGAGATGATGACTTACCTACGGAGTAGATACAGCCAAACTACCTATCTGCTTTGGGGGAAGCATCAAGCAGAAGTTCACCGAGGAATATCCAGAAAGCTACTACCCAGTATGGTGGCGTCGTCTCGACATGGCATGGGAGTGGACACTGATCTCGATTGACAGACCACATCATGTCAGGTAGGTAGGTAGGTAGATAGCTGGCCACAGATCAAAAGATGCTGTTCTTACCTTTAGGTAGGTATCTATAGCCAGAGACCGAAGATTAGCCATTTGATTGTTTTGTCGATTGTTTCAGCAATGCTTGGATTTGAATTTTGTGGGAGCACAATGCACCATTGGAAACCCCCCTCTTTTTTTCGAAGATATTTCAGTACATATCGAGGCCGTTGGGGGAGTTTTGTTCGCTGGCGGTGAAACAGGATAGAAAAGGTTCTGGTAAGCACCTAATTTTTCAAAGACGAATATATATTATATGGTTATATGAGAATGTCAGTAGGTACCTCATTAATTGCATCTGATTGAGAAGAATTAAGAGGTCTAGATAAAAAAAAGGGGGGGACACACGAGATTGGTAGCCTCGCCAATCCGACAGCCTCGCCGCTTCAACTTCGGTTACAATGAAGCAACCGAACACACAACAGCCTCCAACACTCTCGTTTCTTTTGTCTCATATCTTTGTATTGAACAACTTATGAATCTCGGCATGTCCTGAAAACCCCCAAGTAGGTTCATCACGCGGCCCGAGTGTTTTGCTTCATGTCAATGGTTGTGGTCCCTCGTCGATGTTGACAACAATTTCTCTTCTCGGGTTTCATGGAGCACGCAAGAACTTCGGGTATCGAACGCAGTCTAACCGAGTACTGAAGCTATTCAATACTGCCGTAACTATGGTCAAGCGAAAACCTCGGAAGTCCGTTAACCATAGATACTGATACTCCTCAAAATGTCCACGGGTGTGGTGCGTTGACAGTGGTAAGGGAGTTCTTCCCGTACAGCAACTTCATTTACTCTTCGTGTTTCCAAGGTTCATCTTCGGAACTTTCAAATGGGTTTGTTTCTACTTTGACTAATCAGTCACTAGCTCTGTTGACCGTTTGATCTTGGGTAGTCCCCGAGCGGAACTACAGCAGTACAAACGAATCAACCTCCATGAATCCCGCCATGGTGCGAAATAGGTTCGCTTAATCAAAGGGGCCATGGTACTGTATATTTCAGGATCTCAACCCCCCCCTTTACAGAAGTTGGTAACTCGTGACGGGACCAGATCTCGTGTTCAAGTACACCCCATGGGCTGAAGAGAAAAAGCTTCCCTCTCCGCAGAGTTTCTTCGCTTTCTGGAACACATCGGCGGGCCACCAATTCGACCCCGGATTGAAAATGGTCTAGTTTTATTGGCACCAGTCCGTCCGGCGTTAGGTCCACAAGACACACACCAACTCTGATGAGCATGATACTCTGAAGCTCTCCTACCTTCGCTTATCATGACTTCTCCTCCCTTCGGCTCCATGTCGGGTGGCTGGCTTTCTTGTCACTTGGCAAAACTACAATCAGGAGATCTCCAGTCTAGTCCGGCTCGTATAGACTAGGCCGGTGAAAAGGCTAGGGTTGACTAAAGAAAACAGTCATGGGTGTAGGTAGACTTTTGGTGTGTGTGCTTTCAACCCTGGAGAAAGCAAACTCCACGCAAAAAAAGTATTAAAAGGACCTCAATTCCTCTGCGACTCTTGGGAACAATCGCTCAAGCCATCATCGATCTTCACACACAACATCAAAAGGTGGACCGACTGATACATTAAAAAGTTACTGTCGTCGTCGTCCAAGATGTCGACCCATGAGAAGACCATCGATCAACATGCCCTCGAACATGTCAACACTCTTGACAAGAAGGATGTAAGTCCAATTGTCCCAATCGGTATCAAGGATACCGCCTGCCCTTCGACATCTCCCGGTCTCGCTTCTTGCTTGACACAACGAGACCAGGATGATGACTGACTGACGCACTGCCCGCAGGTCGTCGAGGTCAAACAAGTCAGCGGCAGCGAGGCCTACAATGAAGCTTTGATCCAAGAGCCCGTCTCTTGGAGGGACCGCCGCATGTTGCTGTTGTTCGTCGTCTTGTTGCCGGGGTTCTTCTGCCAGACCATGAACGGTTACGACACCATGCTCTTTGGCGGCCTGCTCAACAACAAGGAATACTTTCTCAAACACTTCCACGGCGAGAACAAGGGCATCTGGGCGGGGCTGATCACGTCCATGTACCAGATCGGCGGCGTCTGCGCCTTGCCCTTTGTCGGCCCCTGCATCGACCAGTGGGGCCGTCGCCCGGGCATGTTCATCGGCTCCTTTTTGATCATCGTCGGCACCGTCGTCCAGGGCCTCACGTCCGCCAACGCCTCCGAGGGTCAGATGATGGGCGGTCGGTTCGTCCTCGGGTTCGGCGTCTCCATCGCCGCCGCCGCGGGGCCCATCTGGATCGTCGAGACGGCCCACCCCAAGTACCGGTCCGTCGTGACGGGCCTCTGCAACACCACCTGGCTCGCGGGGTCCATCTTGTCGTCGGGCATCACCCGTGGAGGCCTGGACATCGACAACAACAACTCCTGGTTGATCCCCATCTGGTTCCAGATGGTCTTCCCCGGGTTGATCTGCATCTTTGCTTTTCTCATCCCGGAATCTCCGCGGTGGCTCTACGCCCAGGGCAGGCGCGAGGCCGCCGTCGGTCTGCTCACCAAATGGCACGGCGACGGGGACCGGGAGTCCGCCTGGGTCAAGCTCCAGCTCGCCGAGTACGAAGAGTACCTCGAACTCGATGGATCGGTGAGCAGCAACAGCATGCAAACTTGTTCCCGAAGTACGAGGACCAATCTAATCTGTGACCAAAACTCAACAGGACAAACGATTCTGGGATTACCGTGCTCTCTTCAACAAACGATCCAGCATCATTCGTATCTCCGTGGCATGTTGGTTCTCGGCCTTTACTCAATGTATGTTTTTTTTTGGCCTCATCTCTCAAACACCACTCCCTTGATTCTTACATAAAAGCCCGGGTTTTGGCGGTTTGCTAACTCTACTTCCTCTCTCTGTATCTCTACAGGGTGCGGAAATGGTGTCTTGTCGTACTTTATGGCGGCCGTTCTCGACACCGCGGGCGTCAACAGTTCCATCGGCAAGGCCAACGTCCAACTCGGTTACAGCGTCGAACAATTCGTCTGCGCCGTCATCGGGGCCCATTTCGTCGAGAAGATCGGTCGTCGCAAGATGATGCTGTGCGGCTTCTTTGGCGTGTCCGTCGTTTGGGTATGCATGACAGCGTCGGCCGGTACTCTAGCCAACTCTCTTGTGTCTGGAAGTGTCAATGACAGCGACGCCGTCTTCACCAACAAGAACGCTGGTAATGCGGTGTTGGCGTTCATTTTCGTCTTTGGTGCAGTATACTCGTTCAACATTACTCCATTACAGGTTGGTCATTTTTTCCCTCGTCCGTTTACGTTTTATCCGCCCCATGTTCAAGAATTGACCGGCCACTTTTGTTTTCTGGGTCGGAAATGTTCCTATGAGATGTTTTGATACTAACTTGATTTTTTTTTAAACAAAAAAACACAGGCTCTGTACCCAGTCGAATGTATCTCATTCGAGATCCGAGCCAAAGGAATGGCATTCCAATCATTCTTCGTCAACGCCGCCGGTCTCTTGAACCAATTCGCCTGGCCCATCGCCATCAAAAAGATTCAATGGAAGACGTACATCATCTTTGTGGCGTGGACTTTTAGTCACGGTGTTTTGGCCTATTTTTTCTTCCCCGAAACCAGAAAGAGAACGGTAAAGTTTCTTCCTCTCTCTCCTATCTTTCCCGTTCCTACTCACTCCCTCCCCTCTCTATCCTTTTCCGCTTTTCCAGCTTCAAAAATCCACACACACGTACACACACACAAAGACTGACCGTGACTTGATTCGTGTGTTGAATAGCTCGAGGAACTTGACAAAATCTTCGAGGCCAAAAATCCCGTCAAGTATTCCGTCCAACAACATACCTTGGCCATCACCGAGGACAAGACCGTGGTCGCCCTAGACAAGGAAAAGGGTCAAGTTTGAGGTTTGCTGCGAAACAACTTGAGCTCGAACTCGAGATGAACGAGAGGGCGCCCAAGGTTGTGGAGGGGACGAAACAGTGTGTTGTCCAAAGGGTACAGTTGGAACAATCATGACAAAGGTAAAAGGGGGGAGTCGGAATGGGGGGGAAAATGTCGCAGTACGTATCTCGGGTAGTACGGGCACGGGGCCCACGGAAGTACATGAATCATAACAACACACACCGGCGGTATCTGAGAGGAGCGTCCCGCAAAAGAAAGAGTAACGGGGAAAGAAAAAAGGCAAATCACCTTGTTGGGTAAAATCAGACCGCAGAGGTTTCTCGTCGAGACCGTGGATTCGTTGGGTGTGTATATATATATCTATACATGCAGTGTAATCATGTCAAACAAGACCCTCTTGAACAGATTGAGAGGTCCGGTTTTTGAAAACCAAAAAACCAAAACCCCCGATCCCTCTGATCGCTTTTGTTACAAAGTGGCGAGTACCTGAACCTCGCCCGTACCTTGAGAGCAAACACATGGTCGGACAACTCCTGTGACAAGTCTTGACGGCCAAATCAAAATTATGTGTCTTTTACAGGGTAACGTCATCACAATCATACCTTTGTATGAGAGGGCCGAATGAACAACGACATGTCTGAACGGGAAACAATCTTGAACGGAGAAACAGTCAAGTTGGAAGACTTGTACAATGGAAGTCTTATCTTCCAGTACCAACACCTCTTCAGAATATCTTTGTTAACAAGCAATCAACCGAAAGCAAAGAAAGAGGAAAGTTTATCGCCATGTAATAATATTCAATGAGATTGCATCTCTGCAATCAAACTATACAAAGTATCTTTACATGGCCAACTTATTAACCCTAACCAAGGGCTTTTCTCTTCTCCTCTTCGGGAAGGGGTGTCGTACTCAAAAAAAGGCATTCCAAGATTCAATGCTTTGAGTAGAACTTTGTATCCGTGTACCTCGCGTTTCCCCCTCACCATATCGCTTTGCTTTGCTTTCGACAAAGGGACAAAATACTGTAGTAGAATACAGGAGAAATTCATACAAGTGGCGGGTATCATGTGGGTGGTGGTGGTGTCGGTGGTTGGTTGTTGTGGATGTTAGGTAGAGGACAGGGACCAGTTTGTTTTTGTTCCCGCCCAATAGAGATTATGATACTTCAAAAAAACGCCGCCAGTCAAGGTAAAGTAAAATCGTGTTCTTCGCGTCAAGAAACATAAGCACCTTTCGTTTCATGTGCTCCGACCGAGGAAACGCCTGCGCTGTGCCCGGATACAAAGATATAGGCGGAAATAACGTGTCCAAACTAAAGAGAACCTCCCATATCGTGATCATTAAATTTCTGAAACAAGGGCAAATCGGTCCAGCTTGATTGTTGTGGCATTACAAGCCTTGGGAATTTTGATAATAAGGATCGAAACTTTCTGCAGCCTGTGCAAGAGTGTCCAAGTCGGAAAATCCTCGTATGAGAGTGGGGGGCATGAGGCCATTCGCAACCATTCCATTGCCAATAGGTCCCTTCAAAGGGAATGGCTGTTGAAGGAGGGGACCTCCCAGAAGAGAATCATCGGCCAGTGGAGGATACAGTGAGTTGGGCGAAACACTCTCGGGGATAGAGTGGATAGGCATGAGCATTTGAGGGGGCTCAGGATAGAAAGAGGATTCCTCGTTAGTCAGGACAGGCGTCTCAACAGCGGTAGGTGCCAGAGACGTGCCGTCAGACAGGGGAGAATGAATCAGGCTTGATCGACGACTAGCCTCAGAGTTCAAGCTGTCATGTTTCTTGATCTGTTTGGCTTTCAGTGCATCCTTGGTAATGGCAGCTTTGCTTCTCCGGTTGGAATCGTCACTGTTACTCCCTGACTGCGAGCCCTTGTGGGTACGTTCATGTTGCTTCATGTTATCCTTGCGTGTAAAGGCCTTGTTGCAGATTGGGCAATGCACCCCCTTCTCTCCAGTGTGTTTCTTTCCATGGCGAGCAGCGTGGCCTGAAGTGGTGAAGGTGGCCTGGCAGTTGTGCGACTGGGCGTAAGGACAAGGATACTTGTTCTTTTTCGCCGGAGCAGCCGCGCTCGTGGTAGGTGAGGTGGAAGACTGGGTAGAGGATGTCGGTGCAGAGGTGGAGGGTGGTGGGAGGGCAGTTGAGATGGGAGAATGTACCGCAAGAGGCTGAAGACTAGGGTGTAAAGGAGCCGGAACGAGGGGATACTGAGGAGCCATGATCGGCGGAATAGCAGCTGGCTTGCCAGGATACTGAGGATCGGCCATATTGGGATTGATCATCAGTTGTTGTTCCAGAAATGGGGTAATGGTTGACGGGGATGGGAGGTACCCCGTCAGGTCTTGGCGCATCATCGGGTCATATGGAAGCAGCGTGTTATCTACATAGTTGTACGCCGGCGTGATCGGGGAGGGAGATGAGTCCATGCTCGATCCCGACTCGGAGGAGGATTGGCGCGAGAGAGGAGGCGTGGAGGCGGTGGAAGAAAAGGAAGAGGTGCGGTAGTAGCCCGCGTGGCGAACGAGGTGAGGTCGTTCAAGCCGTGGTCGTGGAGAGACAGAGGGAGAGGTCTTTTCTGAAGGAGACGATTCGTGGTGACGAATGACAAACGAGGGGCAGTCGTTATCGTTTAAGATCGAGAAGATACGTGCTCCTCTAGGTTGCGTCTGAACTTCCATTGTTGGACGCAACTTTCCTGCGCCCAGCGGACAGGCCGCTGGTCCCAAAATGACAGGATGAATGTGACTGTGCGAGAGACGATTAGGACATGACCAGGAGAATGGGTTTATGACTTGATGGAATACATACGCCTAAAAGGCGGCCCTTGTAGATGTCGATTTGCAAGGTTCAGAGGGGCCTTGGAGGTGTGGTGGGAATGATATGACGGACGCCTTCCTCTGTCGTGGGCAGAGGAGGATAGTTCCAACGTGCTCGGTGCGAAGCGATTGAATAAGAATGCAATGCAAGTCTTACTGCGGGAGAGATTGGTGGTCTGATACAACTGGGTCGGGTAGAGGCTGCGGTGGTGACGTCCCGTCGAGTGCGATCAGCAGTCAGGAAAAGGGTATCGACTGACTAGGGAGGTCGCAATTGGCAACAAGGGTTTATGTGGTGTAAATGTAGAGAGAGGGTAACAGTCTAGCAAAGACTGGTGATGAGGAATCGCAGAGGTGGTTGGAAGAGAGAAAAAGGGTCTGAAGGGAACGGCCGGGCGAGAGAGAGCGATGTTTTGAGGGAAAATGCGGTGCGTGTCGAGGATCGATGGGATCGGGGGATCGAGAAGATGGAAATGTTCAAAATGGCATTCGACAGGAATTGGCGCGTGCGGCGACCGGGGGGAGCTTGAGAAAGATGGAACCAAGATGGAGAAAGCTGCCAGGAAAGTTCTCGTGGGAAGACGCAACTTGGAGTCAGCGGCGGCGGGAAGGACAATAGACCATGGATTAGCAGGGCAGCTGAATGGTCAGAGGCACGGAATGGACACATTAGGCCTGTCAGGGAAGATTACCAAGGCGCCATTCATCGCCGATGCGCAGAGATCGAGATACCTCGTACACCATGTACCAGAAGAAGGGTTTTCCTCAGCCACACGTTGTACCTGTGACGGGAAGAATAGGACCCTGCAGCAATACATACCACTACAATGGCATGGTGCTCGATATCTTTGGTACTGTCCGGAGTACTATAGTAGTCTGACTACCTTCGACATCATGTGCATCCAACACCACGAGGCTGGACATACACCAGGGACTTTCTCGTGCTCGTACCAAAACAGTCGAGACATGACTAGGAAAAAAACGAGATGACTAAGGGCAGCGATCTACAGAAAAACCGGATGTGAAGGGATACGTCGGTGGTATCAGCGGCATCAGCATTGGAAAAACTGGTCTTAGGTACAAGGCTGGATCGACCGATACACGAACAGATCACGATCCAGAAGCAAACAGAAGGGGGCTTGATGGGTACGAGCTACGGTAGAGACAGCTGTAGGGGATCCATGCCCCTAGTGGGCGGTAATGACAGCTGCGTGAGGGTGGGTTGTGGCTAGGTAAGATAGAGGTACCTAGGTACTCCGTACTTGGAGGCGTACATTTGAATATTCGGTCCCTGGATATGCCCTGTATAGACAGAGAGAATAAACATTACGACCAAGATATCTTTTATTCCTCATGATCGCCTCGAGTCTACTGTAAGTTATTCGTGCTACTGAGGCTCAAGTACGCCGATCAAAGGTACAGAGTACTTGTCTACTTGAGTACCTTCTTGTCTGGCACTATTTTCCGAGCATCCACTCTTCCATGACACAAGCCACTCACAAGCCTCCAACGTCACAGGGTTCATGACATCACGGCGACACAAGGTTCCCTGAAAAGTACCGATGCAGGCCAATTCTCGATCCCCGCCAGAAGTCGATCCTCAGACACGGCTTGCGGCCTCAGCCAGCTGCCTACCACAAATCGTACCCAATGAGTTTGTACAGTTAAACTCACCTGGGGAGCATTGTCCACCTGTTGTACTGTTTTGAGGTGTTTGTTACCCCTGAAGGAAGTCAACAACGCCCGTCTTCTACTGTACTCACACCGCCCAGGCAGGGCTTCCCAATACAGTACTCGTCCCCTCCATTATCACAACCGCCTGATGAATCCGTGCGCTAGTCTGAACCTACCTCAAACTCTACGTGTCGGGCGCAACATCCTGCCCTATGCCTGGGCCGTAATATCCCAGTAAGGTTGGATGGCCAGATAACAGCCTTCCGCCTTTGAGCAATAGTGTCAGGCAATCGTGGACTGATGCTTATAAGAGGTCAATAATAAATCTACAGTATGGATGGCGTGCTCCCAACGTGGCATGTTTGAAATATGGTTTACCATCTTTTCGTCGTTGTGATTTTTCTCGGTTTCGGGTACAATACGAGCGAACTCGGTGCTGTACCTGGACTCAGGGATCTATGACCATCATCTCTTCGGCACTCGCCTTTAGTTCGATTTGTCGCAAAGCTGGAATTGTCGCTCTGCACCCCAGTCCTCCGCCCCCTGCGCTCCATGACAATCCATCTCATTGTGGTCGATTGTGTTTTACAAAGTTCGAGAACATTTCCATCTCATGGTACATTATTCTAACCCTGTGAACAAGGTCCTGGACAATTGTTGTCCTTAATTTCTTCCACGTGCTGTACTTGACGATCCCATGGCAATCAGGGTCCATTTCCCAGCACCGGTGAGCTGGTAAACCCGGTCCCGGCACTTGTCACGTAAGGGGCGTGAAATTTGATGCAGGGCTGTTTAGTGAGGCTGCTGTTCCTCCTGACATGCCCACCAGCCGGAAGAGTACAGATAGTGAACCCTGCCCCGACCTGTCAAGTTGATTTCCTGGTGGGCATCACAAAACAAAACGTGCCCTGCCAAGAATGCCCGGTAGCCCCGAGTCTGAGACCAGTAAAGTTGCTATTGTCCATTGAGGCTCTCGAGTGCTACAAACAAGGCAAAGTACCACAGCGATCAAGAAGGTATATAGTATTATCAGCACAAGAGATCTTTTCTGACTGCTAGATATCTACTCGTTAGGCGTCATCAAGGCACTATTTATTCTTTTTTTCGTTCCTACTTGATCACTCCATGATCTTGGTTTGCTGTACTTTGGCACGATGTCTACCCCGTGTACCAGAGCAGCACCTGGAGTCGTTGAGTGGTGAGCTATATATTATTTTGTGCTCAATGTTTCTGAAAGAGATACAAGGCTGACCGGTCAAAGTACGAGGACGAGTAGCCTCTGTGTCCCGTTGCCTCGTCCACTACATGAAAGAAAGAACCAGGGTTCTCTGCCAACCAGCGAATGACGACTTACTGTATTCTGTACATCATTGGGCAAACAAGTGCCAGTCAGCTGCTCTCATCCTTCGTCTCTCCTGTGACGTGGCAGTGAACAAGCGGTAGACGATGTGATCCCCTTCCTGCACTGGTTCTTTGCCTGGTTACGGAGTAGACCAGTTGGTATCCATATTCCGAACGACATAGCCACACACTTCTGGCCTGGACGACACCCTGGCGCTGGTACTTTCTGGTGATACTCCGTATCGCTTCTTGCCATCGGTCACCGCTGCAGCCTCTGTCTGGATTCTGAACTCGGAGGACCTTTGGGCTTACACTTTGATCACTGTCACTGTCATTTTCACTCTGTTCGCTTACAAGTCCACACCTTTTCTATGACACGGCGACTTATCTGCACTTCGCCACGAGCCTTGCCCTTGTCCCTAGCCTAACCCTTGCCTCTCGGGCGCTTTGCTGCCTGAAGACCAGCCCTAGTTCTCCTCCTTGCAGAGGCGCCGGCCATTACGTAGCCAGTCCAGTGGGCAAAGTCGCGCCCCAGTTGCCTTGTTTTGGGTGCCCCTCATGATTCAATTCTCACCACTTTTACCAGCCACCACGAATTCCCTTCAGTCAAAGGGACAAATACACACATCAATTTGGCCTCATCATTCTGCGCCCACTTTCGCTGCCTTACCATCACAATTTTGCCAAGCTTGTCCAAGAGTTCATTGCCTACTCCATACTGCGTACTACTGTATTGTCTTCATTAACGCTCCCTCTCGCAATTCACGCCTGAATCAATCCTTCTGTTATCAACAGTTGAATTGGTCTGACCGCGGTTGAAGCATCGCAACGACCCGTCCCTCTGCCGTGGTTCCGGTTTTCCGCTGGGCCACAAACACCTTATAAGTTTGCTTGGACCATCCCTCCTCAACCCCGCAATCTATATCGACCATGTCATATTACGGCGGCGACGACAGACCGAGGCGAGCGAAGAGCACCCGAGAGCGATCCAGGAGAGACGATTATGATGGCGGCACCTCTTACGACGAAAACGTGAGAGATACCCGTATCGTCAGACGCCGAGACGACAGTGTTTCGTCCGTCGAAGAAGTCTCTCGAGGAGACTTCGAACCCGGCGGCGCCTATTATCGCGAGACCACTGTGCGCAAGAGTGGCCACCGTCCAGTGCGCACCAAATCAGACGACGACCGCTGGTACGACGATCGCTATTATGATGATTCCACTTATGTCTCACGTCGCAAACGGGATGATGAATACACTGTCTCTGGTGGCCGCAGTCGCCGGGGCCGAGATTATGATGACAGACGTGAGTCCCTTGTCGTTCCTACCCACGTGTCACTATACTAACATACTCTCCCAGATCGCTCTCGACGTCGTGATGACTCCTACGACTCCTACTCTTCGCGCAGTCGTACTCCAGAGAAGAAGAAAGAGCGCAGAAAGTCTACAACCGAAGAGGTGCTAGGCTCTCTCGGCCTTGGTGGTCTTGCAGGAGCGGTCCTTGGCAAGAGTCGTGACCGATCGCGAGATAGCGATCGCAGTCGCCATCGAAGTCGAAGCAGAGCAGGAGGACGTCGACGTTCATCATCAGAGACATCCAGACATCGAAGTAAGAGTCGCGGCAAAGGCACCAAGAATGAACAATATTCTCAGGCCATCAAAGCTGCTGTCCTCGCCGGTGCCAGTGAGGCCTTCCGTTCTCGCAAAGAACCAGGAGGCTGGGGTGGCAACAAGGGCAAACGAGTCTTGACTGCCGCACTCGCTGCTGGAGGTGTCGACGGCTTGATCTCCAATAAAGACGACCCTCATCACCACAACAAGCGCGACATCGTGGGATCCGCCATCGCTGGTCTTGCCACCAACCGCATCATCAACGGTTCCCGTTCAAAGTCTCGTGGCAGAGGCGGCAGTCCTGACTCTCGTGGACGAAGCCAATCCCGCGGCGGATTTGGAGATCTAGCCGCCGGGGGCGTCGTTGCGGCCACCGCGAAAAAGGTCTATGATTCCGTGCGATCTCGTTCCCGGGGTCGGGCTCGCTCTCGAGACTCGTCTTACGACAGCCGCTACGACAGTCCTCCGCGCCAGAAGAGGAGTCGCAGCGTCTCTCGGGTGGCCGCCAAAGGACTTGCAGCCCTCGGTCTGAAGGACGCCGCCGATAAAGTCGACCCTGAACGACGCTCTTCCTCGCGACATTACGATGACTACTATGATGATGGACGGTCGAGTCGAAATGGAGGATATTATAATGATTCCAGAGATGTAGGTACCATTCAACCCCAACAAGATTACCCACGTGACGGTTTCCGTTCCATGAGTCTGCCCCGAGGGCATCCTCCTGGTTATGAGCTGGATTACGGACCGCGTCACACCGGTGATCCAGACACAGACTCCGATTCTGACCTCGGCTCCAGTTCCGACGATGAGAAAAAGGTGAAAAAGGGCAAGAAGAAGATGTTGCTCACAGGAGGCCTGGCCACCGTGGCGACCATCCATGCGGCCCACAACGTCTACCAGAGTATGGAGAAGAGAGAGGCGCGGCGGAGGGCGTTGAGAGAAGGAGACATCAGCAAGGCAGAGGCGAGGAGCGAGAAGAACAAGGCAAGACTTCAAGACGCCGCCAGCATCGGCATCGCGGCGTTGGGTCTGAAGGGCGCATACAGCGAGTGGAAGGAGACGCAAGAGTTCAATCGTGAGAGGAGAGAGGAAAAGGAGAAGCTGGAACGGCACGCCAGGAAACGAGAGGCAAGGAGACGGAAGATGAGTATGCTCGCGACCAACGATTATGTCAACAGCAACTTCACGGGGAGCATGCCGAATCTCAACACGTACGGTCAGGAGGTGTACCATCCGCACGGTGCCCCTCCCCCTTTCGCATCAGCATCCGAAGTCCACTATGCAGATGACAATCCGTACGGAGCCATATCGCAGACGGCAGCACATTATGCGCCTCCTTCGGCGCCGCAGCCGACGCCACCGCCTCCTCCGCCGGGTGGTCCTGCGCCTTCAACAGGCTTCCCTCCTCCGCCAATAGGTGTACCTCCTCCAGCAGCAGGTGGGCACTATCCAACATATTGACGGAGCGACATGACTTTTTACGACATTCGCAACTCTGTCTTGACGACATGAAACTCTTTTTTTTCTCGGCGAAACGGGCTTACGATTTCCTTCTGCCATGAACACAAGATACTGCCATCCGAGCAAGAAAGCGAGACGCTGTTGATGACACCTTGCATACAAAGCATTTCCGGTGCATATTGCAAAGACCTTTTCTTTTCGTTATGTTTTATGTTTGCGAGTTTCCAGCCAAAAGGATGATTATTGGCTACGATGTCATGACTAGATAGCTTTCTCATTTCAGACGCCCGGGTAGTGGCCCTCATGGCAGAGCCTTTCAAATGGCTTGATGATTTTATGACCAAGATAAACAACTCCGTCCACAATTCTTCCTTTCCTTTTCTCTCGAAGAACAGTGCTCGTGACTATGGTGTAAGCTTGGGCGGTAGAGGCTGCGTAGCATCTTGATTTTCCCCTCTTCACGGACTAGCTATCGTAGAAACTAGGTGAGTCAACGTCCTCGGAACTCACTTCATGAAGTCGCTTGGGTAATCCGTACCCTCCTCCAGAGTCCCACATATTTTAGTGACGTCGAGTTCTTCCCCGGGCGTGCCTCATTCTGTGATCATACAGTAAAGGGTCGAAGTTGGGTACCTCGTGCCCTTGACATTGACAACAGAAAAACAGAGCATTTCACAAAGGAAATGAACGCAGAGTATCCGTACGTCAATCGTAAATCGATCGTACATCATCTTCCTGAACTCGCGTTAACCTTTTATCGCCTGCGTGGTCGGTTTGTCAAAGGTTTCGTCAGCCATGTCTTGTGAAGTCTGGTTACGCAAACACAAAAGGGACCTTCCATGTCGATTGAATCAGGTGAGGGGAGAATATTAAAAAAAAGAAGGGGGTCAATTCTATGCTCACCATGAGCTATCCCCCCCTTGAAAATCGAAAGTATCCCGAACTTCGATCCCGATAGCGATTCGTCGACGAGCCGCCGCCGCCGCCGCCGCCGTAGCCTGGCCCAGGCCACGTGGGATCGAGGTAGACGCGCCTCCGAGGTGGACGAGGTTCGTTTTCACCGGGCCTCAAACCACCACTCCGAGGAGTGTAGTACGATGGGCGGCCGGCGGAGAACCTGGTATCGAACGACGTCCGTGCCGGTCTGAATCCATTGCTGTCTGGCCGGTCGTACCATACGTCTGGATGACGACGAGGAGGAGTGTTGTACGGGTCGTCGTCGTCGTCGTCGTGTCTGGGGTCAGGAACGTAGCACCGAACACCAGGTTCAGGGTCAGGCACCCCTGTCCTTCTTGGTAGGGGATCATCATCGAACGGACTGCGTGCACCTGACATGAACGGTCCAGGGTCGGCGTACGTTCGGTGCGTACGTCGTGGCTCGCGCGGTGGGTTTGTATATCTTATACCTTCTGGTGTGGTGTCTCTGCCACCGCCGCCACGTGGAGGACTGCGGGAAACGGGGTACTCCTCGTAAGCCGGTGGTGGAGATGGCGCGGGTGGTGGGATGCCATCCGGTTCTGATCGACGACGACGGCGGCGGCCGTGATGACGATGGGAGTGGCCATGACGTTCAGGAGGAGAGTCATCTCGGTACCGACTATTTCTGGACCGATCAGAGCGGCGGTGGCGGCCACTACCGGAGAACATGTTGAACATGTTCGTATCAAGTTATGTAAAGCTTGAATTATAGATAGAGGGTCTGAATGTCTGTGCTGAGCCTTTGCTAGGTATTCAAAGTCGATGATAAAGCTGATGATATATGCGAAGAGGAACGGAGGCCGAAGATGCATCATGAGGAAGATAAAAAGATCCAAGAGACAAACGCAGCACTTCGAATTCCTTGAATGACTTGCCTTTGGGGTGAGTGTTTTTGTCGTAGTGTTGTCTAGCCACGAGTGATGGGCGTGAGGGACGAGGTTGTGCGACCAGGGCATTCACAATGGATCTTGACATTTAGCAGGTGAATTGAAGCAACAAACGATGAGCATCCGATTGTCCGATATGAAGGCCGCAGGATTTGCGAGTCAAAGGGGATCGACTTGCGAGGCTGAAATATCGAGGTGGTATGCAGCCACCTCCGTACTTGTGCATGACTTCTGTGTGTTGATGTCAATATGGACTCCCCAAGGGGTACAGCGTAAGGCTAAAAGGTACTCGCTTGACATTGTTGCGTTGTCGTTACATTGTAGGGTCGAGGACTGATGGGAATCTCTCTTGTCCGATCTCAGTTACCTGAAATTTAGGTGCAGTGCTCTATTGACAGACTAATGCTTCGAGCTGTCTGTTGAGGTTTCCGATTACTGTTGAGTTCCCGATGAGTATAACTGAGTCCAATTTGATCCACAGGACAGGAAGGGCTGACCCGTGCATGCTAAAGGTGATTGCGTGAGCCCGGGGAGAAGAGACTGAAGGAGATCAGGGAGGACATGAAAGCATGTCCTATTTAACATCACGGGCAGCGGTTCATATAGGAACGTTGAAGCAAAGCAAGGCAAACGACACGAACCGAGGACATTGCAAATGAGACCATTGAACGAATTTGACATCTGAGCCGGGCACTTTGGTATAGGACAGTCTGGAGCAACTCGCAGAAACAACTCGAGTACATCTGAACTCAAATGAGGTGAGTGTTTGTTCAAACGGCAGCCCACAGAAGTATGTATGTCCGCGAGGCGTTGTTTGTGCGACATTCTTGCGTAGAGACTGCCAAATGGGAGAAAGCCGCAGTTGAGGAATCCATCCAGCAAACACGCTGGAACATAACCGCAGTGGTCAAGAGAATGGCTTTGTTTGTCGGTTCTCTGAAACTCATTTATGCTGGTGGACAACCTACAGGTACTCGATTTGACACAATGATGCCCCGTGTTTACCATTGTGATTTGAATGTAGGAAGATAATGTCGGATTGCGGTAGGCGCCAAATTCGACAAGCATGAATTGTGCATAAAGATTCCTTGCCTGTCACGCGATATTCCTCACCTTCACAGAGTCAAGAAGTCCGACATTGCCTAAAGAAAGAAGCAGGGGAGAGATCATCAGACCATGAGTGTCGACAAGGATGACTGATGTGTTTATTGACTGTCTCCCAGTGTGTTGTTACTGAAAAGCGTCCTCTCCGACCAAAAGGGGCTTAGGCGAAATGAGTCTTGCCGTTTTAACCCCAGAAAACCATTTAGGGAATAGCGCGTTGTTCACCGCCTTCAAGGTACATGCTGTAGTATCGCGCCGGTAGATCCTTGGCGTTTTCAGTTTGTTGATTGACCTTCCAGCACCCAAATCTCTCCCCCTGCCTGTCCACAACGACCTTACCATCTCTCACAACCACCCTTCTCTCAGCTTTGGTCTCTATTGAAGCTGTTCTCTATTCTCGAATTTCCATCTTGATATCCTTTTGAGCTCATCTTCTCGCTCACAACCCCCGTCAACATGCGTGAGATTGTGAGTAAACTCCAGACTGCGCTACGCGTCCAACGCCCTGTTTACCCCTTTGACAATGTCCCTGCTTTGACCCCACCATTCCTCTACGCCTCACAGAATCATCAACTAACAGTGTCTATCAATACAGGTTCACTTGCAAACTGGCCAATGTGTATGTATCACCCTCTGCTATCTTTTTGGACGTTTGTAGCTAATCCCTTGGTAGGGCAACCAAATCGGTGCTGCCTTCTGGTGCGAAGTTTCCCCGACGCGATCGAATTCCCCCCTAACACGATAACAGGCAACAAATCTCAGGAGAACATGGTCTTGATGGCGCTGGAGTGTATGTCCATCGAAAGATTCAAAGAGAAAATCCATAATTGACACTTTTCAGCTACAATGGCACCTCCGACCTCCAACTTGAACGTATGAACGTCTACTTCAACGAGGTATTACCCTGAAGAACACGCCGACGAAGCTCAACACTAATTGTTGCCTCAGGCATCCGGAAACAAATATGTTCCACGTGCTGTCCTCGTTGATCTCGAACCCGGTACCATGGATGCAGTCCGCGCTGGTCCATTTGGTCAACTTTTCCGCCCTGACAACTTTGTCTTTGGCCAGAGCGGTGCTGGTAAGCCACGGATTGGGTGCGAAATAAGACTCGGAAAATAACATGTTAATCAGGAAACAACTGGGCGAAGGGCCACTACACCGAAGGTGCTGAACTTGTTGACCAAGTCCTTGATGTTGTTCGACGTGAAGCCGAGAGCTGCGACTGCCTCCAAGGTTTCCAGATCACCCACTCTCTAGGTGGTGGTACCGGTGCCGGTATGGGCACTTTATTGATCTCCAAGATCCGTGAAGAATTCCCAGACCGCATGATGGCTACCTTCTCCGTCGTCCCATCTCCCAAGGTCTCCGACACTGTCGTTGAACCATACAACGCCACTCTCTCAGTCCATCAATTGGTTGAGAACTCCGATGAGACCTTCTGCATTGACAATGAGGTAGGTTCACTATGGACCCCCTTCGTATTTACATCCACTGACCAAAATAGGCTCTGTACGACATTTGCATGCGCACCTTGAAGCTGTCAAACCCTTCGTACGGTGACCTGAACCACCTTGTCTCTGCGGTCATGTCGGGTGTCACCACCTGCCTGCGATTCCCTGGTCAACTCAACTCTGACCTCCGAAAACTCGCTGTCAACATGGTTCCTTTCCCTCGTCTCCACTTCTTCATGGTTGGCTTCGCTCCCTTGACCAGCCGTGGTGCGTACTCGTTCCGCGCCGTCAGTGTGCCGGAGCTTACTCAACAAATGTTCGACCCTAAGAACATGATGGCTGCTTCCGACTTCAGAAATGGCCGCTACCTGACTTGTTCCGCTATTTTCCGTGGCAAGGTCAGCATGAAGGAGGTTGAAGATCAGATGCGCAACGTCCAGAGCAAGAACAACAGCTACTTTGTCGAATGGATCCCCAACAACGTCCAGACCGCTCTCTGCTCAATCCCCCCTCGCGGCCTGAAGATGTCTTCAACCTTCGTTGGTAACTCTACTTCTATTCAGGAGCTGTTCAAGCGTGTCGGTGACCAATTCACTGCCATGTTCCGACGAAAGGCTTTCTTGCATTGGTACACTGGTGAGGGTATGGATGAGATGGAGTTCACCGAGGCTGAATCCAACATGAACGATCTTGTGTCCGAATACCAACAATACCAAGATGCCAGCATCTCCGAGGGTGAGGAAGAATATGGTGAGGAGGAAGCCCCATTGGAAGAGGAGGTGTAAATACACCAAGATGAGTCCCTGAAGGACATGTCTCGTTGAGATGGATGCATTGTGTTGCAGGGTCCCAGGAAGGATACCAATTGGTTTTGTTTAGCCGCAGCATCCCCTTCTTACTTCTCCCGAGTGAAGTACAGTCTAGCAGCAGTTAAAGACAGGGACTATGAACAGGAATGATGTTAGTGTCAAGCAGGCATGGCGCACTTCTCAACTTCTTTAGTCTTGAGCGTCAAATCTTAATGGAATGAAAGAACAATAGCATATTCAGTAACCATTATTTAATAAGTCATGTCTCAATTGCCCGTGATAAAAGCTGGACATGTTGAGTGTTCCATAGAGCGACCTTTCTGACGGTAATGTTGCCGATAAACGTGGAATGTTAACCTGACAGACTCCGTGCAGGGGGGAGACAACACGAATATAAGTACACATATTCCCAGCAAGCCTGCCTGTACATACGTCACAGCCGCAACAATATTTAAAGCCTGGTACTTGGCTGCTTGCAAAACACAAATCTATTTGAACAACCCAACATAGATGCTGTATGTTTCCTTGATTGTATTCGCGACACAGCTTCACCCATAAATCCTACCTTGATCGAAGCGCATAACCTACAATACCCGCTATGGTCAGTTGAAAAATACACCGACACACCCAGACCAGTCAAATACTGATGCAATCTCGCAGGGCAAGTTGGAAGATGATTTAAAGACTGATCCTCCTTGCCATCCTCGAGCAGTAAGTGACAAGAAGGCATTGAAGGCCCATTACATCTTCCTATATTGACAGATGATGCTTGTAGTGTGCTATTCAGGGTAGGCATTTTTATTTCTTGTTTTGGACATCCATGGAATAACCGTCCTGCCAACAGACTGTTTGCAGAAGAACAATTACAAGGAGGAAAAATGCCAGTCGGCAGTCGATGCATTATACGAATGTTGTAATGCATTCTATAAACAACAAGGAGAAGACGCCAGCACAGTCTCCTGTCCTAAGCCCAAGTTGCTGAAGTTGAAATTGGAGCAGCGGAGACAACAGCGGTGACCCGGCCTTCCTTATCTCGAGTGCTGGGCGGATAGATCAATCATGTATATATAAAAGGTCGCTCTGGCATGGAGATAATGATAAAAACATGTAGCATACGATTTTTCTACCTGAACCATCGTCCCTTCAAAATGAGGTCTGGTCAGCTGAACAGCGGATGCAAAACTATGCTCTTAGGCAATCGTGAGCACGCAAGAGACCCTTGTAGGATCTGAACAACCACTGAGAAAGAAAGGTCTGTTCCGAGACTCTAATGACTACCTGTATGACATTGAGGAAAGAAAAAAGAAAGAAGAAAGGAAGAATTGATGGCCGGTGAAGAAGGCTCTGAAAAGAGTCCATTCCTATTTGAGACTAGCGTCTGCGCGTACTCGACTTGTCGCGGTATTGTTCAGAAAGTTGCTACAACAAGCCCGGGGTAGAGAAAGATCAATAGGCAGTCGAGAACAGCCCTACGACCGCAAATACTCATAGTTCATATTCTTCGTGACAATGGCACCCACTACCCGATCCTCGGTCCATGGGAGAGCACCAGATGTAAGGATTTTGGGTTTCGAGCTCTCCTGTTACTGCCGCTGACTTCAATGCAGTTCCTCCCTAGACAGCCCGACTCACCGCCCCCCAGTGACCATGAAGATGAGGAGATGGCGGACGACTTTGACCATGAAGGAGGTGTGAATTCCCTTTACTAGCCTACCTCATCGTCGACATAACCTTTCGTGGCAGAATACCACAAAATGCTGATCAACGTCACAGATCCTCAATCTCCCTACCAGTCCTCAGCCCAAGACATCCTTCGACCGCTACAAGACACGGCTGATCGTGTGAGCAAACAAGCCGAAGATTTTGCAAAAGCCCTGGATAAATTCGTGGCCAATCGAGCACCAACTGATCAAACACTTTGGGAGGATGCTCTCTTACTTTTGGAGCGATTTAGCAAGATCGCCGAAAACCGAAGACAGAAGACACCGGCAAGCGAATCTGATGCACAGATTCAAAAGATACAACTCGAGAACGATCTCTGGATCCTTGTTCGGAATCTGCTAGCATGCAGTTCCCCGGAAACTACGAACAATGCACAGATTGCTCAAGACTCAAGATTAGGTGGACTACACAGATATTCAGACAATGTTGAACTCTGGACGGCTTTTCTAGACTCAGATGCAGTTGCGCAGGAATATGAATGCATCTTGAGTTGGCTACAGGAGAGAGCTGCAGGATCGTCTGAGCCTATCGAAAATCTCCTCCACGATCTAGCCGAGAAGTCTGAACGCGGCGACGGAGTATGGAGTGCTGGACCTATTTACACACAAACCGCTATAAAACAACAGAAGCGAACTAGGGTCTGGTCAAAACCTCTGGAACCATCGAATCCTGGCTTAAACCGCACCCATGTCCGCAGTATTGATGGCAAACCTTTAGTGGCGCAATTAGATCCTGACTCGAGAACTCGAGAGTCAGCCGTGCTTCAAGAACAGGACGAATATCACGAAGAAGCCGCGTGGCGCACGTGCTGGGAGATGTTGCGGCGTGGCCAAACTGCCGTGGAGATCCAATCATGGTGGGCAGAGCGCAAAGAAGTATGGAGATATGAAGTCCTCCGAGGTTGTGGAGCGAGCCCATCCGAAATGGCAGATTCACCCTGGCTTCGCATATTGAACCTGGCCACGAATCCGGAATGGCTCGAACGATGCAGAGCTCTTGCTCACAACCCGGCCATCGTCGATAAATATCAAAGAGCTGTATACGGAATTCTGTGTGGGGACAATGAGGCTGCAGGTTCAGCTGCACAGACTATCGATGACCATATGTTTGCGCTTTTCAATGCTCTTTTGATGGACAGGTACGAGACCTATATTCAGGCATACCAGAAGAAAATAGTCGGACAGGGCTCTAATGAGTTTCGACCTCGATCTCCCTCCACAGCTCAAGTTCGGCTTCATACGACGAAGGCCTTTTCCGATGCAGCCACGAAGGAAGAGTCCCACCGACCGCACAAGTTGTTCGAAATGGCCGTTATGTCCAAGGACTATGAAAGCTTGTTTATTAACATGGGACAAGCTGTTGCTTATGTGGCTCACAGCTTTGGTCAAGGTGACGATCTCATTGAGGCCAATAAAGACCATGGTGATGAGATCTCCCAACTCAATGCACAAGATCAAGACGCGGTGAGGATGGTGGTACACCTTCAACTGGTCTTGAAAGCACTGGGGTTCCTTGACGCAGCGTATGAAGAGCATTTGTACGTGATGGAGAACAATATCGCAATGTATATCAGCTTCCTGCAAAGCATTGGCAGGTATCAACTAATACCAACATATGCCGCCAAACTATCGCCAGATCGTGCGCAACATGTCTTGGGCACCGTCCTAATCAACATTACAAACTCCAAAGAGCGAGACACCATGGTCAAACTTATGAAACACGAAAAGATCAACGTTGCTGAAGTGATCTACGGCATTTTCTCTCTGGCAAACTTTGGCGACATTCAAAAGCTGCAAAATATGACGGAATGCCATCCACCGAGGATGACCGTAGCAGGAGGAACCGCTAAATTCGCAGTTTCGAGAGTCAAACAGCCACTAATGACGGGCCCTGTCACTGATGCGGACGAAAAGGCATTGCGAAGTGTCGAATGGTTCCGGTATATCGATGCTGAAAATTGGGGCAGCGCTGCTTGGGCTTTTGGAGTCTTGTACAAGACTTTCCTTGCCGAGGGAAATTTCGTTGCGCTTCGCCAAATGATTGATCGAGTTAGCCTGTCCGAGGTCTCTCTCGCAGCGGTCAAGATGAATCTCATCTTTGCCAACGGTGAACCACCTGCACAACCTGATCAAACGGATGAGGATGAACTGGATGAGGATAGAATCCATCCGATCAGCCCCAGCCGTCGAAGAAGAGACCCAGTGATTGTTGAACATCCACTCACAAGACCTGGCAACGACCGCGAGACTTTGGCTTATAAATCTTTGACTTGGCGACAACTGGAACAGCTCACCATGGCCATCGATTCCTTGGACATGTTCCAGGAAACGGCTGATAATCTTGAATCGTGAGTGACGAAGAACTTTTGGGGAACATCAAGATTCTGACTGACCTGCCGCAGAAATCGATCGAATGCGTCATTGCTGAGGACGTACAAGCGTGACTTGAAAAAGGCACTCGACGATGTGCGATCTACAATTGTTCCCGTGTTGGACAATAATTTCCTCTGTCGTCCTCAAGACGAGCAAGAAGGCGTGCATCTGACAGCCATTCGCAACCACTATATCCCTGAGGTCATCTTGGCGTACAACAGTGCCTTGTGGTTTGCGGGTCATTTCATCTCACGGGCGTGGTTGGTGGAGTGTATGGAGCTTGCACAGAGAGTGGCTGAGACTCCCACGTTGACGAATGCTTTTGTCGAGGGGAAAAGAATGAGGGAATTGGTTAGAGCATTTGCCGTCGACAGTGAAGCACTTTTGCAGGCCACCGAGCAGAGTGGGCCAAAAGCGAAGAAGATGAAGACGGACAAAGGAAACAGTGACATCTGGAAGGTCAGTTGGAAGGAGCAAGACGAATTGGATCTTGAGGCCATAGATTGAGCTAGAGCGTCCAAAGAGGAGAAACCGTCTACAGAAGGGATTTGAGAAGCCATGTCCTCTGTATGATGACCAGTAGTTTTCTACCTAGATAGGTACAAGAGTGTCGTAAAAATTCCATGATGAGAGAATAGATCATCGGAACATACAGACTACGTATTGCCTGCCACGGGGTGAGTCGAATGCGAATGCGCCTCGTCATGATGGAGGGGGGAAGAAAGACGGTCTAGAGTGTGTCGTACGGAGGAAAAGACCTACTTTTCTAATGCCCGTGTCAATTGTTGGTTTTTCTGTTGTTTCTATTGTGTCCACTCTCTCACCTTGTCTGTAGTCAAACACAAGGCGTACTCGTAACGGCGCGGAAGTTTTAAATCGGTAGAACGCTGATTACAGGGATGACCGTGCCGTGTTTTGTCGTCAAGTACAAGGCGGAGGCAACGTTCGGGGAACCCTTAGTCAGCGCGGATTAGACATGTTGATTACATTTACTTCTTTCTTTTCTTCCCTTGCCCGCGCCTTGAGGTTGACGATTTCGGCATTTGACGACCAAACGATCATGAAGGTCAGTGTGATAAGTGATGCAATAGGCGTTCCGTACAGTAAGTAGGTGCCGTATGAGTGAGAGGACATATACATATATATATACGGAGTTGGTGACATGTCAAATGATGATTTTCTGTTCCTTTGTAAACTGCAACCAGCTCAACGACATCTTACCTACCGTACTGACCTAGTTGCTAAACATATTGTTCACCACTTCGTGTCCGGGCACAAGAGAGAGAGAGAGAGATTACTGTATCTAATCTTGATTTTGTTTTTGGGGGGGGATTCTACACTGTAATCCACCTGCCTTGAGCCTTGCCTACCTTTGGACCTACTGTTAGGTACCTACGCCACGAGTGACGAGCACAGCCCCCCTTCTCTCCTTTCCTATCTCGCGCCCCTAGTCCAAGTTCGATACCACGTCCCGAGTAGAGGCGAAAGTTTTGCGGATTCGCCATCATGTCTTTTGCGGATACGGATACGGACACGACCAAACTATACGGCCTGACAGCCTTGCCGGCGGATCAAACAAGGACCAAACCGGCCACGACGAAGCCAGACCCCGTCGAGATCTCGTCGCTCGCCGTCCCACGAACGGAACTGGCGGCGCGCGTCGACAAGTACGTGAGGTCGAAACTCGACGCCGACACTTACCGTCACAGTCTCCGAGTGTATAGCTACGGCTGCGCCATCGCGAGGCAGTGTTTCCCGGATTTCGGTTTGGCTCCCGGATCGGCGCTCGAGGAGACGTGGTTCCTCACCGCCATGCTCCACGACATTGGTACCGCCGAGGAATTTTTGAGTTCGACGAGGTTGAGTTACGAATTTTGGGCAGGAGTCCACGCTTTGGACATTCTTCAAGATCCTAGTCTGACTGGGTTGGGAGACGAGAAGGCGAGTGAGACCGGGATGGCGCCGCGTGAACAAGCCGAAAGCGTGGCCGAGGCTATTATCCGACATCAAGATGTTCAGGATAAGGGTAGTCTCACGCTCATGACCAGGTTGATCCATCTAGGTACGCTGCTGGACAACATTGGTGCCGGGGCGGAATTGGTAAACAGGAAAACGATCGAGAATGTCGTCAGGGAGTATCCTCGCCCCGGGTGGGGTGGATGTTTCAAACGGACGGTCGAGAAAGAAAAGAAAATCAAGCCGTATGCTATGGTCAGTCGTATTGAAGGGTTCGAGGGACTGATTGAGAAGAACGGAGGAAAGGAGGGGCTCATGGGCGAGTTTGACTAGGTAGAAAAGTACATATTACGGGGGAGGGGTTTGTAGAGGACCACACTCGTCCTGTCAATGATAATGCCAGTCTTCCTCAAGGGTCTGTTATCCCGGTGACCCCTACCTAGGTAGCTAAGTAGGAACGTGGATAGCTGGTGGACATCAATGATGCCTAAACTGTTTCTCTTTTAGCCAATTCGACCAAACATCACAATAGTCGATTTGAAGATAAATCTGGGCACGACAGGTCATAAAATGAGGCGTAGCTGCCCGAGATGACGACGAAGCCAATCGCCATGATTTGCTGGCGTGTCATGGCTCTGCTGACGACGATATGGCCGCGTGAACGAACACACGACTTTTCAGAAAACCCAGCAGCGTCAAGCACGAGGTCTTGCCTTTGTCTTTGCCCGCTGATTGAAGTTCTGACCTCAAAAATGTGGGTGTTGATAAGCGCAGACGGTAAGAAGGTATCCAGGAGAGTTGAGGTCACGATCCACATGTTGGCGCGGTCCTGATAGACCTGAGCCAAGACCTGTCGCTGCAACAAGCGGAATTGTTGGCAATGCTTGGGTTTGTTTGTTACTCGACCAAAAAAACCAATATGAGGAAATGAGACAGATGCAGGGAACGGCTGTGACTGCAACGTTTAATGACACTTGCAGCTGTGATCGCTGCGATGTACTTGTTATAGGCTGAGGGTAGGGAGTACTCGCAAAGGACCGGAAACGGAGCGGATACAATTTGACCTCGGACAGTTGTCTGACGAAAGGTGATGATTCATTCCATGGCAGGATTCGATTCCCTGTTCCGACCCTTGGGTACTCCGTGGGTGATCGTTTTCAGCATCAAAGGCCGAGAGCGATGGAAGTCCTCGCTTGAGAAGACAGTGGACAGGGAACCTGCCCTGACATTTTTCAGACTAGACTGTGGCAGTGCAAACGCCTTGACTGGTCGCGATTGGACGTGATGAGAATCTCGCAGCGGACCAACGACCAGCGGGGCAAAAAGATGAGGGCTTTACTTTTCCTCTCTAGGCTTGATCGAGACCAAGCAAAGATTGTGGTACAGCTGACCTGGACTGTTCGGCGTCAGCAATGAGAATGCATTTTTTCGATGGTGACGCCGGATATGGTTGTTATGATGATGATGGAAATTATTCTGTGTTATTGGACCAAGCTCGCCAGATCAGGGGAATGAGCTCCGGGCGATCAAGGGAGGCTAGATCTGTTTCTGGCTTGGTGGGTGGGAATAGCAGTAGAACGGTCAGTTCTTTACCGAAGTATTCATAATGTACTCCGTACTGTACTGTACTCCGTACTGTAGGCATGCACTCGAGGCCGTTGGTAGGCCCATATACGCCCAAGATGCCTGTAAGACCCCCACAAGTTGCCCCCCCGAAGAGGTTTCATTGGCTCGTGTTCCGCCTAGAACTCCCCGAAACTCTAGCGCCTGCGCCCGCGCCCGGGCATAACATGGCAAACTAAGGTGCAACAGGCAGTCCACTAGCACTCCATCTTATTTCCTCCTGGCTTCTCACGGACCGACTCAGGTCTAGGCCGGCATACTGTACACATACCGTACTCTTTTTTTACTTCAATGTAGCAGTCTCATGCTGGCACCAGAATGGCGTGAAGAGTGCCTTATCACATTGTTCACCGGCTCAAGGCCCCTTCTTTCCTTCAACAAGCCTCTCTCTCGAAGCCACATTCCCCTTGAGCAGTAGCTCTGACTATCCGCAACGCTCCTTTGTATTTGTTGATCGTCGCCCCATATATAACATTCTTCACGCAGTATTTACCACCACCTCCGGACTTCCTATTTTGCCACGAGGCACACAGCCACTCTCACCTTTGTCTGATCGTCCCAAAACGGGACATCAGATCGAATCAAACGACTCGCACACCCGGCCGCCTCGACCTGCTTCTTTCTCCTCGTACCATCAACTCCTTGTACGCCTCCCTGAACCGGCTCCCTGGTTGTGCAGCAACACCGTCTGACAGTTGATCCGTTACCAGTGTTTTTCACTTGACCTGCTGATCAACTCCGCCATCTACACTTCGTCCTACATGTGGCCAATACAATAACCTTGGTCGTTTCCCGCTCTGTGCGCCTCTCTTCGTCCTCTCGTTCAGTCGCCCGGATTTCGAAAGAAGTGTAAGAGATTGGACCAAGTTGTACACGCGGAAGGCCGAGGCCAGGTACTTCTGTTGAAGTCCTGCGATGCCTCTTCCCTCGGATGGGCAAGACCCAGAACCAGAGTCGCCCATACCGTTAAGACAAAGGCAGAGAGCACCGACGATTAGCATCGACGACTCTGCCGTCGACACCTATGCCGAGGAACTTCCTAGTGCCTCCTCAGACAAGCCCGGTCCTCTGCCGCGAATACAAACAAAAAACCTCGACAATGCACCCGTCCTCGCATCTCCCCTTTCCACCTCCCCTACCGATGTCCGCGCGTCGACGGATACACGAGAGTCCCGGCCTACATCTCCGCACAATGTATCGTCACCGAGGACAAATATGTTCGACGGAGCGTCCACCCAGACCTTCTTGTCAGTGCCGGGTTTCAGGAATAGGGCGGCCTCAATGGAGTCGGAGGCAGTCTCGCCGACTTCAGAATTTGGCGGAGATACTCAGATAGCATCGAGTACATCGGGGTTGGACGATTTAAGGAAGAACTCGTTCAGTAACAATGACGAGATTATAAACGACAAAGATGCGCTCAAGCCAGATCCGGGCCAGGAAGCTGATTTCCAAGTGGACGACAACAGGTTTGCATTCACACCAGGACAATTGAACAAAATCATCAACCCCAAGAGTCTAGCAGCTTTCCATGCTCTTGGTGGGCTTGCAGGCTTAGAAAAAGGGCTACGGACGAATCGAAGAAGCGGTCTTAGTGCTGACGAAATGGGCTTGGATGGCTCGGTCAGCTTTGAAGAGGCTGTTCAAGCGGGACCCGAGCAGGAAGAACACTATGGCTCTGTCAAACGGACTACCACAAGCCATTCGATGAGTGCTGCTGCGAAGACGACTGAGAATTCTTTCTCCGACCGCAAGCGTATATTCAAAGACAACCGATTACCGGAGAAGAAAGCCAAAACCTTCTGGCAACTTGCGTGGATAGCGTACAACGACAAAGTCCTGATCCTGCTTTCTGTTGCCGCTGTTATATCTCTGGCACTGGGCATATACCAAACCGTCAGACCGGCCCCATCCGAAGAACACGAAGCTCGAGTTGAATGGGTAGAGGGGGTGGCCATCATGGTTGCCATCTTTGTTGTCACCTTTGTGGGAGCTCTCAACGACTACCAGAAAGAGCGTCAGTTCATCAAACTCAATCGTAAGAAGGAAGAGAGAATGGTCAAGGTTGTTCGTTCCGGGAAGTCCCAGGAGATCTCGGTCTATGATGTTCTGGTCGGGGATGTGATGCACCTTGAGCCAGGTGATTTGATCCCAGTTGATGGCGTTTTCATCGAGGGACATAACGTGAAATGCGACGAATCTTCCGCCACTGGCGAGTCTGATATTATTCGAAAAACACCGGCCGATGAGGTATATCATGCCATTGAGAATCACCAAAACCTGAAGAAGATGGACCCGTTCATTCTATCTGGAGGCAAAGTTTCCGAAGGAGTGGGAACGTTTCTCGTCACATCTGTTGGTGTCAATTCGAGCTACGGCAAAACGTTGATGTCTCTACAAGACGAGACCCAATCTACACCTCTACAATCGAAGCTAAACGTTTTGGCCGAGTACATTGCCAAACTTGGTCTCGCCGCCGGTTTACTACTCTTCGTCGTTCTCTTCATCAAGTTCCTAGTCGAACTCAAAAACATGGACGGAGGCTCTCAAGCAAAGGGTCAGCGATTCCTCCAAATTTTCATTGTCGCAGTGACAATCATTGTTGTTGCTGTGCCTGAGGGCTTACCCTTGGCTGTCACACTGGCACTTGCCTTTGCAACGACTCGAATGCTCAAGGACAACAACTTGGTACGACTCTTGCGCGCCTGTGAAACGATGGGCAATGCCACCACAGTCTGTTCCGACAAGACTGGAACATTGACCCAAAATAAGATGTCTATGGTAGCCGGGACGCTTTCAACTGCTTCGAGATTTGGCGATAAACCACAACTAGTCCGTTCCACGGCAGATGGAAACAATGACAAAATGTCGTCGACCGAGGCCAGTGCGGGTGACGTGTCGGCCGGTGAATTTATTGCAACTCTCGCATCTGACACCAAAGAACTTCTCAAGGACTCAGTCGTCTTAAACTCAACAGCATTCGAAGGAGAGGAAGCCGGCAAGAAAGCTTTTATTGGGTCCAAGACCGAGACAGCTCTACTATCTTTTGTTGCAGAACACCTTAGTGTTGAGTCTTTGAGCGAAGAAAGATCCAACGCAGACGTTGTCCAGATGGTGCCTTTCGACTCTGGCAGGAAATGCATGGCTGTTGTGGTCAGGCTGGCGAACGGGAAGTTCCGAATGATGGTGAAAGGAGCGTCAGAAATCTTGATCAGCAAATGTTCGAGAATCGTCAGCGACCCCACGAAAGGTATCACCGATGCTCCCATTACTTCGGATCAGATCGAGACACTCAATGGTATTGTCAGCAACTATGCCTCCAGGTCACTGCGCACAATTGCTCTCTTATTCCGAGATTTCTCGGAATGGCCACCGCGCGGTGCTGTCTTAATCGACGATAAGAAACAAGCGGATTTCGACAAGGTCTTCAAGGATATGACATTCTTCGGCGTGGTGGGCATCCAGGATCCATTGAGGCCTGGCGTAGAGAAAGCCGTGCACGACTGTCAGGTGGCTGGTGTTTTTGTACGCATGGTCACTGGTGACAACATCATGACTGCCAAGGCCATAGCTACCGAGTGTGGTATCTTCACGCCTGGTGGTATCGCGATGGAGGGGCCAGTCTTCAGAAAATTGAGCACCAAACAGCTGACCCAAGTCATTCCACGTTTGCAGGTGCTTGCACGTTCCAGCCCAGAGGACAAAAAGCTTCTTGTCGGCCATTTGAAGAAGCTCGGCGAGACGGTTGCAGTCACTGGTGACGGCACCAACGACGCACCAGCACTCAAGACCGCAGATGTGGGCTTCTCCATGGGTATCGCTGGTACCGAGGTCGCCAAGGAGGCATCATCCATTATCTTGATGGACGACAACTTTGCATCTATTGTCAAGGCTATTTCTTGGGGCAGAACGGTCAATGATGCCGTCAAGAAGTTTCTACAGGTATGTTTTGTGTGTTTTTGTTGCCAACACGATCTGACAGATTCCGTAGTTTCAAGTCACGGTCAACATCACCGCCGTCCTTCTCACGTTCGTCTCTGCTGTGGCCAATGACGACGAAACTTCCGTCCTGACGGCTGTGCAACTGCTCTGGGTCAATTTGATCATGGATACGTTTGCCGCCCTTGCCTTGGCTACCGATCCTCCTACGCACTCGATTCTCAAACGCAGACCGGAGCCTAAATCGGCCCCGTTGATCACCATTACGATGTGGAAGATGATCATCGGACAATCAATATATCAGCTTGTGGTTACGTTAATCCTGTACTTCGCCGGCGAAAGTATACTGTCATATCAGACCCAAGGTGAGAAGGATCGACTTCAGAGTACGATTTTCAACACCTTCGTCTGGATGCAGATCTTCAATCAGTATAACTCTCGTCGACTGGACAATCATTTCAACATCTTCGAGGGAGTCTTGAAGAATTGGTGGTTCATGGGCATCCAGGTCATTATCATTGGCGGGCAATGTCTGATCATGTTCGTTGGCGGGCAAGCATTCTCCATCAACCGCATCAACGGCGCACAATGGGGCTACTCAATTGTGCTCGGAGCGCTGTCCATGCCCATTGCAGTCATAATTAGATTGCTGCCCGACGAAATCTTTGCCAAAATGATCCCCAGCATTCGATTTGGTAAGAAACATGCTCCACAGTTTACTCTGGAGGATGACGAAGAGCTTCGACACTGGAACCCTGCGTTGGAAGAGATTCGAGAAGAGCTCACATTCCTCAAGAAGCTCCGAGGAGGAAGGATGTCCGAGTTGGCGTATAAATTGCAACATCCTCGAGATACCTTCATGCCACGATCGCGGAGTCCCTCTCGGTCGAGATCCAATAGTGACCTGCCTCAGACACCGGAGGGAGAAGTGGTACCACCGGATCAATCTTCCGCGTCGCCCTCAACACCCGAGAGATACAGGAGACGAGCAAGATCAAGTTCGAATTCTGTATTTGGACCTGCCGCAGCCATGGCAGGAATTGTTGCAGGCAGTGTGGCTGGAGGATGGTCTCCAGTCGAACGCCGCAATCTAGAACCCGAAACTATCCATTTCCATCGAGCACGATCTCATTCCGGTGTAGAAGGGACTCCTGGTATGGAAATCCACCCGGCAACTTCACAAGATGATCCAGTCTTTGCCGAGAGCATCCCAAAGAATGGCATCCCACCGAGTCAAATCGCCAGTCTGGCGCCACATTTCAGCCATGCACCACCACACAGTCCCCCAACACGCTCGAAAAGCTCACACTCACGGTCGACGTCATCGACATCACATGTGTGAAGACTAGAGCTTGAGAACATTTCTCTGGTTTTACTATTTGGAAAGAGTCTGCGCTGCGTTGGAATGGCAATAAGTTTCTACTCGTGCGTATGTATTGCCATGCAGAGAGTATGGCTGGAGAAGTCATGACGCACATGTGGCCATAGGCCGTGAAAGCGGTTGCAACACGAGCGCCGCACTTCGTGTGACAAGGTACAAATATAATCTGACGGTCAAAAAACTAGGCTTGTCGAAGGCAGAGCTGAGGACGACAGCAGTTCATCAGAGACGCCTTATTTCTGGTCGTGACTTACCATCGTGAGGAAAGGGGTCTGGCACGGATACGAGGTAAACGCCAGCCTTGCACCAAACACATTTCGGGGGCGAGATACGGAGTACAGTGTACATGTCAAAACGGACAAAAAGCATTGGGACGGGCCAGCTTCTTTGAACATAGCAATGAACAATTAATCAGATGTGCAGAAGATTGACTGCGCAAAAAGGAGCACGAGTACGTTCATCATTAGTAGGTGCCTGGACTTAGGTGGTAAGAGTATCCTGCGTAGTCATACTCCGTAATTGGTACTTGGGTTGCTCCAGGGACATTCCATGCTGAGTCAAGGTACCTGTGGTCTGCGCGAGGATACTCCGTGCGAGTCTTTTGTAACCATGGAGTAGATAGACGTCAGTAAACCTACGAGTATTGTCGGATGTAACAAGTCTGACTATCCAGTGTCCCTTGTCCGCCGAAAGGATCCCGTGGCAAATGCCTGTTACGCGCCTAAGGCTGAGCCTCGGCTCAAATTCTGCCACTCTGCATTGCCAGGACTCTCAGACCTGAATCTTCACCACCAATCGCCCTGATGATTTTGATTTCCATCTTTCGCTAACGACCCAATTTTTCCCTTAGGCAACTCTACTGTCCCTTGACCGACCGCTCCCCGATTGTCGGTGCACGTCACATTGTACCTCAGCGGTCACTCCTGCTCTTCTACCCGGCGCCGCCGTGGGCCGCTTGTTTTTCCATCTAATCGACCATGGCACCAGGACGGTCGATAAATATCCTTCTACCCTCCTCTCTTCCCTTTCAGAGACCGAGACCGAGTATACACTCTTCGTCACCCTCATTACGCCCCTTCTGCCGTCCGCTCTTCCTTCAATCCTCCTGCCGAACAATACCCAGCGGACCTTCTCTCTCAACACACACCAGTGCCTCGAGGAGGGTATTTCGACGGTGGAACAATATACAAGTTGCCCTGCGACGTTCACAGTCTACAGGTGAGTGAGCTTGCGGCTCTCTTGGACCCTTCTAGGTGATTGACCAGACCACAGTTGTTGTCCATCATAAAGGACGTGCCCGTTTCCGCCGGTCGATCAGTTTTTTGACCATCAGCACCCTTTCGTTCGTTGTCGGTACATACCTCGCCCTCAGCTACTCTCCTCCGATCCTCGTCCCGCTCATCATGGGTTCCATGCCCTCGGACGCCGAGACGCTCTCGATCTACGAGCCACCCGACGACCTTTCCCGAGAGATTGACGAACAAATCAGAAACTGCGCCCTCGCCGTGGAACTCAGAGAACACCCGGACTTCATCGAATCGAGGCCGCACCTCAAGATCCCCCCAGAAGTGCGACAGCACAATCTCACAGCGGGCACGTTGGCGGGGCCCGGCATGATCGTCGTTCCGCCGTACTATTTCAATGAGAAGGACGGGAAGAGCATGGTTCAGATATTCTATGTCGGTCCCGACTGCTCAGGGCATCCAGGGATCGTGCACGGCGGGTTCCTGGCCACAATGCTCGACGAGGGTCTGGCAAGGTGCGCATTCCCTGCCATGCCAAACAAAGTGGGCGTGACGGCAAACCTGCAAATCAATTATCTCAAACCCACAATGGCGGGCCAGTTTCTGGTCCTGCGAGCGACGACGACGAAAACTGAGGGCAGGAAGGCATGGGCCGAGGGCTGGATTGAGAGCCTGGAGGTGCCAGAGGGTGAAGAGCCACAGAAACTCGTGGAGGCGAGTGCGCTGTTTATTGAGCCGAAGTATGCTAATGTAAGTATTCTATCCGCGACCCGATCACACTCAACCAATGCTAATGTCTGTATGACAGGTCTTGAAATCACTCTACCGAGTTTCAGATTAAATGCTCGAGAGGTTTGATGCTATATAATGCCGGAGTTTTTCGATCGGAAGGCATGTTCTGACTCTATGGGCTTCTCTTTTGAAGGTACAAACGAGAAGTTGATGGAGTATTGTTCTCGAGTCCAGCGTCGCAAAGCACAAGCATTGGATAGAGCTGTCGAGAACTGTGCGATATGGATTTTGGGATTCAAGCATGTATCTACGTGCACGGGGTTTGGTGTTCTTAGAAAGCATAGTATCTGATATGGATAGTCTCTCAAGACTGGAAAAGAATAGACGAATATACCGGCCCCGAGTCTACTTGTGGGCATTTTGTCAAAACGTGCAACTTCTGCGTCCTTTTATTGAATATTGGGGATTAGGGATGACCTAGGGTATCTAGGTATCTAGGACACCTGGACCTGGAGCCACTCTACTTCCCACCGAAGTTGTAGAACACCACACATGATAAAAAAGGCTGTCACGAAAAAGGAGGTACGCAGAAGCGAGTATGAATCAGATAAGGCGGCGGGCTTTTGGGGGAGGACGATAAAGGCCAAAAAGTAGTGCTGCTTTTGTGCTTTCTTGGCCTACGCAGCTGCTGTGAACGTGCTGCTGCTGCTGCTGCGTATCAAGTCTACAGCTCTTGCTGGGGGTATATACGATAGACGTTGAACAAGCCCGCTTACGGAGAGACAACTCGAGGCTTTGCACACACGGCTCCTTTTTGTAATTACGTTATACTTGGGTTTGCATGCATACCGATTCCTGAACCCTCATCCCAACACCTCTCGCATCATGTCGGCCAGATACCTCGCCGTGTCAGTACCATCTTCGATAACACCCTCTGGACACAAGGACGATGCGATTGGCGCCGTACAAAAAGTCGTGGGCCCATCCAACGGCGATGTCACCAGTTTTCATATCCCGGATTTCAAGATTGGCACGTTGGACGCATTATTACAACAATCAGAGGAACTGAGCAAGCTGGAGGGGTTGTGCAATTCGGTGGTGGGCAAAGTTGGAGACACCCTCCAGAACATACTGGACGGGGATGAAGAGAAGATTAGTATGCACAAGAACGTCAATGACAGTATGTACATGCGTCGTGCTTTTGTCGAAAGGGAGAGGCTTGTTGTGCCATGATGATCTTGTTGAACTGACGAGCGACACTGCAGAACCCCTCGAACAATACCTTCGAAGTTTCTCTTGGAACAAGGTCAAGTATCGGGCGGACCGACCATTGTCAGAGTTGATCGATCTACTACAAAAGGTACGCCCAGATTTGGTGCCTCCTTTCCAAACCGTACCCTCATGTCCATGTACAGGAAGCGAATTCAATCGACAATGATGTCCGATCAAAGTACAACCAGTACAACTCCGTACGGACGAATCTACAAACGCTCCAGCGGAAACAAACCGGAAACCTCTCGACCAAGTCCCTCATCAGTGTGGTCCCTCCCAATGTCCTTGTTACCGACTCCGAACACCTCGAAACCCACCTCGTCGCGATCCCGAACTCAAACGTCAAGGAGTTTATGCGGTCCTACGAAACTCTCGCGCAAATGATCGTCCCTCGGTCGGCGTATTTTGTCGCTTCCGACGACGAGTTCAGTCTCTATGCAGTTACGATGTTTAGAAAATACAGTCATGAATTCTTGCACAAAGTAAGGGAGAAGAAATGGGTCCCGAGAGATTTCAAGTTCAAAGAAGGCGGAAAGGAGGAGGAGCAGAAGGAGGTTCGACGAGTAGAGGCCGAAGAGAAAAGAGTATGGGGAGAGACGTTACGGTTAGGCCGGACCGGCTGGAGCGAAGGGGTGATGTGTCTGGTGCACGTGGTCGTGTTGAGGGTGTTTGTTGAGACGGTGCTCAGATATGGTCTGCCGCTGGACTATGTGGCTGTTCTGGTAAAGGTATGCTACTTTGGACCTTGACCGCAGACGTGATCTTCACGGAGTACTGACATGAGTGTGAAATCTAGACCGATTCGAAGCGGGAAAAGAAGGCCAGGCAGAACCTCGACACCGAGTATGCTTACCTGGCAGGCAACGCCTTTGGACGAGACAGCAAAGGCCGGCCAAAGAAGGACGAAGGCATGTCAGGTGGTGACCTTGTGACCGGTGGTGATCAAGGAGATTATTCTGCTTATGTTTGTTACGTTATTGATGTCGATTGAGCGAACAGAAAGCGACGGTGGAATAGATGGATAGGATTTGGAACTGGAGTCTGAAAAGGCCTCTTTTTTTCAATGACGATAAAACTACCTACTTTTTCAGATGCCCGAGGCGACGGCCCATGTACAGTGTCAAAAGTGCCGTAGCTGAGTATCCTCTCTTATGGCTCCAGTCGGGTTTCTATTGATCGCGAGCACATCATGTCCATTGTGTGGTGTGATGACTGGGGGATCATGGATGTGTTGGTTCTGTCCATCCACTTTGCTTCACTCTGTCAGCTCCGATCCTTTTCTGGGTGCCTATACAAAAATGTGCTGCTTTTTCTATTCCATATTCCACGGCCCCAGAAGTGTTTTCTTGCCTTTTGCTGGGCGAGAGACTCGATCCGACATGCGTGGAACATTTGTCGTTTTGCAAAGTCTTGCAAAAAGAACCGAAATGTGGTTTTACATTTGACCCCAGATCCCACCACCTTTTTTACCCCCCCGGATCGTTCATTTCCGACGAGAAACATGCGAGATGGGTCTTGTGTGGTGTGTGTGTGTGTTTTGTTGTCTTTTCCTGAATTCTTGGTTCCATTCGATTCGGATCCGATGCGCGTCTTCTCGTACCCAACGGGTATTTTGTGGCGTTTGGACACCCTTGAACGACTTCTTTGTCGTGACGAAAGGAGGTGAGGTGAGGCCGAGTTATACACACGTACATGTAGGATTTCCACAAGTCCATAGAAACCCTGTCCTCCGAATAGGATAATTAATTTTGCTGAACCCCCGGTCCCTTCCAACCGTCGGGATTCTTTGGAAATAAGAACAACCTTGGACGTATTCAAACTTCAAAACGTCACTGTTTCGGTCTCCCCAATTGGAAAGATTTCATGGATGATTCGTTTTGTCGGTTTCCCGTCAGTCAGTCAGTCAGTCACAGGGAAAAACCCACACGTTTTTATCGGTCTTTCTCTTTTCCGGGTTTCGTTTCAAGATCCAAATTTGACAATGTCGGTCCTTCAAACACCACCACCACCACCCCCCTGTCTCGACTGACGTTGGCCGTCGTGAAGACCCGAATAGTAACCCGCCCAGTAATACGCCATTTTGATGTTTTCCAAAGTTTGATCTGTAGTAGAAATTGGATCTGGATCTAAAAAGACAAAAATCATCAAGTCAGCAGTGGTGACTAGATAAAGAAGAAATCGACAAACCCCCGTGGCAAAAGGTGTATGTCCATGGTTGGTAAGTTACCTTGTTCATTCGTGGTTGGTAGATTTGGTCCCATCGTCGGCGTGGTATTTTGAATGGTGTTTTGATATCCCGCGTGGTCGTGTTGAGTGGGTATCGATGAGGTCGTGGACGAGTCTACCACCTTCGTCGTTGTGGCTGTAGGTTGTTGATATCGTTCTCGCTGTTCGACATGACCTGTTTGACTTGCTTCAGACGTAACTAGTTATCGGTTAGCATCATTATACATACTGTGCTCTGCTGATCCGATTTTACCTCTTTGTGTCAATGCTGTTTTCGCCGCCAAAAGTTCCGAATCGTCAGGGACCTCTCCGTCTTCAACCTCATCATCGTCGTCGTTGTCGACTGCGTCTTGTACGGTCACGTTATTCTGATCGACATCGTGCCATTCTCCAGATACACCTTTGCTGGCGCCACCGCCACCGCCGCCACCACCACCAACATCTTCATCATCGAGTTCACCATTTTCGGCTCGACGTAGAATCTCTTCTACATCTTCACCTTTGGCGTGGATACTGTGATAATACTAGCATGACAATTCCCGTCAGTTTATCGCTTTGTCCCATGATGTACCTTGTACCTGGTGCATGGCGTATTGAAAAGTTTGAACAACCAAGACTGGGAGGCGAAAAAGAGAGGAGTGGGATTTGTTCTCGAAACATGTGGATGACCCAAAAGGTGCAACCTTTCAGCTCTCGCCTAGACTCTAATTTGAAATCTTCTCTCCTCTTCCTGTTGCCTTTAAACGCGACTTGAAAACGCACCTCGTATTCTGCGACAGCATCATTCCATGATCTGATGAGTGCCGAATCGTCCCAGATTTCAGCCTGGCTCAGATCGCCACCGGCTTTGGCTTTGGCGCCGTGGTGTTTTGTCTTGACCTTTTTGGAAGATCTGCTGCGAGGCATCGTCAAAAGACTTGAAAGGACGCTTTAAACAACCATAAAGTCAAACCGTCAATACACCTCTCGAATGGTTGTGGCTGGTGAAAGTTAATTGATATATACACACGTCCAAGTAAAATCCTCGTTTCGAGCAACTGAAGTCCAGGTTTTGTCACTGGAAGACGAAATGCTTCACCGAAGGAAATAATCCGCCGTACTCTACTCCGTATAGAATGGTCGACTTCAATCCATACTCTGTAAAACATTCGAGTCTCTATTCGTATATACAAGATGCATCTCGCCCCGGGATGTTTCACAAATCTCAATGTCATATTTCATTTTCGTTGCATCTGTTCTACAGTTTCCCCACCCCATCTTAAATTAGCAACTCCTGAAAATGTCCCAGACCACCCGGCCACAACTTGCCAAAAGATTCTCAAAACTCCCCTTTACGAGCACGAGCATACAACAAAGATATCAGAGAAGCTCCGCAAGTTCAAACCATTACCCGCTAACAGACCACCATGATCATCATATCAACCAAAGACAAAACTCACGCCTTTAGTCTTCGTTCCTCACATGGGCCACAGACTGCTTTCTCCTCGACCTTTCGTGTAATACCCTTTCTTCTCTCCTTGTCCGTAGGTTCGACGTCGACATCTCGCACGAAAAAGCGACCATCTTCACCGAAACCACCTCCACATTCGAAGCACACGAAGCATTTCTCGTGGTATTTTCCACCAAGTGCTTCAACCGTCAATTCATCCAAGATTTGTTGCTTGCATCTTCTGCATCGTGCGGACGTGCGTTTGGTGTGGCAAGCCACGCAATAGGCATAATTGTCACGCTCGACAAAGGGTGTAGAGCTGTCAAATGGATCGCCACATTCGGCACAAAAGAAATGTCCGACGTGCCACTCTGCCCCAGCCGCTACGATGACTTCGCCTTCAATTGGTGTCTTACAGGATCGACAACGAGGCGAGAAGAATTCGTGGAAGTCGAGGTGGCAGTAGAAACGCAATGGGTCATTCGCGGCTTCGGGAGAGGTGGCTTCGATGCCCATACCTCCTAGCCGGTCGAGACGCTTCTGATCAGGCTCCGGGTAAAAGGAGACGCACTCCAACGGTGTAGCGCAATGATAACATGTAAAGCACTCTGGGTGGAAGCGGGCTTTGAGGTTGGTCGAGCTGGACCCTGATGCAGTCACGATACGTCCTGAAATAGGCAGAGCACAGCTCGAACAGGATACCGTAGGAACGGAGTGGCGATGAAGCCATGGAAGACGAGAGGATGGGGTCTTGTGAATGGAAGAAGCAGGTGCAGGAGTGGTGGCAGCATGTTTCGGCAGAGGGCGAGTAGGTTGCTTGACTTCGCCTGGCACGTTTATGGTTGAAATCGACGACAGATTGGTGCCTTCTTCACTGACGTTGATTGCTGGCACTTGATTGCTCTGTTCTGGAATGTTGATTGTTGGTACGGCAGGGGCACTGACATTGATCGATGGCACAGGCGGATCGTCTGGGAGGTTTATCGTAGGGACGACTGGGGCAGATACCGTGACTGCTGGCATCACCTGACCTGGTTTTGGCAATGGTCTCTCACTGGACTTTTGGGTGGCTGGGGATTCGGTGAGCTTGATGACTGGTCTGTCGACGTCTTGACTTGCTCTAGGTGAATCACTCGTAGGTTTCCACGACGGATCAAAGCTGACGATAGGACGTCCAAACTGATCACTCACAGCAACCGGAGTTGGGAGATTGGGACTTCGATCCTTTCTCTTCATGCTTGTCGCTGCTCGAATGTCTTCACCTCTAATTTCAAGAGTACTCGTGGACGACTTTGGTGTCTCGACCTCTTCAATCGTGTCAATAGTTGCAGGGCGTGGAGGTGTATTGGCTGTGTACTCTGCATCTCTCGATCGAGTTGGAGGGTTCTTGTGGATTTCGACTCGATTGATTCTGTTGTTGTCGGCCATGGGTGCAGGGTCTGGCTTGTTCATCCCTCTCTTCTTCAGCCAAGGAAGAGTATTGGTAGACTTGACTCTCAAGGGCAATCCGGCACTCGGGGTTCTGATAGGTTTCTCTGAAAGAGGCTCTTGCTGCTCGGGCTCTTCATATATTTGTGACTCTGGGTTGGGAAACGAAACTTTTCGCGTACCACTAGCCTTGCGTTGACCGCTACTTCGCCTCGTCCCATTCGCCTTCAAATCGGGATTGCGATACGCAGATGTCTTTTCCACTTCTGCAGCATGAGGATTCTGATGCTTCCACACCAGATCTGCCGCTTCATCCTGAGCTGCATGATAGATCCTGGTCTCATCGTCTTTGTGGTCAATCAATTGCAACGCCTCTCGTAGATTATGAGCCTCCTCTTTCTCCAATCTTCGACTAACCGATTCGAGGTAGACGCCATCTTCTGTGAGCTGAGGAACTTGAACTATGGCTGTTGGAGACACTTTTCTTCCTCGTAGACTTGGTCGATCATTGCCAGGTGGTTGGGCTAAAGGCCGCCCTTTGAGTGACGCAGCAGCAGAAGAGACGAAATTGGACTTGGATACTGGTGGTGATTGTACATTCGAGGCTTCGACATCTTGTGGCTGGGTTTCATGCTCCGGTGAGATGATGATGCATGCCGAGTCCGAACGCGTCAACGAAGTCTCAGAGGAGACAGTCCGAGTCCGAGGACTGAAGGGAGGAGGGCGTGAGCCGGTAGGTCTGGCGGGACGATAGCTTCGCAAGCTCTCGAGATAAGTGGCTGAAAAGGTATGTGAGTATTTCGAGGTGAAGGGGGGATCTCGAGGAGGCATTGCTGGTGGCAGAGAACGCGACTGATCAACGAATTGTGAAAGGAAAACCGAGACGTACACTTTTGTTCAGCGGTCATACATGTTGGTTGAGGTGGTGACACCTTTCTGCCACCCAAACTATTTCTCTTGTGAAACATGGTGAATATTTGACTTCCCAAATCCAGGTAGAAATCAATTACTGCATATGCAGGATGATGGTGTCGTGCATATATGACAGGTAACACGGGTTGCTCTCCAGGCTGGTTCCCAATGTAAACTTGAATTTGTCTATCAGTATACGATGAGGTTGTGGATAGGGAGGGAGACAAGATACAAAATATCAAGAAAGGCCAGTCAGCACAGCGACAAACTAGACAGCCAACAAGGCAACAAGGGCATCAGTGACAAAGCGGTGAATCACTGAGATGGTCATCGTGGTCGCAGCTCATTTGCAGCGCCTTCTGGAACTTTTTTTGTTTGGGCGGCGACGGTTGCGAGGCCAACGAGGCGCTAAGCTTAAGGTTAAAGTGGGAGCCGGAAGACTAGTGGATGAGGGTTTATTAGGCGATGACGTTAAGGACTGTTTAGGCTAGTCAAGTCCCTAGAGGGTCCAGCCGATGCCTATAACTTGCACCTAGAGGTTCAATAGTAACCCCTATAATGACCCATGGTGCACCACCCATATTTCACGCGTGTGTAACTCTGAAGGACCAGGGGACGCGTGCCTTTGTTGATGTTGTTTTCGATACATGAGGCTATGGAATATATCGACTGTACAGAATACGGATACTGATACCAACAACGGATACCTTATTTGCTACTCCGTGGTCCATGAGATACAGCAACTCTTCAGGGTGTCATATCATTGCCTTTTTGAATACTAATAATCTGATGGTTTTGTACTCTTGCCTCGGCAATTACTTAATGACTTATTCCTCTTGCTCCCCCGGACCGAAGCTCATCTTCATCCCCCGCACATTGATTCATTCTTTGATCTGACAGCCGAACGACCGCACTACTCATACTTGAAATTTTCCACCTCGTCACTGACCCATTGTGGCCCGTTTACTAGAATCGGTCTCCCACAATGCCAATCATAGTCCATAATGTGCATTCTTCTCGTGCTAAAATCCAGTCAATACGCAATGTTGCATCGCTGACTTGTCCGACTTGGCCGCCCATATCTGTTGACTCTTCCCACCTCTTCTTTTCTGTATTAGCAGTTGACGGTCAGCCTCATCTGCCATGTGTTAGCAAAGGGGATTTTGCAGGATGGCAGACCCAATCCCGATAGAGCTCGTCCATTCAAGAGAGTCCAATCGTCGTGATCCTGCGAGAGATGGCGCAGAGTCTCCAACGCCGATAGAAGTTGAAAATCCTCACCTGGCCTTTTCGAAAGTGGACGATCAGTGTCCCGACGGTGGCTATGGATGGGTCTGCGTTATCTGTAATGCGGTTATAAATGGTCTGTTTTTTGCTAGACCCTTTCCATGAAGCGAAGCGATAAGGCAGGAGAAATCCGGGGTGCATATCAAAAGATACTTCGGCTATATCTTCTTAGCATCAGCACGCAATCGCTCCCCAATATTGTATCGTTCAAGAGATGCACCAGCTAACCATCCAATAACAGGACATACCTGGGGTATCAACTCCTCCTACGGGGTTTTCCTTGCCTACTATCTCGATCACGACTACTTTCCGGATACCTCACCTCTGGCCTACTCGTTCATCGGAGGCTTATCTTTCTCCCAGGCGGTGTTGATCGCCCCTCTAGCCACTCATATCATTCACCTATATGGTACCAAGGTGTGCCTGCATCTGGGTATCTTCTTCCAGACCCTCTCTCTTATCGGCGCCAGCTTTTCCCGGCAAAAGTATCAGATCATCCTCTCACAAGGCGTGTGCTATGGCTGGGGTATGGGCTTTCTGTTCGTCGGGTCAGTGGGCATCATCGCACAGTGGTTCAACAAGAAACGGAGTCTTGCAAATTCCCTCGCCGCTGCAGGTTCTGGGGCTGGTGGGCTCATCTACAGCTTGGCCACTCAAGCACTGATTGATGATCTCGGGCTCGCCTGGACCTTTCGCATATTGGGTTTCATCACATTTGCGGTCAACCTGACCGCCGCTAACCTGCTGCGGGATCGAAATAAACAGACAGGTTCGAGGCACAAAGCTTTCGACATCGAAGTGCTTCGCCGACCAGAATTCCTTTTTGTCCAAGGTTGGTCGTGGTTCTCGATGTTGGGCTACACGATCTTGGTCTTCTCAATTCCCTCCTATGCACGTTCCATCGGTATGTCTGCCAGTCAAGGGTCAACCTTGAGTGCCGTTTTCAACGCCGGCCAAATGGTAGGTCGGCCGTTGATAGGATTGTCTTCTGATCGCTGGGGCCGCCTCAATCTTGCAACTTCACTGTCGTTTCTGGCTGGAATAGTCTGCTTCGCGCTCTGGATTCCTGCAGAAGTCGTGGCAGCACCGATGGTGTTGCTGTGTTTTTTTGCAATCATAGGCGGCGGCCTAGCTGGTGTATTCTGGGCAACCATCTCGCCCGTCGCGGCAGAGATTCTTGGACTGCAGGATCTTCCTTCAGGTCTCAGTCTGACATGGGTGTTGATGACAGCACCGACAACATGTGCTGAAGCAATAGCACTGGAGTTACGGCGTAAGAATACTGATAGCTGGATCTACCTTCCACCTCAAATCTTCACTGCCTTTATGTACATCGCTGCTGGTATGTTTATCTGGGTGGCTAGAGGATGGAAAGTAGGTGAGCTTGAGTGGCGCAATAAAATGAGGATGGAAATGGAAAGACAGTCCAGACGACAGAGAGTACTTGTACTCGCAGACAAAAAGGAGAATTCGGCTGTGGAGAATGATCGACCAGAGGAAGCAGAGGAACCCGATGTCGACGATGCCACTCGCATTGAGGTTGATTTCAACCAGCCTCCACCAAGAAGAGAGTTATGGCGTATTCGGAATATGTTGAGAAATATGGTGGCTTGGACTGTTGTATAGCCTGGATAGCGAATATCGCAAATGGCACAACAAAGAATGAAAGACTAAAACAGTCCTATTGTCATGGGAAACATTGCACACGTCGACGTTTTTGCCTTGGGATTGAAATGCGAGTGAATGGACTTCCAACTGCCTCCGACCTCTTCAGTTTATTTTCACCCAACAGACACCAATCCGTCCCTCTTTCCAACTTCTCTATCACGAATTACAACGTCAACATGTCTTTCACCGTGATACATACCCGTCCAGATGGGACTAGAAGACCAATTCGGATGTCGATTTTTGATGCGTTCAGAGGAGTACCAGATGCTCGACCCAAGAAAGCCAGAAATGGATTGGTATGTTCATTGAATTGATCATTACATTTTTCATTTTGTCATGTCATTTGTGGTGATTACGCAAAATCTGCGATCCAGCCAGAAGTTGCTAATGTGAAAATAGTGCCCATGCTGTGGGAAGGCGCACTCCTGCACCGCTGCAGCCAGTGCCGAGAAGAAAGAGAAGGCGGCAGAGAAAACGGACGGCGAGACGGACGATGAAGTCATGATACGCATGAAGGCCGAGAACAAGTCAGCCCAATGGACAGACATCGTCGAGCATCTAAAGGACATCAAGTCCGTTAGCGATGCCAAAGCCCGTTACAAGGAGATCACCAAGGACAAGAAAGACGATGAGGGTACCGCATCGGACAGTCAATCAAAGGGCAAGGGTAAAGAAAAGAATCCTGAAAAGGCCGCCCAGTGGGCAAAGAACAAGGTTGAAGGGTTGAAAAAGCAACTTGATGCACAGGAGAAGAAGGACGCAGGCGAGCCATCGGATGCTTCTGAGAAGGGCAAAAAGGTAGGCTGAACCCCAAACATACTGTGATGAGCTTGTTTGTAACTAACAGAGTGATAATGCGAAGACCAAGCCAAAAGGAAGCACCTCAACCAACGAGCCGAACCAGTACAAGCTCATGGCCGAGAAATACGATTCCAAAAAGTGGCTGACGGTCGCTTCGAGACATTATGACAAGACTGGAGAGCGAATCTCTCCAGAAATGGCACGTCAGAGAGCCGAAGCCAAGTGAATCTACAGTAATCTTCGAGTGACGAAGAGAGAAGAAGATTGGAAGAACAGGTATTCGTGGAGAATCCTGGATATTTCCATACTCGATACGGAGACTCTGTACTGCGGATGCTCTCAAAGACACCATACATAGTACAGCACAATTAGTGCCTTTGATATCTAGTTTTACCGAATTCTTCTACAACCTCTCCGGGGTAAAGGAGACATCACCAGGATCTTTCTTTATTGCAGCCAGCGGGGAAGAAGATGTCACCACTCACAGTACAGTAGCCCATGTACCTGCTCCTGGCAGTAAATAGTGGTATTCAGGCTAAATCAAAATGTTGCCTCCTCCTCTTCCTCCTCCACCTCCATCATCTCTTTTCACTTCTCACACACATACTTTGGTCCAACCATCATCCAGCTTCCTCTTTCGTCTCTCGCTTCGAAAAGTCGATGATGCATATTCTTGCCATGGACGATCGGCTCAATGTCCCATCCCCATTTGATACGGTGTCCTGGATCTTCCTCAATACTAGTCCCGAACCATCAAATTTCCTCCGCTTCAACCATGCATATCCAAGACTGACCCAATAGGCGGTTATTGTTTCTGCATAGACTACAGAACCAAGCTACTCGTACCGTCGGCAGCTAGATCTCGAAGTTACATGTAGGCTAATAAAACAGCTCCCAAGGTCGGTCAAGGAGCCTCACATCATTATACCTAGGTAGATATATATCTCTTACTCCCACCTCAACATTCTCGTGACCTGTGTTGATACTACTTACTGCTTTCCATATACCCAGCCTTGTCTCTTTGCCCGTCCAACATGATCTCTCCCTCGATTGTCCTGACACTAGGACTGGCCTTGTTCTCTGTCCCTGGTATCAGTTCTTTGCTTCCTCGACAAGCCAAAAACAAGCCGTGGTCGGTGTCGAATTTTCACTCACTCCTGACTTTTGGAGATAGCTATACGGACGAAAGTCGTCTAGGGTATTTCATCCAGAATAATGGCTCGGCACCACCAGCTGGGGTCTTATTGCCCGAAAGCAACTCCACCGCAGGAGGAGGACGCACTTGGCCTCGCTACGTCGTTCAATACACCGGCTCGACCAAGAATGGCGAATGGGACCCATCAATGACTCTGTACAACTATGCCGTCTCTGGTGCAGTATGTTCTAACAAGATCACTCCAAGGTATGTAACTTCTTCATGCCATCACCATCGATCTCGTCTCCCTAGAGGCGGCATTGACCAAAAAGAATTTACTAGATGGTTCTCTGCAATAAATGCCCCTTTCCCATCCGTCCTCGAGTACGAAATCCCAGCGTTTCAAGCCGACATGAAGGCACAGCGAGTCAACGCTACCCCAGCAGAACCATATTTCACCACGGGCCTGTCTGCCCAATCCGCCCTGTACGCGTTGTGGATCGGTACCAACGATCTGGGTGTCTGGGCTTTTGTGACAGACAGTCAGATCCGGGGGAAAGTGTTGACCGACTACACTTCTTGCGTTTACGAGGTTTTTGACAAACTCTATGCCGCCGGTGGACGTATGTTTGTCCTTATGAACACTGCCCCTCTGCACCTCGCGCCTTTGTACGCCAACAGCACCCTCCACGGAGTCGGACCGAACCAGTATTGGCCCAACAAGACATCCAACCACACTCAAATCTCGGAGACCATGCACGAGTACACCTCCACGGTCAACAACGTGTTCAAGTACCAGACGCCGTTTGAGTTGATGGTGGCAAACCGTTACCCCGACGCCCATTTCGCCGTCTTCGACATGTACAGTCTCATCTCGGACGTCTATGACAACCCAACAGCCTACCTGAACGGGACCGACGTCAAGGCCGGTACAGAAACGGTGCGGGGGTACATCAATCACTGCAACGTCAACCAGACCGTCTGTGTCAAGATGGACAATAATGGAACGAATCCTGATGGCTTCTTGTGGTACGACGAGTTACATCCTAGGTGAGTTCCGCCACACATGCTCTTTTATCGGAGCTTCACATCTTCCCTTGACCTTGTTTCGAGACAAAATGGTGCTAATTTGATTGTTCCTGTCTGGTAAAAGTGAACAAACCGACCGTGTCATTGCGAGAAACTTTGTTGAGGTTTTGAACGGGACGTCAAAGTATGCTACGTACTACTAATCCGCAAAGCGAGAGGGGTTTGGTACTTGTAGAATCATGGTGAAATGTCTGAGTACGAAGCCGTTTGATAGTGGGGAGTGATCAGTGGAGATGATTGATGCAGGTACAAGTAGTATTGTTGGTCGTGGAGCGAAGAATAGCCCAAATTATGATGATCATGATGGCAAAATGGCTTGGTACCAATCAAAACAAGAAGCATCTATCCTAATTTCAGCATTCGTTCCTCGATATACTCCATCCTAATCATACAATCATTACTCCACAGGCGTGCAGCCTAGGGCCTGCAAGACCGAAAGCGGTGGCAACGGTGATGGGCTTGCCGACATGCGAGGTTCACAGTGCGCGTTATGCCTCCCTCCCTAATGCCCTGGAAAGGTTTGAGGTCGATGCCGTTCTTGGGTGCGTTTGAGTGGCGCACACCGGCAATGGGTCATTCAAGAAGACTCATCATCGATCCTAGTATCAACACCTCCGACCCACCACACCGCAGCGTTGACGACCTGGCCAATGATGTCGAGGTCGGACTGGTCCCGCGGGGCATAGAGCACGACCTGCGAGTCGGCGGCCGGGGCGGCTCGAGTCTCACCAGTCAGTCGCATGATCCAGGACGCGAGTCGGGTCGACAGAGGGTGTCTCTGACCCCAGCCCTTTTCGATCACGGTCTTGACGTCGTGCGGGTGGAGCGTACACTGGATGGACCCGTCGAGGCCGCCGGCGCGGAGGATCTCTCCGTAGTACCTCGTCTCGTCGAAGACGCGGTGACGGGCGTACAGCGTCGTCGGGCTGGAAATGTCCGGCTCGAACGTCGACCGGCCGAGGTAGGTGGCGGAAGGGTACTGCGCCGAGATGTCCGAGATGACCTCCCGCACTCGATCAGCGACTTTCTTTTCCGTGGGAGAGAGTTGGGTGATTTGGTGAGGGTGACTGGTGCCCGTGACGAGGGGACGTGGTCCGGTCCGTCGTGGTAGAGTCTCGAGGTAGCCACGTGAGGCCGGTGCCGAAGCGCTCGCCGGGGGTGAGAGAGGATCCGAAACCGAGAGGGCCTTGAGGAAACGCTCGGATACAATGCTGGACACGGTATGGAGAGCTTTGCCTTGTTTGCTGGACACGAAAGGTTGGATGTCGAGTTTGATGAACTTGAGTAGATACGTGATGATCGCTGAGCCAACAACGATGACCCCCACGGCATATAGGCGCTCGTAGTGGTGGTGGTTAGATGCCATTGTGATTGTGTTCATTGTGAACGGAGCCCTGCCCTGCAAGTAGAATGATTCTGACGACAAGTATGGGACAGGTATGTTATGGAGGTCAAATGAAAGATGCAACAAGCAAATTGACAGTGATGGATCGTTATTGTCGTTCGTCGTACGAGAAGGCTATGGAACATGTGGCTGAGTCCTGGTAGTTATACAAGTGAAGTGATCCTGCCCCTCACCAAGTCATCGGTGCTTTTGATTTCTTCAGGCCGACAACACGAATACAATCCACACCACGCCGTCGGCAGTACGGGGGGTTGATGTTCCAAAGCAGAGTATCCGCGGCTTCTTCACGCAAATCTCGAAGACGTGTAAGAAAAGAGTACCCACCATGCGAGAATTGTTTGCGAAAGCCGAGCTGGCTGTCGGGTCGTGCTGATGGGCCATACTCGTAAAAACTGCCGCCGCGTTGTATACCCAGGTAGGCGTTCAACTACCAAAAGAGGAATGAACTGAAGGTGGAAGAAGTATCAGGACACGGGATTGGAGGGGACTCAGGTGGCATTTCGGCCAGTTTCCAGAAGACACAGACGTGGGAGCCGCGTCAACCACGATGGTATGGGCGAGGGGCGTGCGGCTCATGCATGTCGTAGTGAGATGGAAGGCAAGATCTAGGCATACTCCCTATCATACTTCGTATACGTTGGTCCGGATGTGATAGGACGAAATTTCGAAACGTAGCGCGATAAGCAGGTGGCGTCGGGTGGTATGAGGCTGCACGTTTCGTCGACGACGGTTCCATGGGTCGATGAAGAAGTTGATGCAGTTCATTGGGTCATTGTCGATGGTGAAGTTGAAAATGCGCTGTGACATTCCCTGGCAGGCGGAACATCGGTGCTTATAAACGCCGATTCTTGGCATCAAACGGGCAAATGGTTTTCCGAGCCTCTCGACCTCCCACCGCCCATCACGCAGCCCGGACATGTGCTTTTCGCCTACGCTGGCATCCGACAGCACTTCTTCGATGGTGCATTGACTGATCATGATGTACGCATGCCCTCTTTATTGAACACTTCTCAGAGCAGATATCAGTGTCGATGAACCACCCGAGCTCTCAGTTGACGATGCTCTTCTTGTCCCGGCTAATCTATCAGTAACAACAACTGACCGCAAACAATCCACGAATTGACCATGATTATCAGCTCTCCAACCCCTGTCGAACACTGCAGCCACCATGTGCTCTTCCTTGATGCAGTTTGATATTACTTTGCAGGTCGCAGCCTTGCGAGCTCGGCAAGAGTCCGGAGGATCTGCAGGTGGCCTCCAGGCGACACCTGCGGATGTGGTTGTCAACTTCCGGGGTTCGCTAATCGAGCAGGCTATCTTTGGACCTTTCTCCGTTGTCATTTTGTGATTGTGGAACCAGACACTGTTCAAGCTGCAGATAAGATTCATACCCCGGTTCGACATCGATCCTCGCTTTGCAATCCTGGCAGTCAAGACGTTCAAGCTTGATTATCAAGCTGTTGCGTCAACACTGAGTTTCGATTCGGCGCAATGAGCCCGCTTCGACTGTCAAAAATAACCATGGACGAGATGCATTGAAATGTACGAGCCTTTCCAGGAGTGGCCGCACATATGCCGAGGACACTCATGATGAAGAATTGCCTACAATGGCGAAAAACCACTACATGTGGCAATCTTTTGGCCATCCCTACCCAGTGTTGACAGGAGACACGTCGCAGCTTACACTGAAGGACAGGTGGTAATTGTGAATCTCAACCTACGTGCTAATGCAAAGTCCAGAATGTCCGTTATAATGACAGGGGATAACGGCCAGAGTCCGAAAGACGCTGTTTAGGTGGTTGGCAACATCATGATCATTGCACAGAAACCCGAATACGAGATTCAACACTGACCTGTCCATGGGCTATGACCGACTTGCGAGTAGTCGATGGCAACGGCTAGCTGGCTTGATGACATGTTGGCTGACACGCCATTATGAAAAGCACATGCCAAGGCGAAAAAATGTTCTAAATTTATCAGGTTTGTTTATCTGATGGAGGACACATTCAGGGAGAGACTTTGTTCTCGTCCTGTCGAAGTCCTACACCACGATGGGCCGAAAGACATGTTGGGCATCGAACGCTACAAGCATCTTTTGTCTACATCGGGCACAAATCAACGATCATTCACACAACATCTGCGTCATAGGGGTAGATTTGCATTATTTTATAGCCATTTCATAAACCATTCGCCTATCAAACACCCTCATGACCGTCACGGTTCTGCATCATCGGTCTCGTATTGCTTCAAAGAGGGGGAGGATCTTCACCCGGCCCACCGACCAACTTCCCCTTTCAATGAACAAGGCCTGCGTTCAAGGCCTTGCCACTCTGCCACAGCAAGTAGATACATGCGAAATTGCTCGTCCACCAGGTCAAACTCCTGACGTAGGAAAGTTTGACATTGTCCACGGTCAAGTAGAGGACGGCGTACAGGACCCTCGCGACCGAGTATACCAAGCACGCCTTGTTGATCGAATCATTGGGGACCTTGGCCACGGTCGCGAACAAGGCGCTGCCGACGAACATGGGGAAATGCTCCATCGCGTTGGCGTGGGCGGCCTCGTTGCGTTTCAGCATGTTGAGTTGTTTGCGGGTGATTTTGCCGTCCTGCACGGCCCTCTCGCCGAATCGGGACACGTCCTCGCGAGGGTTGACGTTGTGGTCGAAGCCGTAGATGTTTTTGAGGAGGCGCGACGAGAGAAAGACATGGGCAAACAAAAAGTTGAAGATGGCGTGGTACGGGGCATTGTTTGGAGGCGGGGCGAGGCCGTCTGAGCCCCGGCCGAGCATGGTGGCCAGAGTCGATGATGGCATCGTTTGGTCTTCACAGTCGGGGAGTCGCTGCGCTGGGGTGGTCAGTAGTTTTATGATGCGGTGTCTGTACTCGTACCAAATAAGTGAAACGAAGCCAGGACTCTCTAAAGCAGAAATATCAGGTTGGAAGATTGTTTAAGCTGGCGCCCATGGCATCTACTGTAAATTGTGAGCCGAGGCTGAAAATGGAGGAGCATGGCATGCTCTCCGTATCCGAGCCAAGACCAAGCAAGGGGAAATCAGCCTTGTATACACCACACATATTGTCCGCTTTTGCAACTTCGCTTTCGACGCGAGAGTCTTTTTGAACTCAAGAATAAGTGGCAAAGGACATGTCTGGCTTTTTGAGTCTGATAACTCGGAAACCCTCATCCATCTCATACAAGGATCGACCTCGATCCGTCTCAGGTTAGCAGCATCATCCACGAAGCACACCTCCAATCACGAACATTTACGCACAATGCCAGATGAACCCATCCATAGATCGATTCGATACCACGATATAAGGCCCCCATTCTTCACGAGTGCATGCCTCTGTTGTATCTCGCACATCCCCTTGTACCTGAAGGCACTGGTGATAGCATTTTAGGAGAAAGCCGCAGGTTTCCTGAAAGATAGGCTCGAGCTTTGCTGTCACTTGTACCTAGGTAAGTATCAGGCATGTTTTAGCCAGTGTGACTTGCGCCAAATTTCGAGTCTTGGAGGGATGAGAAGCCGGTCTTTTCAAGGGGTTTTTGTTTTATCCAAAAACACCGACCACCATACTCGGAATGAGTTTAGGATTACACCGCACCCGCCCGCATTTGAGCGGTTCAAGATAAGATCATACAAGGATGCTAAGCAGACCGTCGCGTCCGAACGGTGGTTCGGTGGAGTTCTTGGTATCATATGTATAGGTGTGTTTAATGGTGAGTCGTCCCGTCTATCACATACTTTTCCTGCAGATCATCACCAAGATGAGTTCAGAGATAAGGGATATGTTGCGGCGTTGCCCGACCTGATACATGGACATGAGCTATCATTTCCCAATCTCTGTTCGGGGATCTTGTACCCCGAACGTAGAGGGAAAGGTGCTAACGATATAAATGAACCGAATGTAAGTTGCAATCACCTCTTTGAGACCGAAAAAGCTTTCCAGCGTTCAAAATCGACATGGATGTTGCCAATATGTCAGAGAAGCCAAAGATGCCGGCTTCCGAAGAGTTCAAGGGCGTCGTCGATGTCGGAATCGGCGAGGCTGAACTGAAATCGTCTCCTGATGCCCATCTCCAGCGGAAACTGGGTGGTAAAGAAGTTCAACTCTTTGCGATTGGAGGGGCCATAGGAACAAGTAGGTTGGGGGCGCGGTCCGATGAAGAACCCTCAATCGATGTACCAGCGGTACTGACTTGAACGTCACACAGGTGTCTTTGTGACGATGGGATCTTATCTCCCCCACGGTGGTCCCGCAGGCCTCTTCCTGGGTTACACTCTCTGGTGTATGAATGTGTGGTGCGTGAATGAGTGTTTTGCCGAGATGGTCGTGTACGCACCGGTCCCGAGTGGCTTCATCCGTTTCACCTCCGTCTGGGTCGACGAGGCACTGGCTTTCTCACAGTCGTGGGCTTTCTTCCTGTGTCAGGCTCTCCTCATCCCTGCAGAGATCACGGCCCTACACGTCGTCATCACATTCTGGACGGATGAACTGCCCGTCGAGGCCACGGTGGTCATTGTGATTGCCATCTACGGGGCTCTCAATCTTTTCAGTACCGAACTGTTTGGCAAAGCTGAATTCTACATGAGCATTGGCAAGATTTTTTTGATTTTCTTGTGCTTCGGCTTCACCTTTTTCACAATGGTCGGTTGTAATCCTTTAAGAGATGCGTACGGGTTTAGATACTGGAACAACCGTGAGTCACCAGATCCCATCCGTGACTCTCTCTGACTCCTCCATAGCTGGTGCTTTTGCGGAGTACCTCACGACCGGATCTCTCGGCCACTTCTGGGGCCTGCTGAGCTGCATGACCTTTGCCAGCTTCGCCGTCTGCGGACCAGAGTACATCAGTAGCGTGGCGGGAGAGACGAAATCGCCACGTCGCGTTCTACCAAGCTGCTTCACCAGTTTCAAGTGGCGCCTCCTCTTCTTCTTCGTCGGCTCAGCCCTTTGCATCGGTATCGTCATCCCCTACGACGACCCGACCCTCGCGGCGTACCTCAGTGGCGAAGTGGCTGGCGGTGGCACGAGTGCCGCCGTGCCTTACACCATCGCGATGCGCCGGATGGGCATCAAGGGTCTTCCTCATCTGATCAACGCCATCCTCCTGACTTCCATATTGAGTTGCGGCAACGGAGTCTTCTTCGCTGCTTCGCGAGCACTTTTCGTCATGGGAGAGACTGGCCGGGCACCCAAACTCTTCACGAAGACGACGAAAAGAGGCGTGCCAATCTACGCGGTGATTGCGTGTCTCCTCATCGCCTTCTTGGCCATGATGGGTGCGGACAGCGGAGCGAATGAAGTCCTCCACTACTTCATCGACCTCTGCACCATTTGTGGTCAGTTCAACTACATGTGCGTCTGTGTGACATATGTCCACTTCTACTACGGTATGAAGCGGCAAGGGGTCTCTCGCGACACGCTCCCGTACAAGGCACGATTCCAGCCGTACGGCGCGTGCATCGGCGCCACGGCGGCCGTGGTGATGATGTTCCTGCTCGGGTTCGACATCATCAGCCCCTTCTCCATCAAGTGGTTCTTCTTGGACTACACGCTGCTGGCGGTCTTTCCCATTGCGGCCGTGGTATGGAAACTCGTCAAAAAGACAAAATACGCAGGTTTTGGCAAGGCAGACTTGGGATTGAACGGTTTGGTCAAGGAAGTGGATGATTATGAAGACATGGTCCAGCCGGAGCCAGAAGGCTGGTTCGAGAAATTCTTCAGTGGCGTCTGGACATGGCAGGAAGTGGGAGACGCCGTGCGGCGTAAGAAGACACATACTTGAAACAGCACTCAGAACAAAAATTGGTAGGTTAGAATGACGAACCACTTCTTTATTTTCGTATTCAAGGGCAACCTGAGAGAAACGCCGGGTATCGTAGACACGTAATACTTGTGGAAATGAACTTTTGACCACAATCGAGCCACATCTTAATCGAGATCCATCTCCTCTTCCGTCCCGCCACCGACGAGCATCTTCCTCTTCCGTTTCTGTCTGAGTCTCTCCTCTCCGACCAGTCTTGAAGTCTCCATCTGGGCCTTGACCTCCTCGACCATGGGATCCGTCTCCGCCCTCGCGGCCTCGAGATCTGCCAATTCCTTCCGGATGAGGTGCTCCCCTTCGGCGACGACTTTGAGATCCTGCCGTCTTCTCGCCTCGCGTTGTGCCTTTCCGCTGAGTCTCCGTCTGGTGTACACACGCTCTCTTCGGGCTCTGATCGCTTCGATGCGTTCCATGGCCTTCATGGTCGCTGCCACCAGGTTGCGGTCGTACTTGACGGGGGCGTTTCGTCGCTTGGCGAATTGCGAAAGCAGCAAGTTTTGGTCGACGATCATCTCCTTGCCTCGGAGGGCGCGAGAGGTCTTTGTCCACTTGAGTTTACGAGGTTGTCGCTTCATCTTGAAGTTCTTGTGACACTTGGAGCGGCAAAACCGAAAGACTTTTGCATCGTTGCGGACGAAAGTGATACCCTTGGAGGGGTACACTGGGCGAGAACACAGATGGCATGTTTCGATCCTGTATCTGTCAGTTACCAGTGCCAGAGAAATGGTCAATGAAATTCAAACGTACCTCATGGTGGATGACTACAACTGCGCGGGCAGCCGGTGACGGGGAGTGTGATTAACAAGGGAAAATAGACGCAACACCACTCAGGGCTGCTGCTGAATGTCGAATCTTGTCGCACAATTTGCAACACCGACAAATTGTTGTTGTTTCTCGTCGTGAAGTCTTGTACATCTATCGATTGTCGCCGAAAAGCCCGCAGGCAAGGAAAATTTATGCCAAGGTATCATCATCCGACGATTAGCCGAGGACCCATTAAGGAAGCCTTGCCGATCAAGATCATCCGGTGCTCGAAAGTTCCTTCACCATTTCTCAAAGACAAGAACATCAATTTCACAAATCAACATATATACCCACCACAAGGAGATCATTGTTCGTGCGCTTTTCATTCTTAGCGCACTGCTAGCTTTGCGAACGTAACAAGTCTCTCACCGGGAGGACAGAACCCAGAGCAATGGCGTCAACTGTAGCGGTTGGCGTAGGCATCGCCGCCGCAGCTTTCTTCGTACGTTTTATGACACCATTTTTTTGTCCAGTGACTTGTTAGGTCTAACACATATTCTCAGGGCCGCGCTGGACTTGTGGCTTTCCGCCGCTGGCGCAATCCGAGCGCCGTAAACGCCCTCGGCCGTGCATTTTACAAAGGCGGCTTCGAATCGAAAATGACGAAGAAAGAAGCATCATTAATACTGGATCTGAGCGAAAGAACCTTGACGAAAGATAAAATCCGGAAGAATCACAGAGCCTTGATGCTGGCGAACCATCCCGACAGAGGAGGGAGTCCATATTTGGCCAGTAAAGTCAACGAAGCAAAAGAATTCCTAGAACGGAATGGGTGAAGATGTTACGGAGATAATATTGATTCTGGGGCAATGTCATAATCATAGCATATGGTTTGGCAGAAAGATTGACCACCTTGTCTAGAAGACGAGGATTGACCTGCGAACGGAAAAGACTTCGAATGGGGCAAGTCAAGCAGTTGCTCTACTGCTTTTCAGCGTTTGGCATAGCGATGGCGTTCAATGGGTGGCTTTCAATGATGCGCCGGGATTGTTTCCCACCAGTCCTGAAGGTTGATGTTGACATTTCAGGGACCGAAGTGCTTCAAGATGCCTTTTTTTCAGATCTCCTCTCGAATTCGGCGATTCTACGGAGCGTTTCTTAGGAAGGACGACTGGGCTGCGCAAATCTCAAAAGATCTAGCACGCTCCAAAAGGATTGTTGTGTTATTTCTCACAAAGTCTCGCACAGAGCCTGGCCCTCGAGACTGAAATCTTGAGCGAGAACCATCCGTGTATATAATGTACAATATGAAACAAAAATGCACAATCGATGCTTTGTTGTTCTTGATAGGGCAAAAAAAATGGTGAACGCTCCGCAATGTTTTACCGTCCCAACCCATCACATCTTGCAAAGAAGTCGTCGAAGTAGGCGTTGAATTCATCTTCTTCCTCCCACATCAGCACATGGCCCTTTCCCTTCCAGACTTTGTACTCGATTCCCTGACCGAGCTGATCCTTCAACATCTCGGCGTGGTGGAAGGTGATCATCCGATCCCCGGTGCCGTGGAGCACGGCGATGCGATCCCGGCCGACTTGGTCTGCCAACTGTGCGATCTGAGCCGCACTCTTGTGGTGCCACCCGGCCGCAATGGCCTGCAGCATGAACCCCTTTCTGGTGAAGCCTTCCTTGTCGGACCGCTTGTCCAGCTCCCCGGCGGCGAACCGGTCGCGATTCGTGGGGTAATTCAAGCCCGAGTTTTCCGGTTGCTCGGTGTCCGGCAGCGCGAGGAACTCGTCCGAGAACAGACGGTGGGCGATCTCGTCGAGTTGAACGTCAATGTCGCGCGGAATGAACATGTTGATGCGCTGTCTGAGGTTCTCGATAAAAGGGATCGTGCGTACCAGACGGGGCGCCGTGGATACCAAGCCGAGCGACGCGACGTGCGAGGGGATGAGGAGGCCGAGTTCCTGTGCGATCATGCCGCCCATGCTGACGCCTATTACGTGTAGATTCCTCTCGCGTCCAGGTCCACCAGCTCCGGGCGAGGCAGTTGATGTCGAGGTCGAGGTTGTGGTCGGTGAAGAATCGGACGGGATCCATCCTAAATGACTCAACAGGTCGAGTATGTCCTTGGCCATCTCGGACGTGGAATATCGACAGCTCGGTTTGTCCGAAAGACCCATTCCTCTGTTGTCAAAGACGAGAGAAGAGTATCGAGATGATCGGCCGTGACCAAAGTATTTGGTTTGACGTTTCCATGCTGTCCGGAACGCTCCAAGGCCCATTATCCACTGCAATTTTTTTTGGAGATATGGTTAGTATATACGAATAGAAATCAAGGGGGTCTGGCCTGGGGATTGGATGATACTGTCTGGGGGAGACGGTACGGGCTCGAAGATATCATCTATCGCCTTGTCGATCGCTGACCACATTCTCTTGTTGATACACAGCAGGACCATAGGTTTAGGTCATATTCCCGACAACTCGAATGAATAAGAGAAACAAAAACTCACCACAAGCTTGACATTTCCCGTACCGTGAACTTCGTAATGAATGTTGAAAGGTCCCCCAGCCCGGCCTTTGGCGACCTCACATTTGCCTTGTTTTGTAGGCGGCAGATCCCAATGTACAGTCTTGTAGGCAGGATGCGCAAGAACTTCGGCCGCGGTGAGTGGCATGTTGAATGATTGTTCGTTGACCTGCCACGGTTCCTGGCGGGCGCGAAGAGAAGTCGAGAAGCCACTGTGCGGTAGGGTGGCAATATAAAATGCTGTGAAGGGTTGAGCAAGAGGGGAGAACCTAGAACCAGCACCACAAGTGCCTCAGATCTTAGGACCAGGTTTGTCGACAATATCAAAACCCTGCCGATGACAGATTTCTGGTCGTGTGCCAGGGTAGCGAGATACGCTGGGGGCTAGTATTCGTACTTCCTACTCGTCAGTAAGTACCTCCCTTTACCCAGGTAGGCAGCTATCACGAGCAGAGAACAAAAAGGTTATTCACGGAGCGCATACGCACGTACGTACGGAGTATTCAGAGTGGACGACTGAGAGATAGAAGCATATTTCGGGCGGATGATTGCTGGGGAGGCTGGATTAGAGCATTTTTGCTGTTCACCTACCAAAGTAGGTAAGCAACATACCTCGGCACCTACAGTTGTATTCAGAACAAAAGTCAGAGATATCTCCCACATCCTCACATGCTAGCCAGAACCTACTACGAGTAGTTGTATATGGCAATTCAACCGTTAAGCTCTGCCAAGTACAAGTATAGTAATTGATGGACAGACTACTTACACCACTGATCAGATTAAGATCCCCAGATTCAAGTTCCCTTTCGTCACGTATGGACCGAGGATATGCAAACCATGCGGAGAACGGCTGACCCTCTTTCTTTGTCTAGTTCTCGTCGACGACTCAAAAAAGTACCTTATTGTACGAGAAGTAGTGAGGGCCTTCTCCTCATCGTGTGGGACGATCTTGACAGCAGTATCGAGCCTTTTGCCTCCAATATGTATCCCGTCATCATCGGAGAAAGGTCGACTTTGGTCTCCGATTCTCTAAAAGTCGCATAGCATTTCCCTGGTTTGTAAACGCATTCTAGACGAATCCACCTGATGGGCCATTCATCAAAACAAATATATACACGTTGAAGGAACAGATCAAGAAATAAACATGGCAACAGCAGCAGCAACATCACAAGAAGCCGTGGCCTTTATAGGTACGTCTACTGAGAACGAGCATGACAGGGAAGAAACAAATGGAAAACTGAGAAACTGAAGCAAACCAACAGGCCTCGGCGTCATGGGTTACAACATGGCAGTCAACCTACGTACGAAAATGCCCAAGGAAAAGACTCTCGTTATTTGTGACGTGTCTGAAGAAGCCCTTTCGAAATTCCAAGAACAAACCGGCAAATTTGGACCTGTGGTAGTAGCCAAGAATGGAGCAGAGGCCATTCAGAAAGCCGTGAGTGACACCATTTGAGTCCAGAATAGATGCTTTCAAAAAGCTACAACCGAAATACTGAAGTTTCAGCCCACAGGACACAATACTCACAGTCTTACCCAATGATGCAGCTTGCGAGAGTGTATGGCTCGACCCGGCAAATGGCATTCTCGCGGGTGTCAAGCAGTCGAACTCCAAAAACCCCAAAATCGCCATGGAATGTGGTACGATGAGTCTCGAAATCATCAACAAGATCCGCGATGCGTCCTCTTCTTCTTCTTCAAGAAGCGGCCTGACCTTCATCGACGCACCGATCTCGGGAGGTCCGTTGGGTGCCAAAGCGGGTACTCTCACCGTCATGGTCGGTTGTGAAGAGTCCATTTTCCCCGTCGTCAAACCGTTGCTCGAGTACATGGGGACGAGTATCCGGAGGTGCGGCGAGGTCGGGTCCGGGACCGCCTTCAAGACCATCAACAATTACATGTCCATCACGCAGGTTTTGGTCGCCAGTGAAGCTCTCAACATCGGTGCGAAGTTGAACCTCGACATGAAGGATCTGATCGACACGATCAATTCCAGCAGCGGTCAGAGCTGGATCACGTCCAAGAACAACCCCGTGCCTGGGATCACCCCCGGGGGCGCCGCCAGCAACGGGTACAACGGTGGGTTCCGGTTGGAGCTCGGCCAGAAGGACCTCAAGTTGGGCGTGAGGTTGGCGGAGATGGCTGGGGCGAAACCTCTACTCTCTTTAGAAACCCTAAAGGTCCTCGATCAAGTCTCGAGTGATCCCAGGTACGCAGGCAAGGATTTGAGGGTCGTGTACAAGTGGTTGAACGAGCAATAGTTGGGATTGCCACGGTAGGTAACACATGCAAAAGGATACTTGGTTGTGACGAGGAAAATAATCGACATCATTGCAGTAGGAACCCAAAAATGATTAGAAGACTTTTTGAAATGCACTTTTGATCTGAAAATAGATGAACCTTGTAGGAATACACCTAGGTATCGGTTGGCCATTTGAAAACGCAAAGGGTGGTTTCAAAACAGAGTAAAAGGAGGCTGCCTAAAAAGCAAAATACCTCTAATTACTCTTCTATACGCTACTCTCACACTGTCTCAGGCTTGCTATGAAGAATGAGTGTAAACGTAGGTATCGTGTTCTCGAAGCCAACACACGAAGTACTATATTCTATTTACTACACATACGTCTTCGTTTGCTTTATTGATGAGTACGTCTATCACTGCAGAATCCATGTGACGTCGCACTCAAGTAGTAAGTACTCCGGTAATGCATTCACCTCTTGGTCTCTCAACAAAAAAAAAAGGCTCGAAACCCCCAGCCTCGTCGAACAACAAGCGTGATCTACCAGTATATCGATCAACATCTCAACTTGAGATCGTTTCCGACCCCCTCCCAAAAAGAATTGGTCGCCATCATCGTCGTACTCGTGCCTTTGAAACTCTCACGAACCGGTTCGATCGTCAAGAAAAGTGGCTGAGAGCCTACTCGTAGGCTGGCGGATAAGCTCCGCCGCCGTGAGTCCCTGATCAGCGTTGACGCCAGATAGACTCCATCGGTACAGTACAACCTTTGCGCCAAAAGTGGAAGAACCGACAATCATGGCGCGCTACCAGGCGCACATCAACGCTGATCCAAAGCGCGGGGGTTTTGTTGATCGGATCATCGAACGGCTTTGCGGCCATCGCAACACATACCACCAGCACAAAATGTAGAAAAGCCACGAAGCGCGTTAGCAAAAACCATGTCCTTACGCAGGCACACACGCGCAACGATGAAAAATCAGCCCAAAAGAAAATTTTGCAGTCTTAAATTGATGAATCCAATATCATTTCGTCGTACTAAAAAGTGGCTTGCTGTGCCTTATTGCTTTCCTGCATTTCAAAGATATAACAACTCCAATTCGTATGACATGTAAAAAGCCTGCTCGACGCAAAGGACAGGACAGTCCCACTCACTTTAACCTCGTCGACTTCGTGACGTAGAACGAGCCAACTCATCGGTGCTTTCAGGATCTGTCGGCGGAGCTGGGGAGTATGATTTTTTCTGTTTGTGGTTTTTGTCACACCAAAAAAGTACGTACATACTGCGAAGAACCTTCCCAATCAATTCATGTTGTAAAAGAACGTAGGAAAAATCGGGTGTAGTAAGGAACGGATAGTCTCGCTCGGGGACTGGTGATGTAGTTTATTATTCCTCCATCCTGAACATTTCTTCATCCTCCATGGCAATGTCCTTGTCCTCTTCATTCTCCCGGTAGCTGCGTTCGTCCGAGAGGTTTTGGGTCAAAGTCGGGGGATGCATCTGCAACAAAGGATTATATACGTTGGTCAATGTACTGTCAGACGATTTGCTGTTGAAGGACTGGTACTGTTGTGGCAATGGTGGTACAGGCGGGACATCGGCACCTAAATAGGTCGGTTTTGTGCGAGGTGTCCCGTTGAAGGTAAGGCCTGCGGTGGCTGCAGCAAGACTGCCATCATCGGTTCCCGATGTGCTAGGGCGGAAGTCCACCCCGGAAAATCTTTGTGGCGGCAGGCCCGGCGACAAAACGCTCTCGGTGTAGGAGCTTGACGGAATCGATCTGTATGAGCGTGAGAAACCATTGCTGCTGACACTGAAGCGCTTGGCGTCAGGAACAGGGTAGGCGGCTTCGCTCATGGGCGGCGGTGTGGTCTCAACAGAGCTGACGTCGTCGTGCATTTCAGAAGAGGAGAAGCCTGGAGAAGCCGAAGATCCTTCACTAGGGTCGATGACCGCTGCTTCAAGATCGGATGGGGTCAATGGCGATCCCTCCGAAGTCATGTTGCACAGCACGGACGCGGCTTCTAGCAATTGAACCTGCTGATGCTTAGAAATAAGCAGCTTAGACGTAATCGCCCATGCTGGATCATGTTCCCATCTAGATTCTGTCAGTACAAGTAGTGTGGAAAGTCCAGGTCAACCGTACAGATGCTTGGTGAGGCAACTGCTGTGCTTGTAACCCTTGCCACAGGTGTCGCAGCGCAGCTCAGATGCTGACTTCTTGCCATCGCCTTTGATCAAGTATGACCCTTCACTAGCTCTTCTGTTTCTATTTTTGGTACTCGTGTTTTTGGAAGACGAGGCCTGGTCCTCATCTTGTGAGTTGTCCTCGAGGGCTTCATTGTCTTGGCCACTGCGACTCCCGGAGCCACCATTGAAGTACGAGTGCATACTCGGTCTGGCACTCATACTTTGTGACTCCATTGTCTTTCTTGAGCCCAAACTTCTTCGGTGGGTTTGGAACGGCATGACTGACGCGTCACCTTGTTCTCTCAATGCCGCAGCGATAGCGGCCTGTGCAGTGGTTGAAGTATTGACGCTCTTTCGACGATTGACTCGATGGGAGGGGTTTGTAGGCGCTAAGGAGATAGAATGAGAATGTTGTCTTGTCGTGTTAGACGAGGGCCTTGAGAAGCTGCCCGAGGCAGGACGAGAAGATGGTTGTTCCTTTGTTTAGAACTAGAGTCAGCACGGGCTTCAGGTCGAGAATGGGTCATCCGTGACTTTTTTTTTGTGCTCACCTTTGAAGAAGCCATTGTAAACAGAATAATGGAGGAAGTTATCAGACGACTCCCGAGTCCAAAACTTTTTGGTAGTCTCGAAACTTGAGAGCCGTCAGGAGATGGCAGCAGTCAAGGCGAATTGTTTGGTGGGGGGGGAGATTCGGGCATGCACCGGCGAATCGATTGAACGCGAGGGGCTTTGTTGGGGAGTCGTGATTGTCTCGTGGTGCGAATGGATTGTGTAGCGACTCGAGCCGACAGTGATTGAGTGTTGGTAGGCCGGTGGTTGGATGCGTTGGAAAGAGAGATGAGATGTTCAGGAACCAGAAGTGTTGGAATGTGTGAACCGTGGATGTAGGAGTGTGGGAGTGCGGAACAGGCACAGGCTGGAATGTCTATGAGTGTGAACTGTCCACTGTGGCTGTGGAGAGCGAACGACTGAAAGAGGAGCTGCGAGTTGGACACTTTTTTTTTTCTGGACAAGGGCCAAAATTGAATCGTCCACCTTCTTTCGTCCAGGCTAAACTCGTTCCGCTGTCTTCTGACCTCTCGCTGCCTCTGTGCCTTTGACTGGTTCCTTGCTTCGTTAGCTGCGGGGTCAGCCCGTGCCTGGGCCTAAGCGTCTGCAGGAAATTAATTATCGTGGCTCTGTCCCAGGCGAGTCTATTGGCGAGTGTCTCAACAACGAGAGCGCCAGGAGAGATTTGATCTTGTGTGCGCGCGATAAGCAAGCGCAGGTCTCGGACGAGTGTACGTGGTGACAAACAGGGGAAGTAGAATGCGCGTCGGGATTATGTACGAGTACAATACAAATTCAGTTCATCGAAGGAATGGTGGAATGCAACCCCATCGACCATCAACCGCCAGATGCCGATGACCACGGGGTTCGAGTTGATGATGGGATCACGGCGAACATGGACATGACCAGGGCTTGTTACTCCGTAGGACAACAAGCATACGAGGCATGGGGGCGTTTTTTGGAGTATCGAGACATGGTCACGGGTCAGGCAAACCAGGCCACAACACGCCGTCAGTCTCGCTTCGTACCTGACTAAAACATTTCCTTGCCAAAACAATTGCGGCCCCCTCACGAAGAATCGTATCGGCTCGTCAAGAGGCCTGTTTCATCATGATTATTATTGTCAACGTAAACTAGAGACGACAAATCCGAGATCTACGATGCCCGTCGATTATTCACATACAGACTACACTCAAATACCGGTACAGACAAGGATGCGAGGGAACGGACCTCGTCCGCGCCATGCGAGGAGCTGGAGAAGTACTCCGTAGTACCAGTGATAGATGATACTCGGGCCAGCCGCGCCAGCCCAAAAGGTGTCAAGGTATCGCTCAATCGCTCTCCCCACGGTTACTCCGAGTGGCAATGATGAGCACAATTGCGCTGGGCCACCCTCCCGGTACCTCTTTGACTCCGCGAATCAGCACAAAGTCGACGAGTGTTCTAGCTACGAGTCCATATGTCTATTGGTGGCCAACTGTTCTATGCGATGGCCCGAGCGAGAGCCATGCTTCAGGGAGAACTTAGAGCCACGCATTCTGGACGCGGCGCCGTGGGAAAGACAAATCGAGTACGAAAGTAGATCGCAACGCATGCGGCACGGCAGAGTTCGATGTCGTGGCTCTTGAGGTTGTGTGGAGAAGGATAAGACCGACGTGTCGAACCAAGAGACCAGGTTTGCCACCAACAGGTACCTAGATATGCATTGTATGCGAACAGCTGCAGTAAGGTACGCGCCAACGCCTCCAGCACCCCAAAGCTCGTACCCATGAAAGCACCGGGCCAGTATTCTGACTGGCGGCTGCTCTGGTCGCCTGATAGCGGCGCGAGGCAACAAAATCACGCACTTGTCGAGCCCACAATTCCGTCATCGGATTGACCTGTGCATAGATACGACCTGGTCCGGTGGCCTCCCAATAGTGCTGCACAGCATCCATCGTGCCCCTTCAGCTTATGACCTTGGTCAGCATCGACTTTAACCTGCGTCATCGGTCCAATGTCTCTTCGCAATATCCATACGAGTATGGAGTATGAGTACTCGTACACGTACATCCCGTACGAGATATACTCAAGCTGGATAAGATGGATAATCACCCCGTAAAAGAGGCCGCCGCGCCGGAGACTCTCTGGTCCAATGTCTGACAGGAGAGGAAATGTTTACAACAGTGCACCCGGACATCGGCCTATTATTGTTATTTTCAAACTTTCTTCCAGAAGGACAATCCTTTCCCAGTCGTCCGGCTCTCCCAGCGACTATCACTTGCTGATCCTCCGGAACAATTTTTTTTTGTTTTGGACCTTCAGAGACATGAGGCCTGTCACTGCCGCTTTCTGAGCCACAGAGAAAGGGACCCAAAACCGGTATTCAAATGTCAAGCCGAAGTCTATGGTCCACGCCTTGTGCTTCCCCCTCTTCGGGCTCCTCTGTGCCCACAAAAAGTAGCAGATGCGAAAGCGAAAGGACAGGACAGCCATCCTGAATTCGATCGTGTTACACTAAAGAGCGGGGTTTCAGACGAGCCCTGGTTTGGTTAGATTCCCCCAGTTGTGGCAACCTACTAGGCATGTTTCTGTGAAGGGCGGGTACGGGAGAGCATAACTAGTATGGAGTACCATGTCTCGGGGTTACTGGGCTATGGACGGATAAAATCGTGAATCGGGGGTAATAATAATCTGGTACAGCGCTCGATCTGCCAGCAACTGGAAAAAAAAGTATGAGGATTGAAATAAAAAAATTAGTAGATCGAACGGGTGCCATCCAATGCAGACTTTGGCTGAGGTCTCTGCCGATGTCGGTCCTTTTTTTTTTTGAGCGGCGCCTGCTTTACAAAGCCCCTTGGTTATCTCCTCTATCAAGCAGGGTTCTATCGCAGAACTGATAACGCGTTGACAGCTGGGCCCCCCCTGTCATTCGTTTTTTGGCATCCCGAGGTAAGAACTTATCGGCAGTGGGTTGTGCCGAGAGAACTTGATATGTGTGTGTGTGTGTGTGTGTGTGTGTGTGTGTGTGTGTGTGTGTGTGTCTGTACTGTACGCGTAGTTGTCTAATCCTTTCGCAACTACTCGTTTTTCCTCAAGACGATAAATGATCCGATTACCAATAATGGGATGTGATGTGTGAGGGCCGCTTCGGCCCAGAAGGGACTTGACTGGAGGTTGTTAGCTCTTCCAAGGCTGGCCAAGTCAACCTTTGCAGTTCCTGAGAACGAACAAAGTACAAATTTGGGGATTACGGGGCCCAGTACGGATACTCCGTACGCATACAAAAAAACTTATAGTTGTGTGAACCACGGAGCATGCAGCCGCGCTTCGATTTGTTTCTCAGAGGGCTTCAAATAACAACATCCTCCTCGCAGTCGGTGCGACTACTCCTGGCTTTTCTTAGAACACTGGTACTGATCGGCCTTAGTTTACGGACGAAGACCCTTCTTGTATCTTATTCCGACAAACTATACTCCGTATCATTGTGCTGTATGCATAAAATAGCACCGAGTACAGGACGACGCTGGTCCTTTGTGTGGATGCCCTCTGAAGCCCGCTCGCTATGCACGTTCTCGGCTCACCTTCCACATTCCATTCTATGCCTGGTTGGTCTCCTGGAATAAGAAGCCTAGGGAGCCCTTTTTCCAACACCTTCGTCACGGCGGCAATGAGATTCTTTCCCCGGGCATAACTAGTTCAGCCCTTTTAGGCTCGTCGCCTACAAGATTATGATCGGGTCTTTGTGGATGACCGAGTACTCGCCAATGATCAATTGAAGGTCAATGAACGCAAACCTGAACGGCGGCTAACCGGGTGCCCGAGTGACCAACACCGTTGTATTTGAACTTTTGCTCATGAATTAATTTATTATTGAGCTGGTGGTATCTGAGTACGGAGTATGGTCAAGGCCGTCGAGTAGTCCAAAAGACACATATGGAGAGAAAAGATATATCCAAGATTCTCATATCCCTATCCAACTAAACCATTCTTCAATCCAATGGTTGCTATTCCAAGTAAGATGGATTCGACCTTCTGCAGCAACGCTACACATTTCCCATCGAATCTCAACGCGCTAGTATGAACGACCGGAGAGATCCTCTTTGACTTTTGCATTCACGTACCGAACCCGAGGCCATCCAAGGACCTTTTTGAAATTCCAGATCACCGTTCGCAGCTCTTGCCTAAAGAGCCTGTCCATGTGTGATGGCTGGATGATGTGCTAGATCGGGTCTGTTCAGTTCGGGGCTCGTCAAGTATCGTTCGCTCTTGGGACTTTGGCTGTACTTTGAGCTCGCGCCACCTGGACTCTGTACAGTGGTGACCTGGGACTGGAAGGGTGATGATATGGCGAGGTGCATCTTCGGTGTTTCGACCATGTCATTCTGCTTGGCACCCTTGCGGACATTGTAAGGCGGGAGAGTGTCACGTTTGGAGCCCAAGAAGAATGATCGGTAGTGGCTGCGTCGGCTGGGCGGTTTGGGAGTCGAGGCCTCAACATCAGCTCTGTGAGATGCGACTGCACCATGAGACCGGACTTGACGAGCAGTGAGATGTGCCTTTTTGTCCCTAAACACAAAACTCTGTGCTAGGTCAGTATTTCATTCCTGCGAAAACCAAAGCCCAAACGCCAATAAGCAAGCTTACCGCAAGGAGGTTGACGGGTCCCATGACCAGCACGATGATGCCGGAAGCAATGACAAGTCGCCAGAATGGCAATCCCAAACTCTCTTGACTGGTTGCTTGTTTGTTGAGATTACCTAAGATACTGTTTCCGAGGAATATCATGGCGATACCTAGCATGATGAAGCTCGATCGAGGACTGAAGAGAGGCCAATTGCGCGAGATGTAGCCCTTGAAGAGTGGAAGTTCTGTCACGATCAGAAAGCCTAGAGGAACCGTCAGCATCTTGTATAGCTTGTGACCGCAATCAACATACCGCTCATCACTATCCTGATGATGTGTTCGCAGGCATCGAAGAAGAAAAATTTGGACACAATGAAGGTCTTGACCAGCATGACTGAGCTTGCAGCCATTACACTGAGTAAGGCAATTATGTTCACAGCTCGAATGACATTGAGCACGACGTAACCAGCGCCGAGCAGAGATTTTCCAAAGAACAGCATCTTTGGGAAGGTGTAAGTAATCAGGACGAAAGTTGACTTTTGAGCTTGCGAAATTGTTGCGGTACTAAATATTGAAATAGGTCGAAGTGCGAGTTTGAGATATCAAGGGAAATCGAAGTTGACAAGGAGAGATGGCCCTAGTCAAAGGTGCCTGCTTAAGGAGGACAATAGTAGGATCAAAAGCATTGAACGGCTGCAACAACATCAATAGAACTGAATAGGGGAGAGTGAAGGTGAACAGGAATGGGAAACGATTGTGCATTTTGAGGGTGAGGCAGCCATGAACCACTTCTTCTATTGTCCTCTTGACTCTTCGTTGGTCTCGACAAAGCCGTCATACTCACACGGCAATAGACATCTATTAAGCGCGCGAACAATGGTGAGGCTGTAGTATATGCGTCGGGCATCGCGCGAGCCAGACGTGCTAATTGGTGACATGCACCAATTGTCTGAGAATCTTTGCGAAAAAGTTTCAGAGAAGATGCTGCAATGGCCTTTTGCCACCTTCGAAATCGATCACTACTCGTCAGGAAGGATTCGACATATCGTTTCCTCAGGCTTGGAGTAGGTGAAAGAAATGAATGGCTAGGATCCAACGGTGTTGAGGCTCTCCATGAATCTGAAACGCGCCTCGGAGCAGTTCACATGCCCCTCATTGCCGCCAAGTTCATTTGTAGCATCGACATTGTCGCATCCAATCGAATATATCATGCAAACGATTCAATGAAGAAAACACTTTGCTTTATTTCTGGTCGATATTGACAGTCTTGATTTTCCGATGTGAAGGAAGATCCAAATTCTGAGGCAGATCAATATTGCTGTCTGGTACGTATACTTCGCAGTAAACTATTACGGTCGACTAACCTAACTCAGGTGCACTTCCTCACCTCGAATTTATTCGAAGGCAGAAAAGAGCAAGCACTGAAGCGGATTGACTCTGTTATCTGACCAAAGTGACCCTTTTGTTTCCCCTCAACGGCACTTATACGACCTAGCACTACTCATACCCTTCCGGTCGCTATCCTGTGTACTCTCAACTGTCTGTTCGCTGCATATCGAAGTCTACTTCTCGTCTCAATACTTGTCGAGACGCAAACATGACTCGAGGCAATCAGCGGGACAAGGCTCGCGAAAAGAACATGAAAGAGCAAGCTGGACAGGTGCGTACGATGTACCAAAAAACAAAGAATGCGATACGAAGATTTTGTATACACCACGATCCTACGATAGGGTGGCTGACTTAACGGGGCGGCAACAGAAAAAGAAGAACACACAAACCGGGACCGAGTTTCAGCGGGCGAAAGAGGCGCAGGCTGCCATTATGCGAGAAAAGCAAGCAAAAGGTGGGTTTCCTTTCACGTCAACTTGAGTATCTGAAGTGAGAACTGACCGCATGTGCAGCCGAAGCAGCGAAAAAGACAACAGATGCAGCCTCGACGAAGAAGAAATGACATGAGCCATGAAGTTGTCTCATGACAGCAACGTATAGAAAACACCATCATCCCAACATGCGGCAATCTCATCGATACAGCTCGCACCCGTTTTGTAAAGCGTTAGCAGGGAGTTTACGGGAGGCGCATTCTCACTACAGACAACCGCAGAAACTCAGGACTGGAATTGGCTACCACTCGTAGATGTTCACGTTCAGAGCTTTGAGGGGCCGTACTAATACGTCTCATTTCTTGTGTGTTAGTCTTCTTTCGATCCTCCATCGTGTTTAGTCTTTTCCTCATTGTCTTGTGAAGCAGTATTGCCCAAGATTTTGTGTGACCTACCAGGGATAAGTCACAGGGATAAGTCGAGGCAGTTGGACATCGCTTCTTGTCTGCCCACTTTCGCTCCGTTAATTCCGTCAAAAGAACGTTAAGTGATGCTCCTGCTTCAGCTGTCGGCTTTGATAATCTTGAAAGTGATTGCCCTATGATTCGAAGTAGAGATCTGCGGCGTGCTAGACTGGGATACAAGCCCTCCAAGCAAGTGTGCTGACTAACCGGAGTTTTGTTGTTGCGTCCCGAGACGACGTGTCTCCTATACATTTCCTCAAGTTGACACTTTAACATTGACATCCTCGTTTAACACTCAATCTGATGTGCATGGCCCATGATCAAATGAAGGCGTAACGGTGATCATCGCGTTTTTGGAGAGTTCGATGCCTATTTTGTTCAGTATGAGTTGGATACAAAGGTAAACGTTTCCCGCGCTGCTTCACACCCCATGCAAGATCAAAAACAAAAACACGGGCAGAAAGAAACTCATGAAATTTGAACCCCATCAGTGTCAAGCCTTTCTGGCCTCTCTTGTTCACATTCATACTACCCCGGGCCATCAACTATTACCGAGTGGTCAAGACGGCCGTCAGGACGAGACCTCCACCGAGACCGTTGCCACAAAAGACCGGCTACGGCCTCAACGCCCTGTTCGTGTCGACATGTATCTTCTTCTACCTTTCGCTACCCTTCAGGGGCAACGTCGAGGACCACAACATCTTTGTCGTCACACAATCTCGATTCGCCATGCCGACGGACGCGTTGTTCTCACGACTGGCCATGCTCCGTGAGCACGGCACGTTGACGCCGGTCGACGAAGCTCTTCGATCGAAATTTACTTCTCCAGCGTACGTGTCACGACGAGCCCAGAAGTTGAAACCCCCCCCCCCCCCCCGGGACTTTTACTGACCGTTGTCCCTTCAAAGTCTCCGCCGGATCTATCTCCGCTTCGGACCGTCGACGCTCTTGAACTGCACCTTTTGCCACGCCGACGACACCTTTTCCTACCTCCTCTACCACTACCCGATCAACGTGTTGCTGCCTCACCTCTTCCACATCTTTTGTCTGGGGTTCGCGACCTCGGAGACCATTTGTGGCTACGAATCCAGCCGGTGGCGAGGACGGGTTTTGCTCTGCGCACTGGCGCTCGCCTCGGTCGACGTCGCCGTGACGACGACGTATTCGCCACTCACAGACCCAAGCACCCCCGCGCCGGGAGGCATCTTCTGGCTGGCGTCGACGCTGCGCTGTCTGTGTTTGTGCCTCTTTGACGTCGCCGTGGCCTTGCTCATCTACGCCAGCGCGACGGGGAGGTTCCTCCTCTTCAGCGCCCCGGCGGCAGCGGACCCGGAACTGGCCCGTCGACGGATGGAAGAGGCCATCACCAAGGCGAACCTGTCCCTCCAGCTCTCCCAGACCAACCTGCGCGCCTACACCATCGCCCGCAACGCGACCGTGCGCAGCGCCACGCTCAAGGCCACCGACGACGAGTACTGGCGGAGCGTCGTCAGCGTGGAGGGATCACAGGGCCTTGTTGTTGGCGGCGGCAACGTGTTCGATGATGAACAAGTCCAGGCCGCAATCTCGAGAGCCTACGGTTCCGGCTCTATGAATATCGAACAAATGAGAAAAGAAGCAGATGTTTATGTCAAGAACGTTACGAGAGGACTAGACCCGACAAGATAGATACACAGGTAGCTAGATACCCGTACGAGTAGAGTTCTTGCAGATAGACTTTGGCCAACGGACATCTATCTATCTTACTGTAAGATTGTATATTTTTGAGATGTTACATTCATAATGGTCGTAATATTCGTACATAACAATCCAAGTCTTGATGGTTGGCGACTTATTTAATCGTCCGGCTCGTCCTTGATGATGATACACTCATCATCATCCTTCTCTCGCTTGATGAACCCCTTTTCCTCAACCCGTCGTCCGTTGTGACCCATGACCTCGTCCGCAAATACAACCGTCTCGACTCCGGCAGGGACTCTCTCCTCCTCGCCCTCGGGCAAGGCATCGATGTCGATCTCGGCACCGATCAGACTCTTCAAGATGACTTCAGCGCCGGCCTTGCTCATAATCATGTTCTTCTCTTTGCACCTCTCGTCACAAATACACTCGGTACACCCTTCGAGACAATGACACGCCGCCACGCGCTGCACGGCCCTCTCGAGCAACATGTCGATAAACTCAAACGCCTTCGCTGCGATGCCCGACCCTGCGGCTCCTCCCTTTGCGTCGTAGAAGGTCAGTCGTGCAGGGCGTTTCCGCTGGGTTTCCTTCTTCGCAAATTCCTTGAGCGCGTTCTTGCATTCGGTCCGCACGTCACCAGGCATGCTCACCACGAACTGCGGCATGAGGCTCATGAGCGCATGTTCCGCCGCGTGGATGCCGGCCGCGAGGTTGAGTCGTTTGTCCTTCAGGATCTGCAGGGCGTATTTCGGAACGTCCAGCCACAGGCCACGTGAGTAGATGATGACGGGCGGGTTATCGACCGCGACGGCGTCCAGGATACGACGTTTCTGATCGATCTTGAAGAATCCGAACACGACGGCCTTGACCTTTATTTTGCCAAAGAAGGCCTTTGTCAACGACTTCTCGCTCACGCGGCGGACCTGCTCCGTCTCGATGGGGTCGACGTCAGTAAAGTCTCGCTGCTGCGTCGTCCAGTCTACTTTGACAAGCTGGACCCGGGCGATCTTCCTCTCGGGCGAGAACTCTTTGACCATGTACGTCCGCCCCTGGTGCAAAAAGATACCACCGTCGTAGAGGGTGAAGAAGGCGCGGGAGGCCTCGACTTCTTCGAGAACAATATTGCGCCCATGCGAGATGTCGATCACGGCGAAGTGCTCGTCTTCGGTGTCGCGGATGGCCACGCATTTCGAGGGCAAAGGCCGAAACCGCTCGTTACAGTGATAGAAGCCCAAGGGATCATAACTGAGCCGCTCAGTGCATATTTCCGGCAGCATTTTTCCGAGGAATTTGACGTCTTCATCTGGCTTGATTGGCATCTCGTACGCCGCACACTGCATGTGTCCTTCGACCACGAGTTCATTCTGCAGGTCGACTTGGAGTTCGCAATTGGGTTTGGTGAAGATCTCATCTGGGTTCTGCATGTAGTACTGGTCGACGGGAAAACAATCTCCCACAAGGACGGAGAGGGAGTCTCGATTACGTCGCCCGGCTCGACCACTTTGTTGTCGCAGGTTAGCAATGGTGTAAGGGAACCCCATTGTGACGACCGCGTCGAGAGAGCCGATGTCGACGCCAAGTTCTAGAGCGGTTGTCGCGATTATGCCCATGAGCTTGCCACCGAACATTTCTGATTCGATCCGACGACGGTCTTGAGCCGAATAACCGCCACGGTAACCCATGACGAGAGCCGCACACTCTGGTCTTTCGAGGTTGGTGAACTCGGCTTTTACGGCGGCCAGGAGCACCTCACACTGCTTTCGTATACGACAAAAGGCAATGGTTCGGACACCACGCAGAATGAGTTGGCAAACTAGTCGAGCTGTCTCTGCAAATGTATCCCCTCGACCGGACGAGGGGTCACCTGGGTCCTTGTACGGTGTATTCCAGCAGACGAATTCTTTCCGCCCGGATGGAGATCCGTCAAAATCAGTCGGCTTCACCTTGTCTACACCGAAAATAGTTTTCATATGCTCTTCAGGATTCGCCACCGTAGCTGAACAAGAGATAAACTTGACCTTGCGGTTTCCCACCGCTGCGCATATTCTTCGTAGTCGGCGCATTATGAAAGCCACATGGGCGCCAAACAGTCCATTGTAAACGTGCAATTCGTCCACGACAACATATTTCAGGTTCTGAAGGAATGTCCGCCAACCGCTTTCTTGCGGTAGAATAGTGATGTGCAGCATATCTGGATTGGTAAATATGATTCTGCCTTCATCCCGTATGGAATTTCTCGCGTTCATTGGGGTGTCTCCATCAAAGGTTTCCACAATGGTATGCTCGAGGCCAGGTATGTATCCCAGGAGCTCCTTCATGCTTCTTCGCTGATCTTGCGCGAGAGCCTTCGTTGGAAATATGTACATGCCGCGGCTTTCGGGGTCCTTTTCGAGCTCATGAAGCATGGGAATTTGGTAGATCAAGGATTTGCCGGAGCTTGTAGAGGTGGAGACAATGACATGATGTCCATCATGCAAGTTGTTTATAGCCTCAGCCTGATGCGAATAAAGTTGAGTTATACCCTTGTTGTTGTAGAGGGCATTGACCAGATTTTGAGACAACCGAAAGTTAAGGTCTCCGTAAATGGCGGGCTGCGGATCGAAAACACGATGGCCATCCGGTACAATCTGTTGAGTGTACCATTCAAGTTCGGTGATTTCTTGTACGATCTCTGAGATTGATTTCCGATCTTTGGGAATGGTTTTTGGCAAGCCATTGGTATCAGGAGCAGGCGTAGTGGCTCTACTGGAAGAAGGAACAGGTATGTACTGTTGCTTCAGTTCCATGATTTTCTCCGTGGCATCTGTCCGCTCCTCGGCGCATTGATTGAGGAAGGCATTTACGGCAGAAGTGAATTTCAAATTGCGCTTTTCGATCAGCTTCAACATCGACTTTTGGCTGAAAACGGGCATCTTTAGATCTTCATTTCGTAGCTTTTGGGTGGCCTTGGTTGGTTCTCCTGTCTTTGGATCGATCACTTGTCGCTTGAGGTCTCCATCGACGAACTCAAAAAGGAGTAACTCTTTGGGTGTCCCTGACTGCTCGTCGCGACCATTTTCATCTTCCGCCAATGATCTGAAGTGATCTGCTCTGCCACCCTTGATTCCGTCTTCCTCGCCCATGATTGTAACCATCAAGTGCTCTTCGTCGACATAGACGAAGTTGATGGCCCGGGGTATTATAGCTTTCACCTGCGCCACATCTTCTTCTTTCAACGGTCTTTTTATGTGTCCCTCCACTGCAGACTTTATGTTGTCCCATGTAGTGGCAAAGTGCTTGCGAGTACAGCAGAACGTGTAGACAACGTTCAAGGCTTTGTGTAGCAAATTCAGATACTTGAAGTGCTCAGGCCAGGGTATGTCTGACTCAACAAGATTAGAAGAGGAGCCTTTTCGGACCAAAGTTGGTTTGGAGTTAGCTTTCGTCCTTCGTGGCTTTGGTCCACCATCATGGGTTTTGGTAGGCACCGTTGTGGTTGTCTTTGTGGTAATTGTGTCTGCGGTAGTTGGGGTGTTGGGAGTACTGTCGGACTGTGTCGCCTGCGACTCGTCTTCCTGCGTCCTGTGCTTTCGCTTGCGATTGACAGGCTGGCGCGACACAGTCGCCGCCTGCAATTTAGCCATTCTACATGTCGTGCAAAGAGGCAAAGAAGAGCGCAGCCTGTTGGCGAAAGTCCGCGGCAAGAAATCTTGTCGTCATTGTCACGATCCAATAACGCGGTGGACACTTTACGCGCCAGTCATGCTGCATCGGGATGGAGATGACGCCGCTCTGTGCTCACTCCTAAATAGGATACTAGGCACGGATTTTTGACGAGGCTTCATGACCAGCATACTTACAATCAACTACGAGGGTTTAATAGTATGGTATGTAACATATATGATTATGTATCTGGGTTAGGGCTGAGATAGTAGTGTATACGGCACTATCCGATGCAGCCCTCGATCAACTAGGGGCCACGGTAACTGTTTATCTTGGTTGTAGCCGAATATAGAAGGGAAGAAAGTAACAATTGTCTTGCGAGTGATCTCAACCAATCGGTATACCAGTCCTGCAGTGTCTTTTGCGGAAGTGTTCCATGAACAAATTGACCATAAGCCAGCTTTCCTTCGGGCAGCAACATACAGGATCTACTCATCTTTAGCTCGATCTCGATCAAACTTTCTCGCTATGAACACAATCGACCCCATTTTTTGCTTCATGTGTCGTGGCGCCCAATGTGTTGTTGCCCATAGCAATCTGTTTGTTCACCTTCATCGATGTCTTCCACGCTGGTCGAGAAGACATGTAGTAATCGTCAATCTGCTCAAGTGTAAGACGCGCCGTCTCTGGCACGAATAGGAAGACGAGGATGAACCAGACGACGGTAATTCCGAAGTAGAAGTAGCCCACATTGGTTCCCATATCACCATAATCATTGTTGAGCATGTACGGTGTCCAGAAAGTGGCGCCGAACTGAAATATCTGGTAGAAGAACGTCGTATTAGCCTGCCCGTAGGTGCGCAAGCGGACAGAGTGTAATTCTGCAGAGGTAAGCCATGCAGCCGGCGCAAAGCCGCCGCCAAAGACGAATGCCCAGATGCACAAGAAGGCGACGAGTACGCGCTGCGACTGGGGGTTGTTGGGGCCTAGTGCACTGCTGACGGCGGAGAAGATCAGCATACAACTCGCCATAGCAGCAAAGGCGCATAACATGGAGAACCGCCGTCCTCCGTACTCCAGAACCACAGGACCAAGCAGGGCGCCAGCAAATATGCACAAGCCGATGATCACATTGATCAAGTACGGGTTGGTAATGCCCAGGCCGTGGAGAAAAAGAGCCGCATACGGAGCCACAAGGTTGATGCCGGTCAGGGAGACTCCAAGGAGGCATATCGTCGAAGCAAATGTCCGTCGGATATCATGTGAATGATAGATCTCCGTCCAAGACGTTGTTGCGCTCGCAGCTCTTTCGATCTCGATATATTCTTTCACCGACTGGACCTGTGCGGTGATCTCGGCTGAGCTGGGATCCTTTTTGTAAAATTGGGCGAATGACGTCCGTGCTGCTTCCTCTCTATCTTTGGTCATGAGCCAGTACGGCGACTCCGGAAACATCATGGTTCCTGCTGCAAGTATGATACCGAGCGGAATCTGGCAGATGATAGGGGTTTTCCATTGCCAGTTGTTGGTGGCAGCAAGATGCGAAGATCCGGCGCAGACGGCGGCAGCAGCAACGTTGCCTAAAGTGAGACCGTAGTTGTACATGCCCAGGATCAAGCCTCGTTGGCTCGCTACTATACATTCTGTCCCATAAACGAGAGAGGATGCAAGTAGCTGACCGATGCCCACGCCACTGATGCACTTGAAAACCATGTAATGCAAAAAGTTGCTACTAGTGCCCAACATGCCAGCTGCCCCGATTATGACAATGGCAGAAGCAAGTTGCATGGTTCCGCGTCGCCCAATGTAGTGACCTGTGATGCCTGCGAGGACTCCGCCGACGCCTGTGAAGATAGAAACCACATTGGTCAGCGACTGCCGCAACACGCTCAACTGGCAAACTTCCATCGGCGCACCAGTTGGGCCAGGGACCATCTGGCAAGTGCCAAAGGCGTTATTGAATGTGGGCATGATCAAGACGACTCCTTGGTAGCCCAGATCAAAGTTGGCAATCCATGACGCAAAGGAGATCCAGATGGCAAAGAATATCATGAAGAATGTCGCCTTCTGCGCTGGAGCCCTTTCAGCCCCAGCGTGCTCGTTGGTGTTGTCCTTTGTAACAACAACATCGGGTCTGTTGACCGTATTGTCATTGGGCTCCTCAATTTTGCTCGATGCCATCCTAGGACTATTCAGTAAGAACAAGAAATGAGGTTAAGGTCGATCTGGACCCCGCGCCTAAATCGAAATTGTGATTGTAGATGTAGATGAGATAGGTAACAACTTGCCAATACCTGGTATCATGAGGTGGATTATAAATTAGATATACCTACTTTAAGTTTCTCTTCAGCGTCGTGGCAGGGGGATTGTGGGACCATTGAAGCTTCAATAAGCTTATCACAGAGCTCTTAGCTATTCTTCAGTCTCTACCGTGGGACTACAGTCTGGGGATACCAGAATCTGTGGGGAGAAGAAGATAGCATTGGAGATGGGTCGTTGGAATGAAGCAGTCCGTTGGGATCGTACTCTACCCGTGAAGGTTTGTGGTCGCTGCGATTTCGTATCAATTTTGCCGCCCGTGCTAAAGTCACACCGGAGGCTAGTGAAAGTCGAAGAGGCGAGACTGTACTACGAAACCGTGGGCAGCGGACCTCTAATCCTTTGTGTCCATGGCGGCAATGGATCTGGGGACATCTGGCAAGGGCTTGCTGAAGGGCTCAAAGGTCAATACAAGGTCGTGTACTATGACCGTAGAGGCTTTTCTCGCAGTATCTTGACCGGCGAACAAGACTACGAACACCGCCTCGAAATCGACGCCGACGATGCTCGAAAGTTGATTGAGCATCTTGCTGACAACGGCGACCCCAAGGCCACAGTCATAGGCAACAGTTCTGGGGCGATTGTATCATTGGCACTCTTGACACGACACCCATCCGTCATCAAGAACCTAATCCCTCATGAACCGCCAGCGTTGGCTCTGCTCCCGGACCGAGAAGAATTGTTCGCTCGCCAACAAGGTCTCTACGAGATCTATCGTAGCGGTGGGGTCATACCAGCAATGAAGGATTTTTTCGACTTCATAAAGTATGGAGAGGAGGGCGAAATGAGACTCTCGGGTCTCAAAAAAGCCAGTGACCCTCTTCTGCTGTACAACATCATGTACTGGTTTGAACGGGAGATTTTGCCCTATCCCATGCACGAGTGGGATGTGGCACTCATTGAGAAACAGAAGCACCTCTTGATCCTCGCCAATGGAGAGCTATCGCACCCCGAAGCCCTCCAGTTCCGGGCCAACAAGGTGTTGGCTGAGAAGCTGGACTTGAAATTGACTATGTTCCCCGGAGCCCACACGGGTTTTGCTTCCCATCCGGAGGAATTTGCGTCTGTATTGTTGCGAATGGTTGCGGAGCACGATAGTCTGGCCAAGCAATGTTGAAGACTGAGAAATTGAAGCGCTGCGAGGGGTATTGTCGATCAGACTTTGATCTCTCCATGGGGAGTCAGGCAAGTAGGAGGAGGAGTGACACATCTTGGCCTGCTGTTTGATGCCCATACCAAAGTAGGATCTAGAGTCGTGGAGTGGTAATACACCTGACATTGAAAGGGTGAGGATAGGTGAAAAATGGACAGTCCATATAGATACTCAGTCCAATCAATAAAAGCGGCACTCTCATGTCGAGACCCTAGCCAATCGATGACGTTCTACGCGTAAAGTGCTTTTTACGCGTCATCACGTGATGCATCATGCATTTCGATATCCCGTACGGAGTATGTCAACGGCGAGTACCCCGTTCCAGAGCTACCTTTTCCTTGGAAAGTATGATTCCAGGGATTAAATTCTGCCCCGGAATGTTTGACACCTGGGAAAAACGTCTAAATGTCTTCTATCGAAAGAATGTGAAGCACTCGGGCGACAAATCATTCATCTTGAGTTTAGGCATTGTATTTGCAAATCTCCTTGCTGGCCTAGAGGATACAAACTGACACGGTATATCAAGAGAAACTGTACAAGAGCCAATTCAGTATGTTTGGAAATCTTCCAGGCGACCACGGTGCTCGTTAGTATAAGCCGGATTAAATCGCGGCGTGGTGGGACCAAATGTGGTGGTATTCACGAGAGGCTCGTACACCTGAATCCCTTCGATAGCCCAATACGCGCCAGAAAAGGCAGGGGGGTTGTTCGACACATATTCGGAGCACGTCGGGGCCAAAGAAGCGCACTCGCTCGTGTTCCACAATCCATCAATCCATGGACCACAGAAAGCCGTGTTGAAGATCGGCTTGAGGTTGAAAAAGTGGTCATCGAAGGATGAGCTGTTGACGCTGGGGACGAACTTTGCTTCCGGTGGACCCCATTGACTACCATTGTATTGAGGGTGAGGGTTCGGTGAGCCCGACAGAATATCTTGGAGTATGCTGTCGCGTGGAAATGACCAGATGTTGATCGCATCGCTCGTGAACTCCGTGACAACCACGCCGCCACCCTGGGCATTGTACTCGGCACCATAATTCTTCCAAGATGCATTGGCTGTGCAACCAGTCGTTCCGCCACTGTCAAGATTGCAGTCCAGGTTGGTGAATGTGCCAGCCATCTGCGTGTTGCCCGCATATGCGCTGGTCAAGTTGGCAACAAAAACCCCCTTTTTGGTGTGCAGAGCCATTGTGCTGACATTCCGGTTATTTATACCCTCGATTATATCTATCTCGCCTGCGCTGGGCCAGTCCGCGCCCTGCCCGAGGAGCCAGAAAGCGGGCCATGTGCCGCAGCCGCAAGGCATATGGCGGATGTCTGCCACGATGAGGGAATGATTAAATGTATCCTGTCCTTCGAGTCGTACACTTGGTCGCCTGTTTGGAGTGATAGTTTGATGGTCAACACCAAGGTAAACAGGGTCAGATTCGTCGTTGTTGGAGCTTTGAAATCCCGCCAAACCAGTGCTGTTTGCGTCGGTTAGATCGACGTATTTGGCGAAACTGTTGGAAGGGTCATGATTGGAGAAAAAGTCGAAATTCTGATAAAAACCTGGCCCTGTGTAATTCTTGACCATGATGTACGCAGGCACGAGTGGATCGATGGCTTGAGAGATATCGAAGGATAGAAGAGCAAACAACCCCGCTGTACTCTTGATGGAAATCATATTGGATCGGGATTTTGTTCTCAACCTGGTATACTTGGGCGTTGACAGTATCAGTGGTCTCCATGTCGAGACAATCTGGAATCGCAAAGAATATATCCCATATGGCCGATGTGACCGACCAACGGACATAGGCAGCACCACTGAGGACGACAGTGATAGGCTGCCTGCCTCATCACTCCAGTGATACGGGATCAAAGAGTCAGCATCGAAGCTTGCAGTCCAAAGAAAGCCACCATAATTCAGGGGTGTTCATGCATGCTTGTTGTTGTGGAACAGTGTCGTAGACAAAGAGCCATCCGATGTATAGTTAATGACCATGCAGAGAATCACATAGACAACGCACCTCGCCCATCTTCTCAGCAACCAGCGGTGGGAAAGGGGCCAACATTGGGCATATCCCAGGGATCAGATGTCTCGTGAACTGTCATCGCATATTGACCCTAACGATATCTGAAGTGCATGAGGGTACTTGAAAAAGGTTGAGGTGCGAAAGATCCCACGTTCAGCAGTAACACTGCTCGATAGATTCCATAGAGTATTAGTGATAGCATCGGTCTATCTTAACCTCTCATGGCGGTTAAATTAGACAGTCAGGGTGAAGAGCGAAGATGTCATGTCAGTCAGAAATGAATTGGTGAACCCGACCTTTGCTAGACGTATGCCTGCCTAGGTACCTCTCTAGTCTCTACTTACGGTAGAACCAGAGACCGCAAATCATGATCGCCGAGACATGTGATGGTGATTGCAGATAAGTTTCATTATCTGAGGTTGATTTGGAAAGGTGGTTGATGGTCGGAGGTCAAATGGAAGGTTATGGACAAGAATTGGATGGTGGAGTCGCGTAGAATTATTTATTCGCGTACTGCGTATTTACATTCCACTCAACACCTCAACGACACTAACATGTTCCAAAGACGACAACCTCTACGACAAGCCACCACTTCATCATTGCTGAACAATGGCGCCTTCAGCTATAACCCAATCCCTAGCCGCCCTCCTCCCAACATATGCGAACAATTTCCCACCTCAATTAACCCACCTCGCTGAATCACTCCTCGCTCAATCGCACCAGCGCGCCTCACACCTGAAGCCAGAAGAAGAAATAGCCCGCGCCTACGCATGCAGCGAGATCGCATGTAAACGGCTCCGGGCGCAGTGCCGTCTGCCGGCGGCCAAGAGCTCCAGCGCGCCCTGCAAACCGACAGTATACAAGAAACTCGTCACATTTCTCCAACGAGTCCTCGACGAAGAGTCCGCGCTGCAGCAGCAAACGCCCAAGTCCACACCGGGCGGCGGTAGAAAGAGGACCGCGGATGGACAGTTCAAGAATAATAAGATCAACCCGGCCGCTGCTGTTGGCTCCTCTGAACCAAGCACGCCGTCCAAGACCAAGACAGGACGCAACAACAACAACACACCAAACGGGGGATTCGTAGGCAAGATCAAAGCCTCCAGCGCCGGTAAATCCAGATCCTCGGAGAACAACGAAGCACCGTCATGGCTCATGCCATCGATCCGTAAATTATGTCGGCTGTTCTCAACGCCTTTGCTCGCTCCGCACGTCTACACGGGGACTTGTGTCATCCTTCGCCTGGCTGGGATGTGGCCACGACCCGAGGACGCCGCCGACAACCTAGAAGACGAGGAGGAATTCAAACAAAATGTCACGGGCCTCATGGTAGCATTATACCTCATGACACTGACTCGCATGAAGACCGGCAAGATGACCACGACCGTGTACAAGTCGACGTGCTCGCGGGCGGTGGCGGAGATCGAATACGCCGCCGGCACCGAGGGAGTCGAAGCCTGGATCCGCCGCATCAATCGCGAAGGGTACTGTGGTCAGCAGGATTGGTGGGTCAGCGTCCCCGAGGCTGTGTTTGCTTTCGATCCGTCCAAAACTGCGTGCATGGTGGATGATGATGATGACGACGACAAAGAGGACGCCATCGAAGACGACGACGTACTGGTGTCCCGCCAGCGGCGATGGAGACCAGGGAGATCTGCAGCGGCGGCGGATGACGAGGACGATGAGGACGAGGAAGACCCCAATGGTGTCCTCCTTCCCGGCCTGCACACAATGATGCAGGATGCAGTGGATTTTCTGAGTGAGGAGCGAACCAGAGAATACGAGGCTTGGAAGAAGGCTTTGCTCAGGAAACTGGATAGATTGGACAAGGTTCCTGCTGGAAAAGAGGCGAGAGCGCTTGCTGTACATTAAGTACACGGACACACTGTACTCACGACCGCTATGATTGAGGATGAAATGAGTCTCGCCGCCCGTCATACGTCCTCTGTTTTTTATACATTCCTTTACCTGCGGCCGCTCATTCCGACACTCCGTCGTAATCTTCCAACCTAGAAAGTTGGCAGGCACTCTTCTATGTAATTTTCGCAACAATTGCTGTCGTATTGATTATCTAAAAGGGGGTATCACTTTCCGAATAACAAGTACATTGGGAAAAACCAGGCCTCACTCAGCGTCACGCATTCCCACGACAGGCCTGCAGCAATCTGGCAAATACTCGCTTCTCGCATCGATCGAAGGGCGAGGAAATGTCCCCAACAAGCTCACAAGTACAAAAACCTTGAACGTAGCTTGTCATCGTCGCTACCAACCGCGACCTCTGCCTCTACCACCGCGGAACCCACCTCGACCCCGGCCACCCCCACCACCACCGCCGCGCCAACCGCCACGACCGCGACCACCGCCGCCACCGCCTCCCCGACTTCGACTGTGATACGCAATGGATTGTGCGCTCTCAGCCCTGGGGCCCTGTTGCATTCTGAATTCTCTCTCCTCCTCGCTAATGTCGAATTTGTTCTCAATGCCAACCAACTCACAGAATGTGCTGGTTTGAGGATTCGTCAGCTCGCGAGGCATTTCATTAGGTCCGATTTCGAGACTTGGGTCGTAGACCGGTGCGGTGATACTGAAGTTCTCCGGTACATCCAGCTTGCCAACATCGACAATATGCTTTTGAATCCACTTTTCTTCTTCGAGAATTCTGTCGCGATAGTACGTGTCTCCACGATTGACTGGCACCTTGTCGCTTGGGTTACCACCTAGTTGGAGCTCCGGAGAAAAAACGCGCTGAATTGCGAGCCATTCCGGATCGTAGGACAACTTCAGAGGTCTTGTGATAGCTTCGTCAGGTGCGGTCGTGGACTTGATCTCCATGAGCTGGAGAAATTCCTGGAACGGTTCACATTTGCCCAGGGCAAGAAACTCGGTCTTTTGGTTAAAGATGTCTTCCGGAAACGGTAGTGGTGGAGATACTTCAAGCTTTTCTTCCTGTATGAAGTTGCTAGATAGTGCGGCAAGTTGAGCTCGCATCTCCTCCGACACCTCATTTTCCGACGGCACTACTGTCGCAGACTGAGTAGATATCGTGTGGGCACTATCAGAAGCTGCAGGAGGCGACGGTGGAATGTAGTTCTCGGCTACCACGTTAGGAGAGGCATGTTGCGGGTCTTTTGTAGTTGTTGGCGGTTCAGGAGAAGCTTGAATTGCGCCATTGTCCAGTCTCGCGCTTGAAGCGAACGGTGTTGCTTCTTGATTTAGCTTGACGCCGCCGGCCTCGCTTTTGTCAGAAGAAGTCGGAGACATTAGTGGCGAGCCATGATTTCCGCCAATGGTTGACTTGAGTGCAGCAATCTGGGGAATCGACACAGAATCGGGATTCTGATCATTGGTGACCAGCACTGATTCATCGTCGTCGCTCATGTCGATATCGATAGCATCAGGGTTGTCGATGACCGTACTGGAAGCACCCATTGCGGTGTCTCTGCTTCTACTTTCTCGGTCACCTGCAGTGTGAATGCCTGTATGAGAGCCTTCTCGACGTATTATCTCTTCATCGGACGTAGTTTCAAGTCTTTGGCGCTTTGTTGGTCTGGAGAATCCACAACCGTCCAAGTTGGATATTGGCATATACGCGTCATCGACGTCGTGACTAGGTTGGTGGTGGGTAGTTGAAATGATCTTGCGATCGAGGCCGTCATCGGTGACTTCGTTGAATGTTTCTTCAAAGGTGTACTGAGGACCCTTAGAAGCGCCAGCCTTGGCCATTGCGACTTTTCTATTCTCGATCTGCTGTAGAAGATCATCTTTCTCCTTGGCAGCTGCAACCTCAGCGGCTGCATGAAAACCTTGCCAGGCTGACACCTGTGGACGATCCTGCGCTAGAGGTCCTCGATGGCTATTTCCATTAGTCTCTGTCACTTTACTCAGACAATCTTCTTCGTGATCGAGTATGGCCACAAATTTGGTGTGAAGATGTGCTGAGAACCAATGAGGTGGTCGCAACCGGTCCAAGCACTGTCTAGCGGCTACGCTGCCTAGTCTGCCATTTCTTGAGTCTTCACCGAAGCCCTTCTTGTTTCTGAAAAGCCATTGATAGTCACCGTGCATCTCAATACCTTGAGGCCAATCATGCGACAAACCTATATCGACCTGGGTTCGTAGAGCCAACAGCTTTCTGACGTCTATTTCCCGCACATGGTATATGCTCCCTGTCTCCTCTCGATTGTAAGGGAGTCGTTCAAAGTGAGGTTTGCGGTAGTCGTACCCTTTCCAAATTCCGGTTAGGCCAGCAATGCGCAACGGACCCAGGCGAATAACGTTGGCAGCTCCAAGGTAATAAATGTTAGGGGCCACCCATCCTCCATAGTAGAGCTCGAAGAGATGATTGCTTGCTTCGTGATTACCTCCGATGAAAATGGTCAAGTATGGTGCGGTTCTTGCTCCACTATAATACTCGTGAAAGTCGGCCATTTTCCGGTATTTTTGAGGCATCGAGGTGACATTCAAGTCATGTTGGTTCCTTACGGCCTAGAAGACGTGAGCCAGCAGATCCGATACAAAAGGTGGCATACAGACCTGAAAGTCCCCACCAATAATGAGCAGATCGACACCATCCCACCCTTTCACTCGGCAGGCTTCTTCTATCGAAGCATAAATAGCATGAAGTGTCCCATGTCCCTTTATTTTGACAGCCAGTCAGCTAAGAGTGCCCACTGTTGATGCTGCAGGTTACTTACACAGCCCTCTATCGCGACCCTAACCCCTCGTTCCATCATCGTATGGTCAGTCGCCATTGAGGGGGACAAATGTGAAGTTGTAGAGTCAGTGAATACTTGGCGAAGGGTTTGCCCAAATCAATAGGGAGTCAACAGAAGCCTGAAGTGTCTTGGATGGGCAGTCATTTGCATGTAGACAGATCGCATCAGAAGAAATGCATCTTTTCCAATAGCCCGACTAGTAGTTTGAAGTTCAGAACTTGCTGTCCATGACATTGCATGGGTGTGAGTTACTGGTAAAGATTGACATCGCATGCGAAGATGTCCTAAAGTGGTTTTACTTAAGCGACAATAAGGTGGGAAGTCGTGCCGATTGGCTTGGCACGTTAACGTGCTGCTTTAACACAGTTCTGCTGCAGTCACCGCGCATGCGAGGCGTCTAAGGACAATGAATCGGAGGGTACCCGTGAGGTTATGTAAATATTCAGCACGGGGTTCACATGGTGCATCTGCCGTAACAGAAAGAGATATCTGTCAAGTGAATTACAAGTCTGAGATTTCTGTGGATTCCTATCAAAGAAAGTTTCGAGATCTGAGCACTTTTGCCAACCCCCATAGTTCGTAAATCATCTCTCAAATGGAAAGTAGATCATCAACCTTGCTAGCATTAGGAAAAGCATTCTGAAGGCGATGAGAAAGTGACAAAGCCGCCAAGTACGACATATCCGACTTGCGACCTATGTCAAAAAGACCTCCAATACACTGCGCGCAATTCTCGTATAAAGTATCAAAATCAAAAGAAGGTGAAGGAAAGGTATCTGATTGCAACTCGGCAAGCCAGACCATGAACAAGTCCGCAGACCTTGCAAAACATCGAATCAGGATTTCCGTCCAAGGCTCGGTGAGGAGCGCACCCTGGCTGACGGTTGTGTGGAAATCACTGATTTGGTGGAACGACGAGCCATTTCGAGGTCTTGCAACTCTGCAAACATCCGCAATTTGGAATGCGCTGGTTCTCCGCATCTCGAAGGTGAGGCGACAAGATTTTCGGAGGGCTCCGTAAAGGTGGTCACCTCGCTCATGCTGATCAACATCGTCAAGACAGTCTGCGAGCCACAGAACGCCGAGATGCCAGTGGCCGATCAGAACTGAATACCACGATTGGACGCGAGGGTGTAGTTCATCATGATGCTTCAAGCAATTGAGTATGAAATTGCCATAAGCTTTGTTCCAGTATTCATATACGTTTAGAGCATCAACAATGGCCGCTTCAATGCTCTTTGTGGAATTGCGCCTGAATATACAGTTGCTGAGTCTCTTGATCTTGCGGTACAACAGGACTTTGACTTGTGCAGCGTCTGCCAGGAGTGCTAGTGCATGCTCTTCGGAAAAGGGCCAAGCTGTGCTTGTGGCATGCACCGTGAAATCAGCCTTCTTCATCAGTAAGCTGCCCCAAGGCGAAGACTCAATATCGTTGTCAGTGGAAGGATCGCTGAAACTGATCGACGGTTGTTGGTCTGTTGAAGTATCAACTTGAAGGATGAGAGAATCTTCGTCAGACACGACAGGTGGCCGATTGTAAAACACGGCAAGTAAAGTGTCGCACATCATCGTCACCCAGAAAAGCATATTGAAAGACTTCCGGTCCGTTACGGCCATCGAGTCTGTGAAGTCTTGTCGGAGATTCCTGCTCGACTCTTCGAGCTGAACACGTTTTGTTGATAGTCGTAACAGAGCAGCCTCAATGTGTACCGGACGTCCCTGCAAATTGAGCAGGTCTTGAAGCTCCTGAGATTCGCTAGATAAATCAGAGACCGCATGATCTAGTTGGATTTTCGAAGGCTTAATACCGCTGTCTTGGGACTTGGTTGACATGGTATCTGCGTTGGACTGCAAAGAGACCTCGCGTTTGAGACCTCTCTTTGCTTTGTGCTTCATAATTTTGGCGTATTGATGTCGAGGTAGGGGTTTTTGGATGAAGGAAAACAACAGCTGAGCGAAAATCACCCGAAATGAGTCGATCTCGGCAGCTTCGTGTAGTGCTCTTTGGGCATCGTACCATAAGGATTCCTGCAACGAGCGATCGAAATTGGATGGCTCTCTGCCATCTGGGGAATTGCTTGCGCGACCGTCGATTATATCGTGCAATGCCTCAAAACGAGGTGAGTGTCCGGTGCTCTCTTTCACAGCATTTGCTGATTGTGCCCATTGGCTGGCGAAGGCCATGATAGTGGCCTTCAAGGCACGCGACGCCACATTGTTCTCATGCGGTGTCAGAGGACGATCTCTTACAGTGGATGTCGGGCGGTCCAGCTGACATATTCGTGCAATCATTCGGTTACCAGATTGTAGAAAGCTCCCTCCAGTCAGATACTCGGTGGTCCGAGATTTCGTAAGTTCAAGGCCTTCATGGATGTAGGGGCAGGTTCTCTCCGTGAGCCAACAAGACAAGGCATTCTCCATTGTATCCTGGTAGATACGTGTCAGGCTTTCTGAGATTATGGCCTTGTTTGTTCGCTCAACAAGAGAAGCAATCGTGACATCAGAGAAAGGGTTTGTGTCGGTGCGACTCTTAACTCTCGGAGAACGTTGGCCGCCAGGAGGAGTTTTCCGCTTGCGTGAACGGGTGCCGGAGCTGTTGCTGTACAGGTCGTCGCCAAATGAAAAGATACTGCCCGGCGTGGTTTGAATATCGGACCCGGAATCTCGCTGGTGGTAAGCATGAGACGAGTCCCATCCCCAAATGGCGCTTGATCCATTCATGTCATCCCGAGTAATAAGGTCATAATCCTCGGAGGTCAATGAGGGGCATAATTCATTGAGGTCCGGAATGGCAAGCGTGTCCTGGGAGTTCGCGCGCTCCTGTGGCGCGTCGAAACCTGAAAAATCAACAGCATCGATACTAGTAGGCGAAATTGATCGATAGCTGAGGGAATAGACAGAATTTTGGAAAGTATCACTTAGAGAAGCATCGGGGCCTTCTGAAAGACTTTTTCCGCTGCGCGCTTCGGCGGCGGAGGGGACGGACACAGTCTTTTCGCCTGTCCGGTGCGATTTTTCCTTGACGGTTCGAAGGACCTTTTCAAACGTACAGACTTTGCCCGTCCTGATGCAATTCGAGCAAACTTCATTGCTGTCACGGCCGGTGGCGTCGCACGCTCTCTTGCCACGGCGGCACTGGTCGCAACAATGATTCTGGCGGCGGCGGGGTTTGGCGTTCGAATTCAACAGTGTCTTGGGCGCACAAGTCACAGTCGCCATGATGGTGTGTCAAGAGGATCTAGGGCGTCGATTGCTGCATACGATCCGATGGAATGGAGACGAGATGAGATGGAAATCGAAGAAAGAATGATGGATATTGTTGAGGGCCCTGACAAATCGACAGAAGAGACAAGAGCAGAGCGATCCCCTCCGACCGACCGGATGGTCAAACCCCAGATCTCGCTGTGTCTGCCCCGCACTTCCTTACTCGCTTACAGGTTGGGGCTGGTCGGCCTCACCAGCCAACTCGTTCTGACACCCTGGCACCAATTGGCTGATCTGCAGGTCCCATTGCCTGACCCGATACTCACAGAAGAAGAGTCGGGCGAGGATGGAGTCCTACTACCCTAGATGTAACAAGCCCTAGTAAGTCTGGCAATCTGAGCTTGAATGGCGATCATGAAAAACGTACGAGTACCTACAAGTAGATGGAATACGAAATACGAAGTCGTTCACAAATGTAAGGGTAATTCTGGAACCGCCGGCTTCTTGCCTCGATATAATGATGCCTACGACGACGACGATGGAGCATGACTCCTCGACCTTCTGAAATGGATTGCTTCTTCCAAGCCAAATGTCAATTCTGAAGGTTTATTCAACTCCATGTACTCCGTACAGCGAAGGCCTTTCTTTTGCGATCTGCATGGGAGCATACACCCCGTAGTACTGGCTCGTTGTTTTACCTATTCATTCCATATGCTGAGCACTTTTCAGTATCACTCCAGCCTACTCCCTACTTGGATTCATTACCCCGTAACCCTGCAGTATTCTGAACCGGTGTGGTGGGCAGCTATATTCTTGGCGCGTAGAGTTGACGCTACCCGGCGAGGTTTTGTAGAATTTTGGGCTTGAAATGGTTTCGAACAAATCACACCAACGTACACGATTTTCTGAGACCAGCTGTCACATTGTGAGGAGCAGAAAACCGACCATTATCGAGATGGACAGCCAAAAAGCACGGGCAGAATTTTTACGGGCATCAAGCCGCATGCTGTTCTCGTCCAGCCCATCCACGTCTCGTCATCTGCAATCTCAAAGCACTGAACTGCCACAATCATTACGACCTTCGAAGACACCAGCTCAGCAGCGCGATGCTTGCACTGCTTGTGGGAACTTGTTCATACCAGGATGGACGACAGAAACCAAAATCTTCACACGGGGGGCCAGGCGTCGTCAAAGGTCAACATCGCAGAAGACCCTCGTTCGAAGCACACTAGTCTCTAACTTATGTTTGGTCTGCCATCGTACGACGAGAGAGGTCGCTGTTTTCAAAACCGACATCAGAAAGAGTCAAAGCAAACCTCGGAAGGCTCCTGCCATAGCCTCAACGGCGTCGATAGAAAAGACTTTGCCTTTGCCCGATGAATCAATGGTCGAACAGCCTGTCAAAACCAATAGCAAAAAAAGAGCAAAGGCCAGGAAAGATCGCGACGGTCTGCAGGCTCTTCTTAGTAAGAGTGCAAAGAACAAGCCCGCACCGAGTCTCAGTTTCATGGACCTGATGAAGCGATGAGTTGTCACCGTACAAATTGTACGACCAAGTCTACCCTACGAGTACTGGCCCTATCGACCATCTTCCAGCCATCATTGTGGTGGCGATGGACACAGCTCCAAGGGTCCCTGAGCCCAAAATCTAGGTTGCATTAGTGCCCGCAGTACCGAAGGGCGACCCCCCGCGATAAGGTGATAGGCCCCTTGGCGGGTGGCATGTCTTTCAACTTCTGCGTCATTCTGCCCGCAGCGAAATTTTTCTGGGTACGCAGAAGCCTTCTACACAGTATTCTAGGCGAAGGGAAAGCGAGTAATCTTTTGTCCTCCCTGCTCGTCAGATCAGACAGGCAGTTCATACCATCTCACGAATCCTCATCATGGCCGATGCCTCCGCACCACAAGTGGTTCATGCCGAGCCCAATGAAACCGGCCTCTACGAACTCGAAAGTCTATGCATGAATTGTCGCGATAATGTATGTTCTATTCCTCTGTTAATTGACAATAACTGACAATCTTCGCAGGGTGTTACTCGCATTCTACCCATCAAGATCCCGTTCTTCAAAGAAATCCTCCTGGAGTCGTTCTCTTGCGATCACTGCGGCTGGAAAAACAATACTGTAAAAAGTGCGGGCCAAATTCAAGAGAAGGGCACCAAATATACCTTCAAGCTGGACAAAGCCGCCGACTTCCAGCGACAAGTTGTTCGAAGCGACAATGGTATCTTCAAGCTTGAAGATATCGATCTCGAAATGCCATCTGCGCCCGGCCAATTCACAAACATTGAAGGTCTCGTCTCGAAGATAAAGACAGACTTAGAATACGATCAACCAGCACGGAAAGAAGCCACTCCAGACTTATACAACGCACTGCAAGCAATTATCGAAAAGATTAGAAACATGCTAGAGGGCAAGGCGTTTCCTTTCACCGTTTCATTAGACGACATGTCCGGGAACTCGTTCATTGAGCCCTCACCGGAGGACAAAGGCTCCAAGTACATCCGACACGACTATCTCCGAACAAATGCCCAAAATGCAAAACTGGGTTTGCTTGCTGATGAGGATGTCGAAGGTCCTGCGGGCGATAGTATGGAAGGCGTCGATATTGTCGATGATCAGGTATATGAACTGCATGCTGAGTGCCCAGCTTGCTCCAAGTCGTGTACAGTCAACATGAAGAAGACCAACATTCCCCATTTCAAAGAAGTCATCATCATGGCTACAGTCTGCGACCACTGTGGATACCGCACAAGCGATGTCAAGACGGGTGGTGCGATTCCGGAAAAGGGCAAACGCATCACGTTGGACATCCGGACGGTGGAAGATATGTCCCGCGACATTCTCAAGTCGGAGTCTTGTGTGCTCAAAAGTCAAGATTTGGGCCTCGAGGTGCAACCAGGAACGCTTGGCGGCCGCTTCACCACGGTCGAGGGTCTCCTGAGTCAAGTCAGAGATCAGCTACACGGCCAAATTTTCGATGTGGAAGATGAAGGCCTCGCTCCGGGTGACTCCATGTCATCGGACACAAAAGCGAGATGGGACGCCTTCTTTAGCAAATTGGACAAGGCTATCAAGGCCGAATTCCCGTACTCCATCACCTTAGAAGATCCCCTTGCCAACTCTTTCGTGCAGAAGAATGTGGATTCTGGGGAAGATCCTCAGATCAAAAGCGAAGAGTATGAGAGAACAGCAGAGGAGATGGAAGATCTAGGCCTCAACGATATGAAAACAGAAGGATATGAACAAGAGTAATCTTGATAGAGGTCATCTGGGAAGCGGACGACGTAATTCAAGATGCTATGTCTCCATCATATGGCCTGTCGCCGTCAACCGATGTCCCAAGAACATAATGCTGGACTGTCGTCCCCCGAGAATCCCTCGGCGCTGCCGATCGGGGGAGGCTGCTTTGTTCGACCGACTCGATTTTGAAAGGGTCCAGAAGGGTCACTGAGTATACAGCTTAGTCTCGGGGGTCCGCTTCATACCGAGCAGTCGTTGAAGAGAAGAGATCGGAGACCGGGTCGCCGAGTGACGATCCCTCACCCTGTTGAGTTGAGGCATATCGTCTTGGGAACAGATGACTCAGCATCCGCACCGCCACCATTGTACAGTGAATCCGTCAAGACGTCACGGGCACAATTTTGAACGTAAGGGTCCTTGAACCCTCTCTGGTGACAGGCATCTGATACATAAGGCAATAGAATACATCTTCCTAGATGCGCATTTCCTACTATTATAGTAATCCATTGTCAATATTTCACTTGGTCTCAAAACATCATGTCTGAACAAAGTCGTCACGAAAGACCCAAACTACCCAAGTTCGAACCCCTTCCTCCCACGAACCCGCTCAATAGGTTGATCAATTTCATACTGGCACCGCTATTCTATCTTCTCTTCACCACGATTGCGAGTATCATCATAGTTCCGATTTACGTCATCGTTGACAACTTCAAGCACGGCCGTAACCAGCACGGTGGACAGCGTGTGCCGCCGCGAGACAACCAAAGCTATCCCGGACAACCAGATCAATCGAACAAAGCGTCTGCGTTCCTGCGTTCTTTCGGCGATAGCTATGGCAAACCTTCTAGTCGGAAGAGGGCCGGTTGATTGGATCGGATATGTGAGGCAGTTTCGTCCTCTCTTCGAGTCCATCTGAAGCACCACACCGGAGAGATGGGGAGCAATAAGTGTGGAAACTGACGGTCTTTCATGTTCAAGGACCCTTCTCGATATTATGGGCCTCCAACTTATCGGGCTTGACAAAGTAGGAGGCCTTTGAAGCTCAAAAGTACCTACCTCATCGAGCACGCAATCGAGATCTGATCACGCCAACGGAGATGATGAGTTTCCTCCTGGTGGCATGTGACCAGGATAACCAGGCTGAGATATCACCCGTCATTTGGCGGCGCTATTTACCAGTACATGGACGCAGTATCATAGAGACGATGTACTACTGGTTGCTGGCACAGCAAAGTAACAACTGCTCGCCACGATTCCTGACATGTACGATGCATTGTACCTAGGCCTCTCGAGAACTAAGGGCCCCTCACCAAAGACCTTACGCCTTCATGCGTCAGTGCTTGTAAATGAGAGGAAGGCGATGGATGTCAGACACGACTCCAAAGTGAAAATGTTACAAGCATCACTGCCGAGGGGTGATTTGCTCAGGAAATCTGTTCGTCTTATGATGCTGGCTCCATGTATTTGGGTCCTAATTATTAGTCAGAAATCCGCCGGCTTTGACCGGAGGGCAGATTTAGCGGGTCAATAATCTTTGGTACTTTTTTGTCGTATTATTTGGGAAATGACTTCATTAATCCAAAAATCCCATTCTCCAATGACTTCTCGCCTTTCGTATCGTGCTGTTTTCTCACCAAGTCCCCTCGTAACAAACCTGATCCTCCAGGCCAGTGTCACTCACTGGTGTTGAGGGTATGGAGACTCTGCACAATCAGTCGGAGACTTTTATCTTCACTGTCTCCCCTCGACATATGGTGTAAAAACAAATACTGTCCGTTGACCTTTCCTCCCTTCCCGCGTTTCTGCCGCACCGCCGGCACTCGCACCGCGGAGACAAACAAGTGCGAGAACCATGTCCCATGGCGTTACGACCGGCGCCGCAGCAGTCTCGAGCAACCACCACCACCGCAGCAGCAGCAGCAGCAGCAGCAGCAGCAAGAGGGCAGCGGTGGCGCACCCATACTTTCACTTCCTTGCTGGCCTGACCTCGGGCGTGTCCAGTGCGGTCCTCCTCCAACCGGCCGACCTTCTCAAGACCCGGGTCCAACAATCCCGGTCTTCGTCTCTCGTCCCCGTCCTCAAATCCATCCTCTCCGGTCCTCACCCCGTCGCGAGCCTCTGGCGAGGCACCCTCCCCTCGGCGTTGCGCACAGGTTTCGGGTCCGCGCTCTACTTTACGTCGCTGAACTCGCTGCGGCAGGTTTTGGCAAATGCCTCGGTCGTGGCCGCGGCCGGGAATGGAAATGGAAACACCGTCGCTCCGTCGGCGGCGTCGACACCTCTGCGCAAGAGCAGCTCGGTCCTCCCGAAGCTCTCCAACACCCAGAACCTCATCACGGGGGCCAGCGCGAGGGTCTTTGCGGGGTTCGTGCTCATGCCCGTCACCGTGATCAAGGTCCGTTACGAGTCGGACCTGTACGCCTACAAATCCATCGCCTCGGCCTCGCGGTCCATCTACGCGTCCGAGGGACTCAAGGGGTTCTTCTCGGGGTTCGGAGCCACGGCCGTGCGGGACGCACCTTACGCGGGGCTCTACGTGGTCTTTTACGAGGCCTGCAAGACCAGGTTGAACAGGTTACTGTCCCCTCCCGCCGTCGCACAGGACCAGTGGGGGCAGCAGCTGGAGGGCGTGGACGCCAACGACGGCAGAGGCCGACACGCGAGTTTCGCATCCTCGGCCACCATCAACGCGAGCAGCGGAGTGGCCGCGGCGGGACTCGCCACGAGCTTCACGAACCCTTTCGATGCCGTCAAGACCCGGTTGCAGTTGATGCCGGGAAAGTACAGGAACATGGCCCACGCCGTCAGGGTCATGCTGAAGGAGGACGGCGTCAAGAGTTTTTTCGACGGCTTGGGGCTGAGGATGGGGAGGAAGGCTCTCAGCTCCGCCCTGGCCTGGACCGTGTACGAGGAGTTGATCGGTAGGGCTGAAAGGTTCGTCGAGAGGAGGGACAGCGAAAAGGCTGCCGTCGTATGAGAGAGCGTCCGAACCCCCCTCTGACCCGGCATCGAAAATGCTGGCACAACAGAATGGAAAGGGTGGAAAATTTGCAAAATCCAATCAACTCACCTCATATCTTTTTTCAAAAACAAAATAATCACGGCTGAACGAGAATCGGAATCAACAAACTCCCGAAGGGGAAATCAAAGTAAAAACCACTCGCACTACTAATAATACCCAGCTCGGAGTCAAGGGGATACCTGAGAATTTGAAATCCGCTCCATCGGGAACGCAAAATGACCATCACGGTCAAACCGGTAATGTACATAGCAATGTACATTAACAAGCCAGGCTGGGAAAGAAATGTCACTATATGCCACCTTGTATCCTTGTATACTCCATGTACATCTATTATCAATGATGACCTTCAGAGCGGAAGTAATTTTTTTATATTTGTGTACGGATATACACCCCTTCAAGAAAGGCATTGCGAAGACGACTATGAGAAGAGCCACAGACCCAGGATCGGTACTCATACCAAGCGGACGATCCACGTTTTTTGCTGTGCCTGTGCCTGTGCCTGTGCCTGTGCCTGTGCCTGTGCCTGTGCCTGTGCCTGTGCCTGTGCCTGTGCCTGTGCCTGTGCCTGTGCAGTGTGATGTTTCTAATTGTTGTCCATATGCCCTGTTCCCTCCAAAGTAGTCCCCCAAATGCCTGATCAGCATGATCAGTATTCATTGATATGCTATTCCCGTTTCCGAATTCCGATTTCCTACTCCCATATTTCCCTCCGCCTGCCCCGCCGTAGGCACCGTAAAGATTGAACTCGACCAACCAGTCATGCAGTTGTGGATGCAACTAAACCAGTAAAAGCGACATTGATGAACCATAGCATTCCCAGACCCAAAAGCATAAAATAAAAAAACATCAAGGGGGTATCAGATGGCCGCCTGCTAAAACCTGAACAAGAATGAAAAGAATCCAAAACGCAAATCAAATCAAGACATATCCCAGTAGTGACAGTCTGAATGGCCAATGGCCACCAAGGTACTGCCAGCTATGCGACATGCAAAAGAGCCAAAGGGAAAAACAAACACAGATCGTTTCGTCGTGAAAAGTCCTCGTCCACCCCAGAGGGACACTCCCTGTCCCAATATATGCGACAGTATTGTAGGCCTTGATCATGGCGGCTTCTGTTGGTCTAGTCGCCACAGCCCAAAAACCTCAAAGCTCCGCAGAAAGTCTAGACAGATGTATATCCCCCCATTCTGACCAGCTGGCATAATTCTAAACGGAGTTGAAGCAGTGGCCCTTCCGTGCGAGATATAGTAGTGTTGTGCATACCCTCCAATCAACGGGGTATGAGAATACCGACCCAGATTTTTGAAGTATGCCGGGTTTGATAAAAGATCGATTTCGATGCAAAGTGGCTCGAAGGGTCGGCGACAATACATAGCAATGACCGTCATTGAGCCTTACCCGAGAAGTAGCGTCCTAAATCTTTGCCGCACTTGCAACAGTGAAATGATCTCTGTCATCGCGATAGTGTCCCGAATGGTACCCGTTGCCATTCGTGTAGCCATTGGAGCTCGTATTGCTGTAGTCGGAATTGTTGAACCCACTGTTTCCGGGTCCAACTATATCATGTGGCTCGACACCTTGGAGTTTCAGGCACGCATTGCCCAGTAGTCCAGCCGCTTCGTGGGTAAGTTCCCATCTCGTACTTTCAAAGGATTCCTTCAAGATCATCAAAAGGCCCAGGCAACGATTTTTGCCCTTGACAAATTCGAGATCATCAGGGGCACGCACACCCCCGACTCTTTCAAGATATTCGCGCATGTCATGCTCTTTCTGCCGATAAGTCATGAAATCTTCCTCGGCTGGCGGGGGCTTGATTGGACCTTCCAGTGCAAACCCGTAGCACCAGACGACTAGGGCAGAAATATATAATACCCATGGTCGATTTAACAAGAAGTCGTCTCGAGCAATATATTGGTTGTGCTCGAAAGCTTGAGGTAGGATAGGACTTGCATGTCCATACGTGCGACTATTAATTCCATCGATCGGTTCATCTGGTGGAATCAAAACCTGGGCAATAAACTTGAGAGCATAGAACGCTGCATCTCGTGCCGAGGCCTTTGTTGCCCACCGTTCTATCTTTTCACGGATCACACTGTAATCTTTGGGAGTGATTGAGCGACCGAGAAGACGATTCGCTCCCGCAAACACTTGACAGTCAACAACATCGACATGAGCTGCAATGTGTGCAAGGTGATGCAAAACAGTGCGTGACTCGAAGATGTTCTCATCGTCCACTGGTGGCAGCATACCCTGAAAGGGGGTCGTAGTTGTTCGAAGTGGTGAAGGAGGTGCTGGCGCAGCCTCGGCTAGTGCTTCGTCAAAATCACGTTTCCAATTATCAAAAGCTCGTAACAAAGTTGCTTTCCACTTGTCAGGGCCTCCAAATGAGTTAGCTGTGCGAGGTCCTAGGGAAGAAATCTGAAGATCTCTTTGAGTCATATGCCACGACACTGATAAAAGACCAGCCATAATGATAGTGCGACCAAAAGAGTTGGTTCTCACTCTTTGGCCGTTGAGGGTCTTCTTTAGGCCGTCCAAAAACATGATTGGCTTTACACCGTTCGTCTGCAATGATGATTGCACCCGTCCGGCTTCTGCAGCAGAAACGGCCGACCAGAGACCTTCATCACATGGCAGGGGCAGTCGCATCTCATGCGCAACCATTTTAGCGGCATGGCCAAACATTGTTGCATGGATTGAGTCGATGACGAAGGCGCCAAACGCAGCGCGGCGGGTTGCTTCTGTGGTCACCCAGCGATGCCAGGATTCTTCAGATTTGGTTGATTCTGTGGATGAGAACGGGACGGAAATCCTGCCGTTGTCTTGCTCCCCGCGCAGGCTCGGCGGCGAGTCGGACGCAGAACGACCAAGGAGAGAACTGCCACGTCGCATCAAGGTGAGGGTAGAATCATGATGAATATGGGCTCTCTCGTGAAGTGCCCTCGTCGCATACATTTTCTCATAGACTTCGATGAGAAGCAAGGTTTGAAACACCCACAATTTTGCTGGTGGTCTAAAATCAGCATCTCGTAGAATTTCCCAACGAATATGCCATGCAACAAAATTGGCAAACTCAGCGGCTGAGTCAGTTAGAGATGTACCATATGCCTTATCCAGGGTTGCAGCACCAATTGCGATGACAGCAAGCAACAGCAGATTGGGCGTCCGGTCGGCAGAAAAAGTAGGCTTGTGTAAGATTGGCAATTGTGCATGTTGATGGTACCAGTAAGAGCCAATGTAGGTGTGCATCATCCTTAAGCTGAGAATGTGGCCGTCACTGTCAACATCCCCCTCGAACACCGAGTCTTTGCGCTTTTTGACCGCATCGTGAGGGCGCTCGATGAATTGGCTCTGCATGATGTCGAGGAGTTCCAGACGTTTCGACTCTGACATGATGTATTGGCTTTTAGCCGTTTGGTCCAGTATACTGGTTACACTCATCCGATGTTGCAAGGCAGCGCTTGGATATGCATTACTGGAGGAAGGGCTCTGGGAAAAATACGTGGCCTGCATCTGTGACTGATCGTGACCACTAAAGCCTGGAACATAATTGGGAGGCGAAAAGCCATTCGAACCGGAGTGCGCGTCATTGAACAACCATTGGGTGAAATCGTCCACACCAAAAGGGGTTTGTGTATATTCATCGATTCCAAAGACGGGAAATCCATAGGCCGTACCTAACTCTCCGTTGGACATGCCACCCGTCATTAGCGGATAGGTATAGGTGTCGCCCCGGGTAAGGCCATGAGATACTGCGGCTGCAAACGCAGCATCTGCAGAACGAGAGACTCCGGCAGAAGGATAGCTGGCTGAAGTATAGGCAACGGCTGAGGGCATGTCGATCGGCTGCACGAATCCATGTGGTCTTTCATGAATAGTATCGGAATTTGCCCTCACCGGGTGATAGTTGGTGGCAGATGTCGAAGAATATTGTCTGACAGGCGATTGTGGAATGGCAGCCACGGAGGCTCTGTGCTGTGTTGCTTGCATTTGGGGATAGGCACTCTGTACCCTCAAATCTCCCTGGTTGAAACTCTGACGTCGGGACGAAGTAGACCATGACACAGCCTCCTGCCTCTGCGTAGGACTAAGAGGGTTGCTCCCAGTGCTGCTTGTTCGGTGCAATGGGGCTTCCGGTCTCGCCATGACGACTTGGGGCGTTGGTGACTGCAATCTAGTGTCGACTGGTGCGTTGGACGTTGACCTTGCATTGCCTGACATTCGGGTCGGCTGTTGGAAAGGGCCAGAATCGATAGAGAAAGATGTAGAAGTTGGTCTTACTTCCTGTCGAGGGCTTCTGTGACCGGGAGCGGGCATCGAATAGGTTGGCCCCTGGGCGAGTTGCTGTTGCTGTTGCGGAGATAAGACTGTAGTCTCTGGAGCAGCAGCGGACTGAGCAAATGAGTCTCGCTTATGCAATTGAGATCCATGAGTGGTGTGCCGTTCGCGATGACGGATGCACAGGTCCTGGCGCACGAAATACCGAGTGCAGTCAGGGAAATCGCAACGATAGATGGTCTTGGGGGTATCTATGATAGGTCAGAACTAAGAGCTTTCCTGCAACAACGCGAGGTCTCACGGTTCAATTGATGTCTGTACAGATGCTCTGCACGTGAATAGGCCTTCCCACAACCTTCGTGTTTGCATTCGAACTTCTTATCCGGGTTTGGCTTAACAACTTTCCTCTTCTTCTTGGGCGGCCCTGTGGAGGTAGACCCAGCACCCTCCTGCGAATTGGGTGGTGCATCATCTGAGGAGCCATTTTGTGCACCCATATCTTGTTCCCTTTTGTAGTCGGCCTCCGTGCTGGCCATGTCGTTGAGAGTCTCTTGCCAAAGGCCCTACAGCGCTTGCTTGATGGAGCCTGGCTACGTCTTTCAAAGCCTGACATGGGGCTTTCAAATCATCTGTAAGGACTGGCGGTGAGCGTCGCGAAATTCTGAGGCAAGAGATCAAGAGACCGAGGGATTCGACCGCGTACTCTTGCGGCGGTAGCCTCGGTTCCAGTATACAAGATGCGATGTGGAGGAGGTAGCTTCTGTGAGGGATAAAGTTGAAATGCACTTATTGCCTGTGCAATATTGTTTAATCAGCTGAGTTTCTAGGCTGGGCCCAGTGAAGTGGTTCGACAGGTTGGACAGCAACTCCGGTGTAGCTGCGGAAGAACAGGAAGACAGTGCGGGAGGGACTTGAGCGAACGGTACAACGGTGGGATAGCAGACTACTACGAGTCTCCTTGATGCAAGGTACCCAGTCGCGCAGAAATTGACGGTTCAGGTGATTTCGAGCGGCAAGGCTCTGGCGAGACGAGTCGAGGTCTTATTGCTTTTGTTGCTCCTCATGGCCTACTGTGGTAAGACCCGCACGGTCTGATACTAGGAGGGCACCTTGGTTTCCCTGGAGGTCGAATTGGCGAGACGACGAAAACCTTCACTTTCCTTTTGGGCGGAGGGCGGCGAAGAGAGGTACGGGGTTGCAGTCAGGCTGATGGGTCTGAGGAGGACGGAGAGATCAGTCGAGGCTAAATGAGCCTGACAGTGAGGGACCTAAGAAAGCCTCGAGACTCCCGTGGGGCATCGATCGGAAGGAGAGACCAGGTTTCGTAGTTGTCGATGGTGATTCGACACGAACGACGCGGGATGTGCTTGCGGTGGGAGGATAAGTACAAAGCAGGGCAGTTCGACGACCACTGAAGAAAATGAGGCTTTCTGGAGGAGTCGAGGATGGTGGAAGGAGGGGGTGATCACGGTTCGCCAACTTTCTTGAGTCAAAGCGCCAGGTTCGTCGGCAAGACGTCGGAGGCGGGTTCGGGCCTTTTCCCGCTGGGGGCGGAGAACGGGCACACGGGCACACCCAGACACCTAAATGACACCTAGACAGGCCGCTTAATGGTAGCCTAAAAGACCTGCCTCAGCCTACTCAAACAGGTACCTTGCCAGTGCATCGGTGTGTCTGCAAACCAGTCTGATAGGGTGACAGGGCTTCTCCATCAGGGCCTCTAATGCCGGCTAACGCTCTCTATCACCTCTGCTAAGCCATCAGCAATATCATCTGCTAATTGCTTTGCTTCCCAGTCCACCCGAGATCTGATCATCTGCACTGTGGCAGTGAAGAATCTCACCGCGAAAGAACCGGGCATGGAAGTCACGAGTCTCGATCCTTCGGGAACATCATCATCATCACAGCTCAAGAATCCTGTGTTCGATGGTCTGCCTCTGCCTGGGTATAGAGTTTTCGTACTCGTAAAAGACACTGGACCACAAGGGTCGAGAAAGAATCAATCCCGGACGTTCCAGGGTTGAGTACACGTCTGCTTCGTTCATCATTTCCCCACGCTTTCTCACCCTACTTGACCTCTGGTACGGAGCATCAAGGCTGTGATTGATCTTCCACAGTCGCAGAAGAACCAACCAGACTCGCGTTTTGACCCATCTCCAGACTGCAGACCCGTATTCGCTCGCCTCACGCATCGCATCATCACGCATGGCGTTGTACAACCCAGTTCCCGTCTTCTCGTGTCACCCACACATCGGTAGTATCCGACTTGACGCCCCGAAACAGGTGCAACACCTCTCTCTTTGAGCGGCCTGACGAGCCACGAGGCTTCGCTTAGCCGCGGCCATGGGGTTGATTCATCAACACAATTGAATTGCTCAGCGGAAGTCCTTCATTCACCTAATCGGGCCAGTAGGCGAGTCATGATAAGTTGTCCTCACCCCTGGAACCAATGGTCATTTACGAAATCTATCTCAGGCCACGGTGCTCTGGATAAAAAGTCAACCATTTCGTTGTCTAGGCTTTCAAGGCTCGTCGTCACCAGCTTACCTCGTTGCCTCGGTCTTTCTAGAGCTGTTTCGTATAATCTACGAGCCGGACATCCTCAGGCCTTGGTTTTTCTCAATTCTGCTTTGCGTCAGCGCTCCAGGAGAGGATCCCCTTCTGCTACATCATTATGCAGCAGGGGTCGTCCCGAATCAACAAACGTGCAGAAGCCTGACAACATGAAAGGACCACCAAGACCCAGGTCAAGGAGAGGCTGAAGCAGGGGGGATGGCAAGCATTGACCATTCAGGCAAAACGGCTGAAATTGTTGTGAGTCAAGCCCTGCTGCCTGGTGGGATATTGGTTGTCTTCCACGTCGCCCAACCTCACTGGGTAGGTGAGTTCACATCGCTTCTCCGCAGTCAGGGTTGAAGTGCAGCCCGCCCCCCAAACACGCCATGTTGGGGAACGATACTGAGCTAATGCATGGGGTTTGGGCACCGTGTTAGAGGCCGAGACAAACGCTCGCTTGTTCCTCCAGCTGAGGGGTCTCTCTGTTGCCTTCGGGGGTAAACACTGGTCAAATCGAACCAGGGAAGAGACGTGCTGTTAGCCCTCAACAAATTTTCAAGACATCGAGAAGCACGTGAGGGTTTTGCTCGGCGTATTCGTGTTCTTCCCGTTGCGGACTGAATTTTGGTCCGGGGTTTCTCGTTATTGGCTGAACGACAGCCCCGTACAAGACACCCCGACCGCATCAGGGGAAAAGACAGATAGGGAGATTGGTCTCCGAGACAATCTGGCAACGTCAGGTCACATACGAACAATAAATATAGGAGAACGAAAGATCAGGACAGCGTGGTGCTTGCACAGTTCGTTTCTTCTGAAATTACAAGCGCAACACCCAAGTAAAGAGCTTGTCTAGAATCTCTAGGGATCCGGTTTACGGGCCGTTCAACATTCACCATGTCGGATTCTCCAATAAGTCCAACAACTGGCAAACCCAAGTCAAAGGTCTATGAAGGGCAATGTCACTGTGGTAGAGTCAAGTAAGAGGAACGATACCTGTAGCTGCGTGGAAGAAGTGTTCACTAATACATACCCTCGTCTAGGTTCACCATGAAGCATTCCCCTCCTATCGAAGATGGACAAGTGAGCAGTTGTAATTGTACGTTTCTGATTTGTTTTCCCTTTTGGAGCACAAAGATGAGCAAAGCAGTCCGGGTTTTGACTAACTCTCTCATCAACTCAAAAGGCTCGATATGCCACGCGAATGGTTATTTGATGGTCTACCCTTTGGAGACCAACATCAACTGGATCTCCGGCAAAGACAACATGACGAGCTACTCCTTTGGACCAGAACGCATCGCCCACTCGTTCTGTCCGACTTGCGGGACGAGCGTGTCTGGGAAATCCACCGATCCTAACTTCTTCGCTGACAATCGAGCCGTCAATGTATGTTTGTTACACACCAAGAAAAGGGACCCAGGGGGAAGAGCCAGACTCTCTCTCCCCGGTTCTATTAGAAGGCTCTCTCACTCTCACCAAAAAAAGCTAACACACTTCTTCTATAGGTCCGTACTCTCAGAAACCTCGACGTTCCAATTGACCAACTCAAGATAAGGAAGGTCAATGGTCGTGCTTCATGATCCTGGAAATGGAATTTCGAAGGACTCTCATCAGGATTTTGTCCCAAAGAAGAACCACGGTCGATAGTCCTGAACAACATATATGGAGACAACCGCTATACGACATCATTCCGTTTCATATGAAATGTGGAATGCGGCTCAGTCTATCAGAAGAAAGCTGTCTTCGTTATGAATAATTTACGCATGCACGAGTTGTACATGTAGGTACTATTTACTCCGTATTGAATGAATACTTGTATGGCTATTGCATCAGGGGTATCCGTAGAACCAAGTGCGCCATTGACAATACTCCCTGAATTCAGCATCTATTCCAAAGGTAACTCGTAGCCCATTACTCCGCCCAGTGCAATGTCATCCGGATATGGCCCAACACCAAGACGATGCCAGCAGTTCATGGGCCTTCAACATACGAGCGCAACTGTGCCCGACGTCGCCCAGATAACTGAAACAAGACTCCTGCCAAAATAAATCACAAGAACGCTTGCCGAGTCTTGATACATTTTTGAGCTGCCGTCCACACGCTAATCAACGCCGGATCCTTCGTGTGTCCTTTATACCGAAGTGGGCATCATATACATGACGGTGCCCAGCGCAGTCAATCCTACGCCAGCCCACCACCAATGATCAGGGTTAAATGAATCTTTGCTAGGTAACCTGGAGGTGAAAGCATGTTGGTTGAGGGGTTGGAGCGGTTCTTGTGCATGATCGCCGTCACCACCGTCCGTCCGTTTTACACGACTCTTGCCAGTCGCACTCGCTACACTGGTTGGGTTAAGTGTCTGTGTCGGTAGCATCTGTGGCGGTGTGGCGACGAGATACATTGGCTGAATTGGAGAGCCATCGAACTTGAAGAGGTTCAGGCGTGGTACATTGTGAAAAGGATCTGTGATGACTTGGTAGCTCTTCATCAATTCGGCCTGTTCATAGCGAACATATATTCCAGTGTCGCCCGAGCATGGTGAGGATGTCAATTGTCGGCCGTCGACCCCGAAGGGTGTCAATACAAGGCTGCCGTTGCCCGGGAGTGTGTAGGTTCCGTGTTGCCATTGCATGATGGCGGAAGGGCAGTGTGGTGTCGTCGCTAGAAAGGAGCTAATATCAGCACAATTTTTGATCCTGCTTCGCTACAAGTGTTCTGCTGGGAAGAAATGCCAAAGGACTGTGGTCATATCAGACAAGACGTACGGTTTGCAATGGCGCGATAATAAGCCTCTTCATAATAGCCATCGCTGGTGAAGGAGTACGAGATCCCTGCGAGTTCGGGTTCGATGAACCTGTCATTTACAGGATCGTAAAAGCCCTACGTGAAGAGATCAATACAGAGTTGCAATATCGAGACCATGAGACAAACCGGCCCAGTGACGACTTTCTTGGATTTTGTCGACCATGTTCCAACAAGCGAAGCGTCGCCCTGCGCGCTACTCAGGGATGTCGCGAGAGCGACGGAGAGGAGAAAGGCACTTTGTATCGATGGAATCATTGTTGCATTTCTGATCTGCGAAACGAAGGAGTGACAACAGAAGAGATGAGGTTGGAGTGACAGAAAACCGCAGGTTGGATGTGTTGTTTCAATCTGACCCTCTCTCACCCTGATCAAGACACTACACGGAGAGTTGACGCGGAGGCTGAGGCGTCTGCACCTGCAATTGGAGGCGCAGGCAGGGTCCGATTTTCAAGGTCTTGCCCACCACACGCAATATGCCTGATTCGTCCCTGGAGATCCTTCACACAAAACTAGTAGAACCACGACTTTGAGCTTCTAGCACACACATTTGCACAACCATGCAATACAAAAGTAACCATCCATGAAGTCCAGGCTACCCATATGGAGTCTACAAGCACGGAAAATGTCCACGACTACCCTGCGTGAGCAGAAAGATTCGCTACGAAAGCGCATCCGGGATGAACTCAAGCAGCTCAGCCCACGTGAGATAGAAAGACAGTGTAGGCTTCTTCATCGATGACCATCGCTCTGAGCTGAATGAAGGTAGCAACTGTTGTCACAAATCATGTTTTGCAGACACCAGCATATCATGATGCAAAAGCCATAGCAATATTCCTTTCCATGCCCGGCAAAGAAATCTCAACCCGAGATATTGTCCTACATTCGCTGGATAATGGCAAGGCTGTCTTCGTGCCCTATTTGCACCCGGGCACAGATTCGAAGTCCAGAGTCATGGACATGCTGCAGTTGCAAGACAAGCATGATTTTGAAACACTGAAGCCAGACAGCTGGGGGATTCCGTCCCTGTCCAAAGACTCTGAGGGTGTGCGAAGGAATGCTTTAGGCGGATTTGGAATCTCGAGTATACGTGACCAGAAGGAACCTCCAGTGCTTGATCTCATATTCGTGCCCGCGGTGGCTTTCGATCAGTCTCATCGACGTCTTGGCCATGGCAAGGGTTTCTATGACCGCTATCTCGAAAAATATAAGAACGCTCTTGATTCAAGCCAAGCTACACAACAAATGCCGTACCTTGGTAATGTTTTTCCATCTCCTCAACGAGGGCTGGCTGATGTGAATGCTTAGTTGGTCTTGCTCTTGCTCAGCAGAATCTGCCCGGCAAGGAAGAGATCCCTGTAGATCAAAGCGACTGGTTGATTGACGAGGTTATCACAGCCGGCAAAACGGACGTGGTATGACCACAATTTCCCACTGCTGCAAACCCTTCGTATTGCCTCCTGAAGGTCCCAAAACTAAACGTCCAGGAAGGCGTAGGCTGGATAGTACAAATCAATTTTTCCGTTCTTCAGTCCAGCGATTGTATAAGTGAGACGTTGTCTCCTTTCAACAGGATTTGTCCTAGTCAAACTTTAGCAAGAACTCTTAATAACACTGGATTTTCTCGTACCAAGTTGCCTCCTCTTTTCTGGGGTATCTTTTGTGGCCAGTTGCACCTCGACAGCGTCGTCCACCACGAGGTTCATGAATTCATCGAAGCCCTGCGCACCCGTTAGCTAGACTTCTCAGACATCCGAAAGACCACTGACTCGAATTTTTCCCTCAATGCGCGTGCGCAGATTCTCATAGAGCCATATCGAGACTGTAGAGCGCTTCTGTAGCAGACTGAAGATGAAATGAATTGGCGCAAGTAGTGTTTTGCGCCCGCCGCCGCCACGACCTGTCATTGTAGCTAGTCGGTTTGAAGGGACTGGGGATCTGGATTCAAGCAGCCTGGTTTGGTTGATAGGAGGGAGGCGTTTGGACCTAGTAGAAGGCTGTTAGGGTGTAAAACGCGACTTGATCACTTGTTGCAAAATGCGGCGGACTTTTCAAAGGGAAATGCGGAGGAAGGCTGTGTACAAAGGCAGCGTGGGAAAGTTTTGACGCTACCGCAAACCAACTGAAGTCATCCGCATCTGCATCTACAGCAAACAATTCACATCGAGCCCTCCAAGCCGCGCACACCATTTATTTTGTTTTTCAACTCTCTTCGTTCCTTCTTTGCTTTTGTCAAGTCCTTCCTTCAAGCCACCCTACCGATTCATGCTATAAAAGCCCTATCCCGCCACCTCATCCCAGCTGCCAGCCCAAGACCACACCCCTCTCATCCCACTTTGTAACCATGGCGTCAAAATCAGCCAGTGCCGGTGGCTTCGCGCCGGTCCTATCTGCCTTGACGACTATGCAGAGCAATGTTGCAGGAAAAGAAAAGACCGAGGCACACGAGTTCCTTGAAAAGTTCCAGAAATCGGTAGGTGTTGGAAGAAAATGACTACGAGCATATACTTATCGATTATCAGTCCGAAGCATGGAATACGACACATGCAATTCTGCAGGATTCGTCGGTACCTGTAGAGGCCAGACTTTTTGCTGCTACGACCCTGAAGGGCAAGGTAATAGATGCACTGCGCAGGCAAGGCCAGCCAACTGACGGTTCCAGATTATTTATGATCTTCATCAGCTGCCTGCAGAGGCTCTTACGCCACTTCGAGATTCACTCTTGTCCCTCCTCCAACTCTATCTCGCTGGACCGAGACCGATCCGGACGCAATTATGCATATGTCTTGCAAGTTTGGCAATCCAGTTGACTTCGTGGAAGGACGTTTTGAGTACGGTGGGCACAGCGGTTGGCAATAGTAGTGATGGCGGAGATTGTCTACTCGACTTCTTGCGAATCCTACCTGAAGAGGTCACGGAAGGCCGTAAAATCAACCTTTCAGTATGTTCGACCAAGCAACATTTGTTCGGCTTCACAGCAACATCACTCTGGCCCCCGATCACAGTCTAATCCACCATTGCAATATAGGAAGAGGAACTCGCCGATAGAACAAAGGAACTCCTTGAGGACAACTCCGCCCAGGTCTTGAATCTCTTGGTTTCCTATGCACAGTCATCCAGTAAGTGACATCTGAGCCCCATATGCCTCGGAGCTGGCTAACTCATGTGCAGCCCAGGCAGCGCACAACCCGCGGCTTTACTCTTGTATCGCCTCCTGGCTGCGGGAAATCCCTACAATCGATGTGGTAAACTCCCCGTTACTGAATGAGATAATTGATGCCATCAACGACAATGACTCGTTTGACTCAGCGGTTGACTGCCTGTGCACCATGTTCAGAGATACACGGGACGTCGACGAGTCACTAAGCGTCATTAAAATCCTTTATCCCCGAATAATCCAGCTACGACCGATGATCCAGCAAAGCGCTGCCACCGAAGACAATGATCTGATGAAGGGCGTCACCCGAATCTTTGCCGAAGCTGGAGAAGCATGGGTCGTCCTCATCGCACGCATGCCAACAGAGTTCCGGGACCTTGTCGAGTGCGTCCTAGAGTGCTGTATGCGCGACAAAGATCGCGAAGCCATCTCCGTCACATTTGTGTTCTGGTACGAACTTAAACAATGTTTGACTATCGAGAAATACATCTCGGCTCGGGCTTCTCTAGCAGACCTATACTCCAAGCTCGTGGATGTCATGATCAAGCACCTTGAATTTCCGACGCCAGAAGACGGGGACGAGAAAGATCTTTTCGACGGAGACCGAGAGCAAGAAGACAAATTCCGGGGTTTCAGACATAACATGGGCGACGTTCTCAAGGATTGCTGCGAGGTGATCGGCGTTACACAATGTCTTGGTAAGGCATTTGCTCTGATACAAACTTGGGGCCAGCAATATGGTTCTCAGGTGTCGGGTGCCAGTGTCCCCCATTGGCAGGAGCTCGAAGCACCTCTTTTCAGTCTACGAGCCATGGGCCGTATGGTCAGCCCCGAAGAAGAAACTGTACTGCCTAACGTCATTCCTCTCCTGACGACAGTGCCGGACCATGAGAAACTTAAGTTCCAGGCCATCATGGCCTTGGCTCGATATACAGAATGGACATCACAGCATCCAGAAACTCTTGAGGCACAGCTGAACTATGTCATATCTGGATTCAATCACACCTCAGTGGAAGTTGTGCAGGCTGCTGCTCTTGCATTCAGATTTTTGGGCACAGATTGCCAGAAATTGCTCGGCGACCATATACCGCAGCTACACCACTTTTATGAGAGTGTTATTGACAAGCTCAAACCATCAAGTCAAGAAGAGGTCACTGAAGGAGTCGCAGCAGTCGTGGCTGTCCAACCTGTCAACAAAATTTACGAGACTCTAAAGATGTTTTGTGACCCAGTCATGAGCAGAGTTGTCTCGCTAGCTCAACAAGCTAAGGATGAGAATGGCGAGAAGACAGTTGCTGACTACTTAGGACTGATGACAATTTTCTTCGATTGGGTACAACCATATGTCTCGCCTAATGAGCCCAACCCAGCGGTCAAATATTGTCAAGAAATTTTGCCAGCTTTGTCGGGCATTGCGAAGCATTTCACACGATCAATACCGATCTTGGAACGAGTATGCAAATGTTGGCGGGTGATGGTGATATCCTACCGCACAGCAACGGCCCCTCTCCTCCCTGCACTTGCTAGCAGTATTGCTGAAGGATTTGAGGCATCCCGACAAGGATGCTTCTTGTGGGCGACCGATGCAGTTATTCGAGAATTTTCCTACGGCGCCGAGTTCGTCGACGAAGCCACTAGTGACAACGTTTTCAGATTCTTCGCACAACAGGCAACTGTCTTCTTCAAGATACTGACAGAGCTGCAACCCGTGGAACTGCCAGATGTGATTGAAGACTTCTTCCGGCTTTCATCAGACGCCGTCAGATTCTACCCAAACAAGTCGATAACCTCAAACCTGTCACTTCCCATGGTTCAGGCCTCCCTCACAGCATTGACATTGCAGTCAATGGAGCCTATCCAAGCGGCACTACATTTTCTAAGAGATTTCCTGGATTTTGGCTTCGAAAAACCTCCAATCTCAAATTTTAATGGCCCTGATGGTGAGCCGACACCTGGTACGCCTCCAGAAGTACGGGAGGCGGTAAAACAGGTGCTCAACTCTACTGGCCAGCAACTTGTCCATCGAGTTTTGACAGGCATGATGTTCAGCTTTCCGGAGGATTGCTTCCCGGATGCTTCGGGCGTATTACTGTCCTTGTTCAACCTGGCACCAGAAACTGCGGCTCAGTGGGTTCAAGGAACACTGCAGCTCCTACCAACTGGCACTCTGAAGCCAGCCGAAGCCAATAAGCTCATGAAGGGCATTAGTGACAAGTTACAGCAGAATGAGCCGAGAAAGGTTCGTGTACTATTGCAGGACTTCACCAATTCTTATCGCAGAAGGAATGTGGCTCCACGAGAAGGGCTTGGAAGGTTGGAGGCAACAAGATTTAGATTTAGCGGCTGAATAACAACGAGGTACGAGGTGTCAGGAGCTGCATCGGGTTTGTTGATCAAGCTCTTTCACCCCAGATCAACCACCTTATTGCCATCAAAATGCCACCTCTGGAGATTGAAATGTCGTCAAGCAGATCCAGCACTTCATGTTTTACAGACAATCGGTCTGATGATTTGTTACACACACTGATGCAACTGGGTATATTCTCCAACTCAGCAGCCAGATAGCTAGCAACGAAAATTTCCAGCCTAGGACACCAAATATCCGCCCATGGCAGCATTTCTGGGATCTACCACGTACTGTACACCATGTACTAGGCTCAAGTATGGCGGTATGCCATATCATGGCCCATAACCGCAGGCCCCTGCGGTATAGTTATGCATCTCAAGTCAACACCCGAACTAGGAGTGGCAGGTGCTCGGCTGACATCCTTGTCTCGCCACGGTGTAATGGCTACGTGTCCGAAGATATCATCACCAGTGTATTAGTACACCGAGGAGGCAATGGCAGAGACTGGAAGAGAGAACGTCACAATCTTCAACCCGCTTGCTGTTGACGATGGAGGGAGGAGGGTCATCCACTTTTGGGGTTATCTTGGTGGAAGATGTTAAACGATACAATCCATTTTGTCCAGCCTAGTCACATATACACAACACTGTAAAGCCATAACCCAGACGCCAGAAGGGTCGCCTTCGCCTTCTAAAAATGCCGAATAATCTCATAGACGAAACGACGTTGACTGTCGCCTCGCCCCTTTTTCCGTAGGCATGTCAAAATCCATCACAACAATTAAAAGCACCGTCATAAGTCGCGGTGGGTTTAAAAACATGGTTGTCCACGCGCACCAGCCATGCTCCACTTTCTTCACGGCACTCTTCTTTTCTGTATGATACCAAGTGTCAGCGTCCGAGACACCCGAGACAGCGAGAGTTTTTGTTCTTCATTCGTCTTCTCGTTTCCGACACAGACCCAACACGACGCTGATGTCGTCCAGTTTCCCCCCCTCGGCGGCGATGCCCTCGTCGAAGGCGCGCTCCATGTACGGCGACTCGGCGTTGGGGTCCTGGGCGACCTCGCGGGCGGCGTTCATCAGGGTGCGCGCCACGTAGACGATGCCGTCCTTGGCCTCGTCGACGCCCGCCTCCCACTTTTGCACACACGTACAGATGGTCTCGGCGATCTCGTGCTCCCACAGGTTGTCCGTCACGCCGTCGGACAAGACGGCCACGACGTCGCCCGGCGACACCTCGACCGTGTCGCACACGCCGTTGCCCACGGGGGTGTCGGGCGAGTTGGTCCCCAGTTGGCGAGGGCAGTCGAACCAGTGCCACTGCTCGGTGGAGCGGTAGAGGATGCATTTGGAAAAGTCGACCTCTTCTTCGGGCGTGGTAGATTTGGGCTTTGTGGCGGCGACACCACTGCCGCCGCCGCCGTTGCTGTTGCCGGAAGAGGAGGATTTGGACTCCTGTGTACTATTTCTTGCAAAAGACGGACGTAGGATGAGGACTTTACAATCTCCCAAGGTCGTGGCGAGGATGACGGGTACGGGAGGCGTGGCTGATGTGTGGTATAGAAGGGCCGAGGATGCTGTCGTCGTACCTAGGATGTCGTTCTCACCTGGCTTTTCTTTATCCTTGTCCTTGTCCTTGTCCGTGTCTTTTTCGTGCTTCTCGTCTTTTGTGCCCTTCTGGCTGGACTCGGAAGAGGAATCGGAGGAAGAAGACGAGAGAGGGTCAGGTTCGTCCTTCAATGTGCCCTTTGTAGCTGCCTTGGTCTGCTCGTATGCATCTTGTAGATTCTGGATCGGGTTCAGGTCGTCCAACTTGACCGGTGCTCCGTCCTTTGTGGTAAACGACTTTTCCACCTCGACGGCCCAAAAGTGCGCGATCAGTCGAGACCACAGTGCCGCGTGGCCCCGTTCTTTCAGCGCCCAAGCACCCACGCCGTCGTCGACGGCTATGAAATTGGCATCGCCGATAATGATGGCGTCGTCACCGTTCGTGATGCCGCGGACCAGCTGGCCATTGACGTAGGGTCGACGGCCGCGCGGGGCATTGTGCGTGGTCAGGGGGTCAGAGAAGGACCCCGACGGCGCCGACACGAACGGCGGTGGGAACGGCCGAGACGGCCGTTTGGCAAAGATCGAATAGCCGGTTTCGAGGTAGAAGGGGGAGGACGACGTCGAAGGCTGTGGGGGTGGTCGTTCGTCGGGAGGCGATGTCGTCCTGCCTTCGGAGATGAGGTATCGGCGAGCATGATCTGGAAAGGTCCCAAATGCCCGCCGAAAGGCGTGTTGCTTGGGAAGGACGAGGTGTGAGTACTGTGACGGTGTGTGTGGTGAGTTTGGTGAGTAGTAGTCAGGACGACACCATCGTCTTGGGCTGCTTTTTGGGAGTCCCAGGAAGCATCGACAAGGAGGAGGGGGAGGGCATGTGCGTGTCAGAGCGTGCCGGGTCGATCTGGCGGTTTGGCTGAGCATGGAATGGCTGAAGGCCAGTACGCTCTCATAATGAGATGCGCCTTTTAGCCCTTGGTGACCCACGAGGGAAAAGTGTAGGAGATTGAAGAAGGACGGGTTGCAGTTAGGAAGTACAGTAATAGTATGAGTACCGAGTACGAGTCGGTTGGGCTGATGACGGTCCAGAGAAAGCGGAGCATTGAGATACGACGATACGACGACGTATTATTGTAGGTACTCCGTACTATCGTAGGCATGGAGTACGGACCGTATGCCTAGGTCTTTACCTATTATCGCCTACACTAGCTGTGCTAGGCACTGTAACGAGTACCTGAAGTAGTTCTAGCGCCACCTGTGATCGGTCTCAAGTATTAGGGCCCACGGCTCAGTACGGATCAGGAGCCTTTTTGGCCGCATCACGGCGATCGTCCCGGACCCTCACTTTTCGCGGCTGGAAACGTTGAAACCCATCGTGCTTGGGCGACGAAGAACATTGTGCTTGATACTCACAGAGATAGGATGAAATCGATTACTGAGGACCAAATTACACCTGGACTACCACTCCCAAGCAGCCATATGCCACCGGCCGATGCCATCCACCAGATGAACTGCTCAAATACTGACTAACGCCCAGCCAGCATTATACAAAACACTACACAAAAAAAGGAATCGTGTCCATAGAATCTGTCTCTCTTCAAAGTCGTGCCAACTTCCTCCTCATCCAACTCACATGCCCCTGCGGATCGTTCTCCAGGTCCTTCCACGTAGCAATGTCCTTGTAAGAAGGACCATACTTCAAAGCAGCCGACTCGGCCGCCAGTTTGGCATACCTCTTCGCACCCCTGACGCTACCGACGGCATTGTACGTCAGGGCGGCGTACCCGTACGCGGTGTCCAGGAATCCCTCGAGGCCTTCCTGCTTGTACAAGCGGATCAACTCTTCCGCCTTCTTCACGCTGGCCGTCGACTCGGGCGTCCAGTTACCCAGGCTGGACTGTAGTGTGTCGATTTGGTGTAATGCGTCATCGGATGCCAAACCATTCTGGCAACGTGGACAGTCACACGTAAAGTGGAAGTGATCTTTCAAATACTTCTGACGGGTTTCGTGAAATCGCAAAGGGGGCGCATACGAGACGGTAATTTCTTCATCCGGTGCAATGTCTCTCGAAGCGTGGACGAAATGCGTCAACAAACCGGGTTCGAGAAAGTATTGAGCACTACAATGCAATCATTAGCATTGACAATGAATCGACATTTCGACCCATTTTGAACCCGCATCGTGACGACGTAGGTCCAAAAGCATTGAGGGTAGGGGAGCGGAAAGGACAAAAAGGGGGGGGGGGAAACACGTACTTCGGACTACAGGCATGATTCAACCTGCTCGTTTCTGGGAACACGCCGACATGCATCACCCCACCGACCTGCATTTCGAAAGCATTCGCCTTGATCACATCTTGCGCTTCATACCCTTTCTCATTCCAGATCGTGGCGAGGCTGAAGAAATGTTCCTGGCTGGCCTCGGGCAATTGCCTGATGGCCATTTTCAGCCACTTTTCGCGCTCGTCGACGGTAAACTCGCTCTCCATGTGCACGAGGATATAGGGAGTGTAAGCAGTAATGCGGTCGCCACGACGAAGTTCGTGCTTGGCCAGCACGCCCTTACCCTTGCCTGCTAAGTCTGCGACATACCACGGTCGAGCCTCGTCGCCATGAGGGTCGTTGATTCCGTGCTCGGCCAGGACATTGTCGTCGTGGAAAGGAATCTCAGCAGCAAAGGATTCCGAGATCTTGGGTGTCGTGAAAATGGAGATACCGCGGCCATTGGCGAACGTGGCATTTGTGTAAACGCATAGCGGACCACCAAGCGCTTTGAGGGGCTCGGTGCATATTGGCGCATAGGACCATGGATGAAACGATTCTGTTATTTCTGAAGGAATGGTATTCTCTTCGTCCTGCTCTTGCGCAAAGGTGAAAGGGAGAAAACAGATCAAGGTAAAGATCGACGAGACCAGCTCGGGTTTCATTATGACGACCAGCGAAAAGAACGTTCAATAAACGGGCAAAATCGAAACGGCGACAACTCTTGCAAATCAGAAAACAAAAGCAAGCATTAGAACATCGGGAAAGACAAATCACTCCAGAACTGTGGGAATTCGATGTTTGTTCATGAAGGCTTCGGCAAGTAAGCATTTTGAAACAGGATCTGGGGTTGCGTGTTTCAGATCTCTTAGCCCTATCGATTCCAGTATCACCCACGTAGCAACATGAGACTCTATCGAAATCCTGAAGAGAAACGCCCGAATAGATGCAACCGATTTTTTGGAAAGTCTAAGTCAGTCGTGTGGTCATCGCTGACTTCAACTCTAGGATTGAAAACACCACTTGTGCCGTACTCCATATGTATGATGAATAGGGGTCTGTCTGACTAGAAGATCTTCATCTAAAACTCCCTTAGACGGGATTCCCATATCTTCGTAGGACAAAATGAATCATGGGGTAAATTCTGCATAATCATACATCGAAAACCGAACACAATGTTGGTTTCCGCTCGGCCAGCTGTGCGCGCCGATGTGAGGCCCAAGCCAATGATGAATGACTGGGTCGTCTCATGACTAGCATTACTTTGGCCTTGGAATCGGCAACGAAGTTGTCCTGCTGATCTTGAGTACCGCAGTGCGACCAACGGCTGGTGATATGGACGTTTCGGCAGAGCAATTTGCGTCAATCTCTGGCAAATCCATGTATATCCGAAATGGATGTCCACTTTTCAGCTCCTGCTGATGAGTGGTGTACATGGCGCTCATGTCAAATCCCATTTCCTCCCGCCTTTTAGTTGATAAAGTTGACACAGAAGCCATGGAGGATCAGACTGCCAAAGACGAAATCGGCAAAGGCTCTCTCGGTGCTGACCTTTCCATCTTCCACCAACTCTCCACTGACTGCGTCTACCGTTTTTGATGTGGTCTTCTTTGCTGTTGTGGACGCACCAGCGGGTGGTCGTTCGGACGTTTGCATTCGTAGAGAAGCTGTCAGGACGAACTGGCCTACTGCAGCGCAGAAACCCGAGAGGAAGGCATTAAAGGGCTAAGCATATGATTAGCATTGGTTTAGCCCACAAGCATGAGAAAGCATACGTAGTTGCCAGCCAAGACGCAGTAAACGAACTGAATGCCTCCTACCACCACGAGCCAAACCATAAAGGTGTCGAGCAGCATCGTCCGCGATGGGGTGTCCTGAAGATATCGATTCCATACATGTACAATGATCTCTTGCGGAGAAGATCGGGGAGAGAGTGACGTCGCAGTTAGAGGTTTGGAGGGAGTGACTGAAGGTGTTGAGATGGAACCAGAGGCAGTCCGTGCTGCTGGAGGAGGTTTGGCTGCGGCGACGGGTGTGCTGGTTTTGGAGGCCGCCGAATGAGCAGCAGGTTTCTTCGCCATTGCGAAATGTTTTCTGTGTGTTATATGACAAGGATGAAAGGTCTGTGAGGGCACTGCTGTGAGGTCCAGTCCAAGGCTATATTCGCTGCTCGTATGCAGTACGGACTACACGGTATGTCACTTTGTCCTGAAGCAACGTGTTGCCAAGGTCAGACCCATTCTGGGAAGATAGTCAACGCCGCCCTTACTCAGCCTCACCTCAATTCCCACAAGTAATCGCTATGCCCACTGGCAAGTACGGAGTACAGTGGAAAGTATTTTAGTGACGGAAACAATGATACAGTCTATCACCGGATCAGTCATGGCAGATGTCCACTTGAGGAGCTTGACCCGGCTATCTTTGTGTCTTGAGGCGCAACAAGCAACTGAGCCTTAGAGCATCCATCCACGACTTTAGCCCCTGTCGGAGACCGCACATTATTCGTCCAAGTATATTATTTGGACAGTATGTACAACGCTCACGTCAGTAGCCGCTATACTTGGTCTCCTAGAATCGTGCTCCAATCGCCATTTGCAAAAGACTTACTGGAAATCGGGATGCGCCAACAGAGTGATGATCTTAAACTGCGTGTTGTCATGACAGATCCTTGGAGGAAAGTCGGTAATAAATGGACAGCATTCCCACAAGTTCAGAAGCGCGACGCAAAGAAGAATAAAATGTTCCAACACTTGTAACTATATACTTTGAGGTACGGAGTATAGGTCGGGACAGTTATGTAGTCGGGCCTCGGATTGCATCATTGCCGACTTTATTGGCACTACTCCTACTCATATTCGTAAGGTACATCACGTCCCACCACTGTACGAAACATCTGCTGTCTGATTTCCAGCCACAGTTCCTATATACTCTGTACAGCACAATCGAGACAATCATCATCATGGTTCGTACCTACACGATGTCTCTGCCGCCATATTCGTTCACTAACTCCCTTCCTTACTTACAGGCCTCCGAAACACCAGCGTACATCATCTCCGCACTCACCTCGATCGGTGGAGTGACGGGTTACGTCCGGACAGGATCAGTACCTAGCATCGCAGCTGGACTTACTGTAGGAGCGTTGGTATGTATACCCGTGCACCTCTTCCCTTTGACATACTTGTCTCCACGTCTCCGACTCGTCCTGACGCATATCTGTCAAATAGTACGGCCTGGGAGGTTACCGCATCTCGAAACGCCAACCATACGGTGTCGAACTCGCCTTGCTCGCATCCGTCATCCTAGCCGGCAGCAGTATCCCTCGCGCCATCAAGACTGGAAAACCTCTCCCGGCAGGTCTGAGCGTTCTCGCCGCCACCGGCCTGTTCATATACGGGAAGGCGTTCCTGGGAAAATAGAAAGAGGACGGTTTGTGGTCGAAAATAAAAAAATTAACAAAACAAACAATGTACGAGGACGGTATGACTTGAAGAGAGGGCAGTGTAGTAGGGAAAGGAACATTAATTGAAATCTCAATTCATTTCGCACAAGGGTATCTCGTCATGCTTTTCTTTTTTCCTTTCCTCGCGTGAAAGAGCCTTGAAAGCTTCAATCGCAACCATCCACAAACGCCAAATGTGCGAATCCCATTCAGAACCTCAGAGGGTTTACTTTTTGCCGTCCGTATACGTATATCATGCCTCGGTCGTAACGGTCGCAACAGTCGCAACGGGTCCATCCTGTCCTTGCTCTTGATCCCTTTTCACACCATGCTTCCTCCTCCGCCTCTTAGTCTGGCCTTCCCCATGTCCATCCTTCCCTGACCCCTCTGTTGCCGTCTTGGTCTTCTTCTTCTTCACACTCAGAGGATTTGGTCCTTTGGCTCGCTTCGTGCCTCGCGACTTCACTCCCGCACCTTCATTCTCCAGCTCCTGCGCAAGCTCGTCCAACTCGTCCTCGCTATCGTCCCCGTCACCGCGCTTTCTCTTCCTGTCCAACCCGACGAGGCCCTCTGCAAACTTCTCCTTCTCCCCCCGCCGTTTCACACCCTCGCTCGTCCCACTCAACTCTTCGAGTATCATCACACTCCGCTTCACGTACACGATGGGCACACCGGGGATCATGCGCGCCCGCTCACGAACATCTATGAAGCCCTTTCTCCGCCGTTCCTTGTCGTCCACGTCCGCGGTCGCGAGGATATAGTGTTGCTTGTTCTTCGGCTGTTCATTGCCGTGCGGCTGTCCAGCCAGTAAATCCAGCAGGCAACGTGCTTCCTCAACCTCGCCGACGTCTTCGCCCTGGTCGTCCTTGTGTTTACAGTACCGTAGAGGCACCTCGGTGGGCGGAGGGAGGAAGTCGGGTCTCTTCTGTCTGGAACCTTCGGGTCGGGTGCGTTCAAAGTCCGCCATGACCTTCGCGAGCGTACATCGTGTGATGAACAGTTTGCTTTCGCCGTGGAGGGTGTTGTCGAGGTATTTCTGTAGAGGCATGTGGAAACTGTGGCATGTGCGGATGAAGTTCGAGTCGAGGAGGACTTGGTAGGGTTCGCGGAAGGCAAAGGTCATGGCATAGTTGGACATTATCTTGCGATACTTCTTGCTTCGTTTGGCGCGCATGTTGGCTGTGACTTTGGGAGATGCTTAGAAAGGTGTAGATTCTTTGTCGTGAGGCTTCAGAGGGGAGAGAGGGTGTATGATGATTGCGAGTGTCGTTGTGTAAAGACCAGAACTTCTGCGAAAGGGTCCGCAATCAACACTATGAAGGCAGGAGGATAGTACAATTGTTTGGTTAAAATCTCAACCAGAGATGCCAAACAACTAAGAGATTCAAGATTTGGTCGATATGTTCAGTAGAATAATTTATCAGGCGTAGCAATAAGTCCTCAGCGCTGTCGACGGAAAAAAATGGTTCAGATTTCTTACTCCAATTTTTGTGAATGCGGGGTTGCACTCTATACAATACCTAAAATGTACACATGAGGCTACGAGTATCTGCTAAAAATCCGTACCCAGATAGGTATGCTTGCTTAGTATGAGCATGTGACGAGTGAGAAGAGACACCGAGACAATTGGAACAGTCAGAACGGAATAGTCTTTTTTGCTATGAAAGCGTCCATGCTAGAAACTTAGGTATCTTTGCAGTCGTCTGCAGATCCATCTTCTCTGTTCTAGATATCCTTCGCCGTCATGTTCGCTACTTTTGGAAAACATTTTTCGCTTGAACGCAACAGAAATGGCCGTGTAGTATGATCTCATCATAGTCGTAAACTTCTTCTCTCCAGCAGACATTGAAGGTGAGTCGATATTAAAACATACACTCATTCTTCGTCAGACTCCATATCTTCGTCGTCCTCGTCATCATCCTCATCTGTAGCTTCCACATCCATTCCCGCATCAGACTCTGAATCCGTGTCTTCCGCCTCTTCACCTGGAATACCCTCCCATTCAACGTAATCACCCTCGATCCAATGTTTGCTGATGGGCAGGTGGTATGGGTCGTAGGGGAAGTACCCTTCAAGCATGCCATTGTCTCCAACCCAACTTGTATCACGATCTGGGTTACTGATACTCAAATCCGAGATACCGCGCCAATAACCAGTCACACGAACATGTTTGTTCTCTTCAAGCTTGGGGTAGACGTAGAAGAGTCGGAGGGCGTTGGTGAGCTTCGCAAATTGCTCGACGATGACCGGTGTGCACACCCTCAGAGGGTTCAGAGGCGAGTCCATGGCTCCGCGGAGGGCTTCTCGCAGAGACTCAGGGAAATGATAGGTCTCGACTTCATCCTCGTCGACGTCATAGTCCGAGTCGTAATCGGAGCTGGCCGAAGCAATGTCGCGCCATCTGAAGCAAAAGATGTACAGAATCGCCTGAAATGCAGCGTAGAAGTCGCCGAATCGCTTGATATCGGGTCCCCGGCAGGTAGGTTCGTAAGATCTGCGTAGGACAGTCAAGTGATCACAGAGTAGTTCCAGGCAATCCTGGACAACTTGAGGGGATACATGTCTGCCACGGCCAACGAAGCCTGAGAAGTACGCTGCCGCGCTATGTCGGAGGAGATGAGGTTGTTTCTTGTCGACAAGGATAGCAACACATGAAGTGACGAAACGGTCCACCACGATAGGATCAGATTGAGCAAAGTGGAAAATGAGAAATTGGGGATGACGAGCACGGTATGTTGGTAGGATGTGGGTGTGGAATTGCGAGATGAGCTGCTCCAAGGCTGTGTCGCGAGTCTGAAGAGTAGTTGAGGTCGTCAGTTTCGCGTAATACTGAAACAAAATGTCCATGATCAGATCGATCTGTTTGATGTCCTCCTTCAGTTTTTGCCTGCGAGCGGTAGCAGAGTCCACGTCTTCATCTTCTTCCATATCGGACTCGTCATCGGTGGTGCTGACATCGTCATTGTCCTCATCAAGACTGCTCTTAAGCATGTCTTGATTCGCACCAGGGACAAGTGTCTGTGATGATGACATGTGGCTCAGGAGCTCGTCTTCGGCATCATCGTCATCCTCTTCATCAAGGTCAACTTGAACGGCAACATCAAGTTTGATGAGCTCTCTCATGACGCAGGTCAGAATGTCGGAGGTCAACTCTGGCACAAATTGGATCATTGCCATGAAGTTTCTGATGTACGTCATTCGGTCTTCTGCCTTCTGAAAATCAAATTCCAGCCTGGACGAGACTCGATCGGCCAACGCTGCAGGCGCGGTGGGCACATTGCGTGTGATATGTTGGAGGGCTTGCAGCACTCTTCGATGAATTGTGGGTTGTCTCACTGGCTTTGCTGACCCTATTCTTCTTGTCTTTTGTGGCCCCAGCAAATCTACCAGAACAGACATGATTTTGTGCTGGTATCCTCGCTGCGCGGCAGCCAGATTATTCAAAAATCTGACAAAGAGTGCATAGTATGAATCTTCTCTGCCGATCCACTCGCTGTAAAGGATGGCGTTAACCAACTGATTACAGTCTTTTGTGAGTCCTGTCACGTTGGCAAGTGTCGCTTGGAGGTGAATCTTGAGGACTTTTGTGGAAGGTGCGTTTGGCTTCCCAGGACTTGTGCCAAAGATCGTCTGCAGACGATCATATTCTTCATTGTGACCCAGACGATGTCTCTCGATGGCAGCTCGCACTGTTTCTTTCACCAAGGAAGGATCAAGGTCTTCGTCGTCATCGGCGGAGACAATCTCAACGTCAGAATCAAAAATGACCTTTGAGCGTTTTGATGGGCTGGAGGGGCGGTCCATTAAGCTTGTCTCATCGATAGAGCGCTTCAAGGTCGGTCTTCGCTGAATGGTCTGAGGCTGTGATCTGAGGGGTTTGTTCGATGGGAGGCTAGGAGTTGAAATACTAGTCGGCAGAGCAGGCCGACGAGATGGCGGGGCTAACATGGCCGGAGTCGTAAGAAGGCTCTGTGGATCATGGGACGATAGAGACGAGGTCGATATACTCAACAATTAAGAAAAATCGACAGCCTCGCTCGTCAAGCATGAGGAAGAAGGCAGCAACAAGAGCGTCTGGTAAAAGTGAAGAATTGTCAGTGCCACCACTATTAACACTGCAAAATAATATTGGAAAAATGATTTCGACGCTCCACTGTGCGCGGAAATGCTATACCATATTAAACTTAGCGTTACTATTGTCATTTGATTTGTTGACAATTACCCCAGGACAGAATCTGCACAAATTGCAGTGAATGCGTGAATTAATTCGGAGAGTCAGACAAAGATATTGTTACGCGGTGCTGTACAATAGGCAGCTGGTCTCGTGTTCTCCACGGCCATTCACCTATGGAATCAGAATAGCTACAGCAAGGGAATAAAGGTCTGGCAGCATAGAGATACTCCACCTCAAAGGTACGCTCTCTGGCTTTTTTCTTCAGTGCCTCGGATACTGTCAAAATCAAAGGCCTTATCGCCTCGAATGGCATGCCGATGTCCAAGTGCTCGTCTGATGATCCAGTCTTTACTGTTGATCTCCTCCTCGACTTCATCTTTCTCGAGTGGCGGGATCAATTCGCTCGTATCGAGTCTCTTCAACATAACATCATCCTCTGGTCGATTAAAGTACACGAGCGAATATCTTGTGTAGTTTGCTTGTTCGCCTGGCGGCGAGACTACCCGGTGTATATTTGATCTCAGTAGACCATTCGTAAATTTGACCATGGCGTCCCCAAGATTGATGATCGCATGATTGGGTAGAGGCTTCACATAGCACCACTGGGCTTCTCGACCTGGTGGCAGGACTTGAAGACCCCCGAGTCGGTTGAAAAGAACCGTCACACTGCCAAAGTCAGTGTGCTCACCCAATGCTGTCCTTTTATCATCCATCGGTTGTGGTGGCGCTTTGATGAATCGAATCTGATCCCCTGAATGGCCTTCTAAGCGATGCATGTCTTGTAGAGTCCCCGGCGGCAAGCGCAGGTGGTCGTTGAGCAGTGTCAGCACCAACGTGACGATACCATGTGCTGATGTGATGAATGACTGCATCAGGGAACGCCTCGAGCTCAAAACTTCAGGAGCCGGCCAAGGGTCAGAGAGGCCGAGCATGTCATCTTTTGATACCTAACCAACTTTAGTTCGTGATGTACGGGCACATCGACATGCTCACATTGTAAAATTCATTGCGGTCTAGATTGCCATGTCTGTCGACTACGTTTGCACCGAAACCTTTGTAGCCAAAGTAGCTATTCTTGTGCATAAAATCGTACTTCTTCTTTTCATCGACGGGGAGATCAAAAAGTTGCTCGCCGACCTGGAAAAGTAGATCTGCGTCTGCAAGGAGGGAGTCGCCGGGACCAGAAAGGTCCAGATAGAAGAATCCCAAGTCTTCGCAAGCCCTCACAAATCGATTGATCTCATCGTGATCACGATTGATCAGTTTGGCCAGTGATAACCGAAGAAGAGGTGCGGTTGGCACATCGTTCGGAAATAGGGGCATATCACGAAAAGTCTGCGTCGGAGCAGTGAAAGCTTCCGGTGTTACTTCAGTAGCCATTTCGATATACGAAATTGTACTCAAGAAATTTCTGGATCGTTGCTAGCAGACGCAGATGATAGATGAGACCATTGACCATTTATATGGGACATTAGCCCAGCGACAGGACCGAGGCTCCCATGTCCGATTTGCCGTTTTGTCTCCACCTCTCCACCTCGCTCTTCGCATCGCGGATGAGTATGACGAAGCCCATCATGCATGCGGGGAATCTCGTCGAGAATTGCTCTATTTGTACCAAGTACTCGTACTCAATCATATGGCTTCGGTCGATACCCGGGCAGTGTGATCACATGAGCGCGCGATATGCATCCATGCGGTTGATTATTGTGTCGAAAAGTTAGCGACATGCAACGTGTATCGATGTTCTCCGAGTTCATCGAGGCCGCAGCCAAAAGTTGCCTAGGTATCAAGTGCAGCGATATGTGCCAACGTCCAGGTGGCCGTCAAGCACTATTAGGACAAGTGTCAACGTAGGAGATGGAAAGGGCACCTAAGGTAGATGCAGATCGTCGTTGTGGGTCTCACGTTCGATCCATCCTATCGACTTTTTCCGTTCCGTCAGGAAATACTCGTCGATGCTCTTAAAACAAATTTCCCATCCAAGGGATGGGCCTTGCGCAGGAAGGGGCATAGCACTGTTTGACAGCTGGCTTTGGATCAGGAAATTTAGAGTCGGGAAGGCGCAGATGTTTCCCTGCCAGGTCAGTACAGGAAGGGTATACCTCAACTTGCCTGGCGCTACTTTAGCGAACACTTTTTGAAAGACGTATCTGTCGTCCCCGAGATTATGCTGCAAATTCAACTCGTCTTTTTTCTGAAAAGGCCGTATTTCGATTTGATCCAGAGTATGGATGTCTTTGGTCCTGATGCGAATCCAGTAGCGATGATCCCAGAGGAGCCAGGCTGACCACAAGCCTCTTTGGCCGAGAGTAAGACAACGATTCTCCTTCTGTATAGCAGACTCCATCTCATATCGTTCGGGAACAGTGAATTTTGTCGTAGCTAGCTCAATCTCTGCAGCGCGCATTGGGGGCCTTGAGAGCCTCCATACGACGCCTCCCTCCTCTCTTAAAGCATGATCCGTTAGTCTTTGGAGAAAAGCGCGTTGGACTGTCATCGAGTGCGACTTTTGGGAGAGATTTTGCTGGCGAAATTCGTGCAAATTTTGCCACGGTATAACCGTTGGTACAGAATCCCTGGGCTGAAAGCTCACCACGTTCGTGAGACGAGCCAAGGCATTAGCCGTGGCCTCAGGGTCATCTTCGCAGGCCAGAATAAAGTCTTGGGGGATTCGCACAGTCAATGCACCGGAACGAAGGTCGAATTTCAAATCTTGAAGAGTATTCAGGAGATTTGTACCTCTCTTCACCAGAGCTTGCGTTCTATCTTGTGCCCATCGGCCCAGTCCCAGAATGGAATTCGTACGCAAAGCCTGCGGAAGCACATGATTTGATCTGAGATATCGTACGGCATTGCGCATTGTCAGAGTCGGATCGTTGTTGGTCTTGTCTCTGACATAATTGATATGATGGGTGTCACAGACCTCCACAAGTCTTGACTTTGGAAAATCCAGGAGAGGGCGATGGACCAGAAGACCTTGTGGGCGTGGCATAGTCACAAGCTTCTGAAAGTTGATATCTGACGCACTTGCTAATTCAGCTTGCCGCAGATCGGTGTTTGTGTCTCCATTTCGAATCCACTGTGAGAAGCTCTCATAACCAGGCCATTCGTGAGCGCCCCGAACACTCTCGCAACAAGGGATTGCTGTCTTAGCTGCCATGCCTTGCAAACCAAGAAAACCAGTAGGCGCATTCCGGAGTAACCTCATTAGGATTGTCTCAAACTGGTCATCCTGATGATGGCCAACGAAGAGATGCCTTATGTTTCTCCCAATCGCTGCTTTAGCAATTAAACGATAACGGTACTCTCGAGCACGATTTTCGAAATCAGATAGCTGAGAAGGCTTCGAAGTTCCCGGCCAGCTTATCGTAAGGATGTGGTTTGCTATGCCTGGCAACCGTCAATGACCATACATTTCAAGAATGATTCTCATTTACCAAGCTTGTCTAGCTCACCGGCGACGAATTCGGCCTCCTCTCGACTCCCTTCACGCGCTTTATGATCAACAATGAATGCAACCGGCTCGATCTGCAGTCGTTTGTCAACCATGGATATCTGCTTCAATAACCATGCCAGTGCCATAGAATCGGGACCGCCACTGACACAAACGCCTACACGAGGTTAGTAGGAGAGTAGGGAGGCAAGAAGACACGAATCATGAATACCAACAGATAAAGGCTTTTGAGTGCCATGGTTCGAGATGCCTTTAGTCCTGAGCCCCCCTAGACAGGGCAAGAGTTCTTCAGTTGTTACTGGAGATACGGCCTTGATTACTTGTGGTAATCTCCTCGCAGGCAAAGGTATGTTGAATAGGTTTTTCATTTTTGCCATCACTCAAACTAGGCACTCGGCCCTCCGGGCCTGAAGCCTTCTGCAAAGGTAGGTTGAGATCTTGACTGAATCTCAACCACTCCCATCTATATTCATTGAGCTCATCGAGGCTCATTGTTGACTACTAATATTGTGCCAACAGTGCCCAAAATTGACCGTCGAACTGATAGTCCGTGCTACCCCAACCAATTCTCGCTCAAAAGTAGTGAAATTGTGAAACAGCTACGGTATGCCCTTGCGGACGGAATTAACTAGAAATTTTACGCTTGATGTTCTCTAGAATCGCCGTATATTGCTTAGTCATCGGTATTGGCCTGGCCCGAATGTAGCTCGTGCTCGTAGCTCGAGCTACGTGCTGCAGTTCTTGACCTGGTTTTAGCGACACCTTTTGTATGCGTCTACTCATTCTCACAGTGAGGTTTTTTGTCCATATTTTTGAAGGCACCCTTGACATTGTAGAGAAGAATTATTTTCGGTCGTTGGACTGTCAAGTTCTGGAGCACTTTGACCTTTTTCTAGAGATTCTCTTGAAACAGGGACACACCTGTCTGAAACTATGTACTTCACCTTGGTTTGCGTGTAATCATAGTCCCCTGGCTTCACGGGCTAAAGGGCTCACTCAGGGAAAGACCGTGTTGCATACCTACAGGCAGCAACAAATTTGAAGTACCGTGTATGCGTACTGAGCCTCATTGATCGTCCACCAAAAAGCTGTACCATGCCAGGGACAATGCTAAGCGATTGGCCAGGACTGTCTATCCTTCTCGGATGGCGGTGCAGGACTGTGGCGCAAATATGCTCCTACTCCGTACCGTAATATTGTAGAAGGGGTTTTAACGTCTTGACGGCGCGGCTCTACTGTATATCACGGAACCACCTCCAAGCCGAAAAAAGATGAGTCCAAAACGTTAACTGATTGGGAACGGCGAAAGGTATTCGCCTCGAGCGTGTACATGGAAGTGGTTTTCAAGGATCCTTGGGCAGCGCGGGCGCTCTTGGCAGCAGTGCTTAAAAAGCCTTAATTGGTCGTAGAATGCATGGTTGCAGGCCCGATGCCCACCAAACGAGAGATTGGCATGCCCAAGAAGTGACAAGCAATCAAGCATATCGCACCCTAAGGGGCCCAAGAAATGCCCATTGTATGCCCAGATGATCGCCGAGAAAGCCTAACGATTTAACTATCTGACCGTACGGAATGCAAACAATATCACACCGACCCACAGCGTTTACCCTGAATCGGCCTCCGTGCTTCATCTACAGTGATGTCTGAAGGCCGATGCATTTGTTTCACAATCTTGAGTACAGACAAGATCTCAATGTAGCGCTTACTCTTCAGCCATGATATCCTCATCCTGATCTCGCACATGAACCCTGAAGAAGGAAATTGATACGAGTAGAATAGCAACTCCAATCCTGCAGCACTAGGGCGGGTCAATGGCTTGCACAGCCATAATCGAGCCAGCGCAGAGACCTGGTTTCTTAGCGCCTCTTGTAGACGCCACTAGGCCCCTTGAGCCCCAATGGCCTGTCGGCAGCTAGAGATCGGTCAATTTGCATCATTGTGCATGCCCCGAAAATCCCATCCTGTTTGTCTACAGGAGATGTCTCTGCTGAAACACGTCTCCCAGAAACACGGGCCCCTGCTGGATGTGGCTTGCTTGTTACGGAGTCCAGAGAACTGATCTGGTGTCCGTTGTTTGTTGGTGGGTGGTGCCGTCATTCACTTCCACCTCCACCGCCAGCTGCCAAAATGCATCTCGTCACGATGTAGTAACGCTCTGCTCTCTCTTGCACATTGACCTTCCCTTCCTGCGTTGGTTCAGTCATTCTGTATTTGCGGTTTGGTCACCGTGCCTTGATTTACCATCAGAAGATCCCCTGTTCTGTCCATTCGCAATAAAGCCTTCGCTGGGCTGTGCAACAAGGTCGAACCTGGCTGTCCACTAACTGAAGCACACCACAACGCATTCCTTATTCCTCATTCCTTATAACGCCTCCTGCCAGCAAACAAACACTCCGTCTCTGTTGTCCCATCTTGATTACTTTAGGCTTGGTTTCCTGGCCGAAGACAACTCGGGTCTGTTCAAAGCAATCTGATCTTCAGCAATATCGCTGTGACCATAGGTACCCCGACTCACTATGCGTATGTGTCACCGCATTTGCACCAGCGGGCTCTCGTCTAACTGACACCTGCAGACAAATACCGCCGCGAGGCGAAGTATGCCGCCTGGTACGATGACCCAAACGACACCTCTAATTTCAAGTTCAAGAATCCCTTTTCAAAATGGAGGCCAGATACGAGGCAGAATTCCATGCGTACAATGGAAGATGGCGAGGCGCAAGATCGTAGACCGGGGCGACAGATCGTACAAAATTCAAAACCAACAAACGGGGACGAAGGCGGTGGCTCTCCTCTCAAACCCACACTTACGGATGATCCGAACGACTACAGGCTTGGGACGCCTGTTGATAGAAGGGGGCAACACCAGCGCCATGCTGAAACCGAACCAGGTGCAACTTCAGCTACTACACCCTATCCTCCCGGTGACGAAATCAAAATCCCTCGCGCAATGAGTCCTGACCTGTCAGAACGGGAACCCAAGGAATATAACGATCCTCAGCGTGCGGAATCGAGCACCGACACATACATCAATGGAAATGCCTTTGACTCTGGAAAGTCAAATCCCGTCCGCAGTCGGACTACCGCTTCAAAAACAGAAACACATGGTATCAGAAGACTTTTCACCAAGAATTCATCACCAGACAACGACGACGATAACGGCAAGAACAAGAAGAAATTCACGGTATCGAGTCAACTCCACGCCACCCTATTCAACTCTTGGATCAATGTCCTTTTGATCGCGTCTCCAGTCGGCATTGCAGTTTACTATGCACACGTCAATCCCGTCGCTGTTTTCGTTATCAACTTCATCGCCATCATCCCTCTGGCAGCCATGCTAAGCTACGCCACCGAGGAGATTGCTCTTCGAGTTGGTGAAGTCCTTGGTGGCTTACTCAATGCGTCTTTCGGTAATGCTGTCGAACTGATTGTCTCAATCATCGCGTTGGCAAAAGATCAGGTGTTGATTGTTCAGACCTCTCTCATTGGCAGTATGCTGTCCAATCTCCTTCTGGTGATGGGAATGTGTTTCTTCTTTGGCGGCTTCAACCGTATCGAACAAGCATTCAACCTGACAGTGGCTCAAACTGCTTCCAGTCTGCTGTTCTTGGCCGTCAGCAGTCTGATCATTCCCACGGCTTTTGAGGAATGGGCGAGAACGTCGAACGGCAGCACTGGCAATGACAATGCGACCACGGAGAATCCCAAGCCTGGTGTTGCCGCCGTCAGCCGAGGCACCGCCATTCTCCTGCTGATCGTCTATGGATGTTACCTGTTCTTTCAACTCAAAAGCCATGCAGCCATCTATAACACCCCTGGTGAGAAGAATCGCAAGCGACAGGTGGGCAAGAAATTTAAGAATGCTGTCCTTCCGGAGAGCATGCGACGTAGAACACCAGAAGAAAGGGATGCTGTTGTTGAAGAAGATGAGAGCGAGGAACCCGAAGAGCCCAATCTATCCGTTTGGGTGGCAGTTGCGACTCTAGCTGTGTCCACTGTTCTGGTTGCACTGAATGCCGAATACCTGGTTGACTCCATCAACGCGATCACATGTGGAGGCGGTATCTCTAAGAATTTCGTCGGCTTGATCCTTCTGCCCATCGTCGGAAATGCCGCCGAACACGCCACCGCAGTCACGGTGGCTGTCAAGGACAAGATGGATCTTGCCATTGGTGTCGCTGTTGGCTCAAGTATGCAGATCGCTCTACTGGTATTGCCCTTTGTGGTGGTTCTTGGCTGGATTATCGGCAAGGACGATATGACTTTGTTCTTTGACGGCTTCCAGATTGCTGTTCTGTTTGTTGCAGTCCTGCTCGTGAACTACCTGATCGCTGATGGCAAATCACATTGGCTGGAAGGTGTTCTCTTGATGATTTTATACATCATCATCGCAGTGGCAGCATGGTTCTATCCGACTGCTCCTGGTCTCAGTGACTGCCCGGCTGATTCTTAAAACAACAAGTGGCCTATCAGCAGATTCAGTACAGCATCATCGTCACGCAGACCGACTTCTGCTTTCGGTGATTCGACACTTTTCAGGTCAAAGCAAACATGTATCGTTCGGGTCATCGTTCCCACGCTACTCATAGTACAGATCTCAGGACGAGATGGCTATGGCGCTTTCCAACAGAATACCTTCATGAGAGCTTGTGGAAAATAACACTGGCCTAATCAAATCGTCGACCTGTTGATATCCACTCGGCCTGCTCATCCAAGGATGTCCTTAACTAGTTGACCACCAGACTCGACTCGTTTGAGGCGACATTTCTCTCATATATGAATACCTACTACCACTTCTCTCTCTGAGCAATTCCCAAGATTTTGTACGGGCGCAAGCACTTTTCTCTTCTACTCGGGAGGCGGATATGAAGGCATGGGGTTACAGGGAGGGTAGCACGCTGCATTAGGTACAAAAGTGCCTACGCTACGAAGAATTCCAAATGAGGGCTTGGCTTCGAGCCCGAACTTGACGCCGTCGACCTGGCGTGGGAAAACTTGTGAACATGTACTTTAATTTTTGTTTGGTCGCCTCGCGCCCTAATGACCTTTTTTTCATACTTCGCAGAACCCTGAACAATGGAGGTTTCTCAATATGATACAACTTGTAATGATGTCCATTCTGCCTAGTATTCAATAAGTAACCCCCTAGATTTTGTTGTGTGTATGTCTGTCTGTACCAAGTTGCTGACTTCAGAGTTATGAGTGTATCAAAGCAGTATCAAAGGAAATTGGACAGGGATTTTACCCGGTGTTTCACGGCTCGCCACGGACGTCGAGTTTCTTGGGCGTTTTGCCCGCTGCCCTCCAACTTCCGTACCATGTACGGATATAAAGTACTCCGTGAAGAGTTTGTGTGTTTTTCCTATTTTTCTTGAACATGGGGGGTTTTTCTTTTTTCAACCAAAATCGGTATTTGTTGACTTCAATCGCGGACCATGACTAAGTACCTAACATCTGCGCCGCTGCTAATCGGAGGACACAGGACGGAGTATCACCGCCATTTGCTACAAAGTCACATAGTCACGACAAGCTTTTGTTTTTTTGCACAACATGATCAAGTTCCGGTTGACGGATTGGTTCGTGTCGCTTTTGGGACTCTTGTTGTTGCGGGGCGCTTGTGACGGACTCGTCGAGGCGCAGGACAATCAGAATTCGGGTTCGGGTTCAGATCAAGACTTTACGATAATCAATGGTCAAATCTTTACGCCTGGGTTGGCCATTGTCGATGCGCCGCAGCCTGGTACACCCGAGGGAGGTGGTATGTGTCTTTTTGCCGAATTTCCTTTCTGTCCCATGCTTCTTTTCTGGCCGAACGGATCCACGATCTTGTTACTCTGTAATCGCATACAGTTTGCTTGTGCTAATCAATGGCCGTAATACAGATTCTCTCCAGGTTGCAATCGACATTTCGGGATCAGGTCGCTTGACTTTTCCCTATCCCCGAAACTTCGATACGGGGATCAACAACATCACGATATTCCTGTTTAGCTATGACACAGGTTTGAACTTGACAATCTCCAACGGCACGAGCGTGGGCTGGAACAATGCCAGCACTCTCGAGCCGGAGGAGTTTGACTGTGGGCGAGTGACGAAAGAAGGATGGGCGAACGCGGGCTGTGAACCCATCATGAGCCGGGAACCGAGCAGCACCGTCAAACATGTCAACTGGGCATACCCGGATTGTTTGGTCGGGAATGGTGATGGAGGAGGATTCAGAGGGATTTATAATGTCGGTTGCCCTAATCTCAGTCTTTGATTCTTTCTTCTCCTTCGCATGGAGACCGTCGACAGCAGACAGGGGAGGTGCTGACTTAAATCTCGCGGCAGATTTCGATCCACGAGTCTTTCCGTGCCAACGATACCGACTTCTACACTATCTTCAACTTACCGATCGACGTGAAGAACAGCATATCAGCAAAGAGCCAATTGAGTGGGAGTGGTGGCCGGCCGTTGTGTAGTCTGAGGGGCAACGCCATCCAGAGTCAGAGGTTGCAGGACGAGAGCATCAGTCCACCAGCGAACCAGCCTTTCCTGGGAGGTACTGTAAGTAGCGGAGGTGGAAGTGGGAGTGGTGGAGGTCCGGATCAGGGTCAAGGTAGCAACGATGGTGGCAAGGACAATGGAGCAGATGAGCTGGTAGTGGGAGGAATGTGGTGTTGGGCGCTGCTCGGAGTCATTGGCCTCATCGTGATGGTGTGAGGGTGCCTTCAACGACCTGTCTTTCTTTGAACAAGTGCAGCGCCTGTTCGTGTAAGCCCTGGAGGTAAAGTCCCGGATACAGTATCCTTCAGCAAATATGGCACTGATTCAGGGCAAAGACTGTCGCAGCAGAAAACCCATGAGCTGCAGCATGTGTAGATAAGCACTAATGCTGGTGTGGTCGTTAACCGGTGGAGCTGCGAATCAGCGTTCAGTAGGAGCCACATGTCGAGTCGCATTAGACAACGCATCGAAACACCATTGTTCGCTGCCTGCATGGTCCAAGTTGGCGGCTCTGGCTCTTTGATGGTTTATTTATACCTCTGTATAAAGACGCCACACCCGCTCGAGGACAGATCGTGAGACCACACAAAGTAGGTTCCACGGATACAAGAGTATCTTCGTTCTAAGACATTCATTTTCTGAGCAGGTCGTTGTTCGGCACAAGCATGTCAAGCCGCAAAACTAACAACTATTCGTATCCTCTGAACGAGAGTGGCCAAGATGCCGCAGCTGAGCGCGAGGCTCAAAGATCGGTCCAGAAGCTCAATGAGGAGGCCAAAAGGACTGCAACTCGGTGAGACATCGAATACCCAACAGGCTGCGACTTTAGCTGACTTCACAAAGTGAAGGTCTATCGCCTGAAGACCCAGACTATCTCCCACCAATGCCTGCCACAATTGGGTACTCGGCGACCCAGAAGAAGTACGTAGATGTCGAGAATCCCGTGAAGCGTTGATAAGCTGGGAATATCTTGGGAGGTTGAGATTTTGTGGATTGATGCAATTGCTTCCAAACCTATATGAAATAGAACTCTCCTTGAAAATGATCAAATCTCATCATGGACCCTCACGACGCGAGCACGACGTGCATTTCTTCCATTTCGGGATTTTAATAACGTCTTGACGTAGAGATCTGCCGTCAAATGTGCTCCAGAACACCCTAGGAAATGATGGGACGAATGAGTCCTCTTTTACGGAGTAGTGGAAGTGATGTTAGAGATTAAGCACCAAAAGCGGCGATATCCTTGCCCTATTAATCTAGAGATTGTAAGGGCTACTGGGGAGTATTTAGGCTCCTCGCAGTGAGCACAAACTATGCCCAGAGTGGTAGCGCGGCCTTTGATCGCAGGCGCGATTCCCCGCAGAGAAATAATTTTTTGAGAACTTTTTTGGATCTCCGAACACTGGACTTGACCAAGGCCATAATACTCGGGCGGCCACGAAGGCCGATAGTCGAGTACACACCAGAGCAAACAATGTCGAATAGGTCCAGAGTTGTACATGAAGGAGTGATGGCGAGTCCTACGGGCAAAATGTCGAAACCCTCCACCGAACTCCCGAATGGCGCTTTCGAACACTTAAGAAACAAGATCGAATCTCGTCTGCAATCAAGCGAGCAAAAGAAGGGGAAAGACAGGTCTAAAAGGAAAAGCGCATCATCCGGCCATGAGGAAAGAAAGAATAATACAAATTTCACTTCACCTGATCGAGGGAAAAAGCGTGATCGCAATGGAAAAGTGCTGATTTCTAATGAGGCACCCAAAAACTCGCAGAACACTGATGGCGCCAAAGATGACAACGAGATCTTGTTAAAAGAAATTCGAGAGCTTGGAGGCACTGCCGAAGATCTGCAGTTGCTTGAAGGTGCCGACTCCGACTCGGAGATGGAAGACACCGCAGGCGACAAACGACAGAAAACTTCGACCTCTAGCGTCCAACCGGAAGGATTGGAAAAGGGCCTCAAGAACATATTGAAAGAGATTGCATTAGCACAAGGCCAACATGTTGATGACGTGTCTGAAGAAGATGTTGAAGAAGAAGAACCTGTCGAGGCACCCGAACCGAGAGTACAGGCGGAAAGCGAGGTAGCGCCGGCAAGCAGTGAGAAGACAATCAAGAACGCGAGAGGAAAGCAACCTCAATATCTTTGCGTACCGAAACCAGATTGGTATAATGTACCTGAGCCAGTCGTCAACCACGAACAGTCGCTCAAGTATACATTGTCCCAGGATACGATTAACGAGCTTCACGACTATGCAAAATCTCTACTCGAGGAAGAGAATCAGAAATACAAGAATTCCCAACAATCGTCATCCGCTCAGTCTTTCTACAATACTGTTATTGCATCAGGAACATTGTCAGACAAAATTTCAGCACTGACTCTGGCCGTACAAGAGGCTCCAGTTCACAACATGCGATCCCTAGAGATATTGATTGGCCTGGCCGGCAAGAGAAGTCGATCCCAGGCTGTCGAAGTCCTTCGAGCTCTGAAAGATTTGTTCGCACAGGGTTCTTTGTTACCGGAATCGAGAAAGCTATACGCATTCCATTCCCAGCCTACACTACCGTACTTGTTCGCCCAGCTGAGGTCATGGAGGAGAGACAACAGACTGCCTCGCGGCCTCGACGAGCCAACTCTTGTTACCTGGGCCTTTGAGAGCTGGCTCAAAGAGCAATATTTTGAGGTACTGAAGATCATTGAGGTCTGGTGCAACGATGAGATCGAATTTTCCAAAGGTCGAGCAGTCAGCTATGTTTACGAACTCCTAAAAGAGAGGCCGGAGCAGGAATCCAACCTGTTGAGATTACTCATCAATAAGTTGGGAGATCCCATCAAGAAGATTGCCTCACAGGCATCCTATCTGCTTATGCAATTGCTAATTGCTCACCCTGCAATGAAGGGAGTCGCCATTTCGGCAGTTGAAGGTGACTTCATTTTTCGTCCAGGACAGAGTTTGCACGGAAAGTACTATGCTGTAGTGACGCTCAATCAAACGGCGTTGAGCAGCAAGGAAGAGGATGTGGCCAAGAAACTCCTCGACATCTATTTTGGATTGTTTGCGGCACTCCTGAAATCCGCCAAGGCAGAAACCAGTAGCAAGCCGGAAGAGGGCGATCAGCATCGAGGCAGTGGGAAGAAACAGAAGAAGCCTCAGATTTCAGGTCAAGCGCAGACGGAAGAACTCAGAGAGAAGCTAATATCGGCCATTTTGACGGGAGTCAATCGGGCATACCCTTACGTGGGCGCTGATGGGACGAGCTTCACCGAACACATGGAAACCTTGTTCAAGATCACCCATTCATCCAACTTCAACACAGGCGTTCAAGCGATGATGCTTATTCAGCAATTGTCTACAACACACAGAGCATCGAACGATCGCTTCTACCGGATCCTCTACGAGTCATTACTCGATCCTCGATTACTCGCCTCTTCCAAACAACAACTATATTTGAATCTACTCCACCGCTCTCTCAAGGCCGACCTGAATGTTAAGCGGGTAAAGGCATTTGTGAAGCGATTAGTCCAAATTCTATCACTTCACGAACCATCCTTCATTTGCGGTGCATTTTTCCTGGTTCAGGATCTCGAGGCTACCTTTCCCTCGCTCGCTGGATTAATTGATCAGCCCGAAGACCATGACGACGATGAAGAAGTCTTCCGAGATGTGGATGAAGACGGCGACCAGCCTGCGCTTACATTACCTGACAAGCCTCAAAGCACTTTCTACGATGGGCATAAGCGTGCTCCCGAGCATTCCAACGCAGACAACAGTTGTCTCTGGGAAGTTTTCCCGTTTCTTGCCCACTTTCACCCGTCTGTGTCAGTCAGTGCTGAGCATCTACTACGACACACCAAACTGCCGGGTAAACCCGACCTCAATTTGCATACTCTAAGTCACTTTCTCGACCGTTTTGTATATCGCAACCCGAAGTTGTCATCTGCCGGTTTACGAGGATCATCGATCATGCAGCCAATGGCAAACGATACTTCCAACGTGCTTATTGGAAGCACTTTGGGCGCAGCACGGAAGCTGCCTGTCAATAGCGTAGAATTCAAGACTAGGAAGCAAGAGGATGTTGCGGCAGAAGACATTTTCTTCCATCAATACTTCTCTAGTCTGGGCTCAGCTGGAAGCAACAAACCAAAAGCACAGAAGAAGAGTCGTGACGAGGACGATGGATCTGTAGATGAAGATGAAGTATGGAAGGCCATGATGGAGAGCGCGCCAGAGCTCGAGGGTGCCGAGGAGAGTGATGATGATCTTGACGTGTCCGATATCGACTCGGAATTGATGGCATCATCGGAAGACGATCAGGACGAAGACGACGATGAAGAAGTTGACCTTGACCCGGCCCTTTTCGATGAAGACGATGACGACCTCGTGCAAATGCCAGGGGAAGACGAGGATGGATCAGCTGATGAAGGGGCATCCGACTTTGAAGGATTCGGCGAGGATCTCCCAAGCGGCAAGGAGCGGAGCAAGGAAAGGAGCAAGGAGGACAAGGCAAGAGCGAAGAAGTCTAAGAAGGCCAAAAACCTGCCGACGTTTGCATCAGCAGCAGATTATGCTAAGATGCTGGACGACGACGAGGATGAGGACATGGGAGTGTAATACTCCGTTCGTAGTAGGCTACATCTACCCAAACCGCACCCTTGACACAGCCCAAGAGATCCAAGAAATCCAAGCCGTCGAAGAATCAGTCCAAGCAATTCCTGGGCATCTTGTCCGTAAGCTTGGCCATGACCTGCAGCCTAACACGTATATGGAATGACAGTCCCTGCAAGTCCACGATAACAGTATCGTGCCTTGGTTTAGTCCTCTAGGTTGGAAAGATGCACCATTTATTTACATACTGTCCAGATGACACCTCGTTGTCGTTTCTTATTCCTGTGTACGGTCTGGCACACGCGACTGTAGCTGAAGGAGGAGGGTAGAGGGCTAACCAGGACTAAGCCTTGCCCACCCTGCCCCGGGCGTTGACAAGACACCTGATAGGAAGCCTGACGGGACAAGCGGCATGGCATTTACAGGGGACACTTTGCTTGTGTCCAGTTAAGCGCAAGCTTGATGCCGCCTTTAGTCCACGCCCGATGCTGGGCAGACGTAAGCACAGATGTGGGATGTCCAGAGGGCAGCCTCACCAACCTCCTCCTCCTACTTCATACTATACGTACAATATCCGTAGCTCTTCATGTCTTTTTTTGTCTTGCGAAAAGTCCACAACCGCCACAGCAAGGTGGTAAAAATTTCGATTCTTGCTCAACAAAGTCCTTCGGCCTCTTCACCATCCGTCATTGTGTCTTTTATTTATAATGTGAATCCGCTGCAACTTCTTGTCGTTGATCCACTGCCATGTTGCCATCCAGAGGTCTAAATTTTACACCGGGTCCGAATTCTCTTCCGGCCTCCTCGTATTGGGCGATTGCCTTTCCGACCGGGGCTCGAACCACTTGCAACACCTCGCGAGCACGATTGGGTTGCGGCATGGGGAGGGCTCACTAGACCGAGGCGCCCTGGCCCTGTCCAATACAAAGGTGGTGACACTATCTTGTCCAGAATGTCCTTCATTTGCTTGTTGGCCTTCTTATCCGCAAGACTATCTGTGCCGTGTGCCCGCACCTTGCTATTCGCTATACCACTACGAGACCACGACGCCTTGGATGGACCCGCCCTCGCCGTCGTTCCTTTGCTTACACCGGCTCCATCGAGATCGCCAGCTGCCAGCCCCAAGTCTGTGCGGTTGGTGCGATGTTACAGCTCTCACTGCTGCATGTCGTCACATATGCCTTCTCGCCTCCACACTGTAGCAGATGCAAGCCACAAGCCGTCCATGTCATGGCCCCGGTGTGGATGTCCATGTTACTTTTTCGCAGACTCGCACTCCAACAACAACACGCGCGATCTCGCTTGACATAGTCCCCCTGCCCAGGCGAGGGACCTGGCTTGCATGGCAATCGGAAATTCTCAATCCTGGCCCTGGTCTCTTATATTGTGCTTTGCAAAATTCCGTAAAAACCTTATTTTTTTGCAACATGCAAAACATTCAACAATCATAAAAGCGGTGAGAACATAACGCCATATTTCTTAACAACCACCCTATAATTTCATAAATATTATATAATAATCTTACTCCGGAGCAAATTCTCTATCTAAGTATCTAAATTTTACTATATAAAAAGGTGTGGTTATGATGCTGTCATAGTTGAAGTTTGATCCTGCGGTAAAAGTGGCTATATTAATTACACTTTGGGCAGGAGTGAAAGATATAGCCATTGTAAAGGCTTAAGGGGTTTCTAATGCCTATATTTCTAAAGTTTAATGGGATCTACACTATTAAAATATCGAAATAAATAATATAGTACCTATTAAAGGTTATCTAAAGTTAATTCATTATGCCATAATGAAAGGACTTTATAATTTTATGCTAGATTAGCTAATAGCGCAGCTAGATAAGTACTACGATTTTCTCCGTAATAAGTTTAGTATTAACGCTTATATATTAATAGTCTTCTAGGCACTTAACTCTATAAATATCACGTATAAATAGGTAACTAGAGTTAACACTAAATAAGATAATGAACTTATCACTTTCTATATAGTATAGATAACTAATTATACTAGTAACTAGCTAGTAACACTTAATAAAAGTGCCGTAAATAATAGAACTATGGATAGAAAGTTTAGCTAGTTAGCTTATAACACTTTATACTAAGTATAACTACTAGGTAACTAATCTACTAGTTAGAGCATTTTACCTACGATAATAATAAATAAATAGCTCACTTATAAGGTCTATTAAGGCTCTTTTAATGCCGAACGATTTAAAATATTTCTCTAAGGAGTGCTTAATAAGATAAACTCCTTCCTAGGAGATTATTCCATTCTAATTATGAATAATGTAACTATTTACTAATTTAATAGAGTTAAGCGAATATATAAGGAGTAGAGCGTTATTCTTAAGTACTTATCTCTATATACTTTAGAGCTTAATCTAATTAAGATATTATTTTATGAGTTAAAGAAGTGAATGCGAAAGAATAGAGAACTAGGCTATTATTATAAGAATAGCTTTAATACCTTTATTTATTTAGTAATGACTAGTGTCTATAAGGCTAAGATAGCTTATAATTACTTCTATAAATACGGCTATATTTAATAAGGCATAATAACTAGTAAAGAATAAATAAAAAAAGAAGGGACTATAGGCATTTTATTCTATAATAATAAGCCTAGTTTATATACCTTAATTTATTTATTCTTAAGGTTATATAAATATAGCTATTACGTAATTACGCTAACTATAATTAGCTAAGCTATATACTATAATAGGTATAGTGTGAGATAGTAACACGCAAAATAATTTTAATATCACACTAAGTTATGTAATAAGCCCTTATTAACTACTATTTCCTAACGATATAATACTTACTAAATATCTATTTATACTATCATTAAAACTATCTTCACTTATTATAGCTAAACACGCAAATTCCTTAAGGTTATTATAGATTTTAATCATAAAACTAGCCAGAATAGTTATAGCCTTTTAATGTTTATCTATATATATTTATAGATTAGAAAAGCCCTATCTATAATCCGTAATAAAGAGTTTAATCTCTAATAACTTAGATATATAAATAGAATATTTAGTCACTAGCTAATTAAAGTACTTCTATATATTCTAATTATTATTACTCTCTCGTTATGAAGGGCTTAATTAAGGCCTAGTGATAGTGGCGGCAGTAGTGACTATTAACGGTGGAGATTAATAGATATATGCGGGAGATTATACTAGGTAACTCATTAACAGGATTTCTCTAATATTAAGCATAAACAGATATATATAGTTTGGCGAGTAAATAGGCGAAGGTTAATGTATAGTATTATAGCGTTTCTTATTTCTATTCTGTTCTGAGAGAAGGGTTACCATGATTATGTCTAGCACTTAGTTAGCTATTATATTAGGAGCCTTCTTTATAATTATATCGCTTTAACGCTAAACTAATAGCGTGAATAGAGGAAAATACTATCCTTCATAATTAACGTATAGATAAGAGTAATTCTTATAATTCTTTAACTTATAATAATGTCTCTTTAAGATATTAAGGAAGCTTACTCCGGCGGCAGCCTCTTTTTATGCCTAAAGTTATTTTTCTTCTCACTATTATTATGTTATAAAGATTACCTTACCCTTTAACCTTTTATTCCTAGTCTTTTCCTTATAATAGTGACGTGTTTAGGTTAAGTTAAGATAATAGCTTAAGAAGATATTATTATAAGATAATAATAATATTAAAATGTCCTTACTAAATAAGTCATATTAACTAGTTAGTTAACGTCATTTTAGCTTCTTAATAATTAAGTATACTAGTACTAAATACGCACTAAGTTTAGTCCTACTCTTATAGCTATCTTTTTAAGTATAATGAAGCTCTCACCACTTTTAATAGGCCTTCTTAAAGTATTCCTAAGTCTTTATAGTTAAGGAATAAAGCTTTTTATTACCTTATTTAATTATGAACTTACCCCTAAAGATAGGGGGGCGTAATTTATGAGTCTTTTAATTATAGTCATTATATTAATACTTAAGTTAACCTTTATACTTAAGGAGTGTGTTAATAATATTAAAACCCTAATATAATACTTCTATACTAAGGATCTTAATCTTCTTAATAAAGATTTCTATAGCGATATCATAGAAAAGTTTATTAATCTTAAATACTGATTTAATAGAGTCTATATTAGTTAGGCTTAAGTTATTCTCTGTAGTATATAGTAAAGTATTTAATTAATAACTAGGTTACGCTAATAGAGAGACTTATATTAATGTCTCTCCCTTCTCTTTATTATCTTCTTTAGTATTACTAGATATAGATAAGACTTTATTATCCTCATTAAGAAGATTTAACACTTCCTATGCTTATAATATAATGTCCTCCTTAATACTTAGTCTTAGTGGTAACTCTGGCGACTCTAATAACTTTAGTAGGTCAGGACTAGCCGTTTAAGAGGGACGAGGGCTTAGAGACATAGCGCGACGCTTTGAACTTACCCTATTAGCCCTCGTTACAAGGCTATCGCCGTCACTTTTGCGCTTCATGCGAGCGTTGCGAGTAATAAGGGTCTCGCGGAGTGATTGAGAGGCTAATGACTCCTGGAGTTGACGGGATAGAGTTATTATGCGCCTTGTACAATTCGACATCATGTTTGTATGTAGTTACGATATATTGCAGTAAATTACAGTGCTATCTAGGGCTATTACGGCTGCAGGATGAGTTTGTTGATATAGGCCATATGGCGGTGTGCAGATTTCATACAACTTGCAAAAAAATAAGGTTTTTACGGAATTTTGCAAAGCATAATATCCACGCTTGTTCTCTAGTTGTGTTTTGCTTTTCCTCTCGTTCTTTTCTCGAAAAGGTGCTCTGTTTCCCCAGGAAAGCCACCGGGCCTGTCGACACTAGATCGTTAGAGCTCTATCTACAAAAGCCACATGCTGCCCATTCACGTCTTGGATCACGAGTCTTTGTTTTATACTTGTTTCGTACGGCAAATCCGTGCAATCAAGTGGCGTTGAACCATCATTCCTGTCGCGCAAAATCCAGTCCAGTAAAGAGATACACGACAATCTCTCTCAAATATCCAACTTCATCATGGCCACCTTTGCCGACAAAGACCAGCCTTTCGGCGCCGCGGACTCTTTCAAGCCCGGAGACAATGTTGACTTGGAACGCCGAGGTTCAACCACAACCGTCCAAGGTCGCAAGATGAGTAGGATTGGACCTCCTCCAAGGAACAGCTCCATCGTGCCGGTCACAGAGGAGAACGGCGTCAAAGACGAGTACGGCAAGCTCGTGGAGATGGAGGCCAACGACGCGATCAAGTACCGAACTTGTTCATGGCAAAAGGTGAATCTTGTTCTTGTCGAATTCGATGCGACCACAGATCATACTGATATCTTCTCGCAGACTGCTGCTCTACTCTTCTCAGAGTATATCTGCTTGGCGATCATGTCTTTCCCATACTCATACTCGATCCTCGGTCTTGTCCCGGGTCTGATTTTGACGGTCGTGCAAGCCGCGTTCGTTCTCTACACTTCGCTCGTTGTTTGGTAAGCTCTGTCAGTCGCCTCTTCCCTTGGACCGCTGTTGATGCAATGTAGGGAATTCTGTCTTCGTCACCCCGAAACCCGAGATGTTTGTGATATCGGGCAGATGCTCTTCTGGGGCTCCAAATGGGCCTGGTACTTCACGGCGGTCATGTTCCTGCTGAACAACACCTTCATTCAGGGGTTGCACGTTTTGACCATTTCGCGATACTTGAACACCATGAGCGGTATGTATTCGGCCCCTCATACCATTCCGCAATTTTCGGTCGCTGATTTGTGATGTATCAATCTTAGGCCACAGCATCTGCACGGTCGGTTTTGCCGCCATCGGTGCCGTCGTGTCCTGGCTTTGCTCGATGCCGCGGACGTTTAGCGCACTGTCCAAACTCGGTGCCGCGTCGGCATTCTTCACCTTCATCAGTGTCATTCTTGCCGCGGCCTTTGCTGGCGCAGAGGGCAAACATGGCACCGCCGGTTACAACCCAGACCCCAACCACATCAACGCGAGCGGACAGAAGATCGGTGGTGAGCCTTTGGTCCTCGCGGTGCCTCTCGCCGGCACCACCTTTGTGTCTGGAATGAACGCCTTCTTGAACATCAGTTACACTTTCATCGGCCAAATCACCCTGCCTAGCTTTATCGCGGAGATGAAGAACCCCTACGATTTCCGAAAGGCCATCTGGGTCGTCACCATCTGCGAGGTCATCGTCTTCAGCTTGGTCGGTGGTATTGGTAAGTGACCCGTCCTGTGTTCGAGGCTTGCAAGTATCTGACAGCTCTAAAAGTGTACGGCTATACCGGCACCCAATACAACACTGCTCCGGCCTTTTACTCCCTCGGAAACGACATCTACAAAAAAGTCAGCTTCTCCTTCATGATTCCGACCTTGGTCTTCCTTGGTGTTCTCTACGCCTCGGTCTCGGCCCGATTTGTCTTTTTCCGCTTGTTCGAAGGCACTCGTCACAAGTCCTCGCATACTCTTGTGGGCTGGGCCTCTTGGGCCGGCATCCTCGCCCTCACGTGGATTCTCGCCTTCATCATCGCCGAAGTCATTCCCTTCTTCGCCGACCTTTTGTCCCTGATGAGCAGTCTGTTCGACAGCTTCTTCGGTTGGATTTTCTGGGGCGTCGCGTACATCCGTATGCGCTACGCCGACCTCGGGCCTGGTTTCTACAGGAAGCGAGGTATCCGTGGATGGGTTGGTTTCTTGATGAACGTCTTCATCATCATTGTGGGATTTTATTTCCTCGGTGCTGGAACCTATGTAAGTCTTGCCTCTTTTCGACAACAATTCCTGTGTCCGATACGGCGATGCTGACTTGACGATTACCCAGACCTCTGTTGAGAGCATCATCCTCGATTACGAGGCAGGAAATGTCAAAGGTGTCTTTACATGCGCCAACAACGGTTGAGATGGCAGTATGCACCCGGCAAATTACGCACCCATCACCCAGACCGCATCCCCGGCTTTTCGATGTTGATCCTTTGGTTCTGGATGGAATCTTGGAGGACAAATGGTACGGAGTTAAATCAATCGAACGAATCTGGATGCTGCAGAGGTTTCGGGGAATGATCCGATTTAATGGTGCACGTACGGGAGTTGTCGAAGCAAGAATATTCCGTGGAAAACGTATACGACATGAAAAAAAGGATGGCTGGGCCTGAGTAACAAGAAATATAGAAATTTGAATTTGAATGTCAGCTTTTGGGAGACACGATATGTCTCTCACCGACATTTTAAACTTGTGACCATTTGTTGTTTGATGGATATCTGCATTTGCACTGCATGTGAAGTCAAGATGAATTCTCTTCTGACGAACGCTGATGCGAAAATATACAGATTCTCTTTGGCCCAACCTCCAACCAACCAACCACTCACTCAATCACACTCTTGTGACAAACAACGATTTGAGCAGTTCGATTGATTCCTTTGGGGGGTTTGTTTTTTTGGAAATATCGATTGGTACAAAGTAATAGACAAATTCCTATCTTCGCTCGTCACTTTGTTCCTTTTGAATTCTGATCACACAATCTCTCTGCTTCGCAACGTCAACCCACTCTGGAAGGGATCCATTGAGAAGCGAAGACTTGCAACACATTGCGTAATTTCAAATCTTGCGTCTCACGTCTCAATCATCATAATGTCCAGGCCTGGGAGCGCCACTCATGAACTTGTCCACAATGTTCGAATACACCTCGACCTCGTCACCCTTGTCACCGGGTAGGAAAGAATGCCACTTGACCTCTCCACCTTCGATCATGATGGGTGAAGCGTAAGGAGCCTTTTCTGGGCCCAAATAATCCCACAACCTTTCCTGTTTGATACAATCCGTTAGAATGAATTCACCAACCTGCCAACTGAGTAGATAGGTAGGTAGGTAGGTAGGTTACAGACGACGGACGGAGGGAAATAAAGGCATACCAACTGAATCCACAATTTGTGATTGATTTCCTTACTCAACAGCATGGTCTCTGGGTCGAAATAAGGTAGGACAGGTAGACCCAAAGTTTTGGCCTGTTGACTCAGGTTCGTCCATTGGGTTTCACACCACAGGCCTCGTCGGTCGTCGTTTCGGTACGACTTGGTCGTCGATGAGTGTCTGGTAGGTCGGGACGCAGAGGCGATGATGGAAGCCGCGTCCCTCTTTCCGGTCGATGATGAAGACATTGAATTTTGTCAATTATGGACCGAAAAAATGGTGTGGTCCGGTGATACTGTCGTCGTCGTCGTCGTCGTCGTTCGTTCGTTCGGATAGGTTTTGTCAATCGACTTTTGTTTCCAGCACCCCCGAAATCTCCCTGCCCCGGTTTGGAGAGAAAGTCCACGCCTTTTCGTTCTTGGTCGACTCGATCCCCAGGAGGGGAAACTGAGACGAGATGAAGAAAGAAGAAGAAGATTGTACGAGTACCGCAACAAATTGTCGTCGACTCGTTAGGTCGTGATAAAAGCCCCGGCCGCACCGACGGGATACGAATAGCTCGAGCGGCGAAACGCTAAACCCAAGACGGGGTTTGTACAAAAGTTTGTCTCTTCTTTTCAAGGAGTAGACGACAAAATAATACCAAATATCCGGCAAAAATAAAATAAAAGGCGATCTTTGCAACCGTAAGACTCGTCGGACCAACGTGTCGTCAATTTAAATGCTTTGGGATTGTCGGAAACGCCGGAGGGTCACAAAAATGCATGACATACGCGGCAATCCGACACCTTTGAGGTATTTCTTATTCTTTTCCCTATGACGTGCCGTACCTTCATAGATACGGTACCGTATTTGGACCCATCAATGGCAAAACACCCCCGCTGGCCATGACACCCAACTGCCAGCCTCTGACTGGAACGCCTTTCTACTGCTCACGACCTCCTCTCGAGTCAGTTTTTTCATCTCTTCCAACTTGACCTGTAGCTCCACGCCCACCCCAATGTTAGCACCAGAAATTGTTGGGGTTAAAGAGGTCATGGAGTGGTAACATGCCCGGCTATACCAGACGGTAACCAAAACCTCATGCCTACACCCAAGAACGGCACCTGCACTGGAAATGGCTTATTGTTGTTTGAAGACTATCTACTTGAAATAGGTAGTCAACAAGGCAACATCCGGAATCACAGCAGTTGTTATCATGTAGCTCGTCAATAGTTCATCATTCCCAAGTCAATCAATCATCACTCCCTATCTAGCTCATTTGATAAAACACGCAAAAAAGAAAAAAACACATCCTCCGTGCTCATTCACGGTGCTCCTGGCACTATGCGAGAATTCAATAGATATGCAGGTTTGATTTCCAAGACATGTCGTGTCGATGTCGTCTGATAGCCAAGGTGTCCACCCTCGGTTGCTATACCCGCATGTCCCATTGCTCCTTCAGTGCATGCCGTGTTGATTGTTCATGTGCACATGCTTGTGCACATGTTGGCGTCTGCCATACCGTCCCGTAGGAGTGGCTGGCTCGGTCACGGTAACAGTGACAATCTCTTCGACCATCACCATGTGGACAGCAACTCCATTGCTCATGTAAGTTGTAGTGATTGTTGTTTGAGCCTCCGTGATTGAACTGGCAATTGAAGTAATGACACTGTCTGCAGATTCTGTGGCAGATGCGATCGGTCCTGGCGATGGTCCGGCAGGGGTTGCAGAGACAGTGGTGTTGGCCAAGGGTGATGCAGACGGTGCAAAGACGGGAATCTCAATAGAATCTGATCCAGTGATGTTCATGTTGCCAGGTAGTTCTTGGACGTAGTTGATACGCTCATGTTGCAGTGCTTCTGGCATCTCAAGCTTGCATTGTGTAGCATTAGCCTGGCTTTGTATGTTGAAGAGAGGACAATCTTCTTGAAGGCCGGTGCTGTTGGAGCTGGTGCAAGCGCTATCATCAATTGCCTCTTGTAGAAGACCACTGTCCCATCCGCAAATGAAATCTCCATGGTAACCAAGTCCCGTAGGGTCGCCATTGGAAAAGACGAACTGTCCATCGACACTTGTGAAGAGGTTGGTCTGGTAGATTGTCTCATAGAAAAGGACAGGAAGACGAACAGGGTAGTCATCCGGGCATGCACCATATTTGACTTCATTGGGATATGCGACATGTGTAGTGTGATTCTCACTGTCCAAATCTTTGCCATTCCAGCAGGAGGGGAACATCACTTCAGCACGAAGACCGTCGTCACAGAACTCATCAAGGTAAGTCTTGTTGCGTAAGTAATGGACTTCCAATGCGCCTTCGTTTGGAGGGTGATCATAGTGTAGGCAATTGAAGCCGAGAGCTTTTTCCATCAATGATGGTTGAGTGCGATCCGCATCAGTCCATAGTGCCATGGGAGTATCTGGATTTGGTCCGACAAAGGTCCGCTTCGAGGACATGCCAGCAATCATGCGAAAGTTCTGGGGGAATGCAGTGACTTCGGCGCCAAAGCCTGCACCGGGGCCTTCAGTGAAGTAATAGCTGCTAATTGTCAGGAGAGGAGATGGACTCGTCAAATTTGAGAAGCTTACACAGTCATTCCGCCAGAAGTAGGAACCATCTCAAAAGTACCATTGGAGTGCTGAAAGTACATGCGGGGAGCCCAGTATGCAGAATGATCCTGGGTGATTGAGCAACTAGTGCAGTTCGATGCCATGAGCTCCTCAATGGTACTGTCGAGGCCAAGGTCTGTGTTCAAATGTCAGAATGGTCGCCATTTCTCTCATTCATTTTCCAACTTACTGGACGCGCCGAAGGTAACGTGAAGATGTTGGGATGGGTGGCCTGGTGACATGATCGGATCAATGCGACCATTTGCCAACTCGCCGAAGCATAGGTGACGGAAGAAGGCGTGAGTAGGAAGGACAAAGAAGAGGATCGCGACGAAAGTCATGACTGTCTCCGCGAGAGTCTTGAATTTGCCTGAAGATTGCATGTTTGCACGCGACCTAGTATACTGTAGGCTTCTGTGCTTGCTGTACTGTTGTAATCGACCGGCGACAGAGAATTTGAGGTGTTTTGATGATGGATTTGAAAAGGTTGAAGGGTTGGAAGGATGGAAGGAAGAGAAAGAAAGTTGGAGGTCGGCGAAGAATGGACGTAGTAGTAGATTGCTGTATGGGAATAGAAAGGAGCGGACTGAGTTGGTAGGCAGCAAAAGATGCGACGTAGGTGAGGCTGGTCGGATACAAATGAATGAAGCTGAAGAATACTCGTGAATGTCGTTGGTGAGTTTTTGCTGGAGAAGCTGCGCCAATTCACCGCGAAACTGGGAGTCGCGACTCGTATCACTGATGTAGCCGAGATGCTCAGTCTGATCCAGCACAATTGTTTTCTTCTCACTTGCTGGCTGTTCACCAATTCACTCTTTGCTTTCAGAAGCCTTTCGCGTCTTTCCGCCGGTCAGTCATCAGCTCACCGCCTAGAGTCCGGCGAAAAGCCTGCTCACCGGTTTTGAGGAATATACTTCTCTGCTCTCCAGAGTGCACCTTTCCACAACAAGCCCGAGTGGAAACCCTTTGTCAGAGATCAACCTTTTTTGTGTGACAGGTTGTATGGCTGAGAGAGAATATGCATCCCTTGATTTATATGGGTGTTTCAGTTGCCAGCACTCAAGACGATATCGCGATCCTGTTGTCCTTCAAACCACCAAAACGTCTGTCGATGGGGAAACCCAAAAAACCATCCAGGGCTAGCCTGCGCGGAGGACAAACGTAAAACTGAGCATGTCAGAATTCCGGCATCGCCACCGTGTGAGAGAAGGGTAGATAAGAGGAGGCAAAGCAAGACAATCAGCGCAGACGCATGGAGCATGAGATTGATCAATCGACCTGCGAAAGATAGCAACAAGAGCGTCTTAATGAACCAGACGAAACATCAAGAGGTGGAAGCAGACAATCAGAATCCATACTCAATGCACAAAGATGCACCAATTTCTTTGGTCCATCTCACAACTGTGGTCATTCGTTTGCACTCTGTTCCATTCATGGAACCTGCCATGATCACGGTCTGCAGCTGCTGATGAACCAAGGTTGAGCGACCAGATGAAATCTCAATCCCTGCCGGCGGCCTTCTGTGCTCTGCCTCAACCAAGATCGCAAGAAGAAGCCTGTTTGAAGATCTTCAAATCTTCCTTTGTTGTTGCACGTGTGGTATGGGCTTTCTTTGTCATCATGCCTGCAACCTGCCGTTTACTAATTTCCGACAGATGTCCAGTCCTGCTGTTAGAGACGGAGAACAGAGTCTATTGGCGCGCGCTTTCTGATACCCTCTCACAAGAAGATCAAACTTCTTGCGTGCTCATCTCTGGTGGCACCCATAGGAACAAGGTGAAAGACTAGAGACAGAAATGAGAAGAGATCCTGCGTACCACATTGTGCATCTATCTCCGACCAACAGGACATGTTGAGTCTGAAGGTCTAGGTCTAGCCTTGCAAATGTTGATGACAGGAAGATGGCATCCCCAAATTCTGGCAACAGTGAGGCGTCTCAGACAATGCGCAATGCAATACAATAAAATGCGTATCAAGGAAAAGCAATGGTGTTTGGAACAAGAGAACGGAATTTCTTACTGAATAGCTCATCCCTTGGCAAGTGGCCAGGTACGCAATTGTCGGGCGCTTGACAGTGGCCATGACAGGGATGCGTGCTGTGCCTAAACAAGATTCATCGATTTGCCGAGAACATCATTTTCGGTTTTTGATCCAGAGCTTGTCGAATAGGTACGGGATTCTGGTTTCCTGTAGGTGAGTAGCTCCGGTTACCCTTCGCAAGGAAATATAATATACATATATATCTACGGACATTGGATTCCGAGGATTCTTGCGCCTCTTATAAAGTACTGGTGGAGTTCGTTTTCCCGTGGCACGTAACGAACAAACTCGCAGCAGGATGCAACGCTAGACGAACGCCTTGATGCATGCTCGGAAAACCGCGACCTGCAGCCTACAAAAGCCAAAAAAAGTTTGCATAGAGGTGGCTACTTTGATTGCTAGGTTTGTAGGATTTATGGTTGAAAACTGGTACGGGCAAGTCAAAATCTCCACGGCTGAGACAATTCGCATTATTGCATGGAAGAATCTTTAGGCAACAAACAACGGCGTGATTCATGGATTCTGAAGTATTTAGTACAGTGGAAAGAGGTATTCTTCGTCCATGATTTGTCCCCCCTGAAACATCAACTGACTGAGATGCTAGTGACGAACATCATGGATCAGGCCCATGTACCCGAAGCTCGGGTTTTGGTCATCATGACCGGCGGAACAATATGTATGCAGAAGTCTCCAGACGGTCTGATCCCAGCACGAAACTTCCTGGAACGATGCATGGCACCACGGCCAGAATTCAATGACGGGGACGTCCATGAACCCATCGAGGTTGCGTTTCACGACGGGTCCGATGGTGTACAATTATCGCAGAGTCTGCGAACGCCAACGAGCGTCTACGGAAAACGTGTCAGGTAGGCCCCTTGTCCTGCTCGTATCTCTCCCGGGAGAGCCAAAAAGATGTGTACAGACCTGCTGACCTGAACTACCAGGTATGCGGTGTTGGAGTTCGCAGAACTCCTTGATTCTTCTTCTATCGACAGCAGAGGTTGGTCTCAAATCGCGCAAACCATCTATCGCAATTATAAGCTGTTCGACGGGTTTGTTGTCCTCCACGGAACGGACAGCTTAGCGTATACTTGCTCGGCTCTTAGCTTCATGTTGCAGCATTTGGGCAAGCCTGTGATACTCACTGGATCCCAGGTTCCCTTTGTGGAACGTAAGAACGACGCCTTGGACAATTTACTCGATGCGCTGGATGTTGCAGCTCATTTCATGATTCCAGAAGTGTGCTTATGCTTCAACTCTACCTTATTTCGCGGCAATCGTACGACAAAGATATCGGCAAGCGCATTTGACGCTTTTGCCTCACCAAATCTCCCCCCATTGGCCAGGATCACAGCTGTCGATACCAGTGTGGCGTGGAACATGGTGACGAGACCGACCTCACTCCAAGCATTCAGCATCCAGACTGACCTTGAAATTCATCACGTCGCCTGCTTGCGCATATTCCCAGGGATCACAGCCAAAATGGTAGACGCAGTCCTGCGGACAGAAAATCTCCGTGGCCTCGTCCTCGAGACTTTCGGCGCTGGCAACGCTCCTAGTGGACACGATAACAAGCTCTTCAAGGTCATTGCGGAAGCTGTTCAGAGGGGCGTTGTCATTGTGAACATCACTCAGTGCCTAACTGGCAGTGTGAATCCCTTATATGCACCTGGCATGGTGCTGGGACGAGCGGGGGTGGTGGCAGGAGGGGACATGACCAGTGAAGCTGCGTTGACGAAATTGTCATACCTGCTGGCATTACCAGGCGCAACACCCGAATCAGTCGCCAAAGACATGGCCGTCTCGATTCGCGGTGAGCTGACCGAGAATTCTCGCACCATCTTCAGCCATCCAACAGGCGAGTTGTCCTCTCCAGTAACTCAGCTTACAGCCATCGCCTATGCCATCGCCAGTGGAGACATCGACAAGGTAAAGGATGTGCTTCGGAATGATGGGCAACTTATGAATCGTGCAGATTATTCTGGAAATACGCCTCTTCACCTGGCTGCTACCGGACCTAGCCTGGCAATCTTGCGATATTTGCTGGGACTAGGTGCATCTGTGCATATTCGAAACAACACAAGCCGCACACCATTATTCCTGGCAGCCAATGCCGGATTGGTGCCTCATGTGATGTTGCTGCGTCAAGCAGGCGGACATCTCCATCACGAAGAACTCCCTACGGCGAGACTACATGCAGGTCAGCGGCCAGATGTGTGGAAGGCTGCTGGAGTAGAAGTTACTTAGTATTCGGATGGCCCGGTGATGACATGGAGCTTGCCAACCTCCAACAATGGTTCACACTGAAACAGAAGACCAAACATTTAAGCACATGGTTACACGACTTCAGCATACTAGATACGTGTTCACATTCACTCGGTCTGATGCGCCCATCGGAGGGCTTGTCACGCCAAGGTCCGTCTAAGCGATCCTGTACTGTTCCAAACAACAAGTGATGGGTGCCTCGTGGTGTCGATACGAGTAGTCGAAGAGAGGTGGGTGGAGCAGGGGCGATCGACTCCCCGGGCCGCCTACTGTTACGGGTATGTACCAGTACTGTACGAGTATCAGTACCTTACCTATCTAGCAGGCTCCAGGCTAAGCAAAAGCCAATGGTCGGAAGAGCCTCTATCACGCGCCTATGGCACTGCCCGACGAACGTGCTTACGGGGCCGCGGAAGTGCCTATGCAAGGATTTTTGTTAGGGGCCTACTGTATGATGCTGGACGGTGCCTGTGCCCTACCGACTCGCAGGGTCCCCAGGCCATGTCCTTGTTGGTGGTATAGTCTAGTACTGCGCAGACCTGCTCTTCTCAAACCACTGCCATCAGCATTATCACTGACAGCATGTGAGGCGCCACTGACAACGAGATTTGAGGACTTGTGGTCTACAGGTATCCTAGTGCGTAGAAGAGCTGCTTGACCAACACGGCCGGTACCCATTAGTCGCCTCGCACAGGGTCTACACTTGCCTCTATGGGCTACAGTATGAGCTACCTACAGTAGACACAACTCTCCCCCCCGCCTTTGTGATCAACCCCCCGCATCCGCCTAGGGGATTTTTTTTGTACTGTGTGCCTAGGAGGGCAAAATAATAATACTAGTGTCCGTACAAGTGGGAAAATGGCAACATTTGGGAGTCTTTTGTCGTCATACAGTTGCAATCATGATGGTGAACAATTCGGGTCGCACAAGTCCACCGCTCCGATTGTCATGTTTCAGGGACGATGCAAGGTGGCCTCGGAGTAGATTTCTCGTCTTGCGTGAGAACGAGGGCAATGTTTGACGGTATTCAGTATGCTGTAGGTAATTGATGGAGGAGTCTCCATCCGGCCCTGGTCTTGGTTACGTAAAGGATAAGCTGCATCAGGTTTGGCGGTGATGAGCAAGGTGAAAAAATCTCATCGCAGAATTGGCGCAGTCCCCAGAGCACCACAGCATTGAACCCATTGAAGCCACCGAGACCGAGTGAATCCAGTCAATCCATTCAATCCATTGCATCCAAGCATCCCGGGGTCCTCAAATAATGGACCCGAATTACGGCACGGAAATGCTCTCTTTTCGCCCACCGCTGTCCATGTTTTTTGCAAGGCGCATGATTTTCCCCCAGCAGGGCGCCCTCTTATGTGTCAGAGCTTGGGAGTCTGTACTCCGTACTGATTGTTACGGTACGGGACGGATACTGTTCCTATCCCAGTTGGTGGTTTGTTCACCGCGATGGTGTGAGAACACGCTTCTTTTGAGTGATTGTGTTTTCTATTTCCTTTCGGCCTTTGCTTTCGTCCTTTGGTTTCTTTAACCCTTGATCGCCCTTTTGAATAACCCCCCTACTTTGGTGCTATCTTTGGGATTTTCGCACGCTTTCATTCTTGCGTGATCGTTGTGGGTTTTTAAAGTCACTTTTGGGAAACTTTGAAGCAACCTCGCGTCTCTTTACCGCCACCTTCTAGCGTTGAGTGTTGAGTGTTGGGGAGAAAATACAAATATTCAACTTTGGAAGACCATCTATTTATTACAGGGCAAGGTTCATTCACCGGCGCCATATGACAACGACAAAAAAGACCATTGCCATCGTCAATGGTACTGGTCGTCAGGCAGCCTCGCTGATCCGCGCGGTCACTGCCGTGGGTTACGCCGTTCGGGCTCAAGTATATTCGACCGAAGGCCTGGTGGCAGAGGAATTGGCCGAATTACCAAATGTCACCCTTTTTGAGGGGTCCTTGTTGGACAATCCGGTCCTGGTAGACACCATCTTCGAGGGCGCTCAGATCGCATTCATCAACACCAATCCCCTCGCCGGCGATGAGATCAAGATAGGCAAAGTCCTCGCCAACGCGGCCAAGAAGAGGAATATCCAGCACTTCATCTACAGTAGCATGCCTGATCATTCGATACACAACCCGAAGTGGCCTTCACTTCCTCTATGGGCCTGCAAGTTTACGGTCGAGAACTACATCCGACAGCTGGGCATGCCGTCGACCTTTGTCTACGCCGGCATTTACTACAACAACTTTACCAGTCTTCCGTACCCCTTGTTCTGCACCGAATTCAAGACCGATGGGACTGTCGAGTGGCGTGCGCCTTTCCACCCCGACACCAAGCTACCCTGGCTGGATGCGGAACACGACTTTGGTCCGGCAGTGTTACAGATTATCAAGGATGGACCGAATCGTTGGGGAAAAGGGCAAAGGTAAGCAGTGAACCCAACCGAGCTCAATCCTTCTGCTCCCTATCGCATTGCCCTTTCTTCAAGATACAAATTGACACATGTTCGATCTACCAGGGTTGCTCTTGCTTTTGAAAACCTCACGCCTCGACAAGTCTGCGACGCATTCACTCGGGCTCTGAACCTCCCATGCAACTACGTGTTCGACCCCCAGATCGAAGTCAAGGTCGGTGTACCAAACGGCTACCGGCAACAACTGCTCGGTCTCGAAGTGCTCTTTGGCCAGTACAACGCACCCTACTTCGCAGGACCCGATTTTCAACACAGTGGCCGACGGAAAGATAGCAACGACACCATCACGGGACGCAACAGCAGCGAGTCCCCGCGAGGCAAGCCGGGGAAACTGACGGACTTGGCGCGCACCCTCTGGCCCGGGTGGAGATCGTTATCTGAATATTTCGCCACGGCCTTTTTGGTGGAAGAGGAAGCCAACGGGAAGACGTGGATGGTTGACAAGACACAAAGCACATGACGTTGAAGTTGTAGGGCCGCCAAACTACGACGTTACGATTTTCTTTTTCTCTGTCTCTTATCTTTTGCATTGATACGGGGTGGTTACTCAGGTGGCGCCGCCAAGTTTCACATGGGCTCGGGTGTTCTTGTTTTTGGGGACGGGTTACTAGCATAGCATGGCCACGAAACGGTGGGAAAGTATACGACTCTCAACGCACCTACACATACGCGCACGTGCACATTCACATTGACATTGGGAGCAACAAGAGTGCAAGGGGCATTCATTTATCCAAAACGGCGAACACAATGCAAAGGCAAGGCACGGCACTTGATTTCTATCTATGAAGTCAATCATTTTTGTTTTTGAAAGACACCAAGAAGGCATGGGAAAAAAAGCATCATCATATGATACCTGAGGGAGGGAAGGGTGCGTGCGCACAAAATCTCATCAATCCTGTTAGATAGGAATTACTTACATTCAAACACACACACACACACACACCCACACACAGATATGTGGTCAGCTGCCTTCTGCGGCAATGGTATTCAACCTGCCTGCCTAGGTAGGTAGGTAGGTAGGTACTGAAGCCCGGGCCAACGAAGATAAGAAGGTAGTACTTTCGGACCCAAAGTTAGGAGAAGAATGTCAGAATTATAATAATATCTTCTAAAAAGTATTTGATCGTGTTTGATCCAGTGCTACTGCTATACGTCGATTCGATCACGATAACGGGTAACGGAAGGACGGGGAATCGAAAAGTGTAAATCATTTTGACACAGGTTGTGATCGTTACTGTACCGGGGAGTACGAAGTTCGCCAATTCGTTGTGACATGCCTGATTCAGGTTACTACTACCTTAATACCTACGGATTACTCGTGGTGTATTAACCGCGTTCCCCGCAAACCGGGGCCCCCCCCTTTGCAAGACTAAAGTACCTACAGTACTCCGTACCTAGGTTACTACCCCGACCCGACTCTTTAGCCTTGCATTATTGTTATCTTTTCGTACAAAAAGGTTTGCGTGACAATAATGTGACAGGTCCTTCCCCCCCGATATGTATGTACGGTACATTGTACAGTACAAAACGAGAAGCTAACCTTTTTGTTTGACAGATTACGGGAAAGACGTGACCACCTGCCTAAATGAGAATAAGGAATCTGGAGGAGGAGGAGGAGGAGGAGGAGGAGGGGTTAATGAGTAGGTAGGTACCTACGGATAGGGTCTGGGGGTTTATCTCTTTTTTCCAGTTCATCTCATCAAGTACCCTCCACGAGTGGAAAAGTGATAGGAGGCATTTTCTTCACAACCGGTAAAAGAGTACTCTTTAATTACGGGTACACAAGGGAAAGCACAGTTCAGGTAGAGAAGAGGGGTCAATAATGTATTCATTACAGCACACAGTACTCCGTAGGTAGGTTACTTCATCTTCGGAAGAGAAGGGGGATCGATAAACTCATCCGAGACCGGAGGAAGGCGGGCATGTCCTTTGATAGATACTCGTACTCGTTACCTTACCCAAAAGTATGTAAATACTCCGTACAGCAATGAGTTTACAGTCAAATTGGACACAATAGGCAGTGAGAAGCGAGTCCAGCTTACGGGAGGGATCGATCATAATCATCATCAACCCTCCTTTCCGGCTGACAAGTAACTACTCCGGAATCTGTATCCGATGGAGCAGGTTTGATTTTTCTACTTTTTCCTTTCTCGGATCGATTACCCTAGTCTCCTTGTACTATGTTACTTGTACTTGTACATCGGTGAGACTACGGAATGAATCGTTCTTACCTCTAGGTATTATTTACTCCGTAGTCCGTACTTGTTACTTGTACTCCCCGTAAGTATCCAGCGTCGTTGCTTGACTCTGGCACGAGTAGGTTTTCTTTGCTTGTCATGATTGTAAAGAACGTCCGATTACGATGCGATGGTCAGTGAATGATTACGTTGACCAAACAGGCAATAATGATACGGGAGTAAGATATAGTGAGATGGCCATCTTGACCCTCTGAAGTTTCCTGTCGTGTCCCTGTGTCTGTGCCAACTCCCTTCCTTTATTTTCTTTCTTTACTTATTCCTGACACGAAATTTCTTCCATCCAACATGACAAGATGATTTTTTTTTTCGGCTTGCGACTCTTTCAAGGTCTAGAGAAGAATGTTGCAAGACAATTGCTTATCTGTTGACAGAAACCACAACGGCCAATGGTGCATGTTGCCAAGGCTGGTCCTGTAACAATATCCTAATATGCATGTGAATCCAACCTTTCAACCATGACGAAGAATTTTTCTATAGAGATAACCACATTTCTACTCGTGTAGGGCAAATGAATTAACAACAGACACAAAATTGGAGTGTGACATCTTAGAAACACTGTTATTCCAAGGGGACGTTATCTCAAAATACAGAACATATAACGCACATCTATTTCCCAACGGATTTTCGCCAACCGATTCTCGGATCATCAAATATCGGGCAGGCCAAAAACAAAAAGAAAATGTCGGCACAAAACGAGGCGACGCCACGAGTGTTCCTCATCCGCCACGGTAAGTCACATTACTGTGGACGAATCATACTTGTATCCTTCCTAAAACTTACTATTGACACAAACCCCCTTTCTTTAGGCGAAACAGAATGGTCCAAAAACGGCCGATACACTTCGACGACAGATTTGGAATTACTTCCCGAAGGTGTCGAAAAGGTCAAACAAACCGCCAGCGTGGCATTCGGTCCTGGCCGATTGATCGACCCATCCAAGGTTGGTTTGATAATGTGTAGTCCTCGGAAACGAGCACGACAGACTCTCGACTTGTACCTGGACCGATTGTCCACCGAGGTACCCAGATCTTCGGAAGATGGTACCACCGTCGTCGAAGACAGATCAGATCTCGAATCCAAGATCACGGTAACCGAGGACCTGGCCGAGTGGGGTTACGGAGACTACGAGGGTCTACTGACGCAGCAGATTCGGGATTTGCGAAGGTCGCGAGGTCTCGACACCGTCCGTCGGTGGAACGCCTTGCTGGACGGCTGCGAGGGACCTGGGAGCGAGGTCCCCGCTGATGTGATGCGACGAATCGACCGCATCATCTCACGCGTCACCGCCCTCCAGAGAGACGCCCTCGACCACGCCAGGCCCTGCGACGTCGTACTCTTCGCACACGGACACATCTTTCGGGCGTTCGTCAAGCGTTGGCTGGGCTTCGCGGTCGACGACCCGGTCAGGTTGGACTTCCAGTTCGAACCGGGGAGCGTGTGCGGGTTGAGTTACGCCAACCGGAACGTCGAGGATCGTGTCCTCCTCGCCGGGATGAGGCTGCCGTTCCTTCTTCTACTGCCCCCTCATCGTCATCATGAAAGGTCCTCCAAACAGAGTCAGTCACGTTGACCCCCCTTATCCGGGCAGGCACGAAATTGACTTTGCCAAGTGGACGTCACCGACGAGAAATATACACACGATACTACTACGAGGGGTCATGGCATCCTAGAGAGAATTCATGATCAGTGGGAGAGAGGAATTTCAATCAATTCACAGGGCAATGCACCACCGGAATTTAATAACGCAAGCTGATTCGTTCTCTCTTTACTAAGACTTTACTAGTAGTATATTTTTTCACTCCCTCTCTGTCCTAAAAAGGCATTATGTACTGTTTGAGCAGTTCAGGTAGACACACTGCTATTACTTCCCACCATCAGGTAATTTGAACCTGCACCATTCCGTCCTCCTTACACCTCAATGCCCAACGCTTCCGCCGCAGCGGCACGTCTCTTGGCACTGTGCATGGCACGACGCATTCTCAAGTTTCCTTGCTCATTGGCAGCCGCGAGGGCTCTCTTCTTGGTGATCAAGAAGCTCTTTTGACCAAAGTCTGGTGTCCCACCCAGAGTGGCGAAGATGTCACCGACATAATTGGTCGGCGTGATGCCCTTCTCAAACGTACTGTCCCAGCCGTCGAGAACGCCCTGAACGACTTTGATTCCGGCCAGATAGATGTTCTTGATCGCGGGAGGGAAACCACCTTGGTCGACGAAGAGCAAGTTCTGGATCTCGCTGATTCCTGGAGGCGGGCGGTCAAAGTCCGAAGCCGTACGCATGACGATGACTCGGTTGTAGTCCGTCAGATTCATCCTTGTGGCGCGAAGGATGACTTCGAGCGAGGCATTGTCTTCTTGAGCCGTCGTGCAGTAGACTCCACTGCCGTTGGTCCAGATACGTGTGGTGTTCTCGAACGCTTCAGACAGGTGCGTACCAGAGTAGTAGACATCCGAGGTGGCCACATCACAGCCCAGCACACTAGGTCCCTGTGATCCCGCAGTGTATGCTGCCTCCGGTGCATATTTAGCTCGGTATGCCTGCGCCGTCGCCGTGTCGTTAAGCGCGGCCGACGAGGCCAAGTCAATCGCGATGTCTCGCAGGGCAAGATTCGTCTCGAAGACTTCGGTTCCATACGCCTCCTCAGGGCAATCCGCTGGGTTATCCGTATTGTATGGAATGTATCCAGTGGTGTAGTTATCTGGCAGGTCGCGATAGTCGAATTCGTACTGTAGTGCGACTTGGACGGCATATCGGGCAAAAGTCACAGAGGCCAATGTGGCAACCTTGGGGTTTACACCCGCTATTGATACAAGTCTTAGCATATTCTCCTCGACGTAAACGAGGAAGAGGGTCCTCGAGTCCGAAGAAGAGCCACTCACCAATTCCTGCCACCATAAAGTACGACTTGGTCAGGTCGAACTTCGGGCTCAAAACAAAGGCCGACATTGTAGATGCAGCATTGATCTCGCTTTCACCAGTGACAACCTGGCAGATCTCGCCGTTGGCTGTGCAGTGAACTTCTGGAAACAATGGTGATAGACCGGGCAAGGTGATATTTTGTGCAAGCAGGTCGAACTCGTCAATGCCCCACCATACGGCTGCTTCTGGCTCGAACATGCTTACGATGACGAACTTAGGAGCGATGACTCCATCCCTTCGAGAGACGGCATTCCTCTCTACAAGAGGCGTCGCTGTGCTCAAGAAGGGAATCAAGGCCGTTGCCGCAAGCAAATTCGACAACTTCAGTGACCACATGTTGACAATGATGTGATGAGAGTGGCCCTCGAACGATTCCTCACTACAGAGGCACGCGAGCAAGAAGAAAAAGTTGTCGGATAGGCGCAGTCTGGGAAGAGCTCACCTTTTTAAGCCGGCTTTCTTAGCTCTAAACAGTCTCCAGGACATTTTTCTGAGCTACCTTGCAGAGCTCCGATGCTCCTTCCCTGTTCGTCTGCAGGTTCCCTGTACCACGTTGCGAGAAACTCCATCGGCGGGAGCCGAAGAGCCACAAACGAAGGAATCTTGAAGATTTGATTCGACCTCCGAGCTATCGGTCGACGGTACCTTGCCTTAAGAGCCGAATCGGCGAGTCACAGTCGAGAAACAACGATCATCATTGGAGCTTTGACAGCTATCGACTGTCGTTATCTTTGAGCCAAAAAATGCATAGATGGGGAAACTCATGGACGGAGCAGAGTGGAGTGAAAGAAAGAAGGCCATGATGCGGGCCTAGCAGTACTAGGCCAGTGATCCCACGCTGTTATCTTCGACCAGGGCCAAGTCAAGCCAAATAAAGGCCTGTCTGTGCTACTTTAGTATGTGCACCAGCATACAATTGGCAGAGTCGCATGGAGGCTGAGGGCCTTATTGTCAAGCCGGCTGCTTTGGGAGCGGCAGAAGCGACAACGTCGATATGTGAGTGTGACAAAAGAAAAAAGAGTCGATAGCTTGGGTGATAAACCATCCAATGAACAAGCTTGGATAAGCTCACGGAGACTTATCTCGGCAATCGGCGGTAAATGCTTGGCCCACGTCAGTGGAAATAGTGCCGACTATGCATATGTTTTAATCCATGAGCGGCGAGTACGAATACGAGTGCATATGTTTCACAGGCATCCATTTCTACGGACTAAGACAATTACCGACGAACAATGCGCTGAGTGTGTATGTCCAATTGCAGAACAATTACTCGCCTTAGCTCCATGTGCCACCTTGCCCAAATCCCCCAACATAATAGATAAAATACATCAGCCATGCCGACAGTAAGAACATGCTCTCCATTCTGATTGCAAAAATGAACCTCAAAAACGCCTTGAATCTCGATCGCCTTTCCTTCGTGACCATATTTTCACCTTTTGATTCGGAAAGAGGTCTGCTTTCCTCTTGTTCCGATAAGCTCATACAATCGTCTTTATCTGGCGGGTCGACTCGAGGTTCTGGTGGCCTGGAATGTAAAATCTGTGACAAGATCCTTCATGCCGAAAGTCGCGTTCAGCTTCAATGCAACGTCCTTATGAAAGTCGTGGAGGTGGTGAAGCGACCATCGCTCCACACAAAGTACAGTACATAACGAACAGACTTACTCTTCAGCATCGCTCTTGATGTTCGGGGCATCGCTGGCTCCACTGTTCACACTCTCCACGCCCAGGTTTGTGTCTACAGTGTCGGTCGAGTTGCCCACCTGCTCGATCGAGCTAAAGCCGAACTCACTCGGTCGTCTGCCCCGGTGGGAACTGACATCTCTGGCGTCAGGTATACTTCGTTCCTCGATGTTCCACTGCTGGATCGCGCGGATGATGTCGACCGCTAACTGGCCATTTCGCTGCAGCGCAGTAGCCCAGTGTGCCGGGATCTGGTCGCCAGTGGTCAACTGACGAGCCACGGATGAAACCATCATCTCGCGCATCTCATTGTCCTCATCGGTTTCCGAATAGATGTATTGTACTCTGCGCAGACCAGGATAGGTGGATGTGCTGTGGTAGAAGTCTCTGACAGTCTCGACCACATCATATTGTAGCTGTTCCATCTCGAATTTTACAGCGAGTAGGTATAGCTCGAGAAGGGGACCGATATCTTTCTCGCTCTTTGGGGGGCGGACGGATTGCGAGTATAGCCAGCCCACAAGCAGCTGGAAAGGGTAATCATCTTCGTCTGGAACCCTATACGATTTGTTTCCGTTGTTTCCTTGTTGTTTCTTTTCCTCCTCCTTGTCATCGACATGGAACTTGGATGCGAAGAATGGTGAATGATGGCAGAGGAGTTGCTCGTGTAAAACCCAATGCGTTGATGATGGGCCGACGTAGACATCAACCATCGAAGATGTCAGGAGCCTATAGCTGGTCAGCGAATAGTACTTGAGATGAATAGTATCGTTCGGCGTACTCATGCAGCGACTTTTCCTTCTTCTGCTCCTGGATCTGGCCCGTCATGTTCTCCATGTTTGATAGGCACTTGCGACGAGATTCTCGGCGCAGTTGGACTTCTTCTTCAGTGGACTCGGCCAGCGATTCCGATATACTTCGGGCGGGCGAGCGCAACGACGATACTACTGCAGCGAAGAGCTATTCAGGTACAAGAAAAAAGAAAAGGAGAAAAGGGCATCGCAAAGTGACGGGACGTCACAAAAGATATTACGAAAAGCATCAGACCGGAATGGCTGGTAAAGAGGAACATGCTCGTCAACCCATGTACCTTGTCACAGTGACTCTCAGTCGACCACCAAGAGCAGAGACGTCAGGTCAAGCCACATTCCAGGTCGACATCAGCCAATGACGAATGCGAGCAGACGGCGACGCCATCATTGCGGGGAGACTCAGAGTCGTCGAACAAGGGTTATCGATGCCATAGGCCAATGCTCGGTAGAGAAACGATGAGAAGCGGAGAGGGCGGTACGAGAAGAAAATGCACCATGCGACAAAAAACCGGTTTGGTGGCGCAATACGAAGTCTCCACGCTCATTCATCTCCTCATGCTCTCATACTCTCATGCTCTCATGCACATCATACAATGCAGTCCTCACGTACTAGTCCGAAGTGAAGCTCGCGTATCGGAGTCCGGAGCATATCCAGTCATCACTTGCTGTCGCTTTTCACGACGTTAGGTGTTCAAGATCGCCCTCGATTTAAGACCCTGTGTTGCTACGGAAGTCCAGCCCCAAGTTCATTGACTGCAACTACACGCATTGAGTGGCACAGTACGTTTGGTAGAACTTCCTCTTCCTCCGCTTAGTGTAGCATCGAGGTCAAACGACTGTTAGCAGCCACAGTAAACGGCTACGTCGTAACGTTGAGTATTTTTATTTTGGAGAGCTTCTGCGGTCCATTGTTTTGATGCTATGGACTTTAGTGGTGCTCAGGAAAAGTTGGTACAGCCGCGTCGAGCATTATTTTCGCGAGCAGAAGTACATCTTCACTGCATTCAAATGCATTAGCTCCCTATCCGCAGCCCATGCCTTCTCTTCCCATAAACCTACTGATATGTGTATCATCACTATTCAGTCCTTTCCAGCGTTGCTATACTGGGAATTCGGTAGGCGAGGCTCGCGAGGCTGACGAATTGGAGACGCCCATGCTATGCGCTGCGAAGCTTCTCCAAGATCGCTCTATTAGATTGTTTTCTCATTGCAATTCCCAGAACAAACATCCATTGAGCATAGGTGGCTACGGCATCTGCTATTTCTCTCATCGTACCTACCTGAATACCAATCCTCGGCCACACCTGGATCACACATTGTGTCTTGTCCGTTCTGAAGTAGCTGACACAGAAAGTGATCATGGCATCCATTGTTCAACCCTGGTTGATATCGAAGTCAGTTCCCAAGACTGCACTCCATTACACCATTCCAATCACTTGGTAGCTAACACATTTCGTCGCAATGTCTAGATTCATCGATCCCATCTTCGCCGTTGGCGTCGGGCTGTCCGCTGCGTACGTGCGGATCCAGCGTGAAGAGCGAGAGAAGTACCCTGAACAAGATGCGAGTGCTACTGCGCTTTGGGAGAAGGGTGTCAGGATGACGAAGAGTTATTTTGGACGTGAAGAGGAGAAATAAGTCCACAAAACATCGAGGGTTTCAAAGGTGGCCACGAAGAATTGCGAAAATCAAAGAGCTTTGGGTCAAGATATATGCTTGAGGTTATTGGAGGAACATCAGTCGATGATTGACCACAAACTACGACCACGACAACACAAAACTTTTCGAGCCGTCTTGAGCGGTCTAGAACGCCCGAACCTTCTTCTCGACCAGAAGAAGCCGACTTTGAGGAACTCAAGGACTACTTTTCATCTCTGCCGGCCCTTGAGACCTAGGGCATTTACAGTAACGCACATTTATTCTGATGTGTCGTGCTGGTTGGTACCTCTCAAGGGTTTATCTCTCATGACTCATTGGAACGAGGCCATGTCTCAATTGGATATTTTGAAACCGAATCTTTGGGAATGCAACCTTTCTCGATTCTTTGAACACCAGTATTCTTCACGAGCACCGGACTGTGTCCCCGTCTCCACCAAACGCTAAAACTTGCTGGGCGGCATCCATTGGCTTCTGGAAATTCACTCGGTCTTTCCCTTAGGATTCGACTTGCATATGACCTGCTCGTCAGGTCTTCCAGCCCTAGATTGAATCAGACACCGAGCAGGTCCAGGGCAAGAAGCATTCTTTAGTTGATGCCAGTCTTTGCAGTTGCAAAAGCTTGTGAGCGCAGCGTCGCCTAAGCAAGGTGTCAATCACGACCACCTTTTCCTTGGACTAGAGGATTGCAGCACCGTTTGCCACAGCAACAGGCTGTGACACCTTCAGTTCGATCAGAGTACAGAGGATGTGGATGTGAAAATGGTGTAACAGGATCATATCATTGCATACTGGGAGACCTATAACACCTGGCTGACGCCAGTGGCGCTTCAACGCGAGGTCGTGGCCTGGAGAATGATTTGATGTTATGTGTTCATCCAGCTGAGAAAGGTGCTACCGTGATATACAGGGGGGTTTGTGATTAGAGCAACTTGGTATCATTCATGCAAGAAGACCGAAGCGGTGTATGGAGTCATAGGCAATGTGAGATGGACGAGAGGAAGATGTGAGAGACGGTTGTCGAAGCCAGCTCGTATCATGTTACACCTTTGGCCTTTGTACGTCTACACACACATAATGCAGTGAGGAGGCCTCCACTTGCCTACCCGTAATATGTTTCATTTGATGAGAATAGAAATTTGAGCTCTCGCCATCGGTATGGTACTTCTGTAGAGCGATATTGTCGATTAGTATAGGCCGAGTTCCTCATAATGAATCCCTCCATATAAGCGGCGAAGGATGTTAGGTCGCAGTATAGTGGTATGATGTGTAAGTATTGTTCTCCTTCTCATCCAGTCTACCCTTGACTCTTTCCGAAAAGTGTTCCTCCAGGTTTATATCTACCAGGTAGGAGCCGACGCGTCCAACCTCAACATACATTACTCCAGAGTTACGTTGGAACTCTCATAGCTCTTACACCCCCCCGCCCACTTATAAAATACCAGTCCAATTTTGGAAGGTGAGTGAGAAATCGGCATAAGCGAAGGAACTCGAACCACCTTCGGTTTGGGTGATCTTCCCTATCATATTGGCAACTGAGGCTCGGTACCCAACGGGGGCGATCAAGGTGACATGAACATGGTCGTGCCCATGAAAGGTGAGAAAAGTCTTACGTGTACCCCTGGGACATCAACAAGAGTAAAACAAGCATTCCCCTTCCACTCCTTATTTCATCTACATAGCACTCACCACAAAGCACAACGCTCAGCTTGTGTCCTCCCGGCTCACATACATTGTGTCGGTACAGCAAAAGACGTTAGCACCCCGACCAAACTTGGACCCAGAGACTTGAGAGGACACACCGGTTTCGTTACAACAAGATGACAGAAACCAAGGTCACACAAGGCACCGTGGCCTTCAAGTACCCGACACTTCCCAAACCGTGCGAAACATGGTACAAAGTACACGGGGATCTATCGTCGTCGTCCTCGACCCGTCGCCCGCTCGTCGTCGTCCACGGAGGACCTGGCCTGTCTCACAACTACCTCCTCAACCTCTCGCACCTGGTGGCGGCCGGCGGTGGCCACGGCGACACGTCGATCCCCGCCATCGTCTTCTACGACCAGATCGGCAGCGGCCTGAGCACGCACCTGCGAGAGAAACGGCTGGACGATTCGTTCTGGACCGTCGAGCTGTTCATGGCCGAACTCGACAACCTGTTGGGCCACCTGGAGATCTCGTCGTCCTTTGATCTGTTTGGCCACTCATGGGGCGGCATGATGGGGTCGCAGTTTGCGGCGCGAGGCCATCCGGGCCTGAAGAGACTGGTCCTCGCCAACGCGCCCGCCAGCATGCCACTGTTCGCCGCGAGTTGCGGGGCGTTGCGCAAGCACCTCCCGGCCGACGTCGACGACGCCATCTCCCGCCACGAGCGGGACGGCACCTACGAGGACCCCGAGTACCAGGACGCCGTGACCGAGTTCTACAAACGCTTCGTGTGCCGCGTCTTCCCCTTTCCCCAGGACTTTCTGGACGCCCTCGACTGGGCCGAAAAGGACGACACCGTCTACAGGACCATGAACGGACCGAGCGAGTTCACCATCACCGGTAACCTCAAGACCTGGAGTGTAATCGACCAGGTGCACAAGATCAACGTTCCGACTTTGCTTTTGAACGCCGAGTATGACGAGGTGGATGATAGGTACGTCTTTGTCTCCTACCAACGAGTTGAAAAAAGGGGCCAAACGACAAGAATGAACAAGAATTGATTGCTAACATATCGTCCTTCGGGGACAACCCAAAAAAGCTGCTTAAACCCATTTTTCCAAGGCATCCCCAAAGTCAAATGGTACCAGTTTTCCAATACGAGCCATTGTACCAACCTCGAGATCCCCGAGAAATACTGCAAAGTCATTGCCGACTTCTTGCTCAGCTCCTAACTAGGCTGTTTATGGTGTGATTAGTACGCTAGCTTGTGTCTTTCTTTGCAATCGCAAGCCGCCGAACGGACTGGTTGGACATAAGTATATATATATAGTGCTCTTACGATAGGTTACGACTGCAAGAGAGAAAAGAAATATGGCGAGCCCTTTGGTAAATCGTTTAGAGAGAGAAGTGAAGAGTTATTTTTCCGTTCCCGTTGCGACCCCATCAATCAGGGGAATGAGCAAAGCCTTATCCTGCTGTTTTGCCCCTTTGCCCGATTCCCAAGGACACACAAACACCCGTATACACATAGATACATGGCCCCGTCGCATACGGTCACCCCAAACCTGTCACTGGTCTATCACGCTGAAACCACAAATTAACGTGCCAAACAGACAACGGTCTGTGAAAGTAATATTGGCATCTCCCAGATTTCTTCCACATATCCCACCAGGTACAGCAGAAAGACACAAGATCACAATACCACATGAGATCCTCATCTCGACTAGCTCGGTATCATGTATAATCGTCACACGCTGCACCTATCAAGACAGTACATCTCCAATCGGCGAAATGCAAAACATTCGGGTCTATCTCGCTTTAGCTCTTGTCTTGTTCTTGACCTGTATTCTCCCACAGGCAGATACCGTAATATCCACAGCCTGTGAATAAAAAAAAATCATCTAGACAACCTTGCCAAAGGCAGGGATCAAAGTCTGTGCCAGCCAGAAGCTGAAGACCAGTTTAGGTCCTGTCATGAGCATCTTGGGCACTAAACCCTTGAAGAAACTCGTAGGACCCTCGTTCTTCATCATGCTGGCAACGATTCGGAATCCGGATTCGGGGTTCTCGAAGTTTCGGTTTTGAATACGAGTCTTGATCACATCGAGCGGTGCCGAGACAATCAAACTGGCCGACGCGCCTGCGACGGAGGCGACAAAGTTCTGGCCCCATGAAGCCTTGTTGTAGTCCTCGAGCTTGAACAACTTTTCCTTGGCCCAGGCGGAGCCACCAAACAGGGCAAACGACCCGGGAGCGTTTCGTGCGGCGGTCCAACCTGCGCCACGGTACAGGCCCATACCCTCATCTGCAACGATGCGGAAAAACCCTCGCGAGCGAAAGGCCTCGGGGTTGGTCTGTCTTTTAATCTTGAGCACGTCGAGGGGCAGCAGGACGATTTCACCGATGCCGATCAGCGAGCCCGCGGTCGCGTTGAGGATCGCCTTGCCCGTCCCCTTGCCGAATGCCTTGTCAAAATCGGATGCGTGGTGCTGCGTCAGGTAGTCTCGGACGAAAGGCTGTCCTCCGTACTTGTATATCCTCTGCAGGACCTTGTAACCGGCGGCGTAACCGAGGCCAGGGAAGAGGGAGGTGAATTTCGACAGGGCCGGGGCCGAGGCATGGTCCCTGAATATGACGGTGTTTAAGGCGGATACATTGGCTACCTGTCCTTGTCATCAGAAACAGTGGACGACCACACCGAAAGACAGATCGGTAGTAGCGAACTCACTTTGGTCGAGTTACTCATTAACCGTTTCGCGATCGTGTCGACAGGGTGAAAGACTAGAAGCTCGGCCACACCAGCAGAGCCTGTTTCGAGGTGGGCGCATCAGTCACTCACTGTTCGTCTGTAACCGTGAATCAGAGCACGTGGTGGTAGCTCACCTGATCCGAGTAATCTAGCAGTGCCGGATTCCCTTTTGTATTCTTTTCCAGCCGAGCCTAGAGCAGCCGGCGCCATAGCGGGAGGCGACATGTTGAGCAGCTATTTGCGTAGCCGAGTTTCGTGTGCGCGCAAGGGAGAAAAGACAAAGAGGTCGGTATATTCGGGGGAGCGCAAGTGGAAAAGCTGCGATGCTTGCGCCGGGATTCTTGGAAGGCCGGACCGCCGTTTGGTGGAAAGATGTATAACGAGGGTAGCGCTCAGGAGTGGAATAGACTCGAGGTTTCCGCGAGAAGGATGGACTGTGGGCGAGAGGGTGACAAAGAGGATGAAGTGCGTATCTACGAAAACTGAAGAAGGTCGGAGGTAATAAGTTATTTACTGGTAGAAGCGAAAAAAGTTTTGGTGGAGACGATTGTGCACAAAGAGACTAAGATAATTATTACTCCATATCAGTACAAATTCCATGCTCAATACCTTGTACTTCCGGACCTCGATTGCTAGCTATCTGTTACTAGGAAGCCTACGATGTCATTTCTAGCCTCATCTCTCAGAAAACCAAAAAATCATGTTGATCTCCAAACGATTATACCGTAAATACGTTCTCATTCTCATTCACACAAGAAAAAGCTCTAGTATCATGATATATCGTTCATGACTCGTCCGCAGATCATGACCACCAAAACACCACACGTATCGCATCTTTTGCCATGCAATGTTCGCTTGATTTCCGCTGATCTACAGTATGACCACCCGTCGCTGTCAATGCAGTTTCTGTGAATGCATGTTATCCCAAAATACGTCTATGCCAACTCGAAAACTCCAGGATATGGTCGTAAAAGGAATTCATGCCTTATACAGGCTGAGTGCTCTCCAGCTTTATCCTGGACTTGATCCCATTTGGATCCTCCTGTATATTGTCAGATATCTGTTCTGAATATTCATCAAGGGTGGAGCATACTTCTGCCTTTCGTTTTCCAAGCACGGAGTCAGGTGTCGCAGTTCTCCTGACTCCTCCTAACGGTGTCGAAACTCCATCCTTCTCTCGACCTTTCGTAACTTCGGCATAGCAACTTGCATGGTAATATCGACCACCAACGTTGACAGCATCCTTCCAGATGAAATCTTGCACCTCTTCACTCCACTCACTTTTGAATGGTTCCTGATCGATTGGACACGCCAACGATCGCAGCACAGGATCTGAGGGTACTCGCACAAAATCTTGCGGCTGCTTCTTTGCTATCGTGGAGGTACCATTAGAGGCCACTTCTGTAGGGCCTGCGTCATCTTCGTATTCTTTGCTGGCGATCCATTCTCGTTCATCGACATACCAGCTTCGGTTTTGTCCTCGTTTCTCTGCCTCCAGCATTCGTGCTTTAGTTTTGAAGTGCCAATCCAAGTGCCGCGCTTTCTTCTCTTTTCCAGAGTCATCAGCCATGAATCGTTTACCGCAGGTGCTGCACTGATTCGGCCGAGCGTTGAGAAAATTGGAGACCAAGTGCGGGCGCGATATCTTGATAGAAGCCGAGGTCAAAGTAATTTCTGTCATCACATCGTTGCCAAAGGCAAAGGAAGGTATAGGAGGTGTTACTCCCTGAGGTGGCGTCGGGGCAGCAGACAAGAGCCCCGAGGCACGAAGTTGCGCTAATAATGGATTCTCTGGCGCAGAAGGTGGAATTTGTGGTAATGTCTGAGGAGTAGTCATTCCTGACTGAGGTGGAGCATAGTAATTTGGCGGTGGCGCGCTTTGTTGTTGCTGCCCGACAGTCGCACGCAGCAATTCGGCTAGGTTCGTACTGTTGAAAAGCGTATTTGGAGGAGGCGCCGAGACAGCAGCATGCTGAACCGGTGGCTGCGGAGGCATATAAGGGTTGAGGAGAGGATTTAGTGGGAGTGCAAGACCGGGAGTTTGGGATTGTTGTTGATGACGAGCAGTAATCGACTTCTCGGCCATTTTCTGCGTAATAGTGTTCCGAATTTCCACCAAATCACCCTCTGATGCACTTCCACTGTCAAGAATCTCCTTGAGTGTTTGAAGGCTAGTCAATTTCCTTTGAGCTGCTTGATCCATTGGGTGTGTAGCACAGACAATCTTCGCGTCCGTTGTAAGATCGTCAATGTCGGTATGGAGTTTCTTGAGGTCCACGCCTCCGGCAGATACAGGACGAGTTAGTGGAGTAGGTGATGGAAACTGTGGCGGTTGCGAAGGCTGAGAGTAGAATGGCGCTCCTTGCAAGGGGTAGGACTGGGCGTAAGACACAGGCGGCGTAGGTTGATATGGTTGCTGTGGTATGGCTTGCTGTGGCTGTGGACTTCTGGTATGTGATGGAATGGCAGGATTGAAGGACGACAGGCCTTGAGGAGGTGTCGGCGTACTCCGGTAAGGTTGAGTTGATGCTACTCTGGCTGGAGCTCCATGGACAGGTGTAGCGCTACGAAACTTGTTGAGACTGTCGACGATGGTCTGGGTACTTGAATGAGGGAAGACCGGGGTCGTTGACAACGAGCCCGGGACTGGTTCTCGCCATGTTTTGAGCATCTCCTCCAGCTTCCGCCGAACATTCCCGTCGACTTGGGAATAAGCAAGCATAAAAATTTGGTGGAGGTTTCGGCCGAAGTATACCGTATATGGCGATCCCACGTTTTTGGCAATCGAGTCCAGCACATATAAAGCCGGCAGCTTTCGAGCAGGAGGAGCCTATCAAGCTATTAGTTACCAATCTCACAGTGGTCGAGGTTCACCCTCGGAATCCTCGACACATAGCATGACAATAGAACGGAATGTTGGAACATACTCGGTTGATGTGGTTTTGAAGAACACGCGAAATTGCTTCAGCATGTTCAATATTCTCTTTCGCGATCAAGGTCAGGTTCGAGATTTGATATCTGTCGTTGGTCACAAGATCTTCCAAAGAACCTTTGTAGTCTTCAGCGACCTCGTCAGAGGGCAATCCAGACATGATGACGGGATACAGAGAGGAGACCGCAAATGGAGAATGAGAAAGATTGGGAGGATCAGAGACTGGTCAGGGTTCGAATCAGTCAAACGGGCTGCTGGCACGTAGACGATCTGAGGGATCTCAGTGTCACGTCGATGAGCCTGTGAGAGCTCTTCAAACTTGATGTCGGATAGAAGTGCCTGTAGACAACGAAAAGAGGAATGTCCTGGTATCTTTTGGCTATCTAAACCCTTTGTGTGTAGAAGACTCCTCGTTTTGTTTTGAATAATCCAACCAAAGCTCTAGAATTCCCAATGCCCCTGTGTTCAGATCCACCGATCTCTTTTTCTCAATTGTTCTGATTCATGAATGGCAGCATTCACGTAGGACAATAGGTTTATCTCATGTCTGGCGAAACCAGTCGAAATGCCGCAGTGAGAATAATGCGGGGATTGAATAAAATTTTAAGAGCGTGACAATAGTAACAGCGGACAATCCAATCAAAAAGACAAGAAGAATCTAATTCAATTCGGTGGAGGCAAGGTCAAGGGCAAGGTGAGGCAAATGGAAGGACGGTGATGGTAGTGAAGGAGAGGGAAACTGGAGGAAAAGGTCGACGGCGCCGCAGGTCGCAACTCTGAGGGCGTGGGAGAATAAAAGCGGCGAGTTTGGTGCCATTATATCACGTGATGTGCTGTTATCTTTTGTTTGCCCTCGATCGAACTCTCTCTCCCGCTTGCTTGCAGTTCTTCGTACTCCATTTGACACCTGGCAGCCTGTGGTCTGATTCTACAACACTGCGATTGATCCGAAATAGAGGTGGGTTGATAGGCAGAGAAATCTCACTGCTTACTCTTGCAACAGATGGGACAATGCTTTGTATGTATGGGCATTCGAGTATGGACCACTCATTGCAATGCGAGCTTTTACAGGACAATCTTCCCCGGCACTAGCGACAAGTCTGTACTAAGATGGACCACAACGTTAATTGCATATCATGACCTCAATCAGTCCTTATGCCCTCACTTGTCATTCGTCAAAAGGCTTGATTGAAACAGATGGAGACCGAACTGTGTCGATCGCATTTCTGCATGTGTCAGGAAAACCGTGTTCCTGAAAGGCTGCATTTTCCTCTCGGTTCCCACCTGGTGTAAGCAACGAACCCCGGAGTAGAATACGAGCACACGAGTGCGCCTGTCCGTGACATTTCTGGTTAAGTCCCTGCCAGACACGGCTGCCGATGTCTAGAGCTGCCCTGGTCGTCCGCCGTCATGCATAACAACTGAAAAGAGTTTATGTCTGGTCCGTAGCGTCGGACTGGCTGGCCTTGCAGATGCTGCTGAGTTGCATCAGTGCTGAGCTTGGCAAGTTTATTCCCTGCACTTCTCATCCAAACAAGACGTTCAGCGTGGAACAGGAATATCGATCTAGTTCGACAAGAAACTCCGCGAACTTTTAGAGCAAGCCGGTACACAGGCCCGTCCTCCTAAGCTACGCACGGGTCTATGACGACGAGATGTACACTTGTCTCAGAGCCTCCAACACACAGTCTTTCTCTCATTGCGAGAATAGTGCTTAGTGCCATGGCGAACATGCAGTTCAGCCCGTGGGGGCCTGTTCTGTATACATGATAGTAAGTATAAAGAGCCTTGTGAATCACTTACCACCTTGGAGTCTTCTTTCCCAGACTCTTCTGAAGCCTTGTCCTCGTTCCTCTTCTGGCTTTTTTCCCTTTTCGAGATCACGGAGATGGCTCGCTTTGCAGTATTGGTAACGCTGCTCGCAATTTTTGCGACGGTCCTTGGTGGACCAACAGGGACATTTCACGGGCATCGTCCTGGTGGCGGAGGGCCACCTCCGTGGGGTTGTAACAGCAAAACGATGCAAATCCGAAAAGACTTCAATAAGGCTACACCCCAAGAAAGAAAGGAATATACCGATGCTATAAACTGCGTCATGACTTTTCCATCGAATTTGGAGTAAGTACAAGTTATTGCAGCAATCCACCGGCGGCTAATTTCCCATAGTCAAAAACAGTACAGCGGCGCGATCAACCGATATTTTGATTATGCGACCATCCACATTAACCTAACTCAAGTCATACATTTGGATGGCTTCTTCCTTGTCTGGCACCGAATGTTTGTCCATTTGTTTGAACAAGACATGAGGCAAAACTGTGGCTTCCGAGGACCTATGCTATACTGGAATTGGCCCGCCACCGCAGCAGACATCGATACAACCCCAATTTTCAATGGCGACGAATACTCAATGTCGGGTAACGGAGAATATTTCAACCCTGGTCCTTATCAAGTCGGACCGAACTTCACCGTGCCTCATGGGTCGGGAGGTGGATGCGTTACTACAGGCCCATTTGCGAATCACATAATCACTATGCAGCCCAGTATTGACCCTCTATTCTTGCTCACTGGCGAGCCACTTCCTCAGACTGTCTTCCAGAGAAACGAGTCATGTATGACTCGTGACCTCAATTCTTGGGTAGCGACCAAGTTCGACAATTGGACGAGAGTCGAGGATGCTTTGAATTGTCCCGATCAAGCGTGCCTTGCAAGCGAATTGAATGGTGCATTTGGTGGCAATGATTTTGGGTTGCACGGAGGCGCTCATTTCAGTGTAGGCCCACCTGAGAGCAATATCTTCGTGTCGGTGCAAGATCCTATATGGTGGCCACTGCATACAATGCTTGACAACCTCTATGTCCAGTGGCAGAAAAGACATCCTGATATTCAAGATCAGATATGGGGTACAGAAACGGCCAACAATGTCCCTCCTAGCGCCAATGTCACCCTTGAAACTTGGACACCAGATTGGGGATATTTTGCTCCGTCTATGCAAATGAAGGACTTAATGAGCACAACCGCCGGCCCATTCTGCTATGACTACGAATGGGAAGATGGCCCATATACCGAGAAAAAATAGAAGGTGGACTGAAGGTGAACAACATATTAAGCTTACCAGATATGCATGCAACACATAATAATGTTATCAATATGGAGAAATGATATCTACTTAGACTGTCGTCTATGTAATGACGCTATTGAAATCTATATCTTTTCCGAGGGCCTTTCAAGGTCTGACTCCAGTCAATAAGGTACCGTCATTAACGGGCACGTATAGAGACGTATTTCCAACATGTTTCAGTGCGCTAATGCTGGATATACTCTGAAACAAGGTGGGACAGTATCTTGCTAGGCAGGGCCGGATATATATATGTGAGGTCTCCAAGAATCAGGTCATCGTAGTTGGAGAGTCGGTATTCAACGGCACTACATAATCGCAACAGCTGCACTTTGTCAACTGCCATCTCTACATAATCTTCACCGAAGTCCTACTGTACTCAGCACGCAAATCAGAATCTTTTACAGAGAAGCTGATCTTCCGAAAACCGTTGCTTTCGACCTTGGTCAGAATTCCTTTTCTGCCTTCCCCGACCGCATCGAAATTAGGCAACATCACCAGGATCTTGAAACACAAACATCGCCGCGTCCTCGTTCCAGCGTCTGCATCAGATCTCCCTGTCCAGAAATTCTTCCATCTCTTCAAACTCGGGGAAAATGCGCTTCTCGATCCCGCTTCTGCTCTCCTCTGCGGCTTGCGCCCTTGCACTATCTGCGCCTCAGAAGCCGGTGGTGATCTCATATCCTGCAGATACTCCTCCATCGGTAATTGAGAATGCAATTAAAGAAATTGAGAAAGATGGCGGCATCATTACACATGAATATTGTGAGGCATATATCGCGTGTTGAATGACAATTTCGCCCGACTGACTCTGTGCAGCCTTGATCAAAGGATTCGCCGCCAAGGTGGCTGAGGCTACCCTCGACAAGATTTCTGCCTTGGGCGAAGAATTTGCGCCCTATATCGAAGAAGATGTCATTGTTCGCATTGACGGTTCAACCGACTCAAAGGACGAGTGAGCTTGCTGTTGGAAAAGAAAGAAATGACTACAATTTTCAGTTGTGATGACTTGTTGATACGGTCTTATGTACAGGATTCTTCGCAGGGAGTTTTATGGCATGCGAGGGTCTGGATTGATAGGCATTAAGAGGCTAATGCCGTACATAGTATGAATGAGAACCACGTACAGCTGCCTCGGATTCTGAATACTTGCTTTCAACAATGTAGCGGTGTCTCAACTTCTCTTTCCTCATATTATGAGTATTTGCATATTGGACTTCCATGCCTTATTCAATTCATTTCGTAGAGGACACTTCCTTTCAAACATTCGTTCCGTGCATCTTATATACGAAGTAGGCGACGTCATGATAGCCATACGCGCTAAAGCGCCGTATTGAGGTTCACCCGCTAAAACGCGTGCTCCAGGGCTGGATCACAAGTTGAAACCATTCGACCCCAGCCCAGATCGACACATATTCTTTGCTGGGTTCTCAAGAATCAATGCCTACATCTGAATGATGATATTTCCGCAAGCTCATTACCAACGACTCTCATGGCAACCGACGAAGCCATTGCAGCCGGTCTCGTCGACTGGGTCAACAGTCTGGCCGTCGCGGAACCCGTCTATACGGCAGACGACTTGAGCAACGGAGACATAGTGTGGAGGGTTCTCCGTGGGTGCTGATTCTACTCCCGGACGACCTTATGGACTGACGACGTGCAGAACAGATCGACCGGTTCAGCTTTCCTGGTAAGTTGCCAGAAAGCCCCGATACAGAGCAATGGATACACAAATGGACAAACCTCAAACATATTTACGATGCGCTTTCTATCTTTCTCACAGAAGAATGCGGCCAAAGACTCCCATTTCCAAATGGCCGACCGGATCTCAAAGCTATCGCCCAATCCTCTTCTCTACCCGATACGATCGCCCTCCTGAAACTACTTGTCGTTGCAGCCATCAATTGCGCAGACCGCATTGAATACTTGAAGCAGATGCAAGAGCTGACCGAATCGACACAAGAGGTTCTTATGCAGACTGTCCAAGAAGCAGGCGAGGATGAAAGCGGAACCGATGAAGCCGATCTTCCAGATGCAGACCCAGCAGCAAGACATGATGAAATACCCACGTCGCCACGTCGATCCGGGGAGATGGAATCGGTGCTGGAGTCAGAGGAACGACTGGGTAAAGTGATTGCTGATAACCAAAGGATAGCACACGAAAAGAGGGAATTACAGAAACAACTCGACGAACATCATATGCGGTATGAGAAGTTGCAGGAACGTTTTGACCAGGTCCAGGACGAACTGAAAGAGACTGGCGACCGGCTCACAGCTGTTCTTGCGGGTCGATCGGACTCGTCTACCCGACCACTAGACTCGAAGCACGACACTCTTATTGCTACTCTCGAGAACCGAGTACTGGAAGCGGAGGCAGAAGTCGAGGAACTTCGCAAGTTTAATGAAGTGCTGAAGATCAAGGCGGAAAAGGCCCAGAAATTACAGGACGACTACGATGAAATGAAGATTGACAGAGATAAGCTTGCCCGAAAAGCGAACACAGCAGAAAAGTATCGACAAAAGCTCGAGGCCAGTCAAGATCTCGAAAAGGACAATGCGTCCCTCCGGACCAAAGTAACAGAATTGCAAAATCAACTTAAGCAGTCGGATTTTGCCCGTGCAAGTTCAGGCGACCTGGCAAGGGAAATTGACGAATATAGGCGGTTACTCCCGAGCATTGAGCAGGAACGGTACGAATTGAACGAGATGAAAAAACGCCTAGAATTCGACTACCACGCCTTGGAAGCGCGTTACCAGGACACAGTGGAACAGTTATCTCGACAGCAAAAGGAGGTCGAAGAACTACAGAGTCAGCTTCAGGACTATGACGATGGCATTACTCCTACCACAAACAATCGGTCTCCCATGAGTCCAGTCGACAAAGACATTGAAAAGGAAGAGGCAGAGTTTCAAGAGTCAGAAGCTCGACTTGCTGCTGCTCTGCTTAACGGCGATGCTTCTTCCGCTCCTGCGGAGGATTCTGGCCTTACACTTCCGGTTGAAACCAGTTCTGCTTCTGGACTCGGCATCGACCTTACCAGCGACGTCGAAGGTATTTCTGAGGATGAGCTCAAGGCCATCATGGCTGCGATGCGAGCCCAGGCACAGGCGGGCACAGCAACTGAAAGAGAATCTTCTCTCCGTGCACAGAAAAAACTTATCGTCACTGTTGAGCGTCAGAGGAACAAAAACAGAACACTGCTCGAGCATGTACAGAAACAGGACCAAATGATCAAGGATATGCAAAAACAGATCGCCGAGGAGCAGACCAGTCAAAAACGAAAGGAAGATGTGCCACCCACTCCACCCCCGAAGGACGACGCTTCCCCTGCCTCCAAACCTCGAGTCGAGCCCGGCGACGAAGAATCCGAAATCGAACATCTAATGAATCATAACACGATTCTTCAGCGCGAACTAAAACTCGTGGCTTCAGCTTGGCATGAGCAGAACGTTCGGCTGGCTAGCATGAGCTCAGCTGCAGCAGGGCGAAGTCGAGGTTTAGGTGGTGGAAATGAGCCTAGGGGGTTTCTGGGTCGACAGAGACGCAAAGTTGATGCTGTCGCTTTTGCTCGATAACGAGCAAGGGAATTCCCGCGAGAGACGGAACACGAGCAGAAACTCAAATTATGAAGCCATGATATCTTTGTATAAGGTCCAAGGCCTTCCATTTCATTTTGGACAAAACCACTAGAGCTATCCGAAACTACGCGCAGCAAATGGTGCGTTCACTCAACCTGAAAATACTGCCATTTGGACCAGAGGCCCCTTGACGAGGAAGAGGTTGCATGTATAATGCGATGAATGAACCTTTCTAGCTTCCAGGTGCATTTTCGCCAAGTACTCCCTTGATATTTCGGCTGTCGAGGCTGTAAGCTGGAGGCATTCATATAGCGATATTTGCGATCCGCATCGGAGGTCGCAGATGGACCTATTTAACTCGTCCACTAGAGATGAACGTCGGGCAAAAACCATCCGATGTGCCATTGGGACGAAATGAGACATGATGACTTTGCTTGACTCGTGCCTGTCCTTGATCAGAATGTGTGGAAGCAAGTGCGGGTGTACAGTGCGGCGTACAGTGCGATGTACTGTAGGTTCATTGTGTACGAGTAGTCCAGCATATGGAGTTGGTCATCGCAAGCCCCAAGCTTCTCCAAAATGAGTTCGGAGGGGGGGGCCTAATTGCCGGGACTAGTACCCAGACACTCCTCTTATGCCTGGATACGCCCGATGTCTGTTTGCTTTAGGCGCTAATTAAGGGCGTACGTTGTACGGAGTTCCTTACCTAGGTACCTACCTAACCTGAGGTCCTGAACCAGACTCCATCTCGCGGGGAATATCTCATGCTATGTATACGGAGTACACATATCTAAATCACTCTGTATTATGGACGTATAATCCCATTGTGTATCTAGGTATCATCCATACAAACACGAGTGAGCGATCGCTCTCATACAGCTCCTACAAGCGTAAACGATTACAGCTGACAAGATGGGCTCGACGGGCGAGGTCTATGTGACCATTTCAGCACTCGAAGGAGGGCAACTCACTCTGCCAGAAAGACTGTTCATCACAGATGCGGATCCGGAAAAAAAGGCGACTGTTCCCTCGTTGGCTTTCCTGATCCAACATCGCTCTCAAGATGGCAAATCCAGCAAACTCGTCTTCGACCTGGGTTTGAAACGCGATCTGACCAAATACCCTCCGGCACAGCAAGCACACATCACCAACCGACAGCCTACCATTCTCCGCCCTGATGTCGGCGACAGCTTGAAAGCAGGCGGTCTCGATCCGGCCAAAGATATCGACATTGTGATACCCAGTCATCTCCACTGGGACCACGAGGGCACCCCGGACGACTTTCCCAACTCTCAGTTCGTCGTCGGGTCAGGGACACTGCACCTGCTCAAGCACGGAGCACCTCCTCACTACCCGAAAGAAATCTTCAACCCAGACCTACTGCCGCGGGACAGGACTTTGGAATTACCACCGGTGTCCAAGGACAGCGCGACCGCGGCGTCCAAGCAGACGAACCACACGTGGAAGCCCTTTGCAGGGTTCCCCGCCACGGTGGACTTTTTTGGCGATGGCAGTGTCTACATCGTCGACAGCCCCGGTCATCTGTTCGGACACGTGAATCTACTTGCAAAGACGGGACCCAAAAAGTGGGTGTACCTCGGGGGTGATTGCTGCCACGACCCTCGCATCCTGACCGGCGAAAAGGATGTCGCACTGTACGACGACGGACACGGAAACCTGAGGTCTGTCCATGTGGACACGGAGCAGGCGAAGGAGACGTTGAAACGGATCGGTCCATTGTTGAAGACCCCGACGCCTAGCCTCGAGGGAGGCAGCAGTGTCGAAGTGGTGGTGGCTCACGACGGGGTTTGGAGGAAGAACAATCCTCACAAGTTCTTCCCCGGCACGATATAGAAGTCGATGAGGACGAAGTATTTTAAAAGAAATTCCATGGAAGCTGTCACTTTCTTGCATTGAGGGATTCCTGGTCTTGTAGTGCTGGCGTACTGTCCCATCTGCCTCTACTGCTCGAGTACTCGAGGCATCAACAATATCTGAATCACGTGGTCTAAGCATTGATGTCCAAGCAACCGAGACTGAGAGGTCCGGAGTACTCGATGAGGTTCTGTACGAGTCTCCATACTGCGCAGAGTGACCGGCGTTGCGTTTCGACAACTCCACAACAGTTACGAGCATGTGGGGTGGACAATCAATGTTTCTACAGTATCCTGGTCAATTTTCAAAATCTCATCTCATCCTCGGCCTCTTTGCCCCGCTGTGGTCTTTTTTGCCCCAATTTCTTCTTTTTGTGTTACTTCCTTCTCCAACAGCTCCAGGTCCCCTATTGAATTGGGGTAAACCAACGACAAGGCGACATCCACCATGTTCATAGCAAAACTACCTCCCAAGGTACTGACTGGGTAGTTCTCGTGATGAACTCCTCTACAGTACAGTACGGATAGTCGTACGAGCATTTCTCGGACTCCTTCGAACAGGCGGGGGTTGTGGCGGTTCAACTCTTGAATTTGATCGCATTGGAGAGTTGTATGCCGACTCTACCGGCTTTGCTTTTTTGCTGCGGAGAAGGTTTTCGTCGTTTCTGGGTTTCGAGGGACGATCTGTTTTTGTATGGCGTAGAAGAACCCAATTGTGATTGATGTGGTCTTCGATTTTTGATTCCATTGTCGATTTAGTTTTTATTTTTATCTTTAAGAGAAATTGCTTGCTCATACTTTCATACTCACCTTCAACAGAGTGAACCCAAATACAAACGTTGTTCAAATCAGATCATCTAGACCACCTACTTGACCTTGCGGGAGTGCTCTCGTCCACATCTCCTTACCAACAACATCAACGTCACCACCGCAACCACATCAACACACATCAACACACCCAACAAGATGTCTTCCGCAGACAAGACGATAGCCTTCATCGGTATGTTTCTCCTCTCTCAATACACCTTTGCACAGTCGCAGGTAGCGCAGACCCCAGTGGAAAAGGACCCGTGAACTGACCACGCTCGTGAAAAAGGCATCGGGGTCATGGGTTACTCCATGGCCGTCAACCTCCGAACGAAACTCGACGACTCTCACACTCTCCTGATCTGTGATGTATCGGAGGCACTGATCCAGAAATTCCAGAAGCAAATGGCCGGCCAGGGACCCGTGGAGGTCATCGCCAACGGTCGAGAGGCCGTGACGAGGGCCAACACCGTCATCACGATGCTGCCCACCGCCGGGGCGGTGGAAAAGGTCTACCTCGATGCTTCAACGGGTATCACCCCCGCGGCGGTCGAGGTGTCACAGACCGACCCTCAAAAGAAGTTGATCATGGAATGTGGCACCATCGAGACTGCCACGATCCTCAAGGTCGGGTCGGCGGCCAAGGAAGCCGTGTCGCGACTCGGCAAGGGAGCAACTCTGGACTTTGTCGACGCCCCGGTGTCCGGTGGTCCCATGGGAGCCGAGGCCGGGACGCTCACCTTCATGGTCGGCGCGGGCAGCAAACCACCCTTCGAGCACGCCAAGTCCTACCTCCAGTACATGGGCAAGAAGGACAGCATCTTCCACTGCGGCGACGTCGGCGCGGGGACGGCGTTCAAGGTCATCAACAATTACCTCTCGGCCATCACTTCCCTGGCGGCCAGCGAGGCCCTCAACATCGGGGCCAAGATGAACCTGGACCTCAAGATGCTGACCGACGTCATCAACGTCTCCGGGGGCCAGTGTTGGGTCACGAGCCAGAGCAACCCCGTCCCCGGGATCCACGCCAACGCCCCCGCCAGTCGGGGGTACGAGGGGGGGTTCCGGATCGAACTCTGTAAGCACGTCCTGGAGATGGGTAGCAGCCTGGCCGAGATGGTCGGGGCCAGGACCATCCTGGACAAGCCCACCCTGGGAGCCTTCGACGAGGCCATGAGCGACGAGAGGTACAAGGGAAAGGACGCCAGGGTCGTCTACAAGTGGTTGAACGATCAGGAGAGGAAATGAAAAAAATTAAAGCATAGAATATATATCTCTACACAAACACAAGCAAACAAAAAAACCCAGGATTTACAAAGACAAACCCGAAGGTTTTGTTCATATACTCCGTATTCTACGGTAAAAATGTGTCTGTTTTTTGGTCGCTCTCGAGTCAAGCCACTCACTCTTTTGAGTACTTTCACTCGCACGGGGTATCATTTTCACAACAAGATCTATCGCCTCAAAAGAATAAGATTGCTGATAAGGAACCATCGGGATACATGGCCAGATAAACATTATATGTCCACGGTCAGCGGGTCTCTGCGGTCAATACCTCCCCAGTCATTATTAACCCGCTTCAAGCATGTCGGCGTAAATGTTCAAACTAGACCCGATGACATCCACGATTGCCCACGTCTGTGAGCCTCGAAAAACCTGCGCCCACACCCTCAGCACGCCCGCGCTGAGATACTTCATGGCCGCGGGGGAATCCATCGGCACGTCCACGGGCATGGCGAACTCGGTCTCGTCCAGCATGGTCTTGACCAGCGTGACGATCTTCTGTTCGTCGTTGGTGATGGAAGGTCCCGAGTCCGGCAGACTCAGAGCTTCCAGCCACTTGCTCAGCAAAAAGGCGCACTCCAGCGTACACAGCGAGTGTTGGATCGACCACATGAATGTCTGTGTCTGCGCGACCAGGTGGATGCCGATCTTGACGGGAATGCTGAGTGCGTGTGCCGAGTGTAGCACGGCGCGCACTAGTTTCGGGGTGCGCTTGACCGAGGGACTGTCGCGAAAGGCATTGGCGATCTGGGCGGGATCACGAGTGTCCAGCGCCCGACCGGGGCCCAGGTCGACGTTCAGTCTGATGTACGCCAGGCGCAACAGCGCCGTGGAATTGAACGTCACCGGGCCATTGGGATTCATCGGATCGAGGGACGACTCTGGGTTCCGTTTCCACGCCATCTGCCAGTTCCGAAGAGCTTGCTCGATGGCGGCAACATCGTCGTTGCGTAAATCGCCGTCGTGATCGAGACAATACCGCGAGGTATGGCGGACGAAGAAGATGTGCTGGAGAATGGCGTGGACGAGGACATAGTTACCCAGTGAGGAATTGTACGTGTTGACTTCGGTGTTGGTCCTGGAGAACAGGCGATGTAGAGCTGTCTGAAACCCGACCTCTGGCGGGGTGCGAGAATGAACCTCCTTCCATTTGGCGGCCGTAGGTGCTTTGAATTCCGCTGCGTTGCAAGGGAGGGGCAGATCGAGCTCCGAGGAGAGGATGAGAGAGGGGATGTTGTAAACGATGGTGTGGAAGTTGAAGAAACAGAAGACTATGAACTTGGTCCGCTTGGTGGTCTCGCGCCGTATCCAGTCGGACCAGGTAATGTCGTCCGTCACGGGAGGGCTTTTGAACCCGTCATCTCGCACCAATGTAGCGAGGACACTCTGAATGGCAAGAGCTTCACGCAGAATTTCGCGATGCTTTGCCCATGTGGCCATCGCCATCAGCAGCAGCAACGCTTGGGCTGTTTGCATCAAGTCTTCCTTTTCCACCGTAGGATCTTCTGGTTGAGACGGCAACCCTAAGCAACCAGACAAAGAGCCACTTCGAGGCGTTTCGTCAACATGGAAAACCTCGCTATACTTCCGTTGGCCGGAATACGTAGAGGGCGTATCTACAGACCGATGCGATGCAGCTAATCTGGCATCACGCTGTCGAATGCGCTGCATGGCAATCGACTGACTCACATTGAAGAGCTCGACGCCCTTTTGGCCCTCGAAGCAATACTGAGCTCCGACAGCTGCCATGGCGAGGATGAGCTCTATGGAACAATTGTTGACTGAAAGAGTATGAATGTGGAGGAAGGGAAGATGCTCATGAAAGCCGTTGACGTATCCCGCAAGGTAACGCGATAGCGCTAAACGCGAGGGGAGCTGGAAGTTGCTGGGCACCGCATGGGAAAACTCGGCCAACTTGACCGCAACATTCTGCCTGTCGTCTAAATTGAGGTCGTGTAGAGGCCGCTGAGGTGTATCTTGTTCGTTCTGATGAGCCGCAGGGCTCTCTTCTGGTTGCAGCGATGGCAAGCGTGATCCGTAACGAGAAAATGAACTCGAGTCTTCTTGCTGATCAGTGTTTTGAACAGGCCGTGACACAGGCCGTTGTCCTGTAGAAGGGCCGACATCAATCGGCTGTGTCAAAGACTCGGGAGAAAAGAATGGAATAGGTTGCTCAGCGCTAATCATGGAAGAAAAGTGATAGGACGACAACGCCCCATTATCCATGAAATTTGCGAGATCTTGAAGAGAGTCGTCAAAATCAAACCCGCCGAGTCCCATCCCGCCCATATTACTTAGGTGATTTGTCGACCCTTGCATCGATTGCTGCCCAGTCGAATCGGTCATGAACTGGTCCGGTACTGAAAAAATGGAGTTTGATAGTTGATTCGATTGTGGCATCGTGGCATGTGGTTGAGGATTCTGAGGTTGTGCATGTTCCGCTGCCATGAGCAAGGTCGCGAAGGATAGGTCATGGTTATTTGGCGTCGCTGCTGTCGGTGCATTTGGATTGGGCGTCATGAAACTGGCACCCATCATGTTTTGAGAGGTAGAGAAGGCGGGAGAAGTCAAGCTGGTGGCATCAGTCATATCAAGCGTCGTATTCATATTCGCGTCCGGCGGTCGTTGCGACGATGTTGATTGTGAACCACCACCGCGATTTTCTCCTCGCCCATTCCTTCCCCATCGTTCTGCATCATGGCTCAGTCTCTCGTGACGGACGAGGAGATCGCTGACTCCATCTTAGCTACAATTGATCATCTCTTTGGAGTTGCGCATACCTTCGTGTAAATTTGCTGTCGCATTGCGTACACGCGAACGGTTTCTCGCGAGTGTCTGGTCACCATGTGAGCAAGTCAGTCTATCAATGTCTCAGATCATCATACGCGTTCTCTCATGTCGTTGGAGGTGCTCTAAGCGAGCAAAGAATCTCTGGCAGTGGTGACATTGGAATCTTTTAGCCTTCTTTGGGGGCGGTTCGGCGGTGTCCTGATCGTGGTGCTCAGTCTGGTCATTGCTATTGAGCTCCGTGGTGGCAGGTTCCTCAATCATGTGGGAGACAGGGAAGGGATGCTCGTATTTGGACAATGAACTTCAATGTGGAGTATTGGAATCAGTGCCGTTTGGGATGTTTCTGTGATAAATTCGAGCTCGACCAAGATGGAGAGAAATGTCTGGGGAAATTTTCTGGGGATGCATTGAAGGATGAACGTGGGAAATGAGGGAGGGGAGGCATTAGGATTCGGCTCTCGGAGCGAAGGCGATGACAGGGCCTCGAAGCTGCCTGCAATAGGCTCTAGGTTGACCCATAGGTGGGGCTCGCTAGGCGCTGCAGGCACCACCAAAGGCAAAAAGCTGTGAGAAAAACCTGTACTTACAGGCTTTTAGGGGCAAGTGACAAGACCCTGGCTGTCTCTATGGGGGCCAAATAGGGACTTGTGGGTGGGGGCAACGCCTAATCTGTTACTTGCACCTACATTACCTACAGTGCAAGAAGACAAGGACTCATCACGTACTGGAAGTCTTGACTGCAGTAACAAAGTGCGCCACGTTCGTACAGTCATACCGCATGCATTCTGCACCCTGCATGTTTGGTAACAACCCTGGATGAGTCTAACGATTGAATTGTCGCTGGGACCAGTCACCTAGAAGAACCTTTCGGAAAACAGCCACAAGACCACACCCTGCTTGGAGAAAGACAGGCCCAGCCAGACTATCAGCGCACTAGGGGAATAGGCCACTCGAGTCCCCTTTCGGATATACTCCTTACCCCAATCTTCCCAGCGGTCGATTTGCGGTAAAGTGGGACTGTCCTCGGGAAAGGGACCTGCGAGGTTGGTTTGGCTGGTGTTCAAGTCAAAGAATATCTTGAAAGACATGTTTGCGTTCGCATAATCTCAAAGACCTCAACGTGCCTTTTCGACGGGATGTCTACCGCCTATCTGAAGCAGGCACCTCCTTCACCTCCTGAAAGCGCATCAGAGGCTACAGTCGAGGTGTATGCTCTCAAGGCCGGCCACTTGACCTTGCCCGAGCGCTTCTTCGTCGATCCAGCGTCACAAACCGACCGCAAGACCGTACCATCTTTGGCCTTCCTGGTGGTTCATCAAGATGCAGAGACCAATCGGAAGACTCGAATAGTCTTTGACCTGGGCATTCGACGAGATACGAAGCGCTATATCGAGCCCATTCAAAGACACATCGACACCAGACAACCCTTGGATACCTTACCAGATGTCACTGCGAGTCTGGCTGCTGGCGGTTTGACTCCGGAGGATATTGACTATGTGATATACTCTCATGTAAGTCCGATATTGGAACGAACCATCCTTGGACCAAGGTGCTGATTGATTGTTCTAGGTTCACTGGGACCATGTGGGAGAGCCTCGCGACTTCCCCCGAAGCACATTTGTGATAGGAAACGGAGCTCAAGCTCTTCTTCAAGGCGGAGGATCGTTACGAGGCAGCCATTCATTCTTCGAGTCAGACCTACTACCTGAGGGTCGAACAATCGAACTGTCCAACCCTTATGAAGAGGTTGAGGAGCAGACAAAGAAGAGACAAGAGCCTGCGAGTGGTCCGGATTTCGACCAAGAATGGAAACCTTACGCCAATCTGCCTCGCGTGCTCGACTTGTTCCACGATGGCAGTCTTTATATTGTTGATGCCCCCGGGCATTTACCAGGTCATATCAATCTCCTCGCCAGGACGGGCCCGATGAGCAGCATTTACCTGGCTGGAGATGCCTGTCACGACCGAAGAATCATGAGGAAAGAACGAGCAATTGGAGAGTGGTTGGATGACCATGGGCAGATTTGCTGCATTCACGCCGACAAGAAACTAGCCGAGCAAACGATTGAAAGGATTCAAGAACTAGAGTCGAAAGGTGTGGAATGTGTATTCGCTCACGATTTCGAATGGGAAGAGCACCCCGACAACCAATCTAGATTCTTTGGGCAGCATAAAGCGTGAAGACTTCACTTTGGCTTGCATACACATGGGGCGGAGGAGGTGTTGATAAACGTTTGTTTGGCGTATGCCTCCGTCCTGGCAATTAAACCCTCTATACAACTACACTCAGCTGCTTAGATGCAGAGATTATTCAATACCCTCAATGCGAAGGTAGTAAGTAACAAGATACTACGAGTACTTCAATCCCACATGAAATAAACCCCATCCGCGGAAATACAATTGTGAAGTGGAGGTCAATGTTGCGGGCTCTACACATCCACGTACATGGACTTCACCCCGCATTGTATTGTTTTGAAGCCTTTTCCCGGCATCGGGTACTGCTCGTGCCCGCCAAAACCCCCGGTTGGCCAATTGGTGGCACCATAAAGTATTTACACCTTCCAGGCTGCTCCGGACAGTAATATGGATATTAAAACACCCTTCCCCATTTCAGGCAGAGTTGTTGTTGAGAACGAGTCCGTTGGCCTTGAGATTCTCTGACCTAATTGACTACGATAGACATATACGACGAGCACAACACTTCTGATACCTCATATATATGGTACAAGCGTACAGAATCCGCCGCCCGATATGTCATCCTCAAAAGATGTTGCACAGCTGAAGAGCAAGTTCGAGAAGGAACTTGGTGAAGGTCCTTGGGACGAGACCTGGGAAAGCATTGCGAAGCTGAGCCCGGAACTCTTCGATGCCAGCGTGAACCTCATTGCTGTACCTCGAAAGAAGAGACATTTATCCCCAAAGATTCAACAGCTCATGTCAATAGCAGTGGATGCTTCTTCAACCCATCTATTCTTGCCGGGAATCCAGCAACACATCAAGGCTGCCTTGGCTGAAGGCGCCTCGGCCGCTGAAATCATTGAAGTGATCGAACTTACCGGAACACTTGGGATACACGCCTGCAATATCGGCGTACCCTTGCTGGTGGAGGTCATGAAGGAGGAAGGAATCTACGACTCGCATCCGACCGCGGCAAAACCATATGATCCTGAACGCGAGAAGTTGAAGGCCGAATTTACAAAGAATAGAGGCTACTGGCATACCTTCTGGGAGGACTTCCTGGCTCTGGATCCAGAGTTCTTCAAGGCCTACCTGGACTTCTCATCGGTCCCGTGGCTGAAAGACGTGGATGGCTCAGGTAAAGGGGGTGGTGTGTTGGAGCCAAAGGTCAAAGAATTGGTTTATTGTGCTTTCGACGCTGCAAGTACCCACCTTTACGTTCCAGGACTGAAGCTTCACATGAAGAATGTCCTAGGCTATGGAGGAACCCCGGAAGAAATTATGGAAGTGCTCGAGATTGCGACACAACTCAGTCTGCACACCTCCAACGTGGCGGCACCAATACTAGCAAAGGAACTGGGGATGTAATTCACGTTCCCCCTTCAGCGACGTCCCCTCACTCAACAAGTCCTTGTCCGGCCTGAGTATGACAAGATCTCCAAGTCTGATCCATCCTACGGCAGCTACAGGCATCGAGCGGGCGATGGTCGAGGAGAAGGAAGGGGCTGTTGAGTGCTGAAATCCTTTGGGTGACGAGGCTGAGTATCACCACCTCCAACAACTACTCCATTGCGGAAGGTTGACGGGATCAAAACGAGAGGCACAAGGGGGATCTGGGCCTTACACAATGCAATAACGGATACATTTTGCCCGATACATTCTCAATATCATCATCATTGTCGGCATAAGCAAACGTGGTCCTGATGTTTGCCACTGGTCCATTCCCTCATCAAATTGCTTTGCCGCTGACAACCGCCCAAATCTAACTTAGCTAAGCAGATGCTTCCCCAATACACTGGGTCGTTATCCACGTTTGATTGGAGAAACCCCAATGTCCGCCTATTGCCCGCCCATTGCCGTCTCCTGGCGTTACATCCAGGCACGGGGCTCTAAACGGGTCTTTCACCGTCCAAGCAACGACTATTCCTGATCCTGTCGCCTTGTGGAAGTGCCGAACATCGAGGTGGGCAACCTTGTGCGCACTCCAAGCCATTTTCGACCGCGGATCATTGCTTCCTGCTGTAAGGCGCCTGGGGAGCCTTGACCAATGGAACGTTTGGATGGCTATAGCCACTGACCAGGGGATATGCCACGTCTTCCCAGATGAAAGGCTATGATGGGTGGTCTCATAACCCCGATCCAGCGGACACTCACCGGCTCGCATGTCGCTTGCATTCTCTATCTGATGTCCACCTTTTCATCGCTTGTCTGCTGATATTCACCCTGCTCTCAATCCATCCCCTTGCCAACTCGCGTGGACAGAAGAGTTTTCTCCAGAATTCCCCACGTGGTCAGGACCCCTTGGGCTCGTACCCCAATATCATACATACAATTTAAGGGAAATAAGATCAGCTCCTCAACTTTTCGTACTCGAAACACACTCCCGGGCCGAATCTCATCAAGCAGCATCCGAAAATGGACCATACCCATCAGCACAGCGAGACGATGAACGACAATGGCGTTGACGAGCTAAAGTCCAAGGCTGAAGTCGCGGAATTCGTCGAAGATGGCCACACCCATGCCATTGCCGATTTCAACAAGAAAGAGGCGGCCCTTCGACGAAAGCTCGACTGGTTCATCGCTCCTGTAATGATGCTCTGCATGTTGATCTCGTATCTTGATCGCGGCAACATTGGATTTGCAGCTTCTCAAGGAATGACTACAGACATTGGCCTGACTGGCAACCAACTGAATGTGAGTGTCCAAAACGAAATTTGCACGCAATTTCCGTTTTCCACGACGTGCTTCTTTCCGAAGAGAAGGACCTTCTATGCTAATACATCGATTTACAGACGGCCGTCTCGATCTTTTACGCCACCTACGTCTTAGCAGAGTTTCCCACCTCCCTATACGTCAAAAGATTACAATTCAACCGAGTCATACCCATCCTTGTTTTCTGCTGGGGACTCGTCTGCATGTGCTGTGGTTTTGTCCAGAACTTTGCAGGTCTAGTTGCCATTAGACTTATACTGGGCTGGTTTGAAGGGTGAGTTCAAAGCAGAAAAAAAGAGAATAGGCTCTATACTGACTATTCCGAAGCTGCCTGTTCCCTTCAATGACTCTGCTTCTCGCCAATTGGTATCGTCGTGAGGAATTGGCTCAGAGAATATCCTACCTCTTCAGTAAGTGATCCCTTTTGGCTCTCCTATACAACATCCCCAGGTCACGTGGGATCCACAATGAAAGCCGCCTGCATTATTTTTACTGACATTTCCACACAGTCGCCTCAGCATTGTCCGGCGCCTTTGGCGGCCTAATCGCCTATGGAATTCTGTACATGGACGGAGTCGCTGGATATCCTGGTTGGCGATGGCTGTACATCCTCGAGGGTCTCCTTACTCTGGTTTGGGCCGTGTGTTGTTGGTGGTTGATCCCAGCCAACTACCAAACGGCGTACTTCCTCAACGAAGAGGAAAAGAAGATCATGGCTGTCCGTGCCGAGCTCTCCGAGTCGTACAGCGGTGGTGACGGTCACTACGGCATGAAGGATGTCAAACTCGCGTTCAAGGACACCAAGACCTGGCTCCACGGAGTCAGTCAGATCGCCGTCGTCACCATCCTCTACGGTTTCGGCACCTTTTTGCCTCTGATCATCAAGAACGGCTTCCACTATTCGACCAAGCAAGCTCAGTATCTCGTCATCCCCCCGAACGTCTGGGGAGCCATCGTCTACGCCGTCGGTGCCTGGATCTCGGACAAATACCACAAACGTTTTTGGATCATGGTTGTCTGCGCTCCGATTGGTATCGCAGGCTATGCCATTCTCCTCAAACAGGATGAAGTGTCAGCTGGCGTGAGATACTTTGCCACTTTCCTGATCGCGACGGCCTGTTTCTTGTGTACCGGTGGCAACATCGCTTGGTTGTCTGGTAATGTTGCTCCGGATGGAAAGAGAGCAGCCAGTTTGGGTAAGCTATGTCCTTTTTTTTCTTGTCTTATCTTCCTCAAATGTGCACGGCCACTGACAAAACCCCCCCGACAGGCACGCAACTCACTCTCACCAACCTCGGAGGTATCATCTCGGGTCAGATCTACGCTTCCACGGACGCTCCAGGTTACGTCCTGGGTCACTCGTGGTCCGCGGGTTCTCTGGCCTTTGCCTTTATCGTCTTCATCATCATTCGCATCCTGTACGAGAAGAGAGAAAGCGCGAAAGAGAAGTTGCGGCAACAAGGCTACGTTACTCCAGCTGGAGAACTCACCGACCGTTCACCCGAATTCAAGTATCAACTTTAAAAAAAAAGAGGACACAATGAAAATAGTGCAAGTTGGTTTCGATAATTTGCTCCTGGGATCGGATCTAAATAGTGGCGGGAATTTGCTGCTCAGCCTTTGGCCAGGAGAAACGGGAGGAAAAGGACCTAATACAGTCATGTATCATATCCGTTAGTGGCCGAAAAAGTACCATATCTACCTACTATTTCAAGTAACAAGTAAGACGTTCTCCAACAGATAATGTTTTGCAAATGGCATAAGAGTCCTCGCACACGACGTCTAGTAGACATTGTTTGGGGATATTTATTCCCCCTTTTGTCATTTCCCATCTGACCTCTTGGCTGGTGACCATTCGAACAAAAGATCGATTTCAATCTCTACCTGGGGTAAGGACCTTTAAATCGTACTCCGTAGCCAAGAAGCCTTTCCCAAGGTATTCAAAGGGGCGCTCAGCCTCGCCGAGAGGCGACCAGCACCAAATAGCCAAGTTTCGACGAATGTCTTGTATTGCAGCTTCACTGTTTCACCATCAGGACACTCTCTTTACCGAAATACAGCTTTCAAAAAAGAGGAGATGATATCATCTAGACGAATGGCTAAGTATAATTTACATTAAAAAGTTATGCTGTTTGAGAGAGGAGATTCGTTGTGCGGTCAAGTAGGTCGTGGGACAAAGTCATTGCCACTTGGGTTTATGGCTCCCAAGCGGCTGTGGCATTATATCCCAGCTGACTTCCGCGCCATCAATCCTCACCGAATGCTTGATAGCCCGGAGCTCTCCAAATCCCGAAGGACGTGTTTCGAAATATTCTTCAGGGACGTCCTCCGACTTCTCGTAATCACTCGTCTCGAAACCCGAATCTCCAGGAAACTGGCCGAGGCTGCGGAGGTATTTCATGGTCCCAGCCAAGCTGACGTCGACTCTGTACGAGCCACCTTCCGTCCACGCGCGATAGAGACTGGCCATGATGCCAGAAGCTAGGAAATAACCGCTGGCGTGGTCGAGGGCTTGACATGGCAAGGGCTTAGCGGCCTCTCCTTTCCCGTGGTGCTCCGCCTCGGATACATTCATACCAGAGCACGCTTGTACGATCGAATCGAAGCCTCGTCTGTGTTTCCAGGGTCCCGCCGTGCCGAAGCAAGAGAGGTTGGCAATGACTATCGGGCGGCCTTTACGTCGACGGAGGATCGCCTCTTCCGTGATACCTAACCCACCCAGACTTCCAGGGCGGTAGCTTTGGAGGAGCACATCGGCATCTTCCAGGAGGTTCATCAGAGCTTCGAGGTCCTCTGGGTTTCGGACGTCTAGTTGTACTGTTCTCTTTCCCCTGGCCAAGTCTCGATCGAGTTCTGGCAGGTCCGGTAGGTTTGGACTGGTCACCCACAACACTTCTGCTCCGTGTGCCGCGAGCGTCTTCCCAGCGACAGGTCCTGCAATGACACGAGTCATGTCGACCACTCTGACCCCACGTAGGCATTTGTTTTTGTCTTCTCTGCCGGTGGTGGTGGTGGTGGTGGTGGTGCCAATGTGGCGAGGGAGGCCAATAGGAGCCTTCTGGGACAGAATCTTCGTGATCGTTATGGGTTGATCGGAAACGGCCTGGGCCTGTGGAGTGACGTCCCATTGTTTGTACGATCGTAAAGCAGCAATGACGAATCCATTGTCGGCGGCGGCAGTCTCGAGATCGATCGACCTCCAAGGAGATATCGCCTCGCCCACCTGTGCCCTGGTAGGTGGTGGTGAGCGCTCATATCCCAACAACAATTTAACAAGGCCGTTCCTGTGGTGCGGGAAGCTGTCATGGGCCCGTACATAGCCGTCCGAACAAGCATGCAGACCTCCGACCGGTCCCCACGCCGAGTAAGATTTCTTGTCCAGCAAGTAGAACCGTTCAGACTTGAATTCAATCACTGCGTGTTGAAGCGGGACCGTCACCTGTGGCACGGGCTTGCCGGTTCGTTGCGCATTGATTAGGGCGGCGGTCAGTCCAGAGAGTCCGATGGACGCTTGAGCCAAATGACCGATTTTGAAGGACGAGGGCAGTCCTAGGCCTTCTCCAGTGAGGGACAAACTCGTCAAGGCAGGAGGTGGAAGCCCGAGAGTTTTCCACGCATGCCTCACTGTATCAAACGCGGTGAAACTTGATCGGTCGAGCGCCATTCTTGTAAGTCATTCCCAAAATAGGGTCATCCAGGAAAGATAAAGGTGGGAGCAATGCGTTCTAAAAAACATGGAAACAGGCGACTTCAGCATTCACTGAAAGTCTTTCGATAACGTTCGTTTATGGTGTACTCGATGTTCACAAACTCAAGTTACCTAGGTACGGAGTAGTCCATCATGGTATCCGGTGACACCGGCATTGAGTCACTCTTTACAGAGATATCCAGCTGTTATTTTAGAGATGGTCGTGGTGGGCCTACGAGTGCCGAGGCTAATGACCGAGGCTGACGGTCAGGGGAGAGCGAGGGTTCGCTCACTAAGGGGCCAATCGAACTGGTAAGGCTGCACGACAAGGCCAGAGAGTAAGACGTAACATTGGGCCTCAAATTCACGTACTCGCTGACTTTTTTCCTCTCAGGCGCCCAATGTTACTTCTAGCAACAATGAAGTCTTTCGAGTCTCTGAATAATTCTGAATGCCCCGGAGAATCCGATGCGTTTTCACGATGGCCACATGTCGTATCAACATCGAACTTCCTTACTAACAACACCATGACAAACAATAGGACATTATGAACTCTTCCTGACAGTTTTCGACGCAGAATGGCCACGACAATCACTACCGCAAGGCGCGTTCTTCTGATAGGTGGAGGTAAGTCCCCTAAAGGATCTTCATCTCAGGAGTCAAATCGCTGAGGAACGTCACAGGGAATTGTGGGCTTGCACTCGCCTCCGGATTGCAAAAGGTCCGCCTCCCAGGCCTTCCAAAAGATCCATACAGACCTCGAACTGATCCCGATACTGTAGGCTGGGATTCCTTACACCGTTTTCGAGTCCGACACTGAAGATCAATTTCTAAGGCGAACTAGAGACTGGGGTAAGCGACGGCGAGTGCAATCTACTTCCAACCACTGACTCAGAGACAAAGGCATGCTACTTCACTGGGGCACCGAGTACTTGCAAAGACTGATACCAGAACGTCTTCATGGTCGCCTGAATGAGATCACAGTCGATCCGAACTACGAATTCAAGCCGAACGAGACGTTTCCGCATCTCAATGCCGACACTGGAGAAATCATCGGGCAGGTTTCTATGCCCACTCTGACGCGAGTATCTCGGTTGAGACTGCGGACATTCTTGAGCAGGGAACAAGACCTCAACATCCAGGTAGGTAGGCCCAAAGCCTAAACCAGTCAACACTCTTTATCAGATATGCCGCTGTTCTATCTACTGATGGTGATTGTCAAGTTTGGCAAACGTCTCAAGACAATCTCCCCAGACTCATCCTCCGAGGACGTTTCGGTTAGTTTCGAAGATGGCGCCCGAGTGAAAGGTGCCTGTATCATTGGATGTGACGGATCCAGGTCACGAGTTCGAGAAGTTCTCTGCGGAGACAAGGCCAAACCTCAAGATGTAGGTGTCACGATGATCAACCACAAGGCGAGATATCCAGCAGAGGTAGCCAAGTTGTTGAGGATGCATCATCCCATCGTGAAATTAGGGTTTTCCAAAGATCAAGCAGCAGCGCTGGTGGCAGGTATGTTGACTGTCATTCATGATTCTGTAAGCCCGTCACTGACTCAAGGACTACTGACAGTCGTTGACGCCTCGGATAAAGATTGCCCTGAAAACTGGTATTTCCAGACATATTTCGCATGGTGGGGTCCTCCATACGCAGAGGACCTGCAAGATCCCCGGGAACGCCTGAGGTACTACAAAGAGAGAGCATCTAAGCTTTGTGAGCCGTTCTGCAGCGCCGCATTGGCCCTGGGTGACGACGAAGTGGTACCAGTCGACGCAGGGCAGCAGTGGGCGCCTTTTCAATGGGACAACAGGGGTGGTAGAGCTACGTTGGCAGGGGACGCGGCACATTCAATGCTTCCCCGTAAGTGATTCAGCCACCCACTTGAACTTCTGAGAAAATCCAAGCTCACTCATTCGGCAATTTCTAGATCGAGGTCAGGGATTGAACAATGCCATGAAAGACGCTAGCGAGATCGTCGACGCTTTGACAGCAGTCTACAAGGGACAGCGTTCTTTGGAAGAAGCAATAACGTCGTACGAAAGCGAAATGATACCACGAGGCGCAAACGAGATACGACTGACTCGCATCGTGGCAGAGAAGAGAAGGGACATGGAGAACAAGGACCCTTTGATACTGAGAGGTCTACAGAAAGCTGATCCAAACGCAGAATCCTGAGATGCTCGATGATCCATACAACACGTTCATCTGTTTGGTGGATTTGGATATGTTCACACCAACAAACAAACTGCGTCTTTCTCCTTCTTTCCTATACCCTTCACTGTTTCTTGTTGATGGCTTCACAGATGATCTTGGCCGTCGCTTCAGGCTCACTGACGTTGGGACAATGTCCGGTCTCGAGTCGAAGCAGGTCAAACTCTTTGGCTTCCTTTTTCAGAAAGTCAATTCGTCCCTGCTGAAATTCCGGGGTCAATACTTTGTCACCCGAGTAGAAGATGTACGACACCGGCACGTCTCGGTAGGCAGGGTACACGGCCTTTCCCGCGTAACAGATGGTGGACTGCAGCGACTGTCGAGATTGCCATTTGAGCGCTTCTTCCTGTGGGATATCCGAAAAGATGGTCGTTGCACCTTCCAGTCCTAGTATTTGACCTAGAAACTCGCCATTCTATCAATCATGACAAACATTCTTTTCGTCAGCTTGTGGACCTCAGAACAGCCAGAGACACACCTGTCTAGTGGGCTTTGATAACGGCGGTGGTGGTGGTGGTTGTGCGCGGATTAGGACTTACCTCTCCAACGGGTTGCATGAAACCAAAGTCAAGGTCACTGGTGAGTTCACCTGCCGTCTGGCCGACGTCTCCGACGATGCAGGACAGGTAGACGATTCTCACGACTCCTCCTGGTAGACCCTGAGAGGCGCGATCGGATTTGAGCAACCCTTGGACACTGTCTGTCGCAGGCATCCCGCCGTACGAATGAGCCAGCACAACGACATCCTTTCCGGCATTCACCAAATCTTGGATCTTATCGTGGAAGAATGCCGCGTCGTCGGCCAAAGTCGCGGCTTGTTGAGGTGGCTCACGACTAGCAGTCAACAGATCATAGGCGTGTGTTTCAAAGTCCTTGGACAATTGTTCGACCAAGTCAGTGTAGAAGATGAGCCGACATGCCGCACCCGGAACGAGTACAATGGCCGGTCGTGATGTTTTGCCTGTTTCTTTTCCAATCATGACTGGTTTTGTGTTCAATGAGGCTTTAGAAAGTGATAAAGAGATATCTAGGTGTTGGCCTGGTGATTCGTCACAAATAGACCCTAAGCTTCCATCAGTAGCTCTTTATAGATGGAACATCACGTTTGTACATTTGTCAGCTCATCCCAGAAGTGGAACGTTGTGCAAATGTTTGGTAATTGTCAAAGTCAGAATGATTGTCATAAAATAGACTCGGCATGTTGATGTTGTTAAAATTATTATAGTAACATTAGTATATCGTCAACCATTGACGTCCTCTTTCTTACCGAGCGTTGGCAATCGTCTGATGTAAGCATAAAATTGCAGACCAGGCCAGTATCCCTTGCGTGGTAGAAATTGTTGAGGCTGAATTAGAGGAACCCAAACGTTGAATGGAATGTCATTTGTTCAGCCTCGTAGCCTTGCACAGCCTCGTGCGAATCAAGTAGTTGTTGTCGTCAGCTTTCAAATCTATTTCTCACCCACCACAACCCCTATTTAACTCTGAATTCTTATCAGTCGAGCACTCTACACGCGCCTTACTCGTACTGAACTGTCGACTCGCTGATATCTGCATCGACGATTGTGTCGGATGCTGCTGTAGCATCAAATTTCAGTACAAATCTACGTCATCGTGACAGTGATATACAAAATCTCGTTGGGTATGGCATCATGATCTAGACAGGAATATATACACAATTGAGGTCCACTGTCGTGGGACAGTCTCGGAGGGACCTTTAATCCTCTGTTTGATGTGGTATTGCGATGCAACGCTTGAACCACCTTGCAAGGTCATTGAGTGGAGGATTGATACGGAATGATACCCATGAAGGTGAGAGTCCGCATGCCGAAAACTGGTATACATGATATGGATCAACAGTGTCAACTACTATCGGTCCATGGGATCTACGATATTGCTGTGCCGATAATAAAATCTCAAGAGACAAGAGCGTAAGCTAACAATACTTTTTGTACAAGAAGACGCCTTGCCGCCCACCGAGAACAAAACCATCTTCCAAGCCTTTGAATGGTATTTGCCTGGTCCACAAGATGGCTCCGATGACGAAACTCCCAGTCATTACACTCTCCTGACTTCTCTTCTACCTCACCTGGCTGCACTGGGCATCACTCATCTCTGGCTCCCACCGGGTTGCAAAGCCACGTCGGTTCAAGACAACGGCTACGGCATATACGACCTGTACGACTTGGGCGAGTTCGACGCCAAACGTAATGGTCAACCGGCAAGGACGAAGTGGGGAAGCAAGGACGAGCTGCAGGTTTTCTGTCAAGTCGCCAAAGAGCATGGTATCAATGTGCTTTGGGACGCCGTATTGAACCACAAGGCTGCCGCCGACGACAAGGAAGTCAGTCATGCAGTCAAGGTTGATCCAAAGGGTAATTGCTGCTCTGACTACCTACCCTCTCTTTTTGTTGTGTCAGGACAATGCTGACTCTGCCACTACACAGACCGGACCAAGACCACCACCCGACCGTTTGAAATGGAAAGTTGGACGGTGTTCAATTTCCCTGCCAGAGGTTCCAAATACTCGGACATGAAATGGAACTGGGTGCATTTCACGGCAGTCGACTACGACGCACGGAGGAAAGAGCACGGAGTGTTCAAGTTTATCGGACAAGGTAAAAGGGGGGAATGGGCTACTGACGTGAGCGAAGAATTGGGAAATTATGACTATCTGTAAGTTTTTTGCCATCCAAGGCGATGAAATTACAGAGAATCTTACTTACCATGCGAGGACAGAATGTTTGCTGATATCGACCACTCGCATCCCGCTGTACGATCGGACTTGATGAACTGGGCCACCTGGATCTCGTCGACTCTGCAGCTAGGTGGAATGAGATTAGATGCGATCAAGCATTATTCTCTATCTTTCCTGCATGACCTACTTCGCCATCTAGACACGACCACGTCACGAGGGAAAGACTTGTTCTTTGTCGGCGAATACTGGGACTCGAAATCAGAGAATCTACAGAAAATCATCGAGGAATTCAAGGGGAGATTGAACCTGTTTGATGTTCAGCTTGTTCACAACTTCAGCGACATATCGAGAGGTCGGAACTTGGATCTGAGAACCGTGCTCGACGGCTCGTTGGTCGAGAGAACTCCAGGGCATGCAGTGGTGAGTCTTTGCGCATTCCCCAAGGGGTGCAGTCACTTTGTGTCGTGCTTGAGCTAACCAAATCGATCCTGTATCAGACTTTGGTACAAAACCACGACACTCAAGAGATGCAGTCGTTGGCTGCTCCCGTGGAAGAATGGTTCGTCCCACTGGCCTACGCCGTCATCCTGCTCCGACAAGGCGGGACGCCTTGCGTGTTTTGGGGAGACGTTTTTGGCATCCACGGCCCTCGACCGAGGTTGCCGGCGTGCGGCGGGAAATTGACCAGACTGGTCGTGGCGAGGAAGCTTTACGCCTACGGCCAACAGAGAGACTACCTGGACATCGAGGACTGTATCGGATGGACCAGGTCTGGCCACAAGTCGAAATCGAACGGTGCGGGCCTGGCCGTGCTCATGACCAACTCCTGGGATCGGAAGTCCAAGAGAATGTTTGTCGGACAAAGACACGCAGGAGAGACTTGGAAGGACATTCTCGGGTGGGAACTAGACGTTGTCATTGACAGGACAGGCTTTGGGAAGTTTGGGGTTGGCCATCGCTCCATGGGAGTTTGGACCCATGAGAAAGCCCCGGATTTTGAGCGTCTGAGCAGATTCACATTCCCAAGACAAGGGCACGGTGTACCTACTATATAACAACCCTGCCAGTTTAGGGCATTTCGTGCTCCGTATATATGGGACGCAGAACAACAGGAGGGCCATCTACCGGTACGGAGTACGGCGTAGATAGACCAAAGGTGACTCCCAACCTCAAAAAGGCAAGTTCACCGAATTTTGTTACGATACATTTGTCCCAGCCCAGACGTACTCGTCGACAATGTTCTCGCTGGCGGCCATATAGAGTACACGCTCTTGATGTCTGAGCCTGAAAAGGCATTGTCCAATGCAGCTCTCGCTGACGAGGTCGAGGCCCTGAACTCGATCTACAGTCCCGACACTCTCGTCGTACAAAGCTTTTCGTCGACCACCCACGAAACCACCGCGATCCTTCGACTCCCCGACCTCCCCTTTTCGTTCCTCGTCTCGTTCCCCGCCGACTATCCTACCGATGCTCCTCCCACGATCATCGGCACCCAGTCAACCGGCGGCAGTGGACGAGGAGAAGGGGAAGCGGCGGTGACGATCCTTCGCGACGTTCTAGGAAGAGTCTGGACCCCTGACCAAGTTTGCTTGTTTGATCTCTTGGAAGAAGCCTCTCCGCTGCTCCGACGACATCAAGACCAGCATCACCATGGCCAGGTTGAAAATTACGGCACAGATGCTGCGAACAGGTCTGCCACTATTGACCCTCCGCCCACGTCCACCGCCACCGGTCCAAAAGGACACGATGGTGACGATGAAGACGAAGACGAACACGACCGGCTGACTTGTGGTTTGACAGCCTCGTCGACCATCTCCCCTCCGCCCGCGTGGGTCATGTCCGAACCCCTGACGGCCACCAAGTCGACCTTTGTCGCGAGGGCATGCCGGGTCACTTCGCTCTCCGACGCCACCGACTCCATCTCCCACCTGCTCGCGACCAACAAAAAGGTCGCCGGGGCCACCCACAACATCACGGCGTGGAGGATCCGGAGCAGGCAACCGCCGAACCCGCACACTGGCGTCGCGGCCGCCACGATCCAGGACTCGGACGACGACGGCGAGACGGCCGCCGGGGGGAGGCTGCTCCACCTCATGCAGTTGATGGACGTCTGGGACGTGGTCGTGGTCGTGACGAGGTGGTACGGCGGTGTCAAACTCGGACCCGACAGGTTTCGCTTGATAAACTCGGTGGCCCGCGACGCCCTCGTCAGAGGAGGGTTCGATGTAAAAGGAGAGGACACCACCACCAACAGTAAGCCCAACAAGGGCAAGGGCAAAGGCAAGAAATGAGGACCTCTTCACGAAGAAGTCCCAGTGATGACGAATTTTGGTGTTTATTGGGTCAACCCGCAAGGACAATGCTTCGGCTAGGTAGGTACGGAGAAGAGATAAATCCTTACAGTCCCTCGTACATGATACATACAAATACATGGAAATACATGGGTGTGTGTGAGCGCCACGGAAAAGGCACCAGAGACTTGGTCACTGATCAGGTCTGATCTGATCTCGACACAGGACTCGTGCGGCATTTATGACAGTTTGAACAGTAGGTATCGTATATATATATATGTATTCAATCGTTCCCATGCAATGTTGGTCGACATGGCACGTCTAGAGCAAACCGAAAAGGCAGCTTAATTCGTGGTCATTAGGTGGCATCATGCCTATCTCGATTCAGGTATTCGTACTAAGCCCAGGAATGTTCGATCCCACAACCAGGTTTAATTTTGAGCTCAATGACGCCAATTCACAGTTCAATAGTCTCAAGTATCACCATGTCTACTGTAGCAACCACCCCCTTTGGGTGCATCGGCCGGATTCGAGCTCCCAAGTACAATCATTCATCTTCCATGGCTTCGTTCATCGCACCAAATGCTTCTTTCGTCTCGTCGTCTTCGTCATCACGTTCGGCACCATTTCTCTGCTTGACATCATCTGGAACAGACTCTTCCTCCTTGCCATCCTTGGAGTCGACTCCGCGTCCATTCATTGCCCCGGCCACTGCCAGTCGATCCGCCGCGATATTGCCCGGGTTGTCGGAATGACCTTTGACCCAAACAAAATACGTGCCTTTACTAAACTGTTCTCTCTCTTCGATCTTGTCTCGGATCTCCACGACCAAATCTTTGTTCTCAACCGGCTTGCCCTTGGAATTGGTCCAATTGTTCTTCTTCCAATTCTTGTACCAATTCGTCACGCAGTCAATCGAATACTTGCTGTCCGTATAAATAGTGATTTCTCGGTGCAAAGGAGCAATATTCAACGCCCGCAGGATGGCCGTCAATTCCGCTCGTTGGTTGGTCTGCTTGCTGCCCTTGAGTGCCTCGGAAACATTTCTGTAACGCCAGTTCGTTAGCTTTTCTTCATCTTCTTCGGACTCGTCTTCTTTTTGTCGCTGGTTCGGATCAGGAGAGTCTGGACTTTGCTGTCGCGCCGCCCAGTCCATGGTATATACGCGCTGGGTCTTGTGACGCTTGGATTTGGATTTGGAGGTATCATACTTGGGATCTTGAGGTCCGAAAAACACCCCGACTCCTGCTCTGGCTCCCGCTTGGCCATTCTTCAAGCTCGAGCCGTCCGTGTAGATGCGAAGCATACCCGGAGGGTTCTTCTCTCTTGCCATCATCTTGGTCCGATTCTTTTCATCCTCGGTCCGATCCACAATCCTGCCGTCAGGTGTCAACTTGACGTTTGGATCATAGCCGTCCTCCGCGCCTGGTGGCAACGGTCGTCTCGCAACATCGTAGGGATTGCCATCCTTGTCCGTGGGCGCATACGTGCCGTTGATCTGTAAGCCTGGAGCGGAATTCCGTACGATCAAACGTCGGATTTCCTCCTCCGGGGTGAGGTTTTGTGCTTGATCGGGACCGCTGGGTTTTTTCCCAGCCGCCACAAACGCCTCCGCCTCGATTCTTGTGTTGAACTTCTTGTGTTTGGGTTTGCTGAAGCCGCGAATCTGAGCCTGAGCCTGTGTCCAATCCGTATATACTCCAGGTACTTTCCCACTCTGGACGGCATAGTACTTCTGATCCGCCGGGTTAACTCTGGACTCTGTCAAAGGCTTGCCCTCCATCCACGCTTGAGCTTCATGGAGGTTTTGAAATGTCTTGACTGTGTCAGAAATGTTAGCGGTCGACGTAGATGTATCTCGGGTTTGGAATCACCTACACACTGCGCCCTTGAATCCCTTGACCTGGCTCAAGCACTCGGGCCAGGTTTCGTAGATGCCAGGCTCTTTCCCCTCCCTCACTGCGTAGAATTTCCTTTCGACGGCTCTTTTCCTCTTCTGGCCGGCCGCGGCGTTCGTGGGGGTGAGGCTAGGACTTGACCGGCCAGAATGGCTCGGTTTGGGGAGGGGTGAAGGTTGCGCCATGTTGTAGCGAGAGTAGTAGAGAGGACGGAGGACGAGACCGAATCTTCGAAAGCGAGGCAGGTTGGCGAGGGAAGAGCAGAGAGACGTTTAGGATGGCAATATTCTTCGCAAAGACCGGTGTTCGGTCACAAGTTTTGGGTCGGATGGCGGTCAGAATGCTCAAAGGGAGCGGCGGAATCGTCGATACGCAGGTCTCCGTTGGGGGGAGAGCAATGATGGGTCTTCTTGAGGGTTGTCAAAGGAAGGGAATTAGCAACAAGTCTACCATCTTGTCACACCCAGGGAAGAATGAACCAGAAGCAGGGAAAAAGAAACAACAGGTCCTCACAGGCCCGTCAAGCAAGGGTTGGAAGGACTGGGGTTCAAGGGTGGAAGGGGTGTTGGTGTGTTTGGTGGTACCAGTAATAATTGCGGAGCGGAGTACACAGGACCGTGTCGCAAGTTGCACCTGAAGGCAGCAGAAACGCCTTTTTTTACGCGGGGTACAATACCTCCTACTGTACGGTAAATACGGTAAATAATCGGGCAGCCTCGTCGGGAGCATTTAATTAGGGGATCCTCTATTTACTAACTGGAGAGCACCAAACACACATAAAGTCATCCCAACATCATCCCGATGTTCTTTTTCTTTTAAAAAAGGTCTGACTATTTACACTAGAATGGTAAAGGTATTTGCATCTCGTCTATTCTTGTTTCATGATCGCTTCGTTTCAGTCATGTACGTCGTCACAACATCATATCTCTTTGTATTCTGATTCATCCTCCCCCAAAGGCTCACCGCTAGATTTCAGCCAGCCGACCTGTCTTGCTCATCTATAATGTCCTGGCCTCTCTCACCCACCTCTCGTCTCAGACTGCTCGGCGTACTCATCCCTTCGGGAGAAGTGTTTCTCTAAAATTGGATTCGCCGTGCCGATCTTGCCGGCGAAGGGTGCCTCGTCGAAGGGTCGTCAGGGAAATGAATGGGACGGCTTGGTTCTGTAGGATTCCCTAGATTGACCTCTCCATTCCCTGGCTGAGGCGATACCTTTTGAGGCCTCGAGAGACTGAATACGGCCGGGCTCGGCGGTGGCTGCTCCGACGCACTGTCGCCCGTGTTCTTCTTTCGCCGTCGAATGTTCAAAGACTGGCTGAACTGCTGAGCCCGACGCAACCGAAGATCCGAAGCGTCATCTTCCCTCTCGCTACTCAGAGCTTGAGAGATGGTCCTGGGAAAGTGGTACCCCAACTTCCCGAGCGGCACACTGAGACCGTGAACGACGATACTGCAAATGGCGAGGAACCAAATCACCACCCGCATCACCTCTTGCAGGCGTGCCGCATCTTCACGAACCTCGCCGTCGACGGTGACCCCATCCAGAAATTCCAGGCTGATATAAAGGTAAAAGATCGCCGACACGCCAATGGGCCCGAAGAAGCCGACAAAAGCAGCTTGCTGGACCTCCTCGATCTCGTGGATCTTTTTGTGCATGGCAAAGACCATGGGTACCCTCCGAAACAAAAGGATCAAGATCCCCAAAAGGACCAACCGGTAGAGTGGAATGACATCGGTCGTTCGAAATTCAGCCCAGGGACAAACGGCGCCGAACCAGATAAAGACACTTATGTTGAGTAGCATATCGATGGTAGGTTGAAGCGAATCATCGGCAGTTTCTAGACGGAACCTGTGTTGGGAATCATATCAGCATCAAGGAGGTTCGTTCTCAAGACATCGGGGTAAGCGGCCACAAAGACGAAAACATACCAATCGTCCCACGTAAATACGTTGCCGGCGACAAAGCAAGCCAAGACATCATCCGATCCGATCATACCACAGGTCCCCGTGATGAACAAGGCCAGGGTGATGGCAAAGACGAGAAAACTCTCCCGGTCGACAAATTTCTTTTCCTCGGCGTAATGCAACAACTCCTTTGCCAGCCAGCCCACGGCGACGCCATAGAGGACACTCAAGAGGATGGTGTAACCCCAAGTCTCTCCGAACCAGTATCCTATGGCCTTGCCGGCACCTCCGGATTGTCCAGCGCCTCCCATCTGGGTGTACTTGATCAGGTACAGGGCCAAGAACAGGAACGGGTAGCCCAAACCGTCGTTGGCCCCGGACTCTGCGATGATGATCTTCTGGAGTGGTTTCGGTATGTTCTTGTCGGCGAACTTGCCCTTGACGATCGAGTTGGACAAGACGGGGTCCGTGGGGGTGACGCAGGCACCGACGGCCAGGGCGTGGAGGAAGGACAGGTGAGGCACCATGGCCCAGATCAACAAACTCGCGCTGAGCCACATCAAGGTCATCCCCGGACCCAACAACAAGGCCAGGGACCTCCATTCCGTGTAGAGGTACCGGCTGGGCAGTTGAACGCCCGCCAGGACCAGTTGGACCCCCAACACCAGCCGGGTGAAGTACAGGGTGATGGTGTCGAGGTTCTCGGCCAGCCCGCCGGCGTAGTCCAAAGGTCTGATCCAGTTGGTGGCGTGGGGGGAAAAGATGACGCCCGCCACCAGAGATATCAGGGCCTCGGACAGGTAGAACCTCTCCTTCAGCAGATAACTGACCAGGCCGAAAACGGTGATGAACCCCCCCAGGACCGAACAGACAATGTTGAAGTTGGTCAGGACTAAGGTAGGCATGGCTGTTGTTGTGTTGGCCGGTCTTACCAGGCCGGTAAGTAGGTAGGTATTTTGACTTGACCCGCTTTCCTTTTCTTTTGTTTTTTTTTCACTTGTTTGTGTCTTCCTATCGACAAGTGAAAAGGCCGTCAAATGGCGTATTCGTATGTGATGATGACGGACGATATCTCCCCCCTCAGGAACAAATGACTTTGGTAGAAACGTATTGTGAATTGTTACTCTGGAACCTCCCTGAGTTACCGTCCCGATCCCAAACGTAGGGTTCACTCTTTTTGGATGGATAAATTGGAGAAAGTAAAAGGCACTTGGAGGTTGTTTTTTTTTGCTTGGACAAGCTTGTCAAGACCAAAATCAGAGGCTTGAGTCGTGATAAGCTCAAAGATGAAAAAGTCTTGGGAACTTCTTTTCTTCTCTTGTGGACTCTCCCAACCCCCGAGATCAAAAGTGGACCGAGTGTGTCCAGAGTCGGACGTCGTTGTTTCTGCCCTTTTTCTCCCGTCTCGGACCCGCTACAGAACTACAAAGTCAGGTAATAACGAGCACTTGTATGACTTCCGGCAAGACGGAACTGAGCGACTCAGACACGAGTTACTCGTCTTTTTACATACGGATTAGACTTATTACATTTGAGATCGTTGATTTTCCCTTGGGAAGCCATGTCATATCAGGGCCAACTGACATTCACCACAACGCCAAACAGAAAAAAAGAGTGACGATAAGAGGAATACTTGGTACTCTCACGTCCAAAGTGTGTCTGGTCCAGGGAAAACCAACTTGCCGTCTCTCCCTCTGTCAAAACCTCCCCCATAAACCTTACCTTTAGGTAGAAAAACCCTTCTCGCCTCCCGGTAAGACGGAACAGATCCTTTTTTGCCTTTTTTTTCGATTCTTCGCTAAATTCTTTCTATTGTACTTGTAGGGCACCACAATCGACTAACTCAAAGCCACCGCAAGGAACTCGATGACTCCATCTCTGTAGGTCGACAATCATCATTGGTGGTTATGCTTGCCGAAGATCCGTCTGCGAGTCATCACTGACAAAATTATGCATGTGAAGACCGGCTGCTCATCAAGTGATAAAAATGTCAAGACATACGCTCGAGTCTCTATCTTCTTCATCCTTTTGTCTTTTCTATTGTTACTCTACTGTACGCTTGAGTGAGCGATGCGTGAACACTGTCTTTCATTTCTTACTGTGAATCAAATCCACAATGTTCTCTATCTACTCTACTAAAGGTCAGAGTTGGACTCTGTCGTTTCTTTACTTGCCAGCTGAACCAGCCAACTCCATCCACAACTAGAAAATGCTACAAACCTGAAATACAGACTATTCCGTACAACCTCTTCCAACGCCAACGCTAATGATCATGTATGAAAGAGAAAACCCCTCGAGCCCATTATTCCGATTGAAATGAAACTCGATCGACCGTTCATGAAACAAACAATTCATGACGCTTGTTCGCTACAAATGTAAATGAGAGACGCGCCGACAATGTATGTATACTCCCCGACCACCGCGTGCATACAGGAAAAACAAATGGGTATCGTGCTAGTGTACAGTGTACAAACAAAGAAAAGGACGATCATGCTTGTGGGTCAATCGCTCGTCTCATGCGATAATCTGGCTCATAGCGGAACTCATCGCTGACGGGATCCCATCGAAAAGCCTTGAACTCGACGCCATAAGGTCTCTGTGAACAAGTGTTAGCGTAAGTTGAGCATCACTCCAAAATCTCAGACTTACCGGCTCGAGCATATACAAGACGCCGAGAGGAACATCCAGGTCACTGATATCTTCCTGCTTGAGGCCCATGAAATATGCCAGTAGGACCCGAGAAATACTTCGATGTCCGATAATCAGCGCATGATCAGTCATTCTTTCGATCTCCAGAATCACTTTGCCTAGACGATTGATGACATCGAGGTACCCTTCACCACCGGGTCCAGGATACCTGTATGATAATTTGTCTCGCTTGCGGAGCTCGTATTCGTGCTGGAACTTGTGTCGAATTTCCGAATAGGTCATTCCCTCCATGTAACCCGCATTCAACTCATCCAGCATTCGCATTTGTTTAATGTCGTACTCGTCTTCGTTGAAAAATTGGCTGGTCTCGATACTCCTCTTCAACATGCTAGTCCAAACGCAAAAATTGCGTTCTACCAATGTCTGCGCTGTGTACTCCGGGTTTGGTGGTGTCGTGTCGCCTGGCAGAGGAGGGAAGTGGGTGTTGGCCTGTTTCCGGGCTTGATTCTCCTCCCATAATTTCCATTGTTCACCGACAAATTTCTCCAACGCTTTCGCATATCTCACCCCATTAGGGCTGAGGGAACTATCACCACCAATCTTGCCAGCCACGTTGTCCATCGATTCACCATGTCGAGTGATCCAAATCTGTCGTGGAGCCAAATTGAAGTTCATCAGATAAGTCACAGTCTGAATGCTAAGAAATCCTTTCACCTGGAAACTGATCATTTTGCGACCGACATCAATCATCGAACAGTATGCCATGTTGTGTTCTTCTTCAAAGTCGTCGAGCTTCTGGTAAGACTTTTCGTACTGTTCCACACGTTGTTGAAAGTCTCTCAACGCGGACACTGGATCTTTGCCCCTGTAGTCAGGACCAGACAACTTGAGTCGCATATTGGCCTCGAGCAGATTCTTGTCCTGGCACCGAGACTCGAGGAAAAGCACGTTGATGTTTTCGTCCCGGTCTCGAATGTGCTTGATCAGCGATAATCGCCGCTCTTGGGTATGATTTGTCGCATCCAGAATGCCAACTGAGCCACCATCTTCCAAGACATACTTCAACAACTCGTCCAATGTTTCATGCGCAACTTGTTCTCGCAGTCGCTTGCCTGTTGTGTTCTGAGGGTCGAAGAAAGATGCAGATTGGTCCATGGGTTCAGGGGCCGGAAGCTGAATCGGCTCGGGGTTGCTTTCCGGCGACAGGGTACCATTCGTAGGTGGCGGGCTGGTAGGTGACAAGGCATCCAACTTCGCTACCTCGCCATTGACAAGAATATCAGTTTTGACTGCAGGAGGAGGGAGTAAGTCGTGGTCCGCCGTATCTTGTGAGCCGGCGCCTGTATTCGAACTCATCCTTCGTACGGACTCTCGTAGCGCCTCTGTAGTCCGATCTGGGATCGGCTTGCCTCTCCCAGCAGCGACTCTTCGGCGATCGCCAACGTTGAATATTCTCGTAGGATGTTGTAGCCAGTTCAAATATCTCGCAATCTTTTTCACAATGTAACTCTTCCCCCTCGCGGGCAGGCCAACCATGATGATGACCAGTTTGGCTCCCACATCTCTCTCGGAGATTTGGCCGTTGGGAGACACTTTCGATCGAGTCAGGCCTGGGATGTCGAGGGTGGTGGCTCTGAGTTTAGGTGTGGCAGAGCCCGAGGGGGGTGCGCTACCACGAGCAGATCTGAAGTAATTCTCATCAGCGACTCTGCAACGATATCCTGACGGTGATTGTAATTGCTCACATTTGGGGACTGCCAGGCGCACTGGGCAAGGGTGTATCGGTCAAGGCCCTCCCCATCGAGTTTGCGCCATGAGGGAGTGACTTGGAAGGTATTCGTCCGAATGCGGACTTTGGTGGAGGCATCAGCGAGGAATGGTAGGCGACATGATTGAGAGAGGGTTCGGCTTCGAGTCTGGGGGTAGAGGAAGCGCTCGTCATTATGGCAGCGCGAGCGAGATCGGAGTATTTTGTTTTGCTGTTGTGACGGTGGTAGACTGGAGGTTGGCTGGGTGTTCCTGGGCTTTCGGGGGACGGCGAGGAATGCCGGGACCCCTCTAGCACCGACATTCAGTAACGGGTTTTTGGCAAGGGGGAGGAGGCGGTATATCTGGTAAGAAGGCAATATGCGAGTGTGTGTGTGTACTTCCGTACGCAGTATGCTTATTAAGGACGAACAAAATGAAAAGAAATGATATTTGTCCAAAAGGCAAGTGGACTTTGTTTTTTGTGACTCACTTTCAAATAATCTTTCACGACCGCCACACACACTTTAATCAAACGAAGCAGGTAGTATGGGTGAATGATTGAGTGGTAACTCCGTAAAAATGATGGGTTTCGCAGCCAAAGTGGAATCGAGCGGCAAGTCACCGTAACCCTGTTACGCACGGGCAGTCGCAAGGCGTACGTAGGGACGGATAGTGAAGAACTCGAACAAGCAAGTGTCGTCAAGTCCCTGAAGTTTGTGTTCTGGAGCCTGACGTCGTAGGCTGAAAGTTGTGGACCTGGTGGAAAAGAGCCTTGTAAGTTGTCACTGGCTCCCGGAGGGAAGATGTCAAGGGAGGGCGAGAGATGATCTTGCAGCTTTGGTGTCGCTAGGAATACGGAGTACTCGGTTCAATAATTCCCAGGGTGGGCGATTGTGTTTGGCTGTATTGTAGGGCGTTGTGGCACTAATAAAGCATCGGATGCAGTGATCCGTCCTCAGAGTTGGTACGAGTGCAAGGATATCGAGTGTAGAGAATGTACAGAGTAACGGGTACCCGTAAATGCAAGGGAAAAAGAAGATGATTGAAGCCAAACAGTTCCAAGTTTTATACTAATTCACACGTACTCCCCGTCATGATGGGCTTCCAATCAACTCCATACCTCAGGCATCCTGCCAACAAAAGGATCATCTGCTCGTACAGCACACGCCGTTGTGATGGGATCGCTGATGGGGGGCGTTTTAAGTGTGTCTCGTTGTCTTCAAGCCATCCGGGGATCGAGGGCCGCATATCCGGGTCGCCCTAGGTTGCTTTAGATACAACTATACCTGGTCATAATAAGCCTCACCATCAAACACAAGCGCCTAATGGTTGAGGCCCAAGCAAATGCCAATAGCCTAGCGACGCCCCATTTCGAATAGCCGTCGCTTATTCGGTGCCCGAACCTCGCCAATAGCTCCGATGCCCTTCGACACGGGGGTAGGTTGTCCCAAAGGTGATTCATCCCCGGATTCCGTGGGCTTTTTCAGCAATTCGCATCGTTGGAACCTTGTACACAATTGTTTTTTATCATAATGTACTACAAAAACGCACGTGGCAGAGAGAGCGAGAGAGTATTTCTGCATAGACCGCTGCGAATAAAAATGTTAATCATTGTCCAAGTTTCTACTCCGTTTCCGTACCTTACTTAACACCTCAATCGCTCAGAACCCTCGGTGTGTAATCCGTGTTTCATTCAGCATAACCTATCCAACTCCATGCAATAAAAATCCCTCACAAGCATCACACGCCTTTTCTCCTTTCATGAAGTCGGCGGTTCTTGCTGCTCATGTTCTTCTCTCGCATCTTTGTCTTTCGCAAGCACATTGTCCGTCTGCGCCATCTGCTTCTCCTTCCTGATCATAGCTGCTTGTGCCAAAATCTCGCGCCTGCTCAGTCCGGCCACACTGGGCCCGTCTTTCGATCTTCCAAGCACGAAATCACCCTGGGTCCAGCCTCCAGAATCAGCGTGCTCCGTCTCATCGTACGCATCTTCCGGATTGTAGAATTCCTCGTTTGACAACCGATGCCCACCGTGTCGGGTATCATTCTGCTCCACCTCCTTTTCAATCTGTTTGGTCAGATCCCAAAAGTTGCGATCATGTTCGCCCCAAACGTTGTGGGAAAGTTCGTGGCAAAGCGTCTTCCGAATCACTTTGTAGTCTCTATACCCGTCGTACGCGTCGGTCCGCAGCCTGAGTTCAATCACCTCGCCTCGATTTCGATTTAGACCCAACGTCCTGGACTCGTGCGTCGTGTGCTGGGCCGGATCCATTTCCGTCAACAGCGAGACACTGAACTTGTGTTTGCGCATGGCGAACTTGATTCCCGGATCGTTGGCAAGTCGTTCGAGAAACCTTTTACTCTTCTCGGGATTCGGGAGGTACGGTAGGGGTTCTATTGCCTGGAAAGTGTACATGACGGCATCACGGGCCTCCTGCCAATGCTGCGATTTCCTCGGCTTGGGTAGCTGCCATCTCCGGGTCGAAGGAACGTTTCGGCCATGTTCGTCCATCTTCTTGACCTCTGCCTTGGGGCTGCCTACGAGTTTGATGCGCGTGGTAGGGGTAAGGAACTCGCTCAGCTTTCGATCGGGGAATGGGTACTTCATCAGTCCGGGCTTTGGGAGGAAGAGGAGGGATACTCGTTCGACGTCGGCATTAATATGATCTGCGCATCTTGCGGCTAGGTTGCTCACCGTTTCATCTGCGAGATCTTCGTCATCGAGGTCGACAGTTTCATTCCGATACTGGAGCTTCATTTTGAGGAGAGCAGAACCAAATTCGGCAGAGAATCGTTAGTATAGGCGAGGGAATGACACCGCAATGATAATTGTCGAAATAATATTATGAATTGGACGGGAGGTCGCTGTGGTTCGAAGGGCTTCTGGATATTAGTTAAGCAGGCGACATTGACACTGACGCAACCTGCGATCGACCAGAAGATGCGTCTTGTACTGTAATCAATCAATCTGGCCCCAAGTCCCCGAGGTAAGTGGCCACGGATCGTACCGAAACCCACCAGGCTATTGTACTCGTCCGTGACACATGATAACCTCTCCATCATTATGCTAAGGTGCTCATTACTCTCTTCATTTCTTTCATCAACACGGAGTATACAGGTACCTAACAGTAGACATGACATGCATATTACAAAAGGTTCTCCCACCGATCGTTTGCAGCCTATTTGACAATTCAAACTATGGTGTAGCCCTGGTTGAGATTCAGTGTCATTGTATCTACAATTCGCGATACCAGCCGCCCAGGTCGATCGAATTCCATAGACATCGTCATGACATTGGCTTTGAGCTATTCGTTGTGCCATTACCATCTATCCTGATCCATTCCTTAGTCTTGCCATCAAAGATGTGCCCGTTGAATTCCGTCCGTACCAGAGCCTCGTCGGAGTACTCCTCCGCTAGAATGACATCGTAGTGCATCGGAATCTTGACCTTAACGCCTTCGAAAACACTCAATCTGAGTGGCCAAATGTCTTCGACCTTGTACTCATGGTTGTTCTTGCACATGACTATCCCTGGTTTGTTATCTGGGTAGAGCTCAGTGAGACCGGTTATATCCACGAAAAGCCCGGTATCCATGCTGATGTAGCGTGCGTCGATGATCTACCCGGAAGTCATTAGTACCATACAAGGTGTAACAGCAAAGCGGGCCATTTCTCATACATTAGCACCATCACCCTGTTCCCGCTGCCATGCCCACGCGTTGACATCGAGGAGGTAGCTCCGTTCGGTTCGTCCATTGCTGGAAGGGTAGCGGTGCGTCGTGCCGTTATGAGACTCTGCCAGTGTTCTCAAGCCGTGGTCTGAAACTTGCGTGTCCAAATCCCAATCCCACGGTAAGATCTTGGAGATATATCAGACCATGCCTCGCAAACCTCATTTCCTTGGCCAACATACCTTGCCGTTCCAGTACCAGCCTAGCAACGTTCCGTGCGCAATCCATGTCTCAACCCCGATCTTCTCAAACGTATCGAAGTACGATTGAATGAGATGTGTCAAGCTTTCTTTCCGTTCTTCCTCTGTGACAACTCCTCTGAAATAGCGGGCATCGTAGTGTCGTGTGTATTCAGTCATACCAGGCTCGTGGAAGTATTTGTTCAGGTCGGGGTCGGAGGGAGAGGACGGTGAAGGGCTAGAGCCAGCAGATGTGGCATGTCCGACCATCGAGGTCACCGCATGTTTCTGCGGTCTAATGTCAAAGTCGACAGCGATGGAGGGTAAGGGGCCAACATCGTTGACATAGAGCAGGACCGAGAAGATGAATATCAACAAGAGGACAGCACCTGCAGCCTTCCACCTCAACAGAGCATGCCCTATCATAGTCGCTGAGGCATGCATTTCCCGATGTTATGTGCGCGCGGTTCGAGGGGTGCTGACTGCTCCTCGTGTGACCCAAAAACCGAGCGTGGCCGGGGACAAAAGCACATTGGCATACAGAAGAATCCAAATGATCAGTTCATGGTCACAGTTGCCGCACAACAACAGGCCGGCGCCACCACACCAGGAGACGATTGAAGAGGAGTGATCATTGCTTGCGTGAGTGTGTGAATAGGTGTGAGAAGAACAGTCCGCAGGCAGCGTATCGCAACACAACTTCGCATGGAGGACCATGACCCTACAAGTCATGGACAGTGTCGCGTGCCCACCTTCCACATCGGAAATCCCGGCTGCCGGTACCTACAGGTATTGTACGAGTATGTACAGTTTCAAGGACCGAGGCGACAATGCTTGACGATCATTGGGTTGCACAAACTTGTAGGACCAGGAGCGAGTCAAGGAGCCCCATCACCGCCGCCTGTCAGCATGAGTTGTGGCCAGAAGGAGGCCTTGGTGGTCTGCGGGAGTGAAATACATGACGTGGTCTTCATGCTGTACGAAGGAACCAAAAAGCGCCACGCCGCACAGGGACTGTGTGCAGTAGTACAGAACAAGCAATTATGTATCCATCCAGTAGAGCATCTAGTCATTTCCGGCCCCCTTTTGTGCCGATAAGCAGGGATCCGTTCATTGTTAAAGTTACTCTGGAAGAGCCGCTGGTTTCCACCGCCCTTGGTTGACTGGGCTCATACTGTATGAGATGGCATCAACCTGTCAGCAATTACTTGGCCATGTGCTCAATTCAATAACTAGACGCTTGGCCACCAAAGGACCAAACACTTCAAGCTTCTTAACTGGGGGAAAAGACTCCGTTCGTTGCAAAGAAAGGATGCCGAACAATCCAGTGCCCTCTAATTTCAACAAACCAAAACCAGCGTCAATCACTCCTTTATCGCTCGCAAGGAAAGACGCGTCATTATTGCGCCCTCGGAATTTCAGAAGTTGCTATGTCGCTTTTGCATTCACGGCATGTGGCTACCGAAGTACGCGATGCTTATGGTGAATTAGGAATTGGTGTACAAAAGAGGAGGCGATTTGAAGAATCTCCGGCAGACCCGGCTACCGTCGAACAAAGCTCAGAGTAATTCAATGAGCTGGTGCATTCTGGTGTAACTAATGAGAGCAGATGTCCGTATACGGATTATCATTGACCCGAGAACACATTCCTTGCTTCCAAAGATTGAATCTCTCTGCCTCACAACACTTTCTTAATTGCACTTTGCTTGGATAGACCGCTATTTGACCCATGTCTGTCGCTCCATTACCGATATAGGATATTTAATGACCGTTGATCTGTGATACAGGGACACTTTCGGTTCCCTGAAGGTGAGAGGTTGGCGCCGCTTGGACAGAGCCACTGCCCTTGACGGTCTCGGCGCCATGGCAGCATGCTCCATTCGCATCCCTTCCAACCTCCACAGAGCTAGCATTCTCGATCCCCGGAACGTCTAGGGCTGGGTTTCTCTCAAAAAAGTCGGCCGGCCTCAAATGTAGCTGGTGTATTTCGACCGGCATGACAGGCCAATCCTCAACACGAGGGTTGTGAGTGAGTCCGAAAACGTTCCATACAACCACATCTGCGTTTTCAACATCCTCCTCACGAGCGACTGCATCAGCAACACCCCCTTTCTCTACTTGAGATTGATTCGTAAATTCCCCAGCCGCAAAGAGTTCATCGTCTTTGTATTTAGTCACCCAAACATGATGGTGTGCAAATGCTGCTCTTTTGGCTACTATGGACTCCGGATCCGCCAAGATCAATTGACTGGCGGATGGGATGAACTTGTAAGCGACAGGGCGCTGTGAGATGGGATTGATCTTGTTTGCATTCGCCATTTTTACAGTGAGGTTGGTGAAAGGAGAGGCATGAATCCACGATGACTTGGTGACAGGCTTGCGGACAACTTCGTAACCGTTGCCGAATGGGTTCGTCTTCGGGTTCATGGGGATAGGTAGTGATTCCTCAGTAAATATCGTGTTCATTTGTCCGTCAACGGCCGGGTCAATTCGAACCGCAAAGATATGCTGGTGGTTTTGCGCCAGGGCTCCAGGCGACACGACGTTTCCGTACGGGCTCGTCTTACCCGGGTCGATGTTGACGACGGACACAATACCAGTGGCACGGGTCTCGACGGTGATTCTATTCCATAATGTGAGTAGGGGGACAACCTATGCAGAACATTCATGCAACCTACCCTCCTGCTTGGTCAAATTTGTAGGCAAAGATGTACTCGTAGTTGGCAAGAGTGATAATGAATTGAACGACCAATTCACGGTTCCTCGTAACCACCGCGCGATTGGTTCTAAAATTGGTGTGTTTGAAGCCGATACCATTGTCCTGTTCGTGGATACAGACACATCTAGTTGTACCTACCAGTTAGATCATGATCTATTGGCCGGGCTCTACCTATTGGAGTACACTGCTCTTGGGAAAAGGAAACATTGACGTACCTGCGCGACAATGATGGTTCACCATCTGAATTGACAAGCATGGCATCAAGATATTTGATCACTCCAAGGCAATCACAGCCAAGAGCAAGATTGTTGGCAGCACGGCCCGCACCGGCATCACCAAAGTCGAAAGCCTGCTTGCGATGGAAAGGTGGCCTGGGGTCGCCATACGGGACAGTCATCTCCGACAGACTCAATCGATATAAAACACTTCGGCCGTCATAGTGCACGTCATGTAGCACAGCGCACTCGCGGGGTGTAAACCTGGCAGTATCAAGATCAGTCTCGAGAGCCCAAATTCTGGGGAAAGAGTCCAGTACCCAACTCTGAATCTCCATTTTTGCCATTCGATCAGGGAATCATCGCTGACCGAGAAACTTGGCCCTTCAGGTTGCAACACGTTCAATGGTTTGACATCATTCCGTAGAGGAACGTCCAACAACTCTGGCACGTACTCCGCCGGGAGACAATGCTCAAGGACATTGCCCTTGGCGGTACCGTACTCCAGGCCGTCTTCGGTGCCTCCAGTGGCCAGTCTGTCAATCCGGATGATCTCCTTCTTGTACGTGTCCATCACAGGAATGATCGGCAGAGGAAAGCCATAATGGTTGGTGTCTGGATTGCCATTGCGCAGCTTGGCGAAGCAGAGTCCTTGGGTATAGCGAGGCGTGACCTCGCCAGGGTCGGGCCCACCATATGGCCATGGATCAATGGCAATTTCAAACTTTTCAGCATCTAGTTTGAGTTCCTTGATGGCATCTTTGAACATCTCCGATGCCATGCAAATATTGGCGAAGTCCCTAAATTCGTCCACGGTTAGGGATTGCTGGGATCCTTTCTCCGGCTTTCTGAGATTCACTTCCTTTCCCGAGGCGATGTCGATGACGGACTCCATATACTCGTGGTGTCCCTTCTCATATATAACATCATACTGAGCGCGCGCTTGTCGAGGTGGACGAGGTGTGTTCGCCGTCAGCTCACCGGCATGCTCGGCATTGAGAAAGTCAACCAGTTCGGCCTTTGGTGGCTCTACAGCGTAAATGTTGCGGAACAAGATGGCATGCTTCCGTGCATCGAGGACGGCCTGTCGGGCGATTTTGACCTCGTCGCCACTCAATTGGTCCAATGGATGAGGATATACACCCTTGGATGCACCGTTTACATGGGGACCAGCCATGTTGAGTAGAGGAGCACGCAATGCAGAAGAGATTGAATGAAACTAATGAGTGGCGGAGACAGGAGGAGGGGGAGGTCGATGAAGAGAGGGGACGAGGAGAGAGAGAGAGATCTTGATGAATGTCTTACGCTTTGTGTAGATCAATCGACATGTGCCGGGTGGAGGCACCTACTGCTTCTAGGATGAACTTCGAACACTAGCCTCCCGAGATGACCACTCTATACATTTCTTTGTCTTCGGGTGGCCATCAAGGAAGAGATGGCGACTTGATTCATGGAGATCAACGCTCAGTGGCTGCAACTGACTGCATCTAAAGCCATCCGCATAGACATTCCTAATACGGCGAACCGCGCTTCAGCGTCCACAACATCTCCATAACTATCCTTACGCCATAACTGAAGCACCGATTGTCGTAGGGAACGCAGATCATGAGCCAATTGGTCTGGTGCCACAGAGTTCGCTACGAAAGTATACCAGAACAGCTTCCTAAAGGGACGTCTACGCCGACTGACTGACTAGAGATTGTATCCAAGATCGAATCTCTTTATTCAAGGAAACTCTTCGTCCTCATCCGTAGCCCATAACTCCTCTTTCAACAACTCCCCATCCTCTCCGTCGGCCTGAACAGGTGCTTGACTATCTGAATCATCCTCACTGATCGACGAAATGCCTGGCATGCCAATCTCATAGGGAATGGGATCACTCGTTGGACTGGCCCACGGCGCGAAGACAAGGCGCAATGTACGGCTCTTCTTTCGATCCCTCCAGATGTTTCCTCCCATGTATTCCTGTCGTTCACTTTCCATCTTAAGGACAATGCGAGCAGAAATCTGGTTTGTCCAGGCTAATCCAAGGGCGGGGTTTTTCAACTGGGTGCGCTTTTCGCCAGGCTGGTCACCCCAGCCAGTAAAAAACCGCTGTTGATGATCAAGGCTTTGAGTCTCTCGCCGACTATCCACTACCGTCGTAGAAAGATTGGGTGTAGACATCGAGGGCGAAGAGCTTGCAGGTGACGACGACCGCAGAATAGGTCTGATGTCCTCGAACCGATCCGCTACCTGATTTGTGACCACGACCACAGCATTGTTCTCAATGGCAACACGGCGGAGAGTGTTTCCCAGCTTGCTCAGCTCGATCGCTCTCTCCGCAAGTCCGGCCGCAGTACGACTTTCATGTTCGGCGCGGAAATTTGCAGCAACCGAGTCCAAGACGATCAGACCAATATTGAACCGTCGGATCGCGACAGGCAGCTGATATCGCAATATATGCTCCTGTGCTTCCAGGTCATTGGTTGCGATTGCATGGACATAATCGAGAGAGGGGCGCTCAGCTGGTGGGAGGCTCTCGTATTCGGGGTGAGAAGTCAGAATCTGGCTCAGACGGGCAGTATTTAGTGGTGCCTCTGTGGACACATAGATGGTGCCTTTCCCCAGTCCTCGTGGCTGGGGGAGTTGGGCGGAAAGCAGGAGTCCAAGTACAAATTGAGTCTTGCCAACGGCACTCTCACCAACCACTTCTATGATGTGACCCGGTACAAGACCCCCACCTAACGCGCCATCAATGTCAATATCTAGCGTCTTCACTGTTGCTTCTGTGCCCTGGACTTCATCACCCTCTTCCTTGTCAAGCGCGTCCGTCTCCTTCAGTGACCCAGAGTGTCCAACATCCCATCGCTTGTTAACTGCTCCCTGTACGTCTTCCTGTAAAGCCTTGACGACGTCTGATACCAGTCGTTGAACGTCAGTCGTAGGCAGAGGGCATTTCCGAGCGATGTCAATTGGGTCAAGGCTGATCAAGTCAGCCACCGTGATATCGTTCTTTTCTAGCGAGTGCAAAAGGTGCCTGTGAGATTTCAGGTCGAAATTAGGAAGGACTTCGAGGAGGTCGGACATTGGATCTGGAGGAATGTCTAGTTGTGCGACCTGAAAAGGCCATTGTTGTTTGTAGTATGGACTGTTTGAACATCAACCCAGTTCCGTTGATGGCTGCGTTCCAATTGCAGGGAAGGCGAGGCCGCTGGACAGATGGTCATTCGCTTGATGCCAACCATGAGCCAACCAGTGTGAAGATCATCGCCGTATCATGAATTAAATTCATATGCGTACGATTGCTGGATTGAGGGAGGGGTGAATGTCCGTGAATTACTTATTCTTCCACCAGTGCCCCATACACTTTAATACGTCGCGTGCAGAGACCCTCACGCGTTCGCCGGGCAGATACCGAGTCTATGCCCAAAGAGGAAGGAGGGTACTCTCGACCCCGTGGTGGATGCCTGAGAATCCATGGTTGCAACGTTGATGCGCTAAACAGCAACGAGTCAAGGAAACATATATCGAGCCAGGCACGCTGCCTGCTGCTCTCTGCCTGGCAATTGACCAGATCGCAACCATGAGCGGAGGAAATCAGGTAGAAGCGCCCTACGGCACCTGGAAGAGCCCTATTAACCCCGATGACTTTGCAGCCACAGGCTCGGTGGTATTGGACCAACCGTGTGTTAACGTAGGTGACACCAGCAAGATCAGGTTCGGACATGTGTGTGTTTGACTGACAGAGAACCAAAGCGTACCAATGGCAAAATCTATCTTCTCGAAAGCCGCCCTGATGAGGCGGGCAGGGGTGTCATAGTCGAGTATTACAACGGCCGGGGTAAAGATGTACTTCCAAAGCAGTACAATGCCTTATCTCAAGTCCATGAATATGGTGGCGCCTCATACATCGTCAACGAACTAACAGGCCACATCATCTTCACCGATTGGGACACCAAAGGTGTATTCGACCTTGATCCAGAGACCGGTGATACAAAGCCCATCGTCGATGCGGATAAGAAGGTTTACTATGCGGACTTCAACTCTCATCCCAACGACTCCAAATGGTTTGTCTCGATCAAGGAAGACCATCATGGATCAAACATAACCGACATCCAGAATACACTTGTCGCTATCGATGCATCTACCAAGCAGGTCCATACTCTGGCCCAAGGGGCTGATTTCTACACGTACCCCAGATTCAGTCCCGATGGCAAAAGTCTCTGCTGGATTCAGTGGAATTTTCCTAACATGCCTTGGGATAATACAGAGCTCTATATCGCCGACTGGGAGGACGGTGTTCTCCGGAACCAACGTTGTGTTGCAGGCCAACAACGAAAGGCAGCAATTACTCAACCTACCTGGAGCCCTGACAATGTGCTGTTCTATAGCTCAGATGAGACCGATTACTGGCAATTGTACTCGCATGACGGCAGCAACACCCGCCACATCAACCTTTCAGACCTGGAAACTGCTGAATTTGGAATGCCAGACTGGTTTCTAGGAGGCTCCATGTATGGTTTCGTCACACCGTCGACCATAGTGGCTTGCTACAACAAGGAGAATCGTTGGCACATTATTTCAATCGATGTCGAATCTCTACAGTGGCATGAACTTAGGTGCCCGTTCGTGGACATTTCCCGTATCAATGCCCTGAAACCAGTTTCTCCTACCTCGTTTGTCGTTGTGGGCGCCACCATTTCCCTCCCTGTGATGGCTTCCGCTGTCGACATCGACAAAGGCGGTATAGGGTCTGTCCTCAAGAAGTCAACCGTGATCACGATACCTGAAGGATACGTATCGGAAGCTCAGGCTATTACATTCCCTCGCATCCATGGTCCCGGAGGGGGAGAAGCTCACGGTCTCTTTTTTCCTCCACGGAATCCGAATTTCAGAGGACCATCAGGTTCTCTTCCACCGTTGATCGTTGCAACTCACGGCGGCCCTACATTGCAACAAGGTTCGGGATTTGACCTCCGCGACCACGGCCTCATCACTCGAGGTTACGCCATTCTGCAGGTCAACTACGTAGGCAGCAGCGGCTACGGTCGGCCATACCGAAACCTCTTGGCGGGTCAGTGGGGTGTGAGTGACATTGCCGACGCCGTCTCCGGGGTCGAGTATCTCGCCAAACAGGGCTTGATCGACAGGAGCCGCGTCGGGATCACAGGGCACTCGGCCGGCGGATACAACACGATGTGCGGCATCACCATGTACCCGGACATCTGGGCGTGTGCGGTTGCCGAGAGCGGAATCTCAGACATGGCATTATTAGTTGCGGAAACTCACAAGTTCGAGTCACAATACCTCGAACCCCTGTGTTTCCCACCCGGCACTTCCAAAGATGATCGAGAGCGTATACTGAAAGAGAGAAGCCCCATCAATCACGCTTCACAAGTCAAGGCACCGACGCTCATCATCAACGGGTCTGACGACGCGATAGTGCCGCCGAATCAGGCGTACAACCTCGCCGAGATGATCAAGGCCGCCGGAACTGAAGTCGAGGTGAAGGTGTACGATGGTGAGGGGCACATTTTCAGTAAAGGGGACACTTTGAGTGATATCGAAACAAGGCGGTTTCAGTGGTTTGAAAGGTTCTTGTCTTGCAAAGATTGAGTTCGAACAAACCAAACTTGGACCCTAAAAGGTTGTTCGCTTCAGTTATACTCTGTAAGTAGGTATTGTATACATGAATAAGGCTAGAAATTAAGTCTCTGATGTGCCTTTCCCATCACTACTCCTTCTTAAAGCCATTTGTTATCGTGACAGGCGTATGGATACACGCATGCCAAAGTCGAGGCCACTTGACGGGCCAGCTTGTCATCGTGAGCCATATTAAACAAACCTGGTAGTCAAACCTCGAGCGAAGACTCGTGACTGTCTAGTCGGAGGATGTATCTTTGCACAAGGTCGTGCTTCTCCGGTAAAATATTGCCATTCGGCGTCATACATAATCGGATCGGTCTCGCGAAGGTATGAGCCTCCCCTGCGGTTGGACGCAGCTGATCGTCCGACTCGCTTCGGGCATATTACGTATGTAGCTCTGTAATTCCGCCTGAATGGGTCCTGAGGAGGGTGATAATTATACTTGACCATGCCAGCAAGGCAGTTCATCGTTACCCACACCTTTCTCTGATATAGGTGGGAGGAGGGGGGGATCATCCCTATCGTCCCAAGTCGAGTGATGTTGCTCTAGGGTGTCGTGTCGTTTGTAAGATGAATGTTCGTCCGCTTGACTTGCGGATTAGGGGTTGGGGTGGACAGTGGGCGTTCGGCACTAGGCGCTGGGCCTTGGGGCTTGCTTGCCAGGTCCCATTTTCTTCTCTTCTTCCCAGTGCGTGGCCATGTATGTATGATGAGGAGTTTTTTTGGTTGTCAAGATGTGTCCATCAGGAGCGCAGCATCACTTCCCGTTTTCCATTCAAATCTTCAATTCCGGAGTCTCAACGTCAGGACCAGCAGCGTGATATACGCCGCCACGCTCAAGGCCGTTAAGACGACCACCACGTTCCCACTCGTCCTGAACCTCTTTCTGCCCAGTCCGTCGTCGCCGACCTCCTTGAAAAACTGTTTGTTCCCCTGCTGTCTGCGGTACGCGCTGACCAAGAGCACACCCGCGCCGTAGACGGCGAACAATGCCCCTATACTATAAAATTCCGAGGTGAAGATCTTGAGGACGACGAGGGCGAAGGAGAATTGGGACAGTGACGTTCGGATGTACGCGCCCTCGAATGTCCGCTGGGCCGCTCGGATCTCGACGAGTTCGTCGTTGCTCAGTTCGACACTGCGCGCGCGGTGCATGCGCAACCGGAATTGGTCTTCGGGGTGCCTGGACTGTAACAGAGAAACAAACACAATTAGTCCCGTTACGATGCAGAGACGGGAATGCTCAAGGAACTCGTGATAGACGAAGGAGGCGGGGTCTTGGGACGACACTGCGTGTTATGTTTTGTAAAAACTTACGGTGAACATAGTGATGACACAGTAGCTAACAAGTCACGGCTCTGTGACACAGCTTTCGTCGACTGGCAGGGCTCATACACGAGTACTGATATGCTGGGCTGGAACTCAGTACAAATTGTTTGGTCGGCGGGTGGAAATAAATAGTGTAACCGTAAGAAAGAAAAGTCCCACGACAGAAAGGTGCGGAGAAGGATTGAACCCCATGGCACACGGCGCGATTGAAACCAGACAAGGCTGAGGAGGCACTTGCTCATCTTTAGACTTCTTTGGGAGATGGCGTCTACCTCGATTATCTAGATCACCTACCTAGCTACTCCATACTATCCCTAGAACTATGTTTGCAGTTATTGCACCAATGCACAAGCAAATCAGCACCAAGCCGAGTTTTCAATCCGGTCTTCCTCTTTGGAAGTGCCGGGTGGGAAACACAGGGGTTCGAGGTATTGTGACTCGAACTTGTGCGCTCCCACGACCAGACATATTTCGCTAAAGCTTTGACAGACCACGATTTACCCGGTGAGCTTTAACACCACTTCTTTCAGAGATACCAGCATTCATTGCACTGAGTGATATGCCCGTGAGGAATTGTGTTTGCATCTCGGAAGAGGTAGAAGGTGTAAGGCTCTGAGCGGTGCTGTGGCGTATCGATGTGGTGTGGTCACGACTTTCTGTGGTGTATTGAAAGCCGTGCACTGGACTGGAAACGTTTTTGAATGATGCAGATGGCTCGTTCCCGAAGAGTGAATCTCGTTGCCTTAGAGGTAGTTTCTACTCACGAGTATGAGACGGGTTTGTTTCGGTGTACCTTGCAAGCCATGATTATGGACCGAAAATTCTCTTCACCTCCGGCTAATTATGACTTAACAATCCGAGAACAGTGCAAAGAAGGTCCGGTTCAATCTTGCAACGGTTCATGATCTTTCAATCGCATAAATCCTTCTCTTTCTAACTAAATTGTTATTGACCTTGTCGCTCAATGTGTGGAACAAACGAGAGGATGGCTGCCCAGACATGCCCTGCATGGGGTCGAACTCGATTGAACGGTGCCAAACTATGTGAGTAGCAGAACATTTCCATTCAGGGACCAAGACAGGAATCATCCAAGGACGAAAATCAAATGGGCTTATCGACATGCCATATACCAAGCAATTGCGGTAACTTGTCGCATTTGACGCCAGCAGAATGAAAGGACTGGCACGAGATGAACCAAAGATTTTGTCATTAGGTTTATGGTCTCAATCTCAAACTGCTAAGCATGAATATACAAACATATATCCAAACGGTAAGAACAAATATCAAGGCAAAGAGCATTTGAGGGTTGTGATTGATATGTATGATTGGGGAGGATTGGGAAATGCGCTCCTTCCCTGGCTGCGCCCGAGTTGCGATATGTGCAAGTGTTACCATTCCATCTTCTCAACTCCTTCTTTGATCCCCGGGAACCGTGCCAGCCGGGGAAAAACAACACATCGAGAATTTATTTATCACCCGGAACACTTTCTATGTATTTCTCCTGAAAAGCGCCTACTTTGGACATCTCGTGTTCATGCTGCTTCAAAATTGCTGGGATAAAACTCCCCGACTGTACCTTGACACTACAAGATGTCTCTGTGGACCAGTGTCCGAAACCATTAATTCTTCGCTTAATGTCTTTCCCCAGGCAATAATATTTGTGGTCTCAATATATGGCCAAGAACGAGACAGTCATACGGAGACAATCCCTCTCTATGCTCGCTTTCAGCCACGAGTTATGGTGGGCAGGGCGACAGAAATCCAAAGCAATACATCTAGTGAAGGGAAACCGCCAAAGTTCGCTGCGTATGCAGAGTGGCATGATCGGTCAAGAAGCTAAGTAGACCATCACCACTGCGATCTTTGGGGCCGCTATCAATAGAGTCGTCCGCTTTACAACCGATACCCACGATGTTTAACGCCCTTTTCAGATATCTATTTCTCTTTGTACATCGCCATTACCCAGGGATTTTTGGCCATGATCGAAAGTGCTGGTACATCTCGATCAGTAGGGGTTGTGCATACCTAGCTATCCAAGTACCGACCCCAGTGGTTTCTATTCCGAGAGCTCGGTATCGAGGCATTTTATCAGCGGGCCGATGTAACTTCCTAATCCGAGCAAATTCCCCTGGTTGTGACTAGTTGATGGTCAGCCGGCACCATGTGCCTGGATATCTCATCCGTATGGAGTAGTGCTACCATACTGAGACTAGATCTTATACTCTGCATTGCGTGCAGTACACCTTACTCCGTACGAAGTACATGCTTGTGGAGCCAACGAAGGAATGTGGGGGCCAAATTGTCTCGTCTGTCAGATCACCGAGAGATGATTCGGCGACTGGTGGATGGGATGTTTGTAAGCACTTGAACGGTCATAATTTACTTTCGAGACATTGATCCCCCAGTTGGGGGCCTTGCAGATGAACGGCGACCATAAAAAGGCTGATGAACACGAACTCGAAGACAAATGGTGTCGGATCTCGGATATAAGAAGCTGGGCATCAGCATCAGCCTGTTTCAATTTTGTTAAATATATACGGAGATATGTTGGCTGTGATCTGTGGCAGTCGTATATGACACACATACTTAAACACCTGGTGGCCGGAATCATATCCACCTCTAGACACCATATCCATGTGCACCGTGGTTTGAAAAATGCCAGGCTTCCTCTTATATCTAGGAGCCATCGTCGCAGCCTCAGCCTGCTTTCTGGTACTTCGAGTGTTATACCGGCTTACCTTGCACCCACTTGCATCATTTCCAGGCCCGAAGCTTGCTGGAGCAACATCACTGTACCAAGCCTGGTATGACTTGAGACCCTCGACCTCATACGTCAAGACCTTCCCCGAGCTACATAAGAAATATGGTCAGTCTCTTTTGTGTTTTCTTCTGGTAAACCAATTCAGGATAATTCCAGAAGCACTACGTTCTGATATGAACCAATCTTCTGATCTTCATGGGCAGGTCCTATTGTGCGAATCCTCCCTAATCAGCTCCATGTCCACGATATCAATGCCTATTACGAGTGAGAGAGTACTCCCAGGAACCTCTCCTTCCATCTTCAGCCACAGCGAGTATCCTGACCTCTAGTGTGTCAATAGAATATTCAAGTCAGGCTCCGGTTTCACTCGCTTCAAAGATCAATACCATCACCCTGCCGGAGTTGGATTCTTCAACATTCTGGACCCCAAAGTCGCAAAACCCTGGCGCGATGCATACATGCCGTACTTTTCCAAGAGTGCCATCGGCCGTCTGGAACCGCTGATCCACGATCGGATGAACACGTTTCTGCAGAAGCTGGATGCAGCTGCCAGTGTTGAAAAGCCAGTCGATCTGAGTATGGGGTATCGAAGTTTGACGAGCGACCTTGTCACAAGCTACATGTTTGCGAACAAGGGCATCGAGACCCTCGAGGTTGAGGACTTTCAATCGCCCATGCTTGTGGCGCTCGAGAAGAATTTCGACTTTCTGCAGTACACCATGTATTGGAACAATTTCTTCTACTGGTTCGCCGGACAGCTTCAGACATTGACCAAGGAACAGACGGAAAAGTTCTTTGCGTCGATCGCGCAGACGAATTGGCTTATAGAGGTGAGTTGTGTATCCGGGGAGAGAAGAAGTGGTTGAGAAGTGGTCGATGCTGAGAGAGTGACTTGTCGCAGCAACTCAAAATCAAGGTCGGAGAGATTATGAAAAAGGGAGGGTCCGGGTCTGGATTTCCGACTGTCTTTGATTGCTGGGCCGCGCCCAATGTGAAGAGGACGTTCATTCCCAGGCTTGATCAATTGTCGGCCGATGCATTTTTGTTTTACGGAGCCGGAACGGACACGACTGCTTACTCGCTGACGTGTGGCACATGGGGCCTGATTCACAACAAAGATGCTCTTACAAAGCTGAGAGAGGAACTGCACAATGCGCTTGGAGCCCCCGATCCTGGCGGCAAGCTCGTCAGTCCTTCAACTCTGGAAAACTTGACCTACCTGGTAAGTACGAGTACACAGTCAGAGCGCTGTGGGTTGAAGAGACGTCCACTGATTTTTGTTTTCAACGCAGAGAGCCGTCGTCAAGGAGAGTTTGCGCATGGGCATGGGTGTCCCTGGAAGGTGAGCATCCGCCTCCGTTCCAGACGGCAACGACACTCACATCTTGCGTTTCAGATTAGGTCGAGTGGTGCCTGCCGGAGGAGTGAATTTGTGTGACAGACAGATCCCAGCTGGAGTAAGTCATGACTCTGCTAGGATGTCAGGAGTTCTCTGTCATAGCGGCAGTAATCTAATGACTTGAGTCGCAGACTGTCCTCCACGCCGCCCATTACTGTTACCACTTTGATCCCGAGGTCTTCCCAAACCCAGAGTCTTTCCTGCCAGAACGGTGGCTGGGACCCGATGCGAACCAACTCGAAACCAAAATGATTGCATTCTCACGCGGACCGAGATCATGCGTCGGTATCAACCTTGCATACGCAGAACTGTATCTCACTTTCGCATATGTCTTTAGTAGATTCGACATGAAGCTGTACAAGACTACAAAGGAAGATATGGATTGGAAGGATAATTTCGTCGTGACCACCAAGGGACACCTAAGGGTGATGTTGAAAAAGGTTGACGACGAATAACCAAATGCATGGATCACACGATACGTACTAAGGACTCAACCAGCCCGTCATTGCCGGGATCGAATGGAAAGAGAACTATAATTTCTATATACTTTGTAAAGAGCGAACAAGGACAAATAAAGGGAGAGTTGTGGATGTGCCGTGTCGCTTTTCCTCCCGATGCCAACGATCGGTTCTGTCCAATCTTTGCTTCGGTGTATAATCATTGCTTCGGTGTATCAAATGCCGACGGCTTTCGAGGACAAAAGAATACCGAGATTTGGGGGAACAACGATGAGCGAAAGGGACTCGGTGTGGGGGAGTTCATTTCCTAGATAAGATATACCAATGACCACCTCCATCCCTTCACTTTTTCATTCCTGTCTGCTCGTGATCCCCGTATTACCACCGGATTCTCTCTGAACAGCATTTCGGAGCCGACAATATGTCGAAGCTCATCGACTTTGCCGAAGGTACGTGCTACTTCAACTCATCTGGGCCCATCGCCGCTCTTGTTCTGCTGTTACTGATCCGCGAAACCGGATGTACACAGTGCAGAAGCACAAGTCCAAGGATTCGTGCTGGGTGATATTGTACGGGACGGTGTACGACGTCACCGACTTTTTGCCCAACCACCCGGGCGGCGCCAACATCATCCTCAAGCTCGCGGGAAAGGATGCGACCGAGGAGTACGACCCGATCCACCCTCCGGGGACTCTCGAAGAGAACCTCCCCGAGTCTGCGAAGATCGGGCCCATCGACCCCCAGACCCTCCCGGAACCCGTCAAGGCCGCGACGGACGTCGGACCTGAACCCAGCCCCAGCGACGAGATCGAGCTGCCCCTCGCGGCGCTGTTGAACCTGGACGAGATCGAGGCGGCGGCCAAGAAGAAGATGTCCAAGAAGGGGTGGGCCTACTACTACTCGGCGGCCGACGACCTGGCGAGCAAGCACTTCAACAACACGGTCTACAGACAGATCCTCCTGCGGCCGCGCGTGTTCGTGGACTGCGAGAAGTGTGACCTCGGCACGACGTTCTTGGGCCACAAGATGGACCTGCCCGTCTTCGTGTCCCCCGCGGCCATGGCGCGGCTGGCCCACCCGGACGGGGAGTGGGGGATAGCGCAGGCGTGCAAGAAGTTTGGAACGATCCAAATCATCTCCAACAACGCGAGTCAGACGCCCGAGCAGATCGTCAAGGACGCCGGCCCGGGCCAGGTGTTTGGTTGGCAGCTCTACGTGCAGACGCAACGGAAAAAGTCAGAGGACATGTTGGCACGGATCAACAAACTGGACGCCATCAAATTTATCTGTCTGACTCTGGACGCGCCCGTCCCCGGCAAGCGAGAGGACGACGAGCGTGGCAAGTTCATCGTCGAAGACCACAGCGCGGCCATCAAGGACGCCGGGGGCACGGAACTAAAAGGAGGCGGTGGCATCGGACAGTCACTGTTCTTCGGGACCGACCCGACTCTGACTTGGACAAAAACCCTACCCTGGTTGAAGAAGCATACAGACAAGCCCATCATCCTCAAGGGGCTACAGACTCACGAAGATGCCTACCGCGCCGCCCAGCACTCGGACCAGGTCAAGGGCATCATCCTGTCGAACCACGGCGGCCGGGCCCTGGACACCGCGCCCCCATCCATCCACACCCTGATGGAAATTCACAAATACTGCCCCGAGGTCCTCACCAAGATCGATGTCGTGGTCGATGGAGGAATTAAGCGAGGCACCGACGTCGTGAAGGCTTTGGCACTCGGAGCAAAGGCTGTCGGGTGTGGCCGCGGGGCGCTGTTCGGCTTGGCAGCTGGTGGTATCGCCGGCGTCGAGCGTGTCCTTGAAATCCTGCGGGACGAAACTGCCACGGCGGCACGATTGCTGGGCGTCGAGAAAATGTCGGAGCTCGGCCCTGTGCATATCAACACCAGGGCTGTTGAGAGAGACATCTATGATGGCCCAGCGAACCTTCCTGGTTTCCAAGGCGCCATGAAGGGCCTCTGGTCCAAGTCGAAGCTCTGAAGCGGCCTGGGATACTCGAGGATCCCATTTTGTCATATTTTTGCATGCGGGAATTTCAGCGTGGCGTTTGCAAACTTTGTCTTCTGGAAAGCGCTTTAGCCAGCAAAGAACAGTGATGACAATCAAAATGCTTTCTGTCCGACGCCAGTGCCAAACCAGGTCCGCAATTCATCCGTCTCTGTCTGAGGACCAGATCCCCCTTCACCCCCGAAGTAGTGTGAAAGCCGCATGTTGTCACCCTCATCGTCCTCCGGCCAGTCTGTCCTCTTCGCAACTCCACCCTTCTGCTCGAGCATATCCTTGACGGTACCCCAGCTGAACCTGCATTCATTTCCGAAACCCCAAACAGGGTCGATTGCAGCCTTCATCCAGCTCACGCACCTTGCGTCCGAAGGATAACCCGACCCCCATGTGACTTCCTGGTCATCGTGTTCTGAGGAAGGCCCGACCGCACGAACGTACTCTTCGAGAAGGGTCTCACAGCTGACGTCCCTCGTCACTTTTGCTACGACACTGGCCGCGCTGACACAGGGGAAGAGGCTGTCGGCTTTTTTCTCGACCGTGATCTTGATGGTTGGGAAAATCAACTGCAGCTTTTTCTGATACACCGAGGGTCTGCCAATGGTATCGACGTAGATCTCGCTGACGTTGACGCCTCGATCAACGACGCCTCTGATCAGCTCGACCGTGGCGTCCATGGCCTGCGCGTTGAGGTTGTAGGAACCTCCGTTCTTCATCATTCCAGCGCCAATGTCCTGGGCGCTGAGTGACTTGATGGCCCAGCCAGACGACTTGTACAAGTCTGTGTCTGCTTGACAAACCGCCTTCATCAAGTTGGCTCGGACGGCAGGAGTGAGGACCTTGGAGTCGTCAAAGTGATACGTCGTGGATAGTAATGACTGCTCCAGTTCGATGGGAAGGTAGTAGACTCCATAGATCATAGGTCCGATGACCGGCCCACGCCCGGCTTCGTCCACACCCAGTACGCAAGGCGTCCCTAGTTCTGACTCGCTGTTGGTCGATATTGCTTCTGGCACAGCACTGTAGTGCGCATAACTTTTCCCGTCCAACAATGCGTCCTCGTGATCTTGAACGGAGGGAGGGACAAAAACTGCAGATGCAGGGACTTCGGAGACGGCAGTTTCTTCTTCCATCGTTTGAGCCAGTTTGGACCAACCACTTATTACGATTCTACAAATTTTGTTCGTCGACCTCTTTGAACAAGATGTGGTCGAGACGCGTACATGGGTAAAGGCCAGCACGCCCGAAACGCGTCCGGCTTTACATCGGAATTGAAATCTCGGCAGAATTCAGTTTACCGCCTTGATTGGCCGCACTAACCCGAATTGACCATTCCCGCGTAAACAACTTGTGGTGTGCGCGAGCATCACTGCATTGAGCGATTGAAGATTCATTGAAACTAGAGAACGGTACCTGTCACCTACAACTTGGGATATTGGCTTACCCGATCGAATTGACCCCTCCATTGCACTCCCTGCGTGCGCCATGGCTCCCCGAGCCCCCGTCCGTCGCGGGCGTGACGATGTTGATTACTCTGCGGTGGGCAAGTTGGGAAGGTGGGATATTGCAGGCCTCTGATCATCACGGAGCAGAAACTGATTGGAAGCAGGCGAACTGGTGTCACGCTGGAGCAAAGACCTGTCGATGCGAACGGAATGGAGGAGATAACGGGAATATTTTCGTCCCCGCGCAAACCCTCTCCGCTGAAGAACATGGTGGTCATGGAAAGCGTAGATGAAGCAGGTATGTCGTGGTTGTAATTGGGAGTCATGTGTCAACGGCACAGAGCCCTAGCACGGCCGTCTGCTACACTTTACGGATCGATACTAAGAATACCAGCATCAAGCCTGACTCCTAGACAAACACTGTCGGCCTCGCGACGAACAACTCGGAATACGCCGGTGCGGCCGCCTGCGTCTTCTTCGCCTCGGAAAGCTGGGATCAGTGGAACTGCTAGAAGAAGCAATGGAATGGATATATTCTCTTCGAGGAAAAGCCAACGGTTTGGACACCAGGAAGATCTTGAGAACACGCCCAACATCGGCAGTGTCAGACAAATGCAACAACCCAGCGTCAGCCCCAGCCCAGAAAAGTCGCCGTTGCGAGATATTACAATGCACAGCACACCTTCGAATGGGAGGTCTAGAATGAGCATGGTCCAGATAGAGAGGGAACTGAGCGAAGTCCGCGAACGTGCACCCTCCTTCGAAACTTCACTGCCAGACATATCCCATGATCCCGCGCTAGATGAGGGGCATGCATTGCCCACAACCGAGGACTACGGTCCGACACCCAACGAGCAGGAAGAGGCGCCTTGGGAGGAAGAGGGGGAAGCAATGGAGGGTCTTGGTAGCCCTGCGCAAGAGCTAGATGATGAAGAGGCAGACCAGACTTTCGAGCCTGAGCCTGAGCCTGAGGTCCACCCCACGATGCACAACGAAGCAAATTCACGAAGGAAGAGAAAATCGGACACGGTTGAACATGATGAGGAAGCGGCGGTTTCGCCTGTAGCTCGAAAGGCTCGGAAACTCAAGGACAAACAACAGGCATCAACCATAGAAGTATCCCAGAGGCCGACGGAAAAGCAATCGCGATCACCGAAACCAAAAGGCAAACAACCTCTGAGGAAGAAGGACGCCAACGTCCCAATGTCGTCTCGACAGGAGCAGGAACTTGAGAACATCATTGAGAAGGTGAAAGCAAGGCCTGGCCCACCAAGATCTCTGTACATATTGCGTCGCGAAACGCCGGCTGATGATGGCGTTACGCACACCCGAAGCGGACGTGTCAGCATCAAGCCTTTGGCGTACTGGCGCAACGAAAGATGTGTCTATGGAGGTAGTCCTAAGAGTGGTCTCGCAGATGGCGCTCGATTTCCCTTGAACAGCATCAAAGAAATTGTACGGACGGAGGAAGTCGAGAGTCAAATTGCAACGCAAAAATCGAAAAAGGGCAAGAAAACAGCCAAAGGTAAAGGCAACAGCAAGCCACGCGCAGCGTCAGCCGAGTTATCAGAGTCTTCAGATTCTGATGAAGACATGGACGTCGACGGGATGCCGAAAGAAGATCCCTATGCGGAGCCGTGGGAGACGGATTCCGGAACCTTGCGTGGGTTTGTTTCGTTGTGGGACACTCAAGAACAGGCGCCGATGGAAGACGAGGAGGAAATCGAGATAGCCCACGCTCCTGCTGCCATCAAGACGCGAGAAGTCAAGGCTTCAAGCCTCAACGAAGGTCCGACATTCCGCTACGCCAAGTTGTTGAGCACGAATTTCTTTGGATCAGGCCTTGTCGATCTGCCGCCCGGTGGCATCAAGAGACCTAAAAACAGCCGAAAGATGCATATGAGCTTCTACGTCGTCAAGGGTCGGGTCAGTGTGACTGTCGGTCCCATTGATGGTGACGAAACCGGAAGTATGAATCGATTCAGCATCGGCAAGGGTGGTTTTTGGCAAGTCCCGAGAGGTGAGTTTGATTTCTACAGTCTTGTTCCATGGTGTAATCGACATGCTAACACGGCCGTTGTATTTATAGGTAATCAATACTCGATAGAGAACGAACTGGAGAAACCGGCTCGTGTGTTCTTCAGCCAAGGGTGCGAGCTCGTACCTTTTAACGAAGATGAACAATGATCATCACGGTATAATACAAACACACTCGCACAAGTTGGGCATTTGGAACCCTCAATGTTCGACTCTACGAACTCGAAATTACGATCTCTCTCGCTTTTCAGGGCTCTGTGCGAGTGTTGTCAGTAAGTGGTACATACGTACCTACTCTGGCTTCATGATGGTGGTGTGATTGATACGAGTACTTCGTACGAAATACTATGAATATAATGAAAACTTTTGTCGCCATGTCTAGAATTATCATCACCTTGACAATGGAAATGCCCATGCATCGTTCGCGCAAATTGTTGTAACCTCTATATTGTCCGAGGTCTTTTGTTCATCAATACGTACGGCGAGATTGCTCTGATGCCTTTTCCTGCTTTGCCCGTTTTGGTCGCGCCCATTGGATAGTGTGTTGACATTACACACCCATACCCAGGTACGAGTAGAGATACCAGCATAATGTCTTTAATCCCATTCCAGTGGGCATCAGTCCGCCTCGTGATGCCCTTCGGTCGTAGAACAGTCATGAATGGGCTGGGTATGTGTCAAGAGATTCACTCCCGCTCCCTCGCCACTCGTACTCTGTCATTCCCAGGTGGTGATGACCTCCTGGCTCTCCAGCTCTGAATGCTTTCCGAGTATCGCCAAACGATGTTTCTTCAGAACACCGTAGATGGTGCTCGTCCTCATCTCCGATCACGGCACGCGCCAGCCTCCAACCATTTTCTGCAACTGCAACGTGGCAAGACTTTAGGGGTACCTCATCTCCTCTCAGCATATCGAAGCAGATGATAATCATGGGGAAGGTAGAGAAATCACACCTCGTTCAAACTTCTTCCATGTCCTCATCCAGACCAAGCGGGGCATACTGCTCTCCGACCTCGACCTTTTCTGGTCTCGCAAACACACCGAATTTCGCACCGCATTCAAAAACCTTGACCTTTTTCGTCGTCTTTTCCTTTTTCTTGCCTTTCGTTTCGTCGTCATCGTCGTCGTCATCGTCATCGTTCGAAATTGTCACCTCGACAAGCACACTCCCGTCGTTCCGTCCCACGGGCTCGTCCAGTTCGACGCCCACCCACACGCACCCTGCCTCCCGGGCACCTCCCAGCCCCTCGATCGCTCCGACGAACCTGACGGTGCCTCGCCTCGCGTCGTCTTCGCCGACCCTGCACCTCTGTCCCACGGTGATCCCTCGCGAGGCGACGGCCTCGGTGTCGACCCTCGTCCGTTCCTCCGCCAGCTCCGCGGGCGACTTCTGGTCGGGGTCGAACCGGCCCAGCTTGGCCCGCCTCTTCCAAGCGAGCACGCTGTCCTCGAGCTTCTCGTACTGGGACGCCGGCATCTGGTACTTTTCGACCGCGGCGAGGTCGGAAAAGTCAAACTGTTGCCGCGCCGCCGCGGGACGGCCGTCGAGGATCTCAATCTCGCTGCCTCGAACGAGACCGTAGGCAGGGTCTCCCACCAAGCTGGAATCGTCGGACAAGGTCACCCAGCCGGGAGAAGACGACGAAGGGTCTCCTATACGGCCGCCGTGGCCACGAGTGCGGAGGGTCTGGAAAGAAGCAGGGATCCCGGTCACGGGTTCGAGTTTGGACTTGAGTTGTGATATGGTCCATGACGGTGTGATTCGTCGCTCGGCCGACAAAAGTGGTGGGTTATTATTGGTGTCGTTGGGAACGACGATTTGAACCGAAATGTCGGCGGGAGTTGTCATGGTTGTCATTTTTATGTTTCTTATCCACGGTCAAGGTCAATGATCGAGCTTCGTTACGGAAGAGCAAAAGGTAGATGTTGTCCTAATGAGTATATCGAGGTGTGAAATTCGTGGGCATCAACAATTTGTGCTTCAGTGACAACTTGATGCCTGGAGTTGTTACAATATAACGTGATAAAAATTCAGGGGGCGAAAAGAACGACAGAAAGTATGCCGAGATACCCCGCCGTACTGGCCGCTGACCCTCAACAAGCCAAAATAGTATTCGTTTGCTTCTATCCGTACAGTACATTGTGATTGGCATCGCTAAACAGCACCACTATCGAGTCACTTCATCGACTCTCTCAAAACTGTCATCACATCAATAATCAAGTGAAGAGATAGAACTTTCTGGTTCTTCTTTGGCCACTCGAACTCACTTTCTTAGGACCATTTGGTTGCTCTCTCGTGCAATCTTGCCGCGACATATCAGACGCTGAGATGCCATGACCACTCAACGGACAGCCGACATTATTTCTCCAGCTCGACCTCGTTGAGTCTCCACCTCAATATCTTGCCGGTGGGTGATCGAGGGATCTTCTTGACAAAGGTCACTTGTTTCAAGTGCTTGTATGAAATCAGTTTCGATGCGACCAAGTCCTTGACGTCCTGTCCGCTCACCCTGTTTTGAGCTCGTTCGTCTTGAGGTTTGTCCGACAAACCACTCTTCTCTGTGCTGACAGATTCCAAAGGTCTTCGCACGACATAGGCACAGAGCATCGTTTGAGAAATGCCTTGGCCATTTTCGGTTTGGACACCGTAAACAGCTGCATCGACGATCTGTGGATGCTCTAATAAAACAGTTTCTACCTCAGTAGGCGAAACTTGCCAGCCATTGACTTTCATGATCTCCTTTCGTCTTCCGTTGTAATACAACTTGCCACCTCGGACGAAAGCGAAATCCCCAGTTCGATAGAATCCTTGACGATCGAAAGAGTCAACGGTGGCAGACACATCGCCAATGTAACCGGAAAACAACGTCGGTGATCGGATCAAAGCCTCCCCTATTTGTTCTTCCCTTCTGATGTTGTGACCATTGCAGTCGACCAGTTTCAGCTCGACATCAGCCATCAGCCATCCTATACTTCCAGATGTGTCTTTCTCATTCCAAGGGACAAGGGTATGCCAGCCGGCCTCGGTTGTTCCCCAACACTGGGCAACGTTCGCGTCCCTTTGTAACCTTGAAGCTAGCTTCTCCTGCACATTTGGATTCAAAGTAGCCCCCGCACATATGACGTAGCGCAGGCTCTGAAGATGTTGAATGTCTACACTTGACAAATGAGCCAGTGTCCCAAGGATGGGAGGGACGACTGGCGCATCGGTGATGTCGAACTTTGATATTGCCTGCAAGAAGTCTGACAGGTTGAACTTTGGCAGGAAATAGGTCTGCATGCCGAGACGGAGGGGAAGGACAAGGGCAAGGGGCGCTGCAAATGCGTGAAAGACAGGCAGACAGATGAGCTGTGATGGCTGTGATGAATGTCAGCCTGAGACAGGTCATGGAAGTACAAACGTCAAGGGATGACAATACCTGATAATTTCTGGTTATGAACTGCTTCTCCAACGCCGCTGCCTGTGCAACAACGTATCGATGTGGAATCATAGCCGCCTTTGGCAGTCCAGTTGTCCCACTGGTCATGGCGTACAATGCCAGCCGGCCTTGGAGGGATCTGCCATGTTCGAAAAGAGGCACCGGATCATATTCTTCGGAGCCTGCCAATATTGTCTTCCAACTATGACACCCGTGGATGTTTGGTTCTTGGTTATTTTCGACGAGGAAGATGTGAGAATTCGGAATGTTACACTTTGAGGCTACTTCTGCGATTGACCCCAGGCAACCTGGTTGAGTGAAGATGAACTTAGGGTCTGTAAGGCGGAGATGCCGTTCGAGCTCGGTAGAGGTATACGCAGGATTGATGGGCGATGCAATTGCCCCGGACCCTATGATTGCAAGCCACACTAGGGGATACCAGATCTATCATGACCCAGATCGATCCGTCAGCAGAGTTACACAGCAGATTGTGAAGAAGCGGGGGATGGAAACGGCTGTTGTTCTGAGCAACAGAAGAAACGCACGTTGTTAAAGGCGTGCAGGCACACACAGTCTCCTTCCTTCACACCAAGGTTTTTGAGGCCGTTGACAAGTTGACACACTGTTGTGTACGCTTGAGACGCCGAAATGGACTTGGTCGGATCTTTTGCATCGATAAAGATCTATATTGACGTTTGCATTAGCTTGAATCTTAGCTGCAGAAATTCTGACGCTGAAGCAGCTTACCGGCTTGTTCTTATCATATTGACCAAGATTAGCGAACGCAAAGGTCACGATATCTGTCGTCAAGGTTTCTTTGGACCAGGAGAGGAGAGATTGTGGTGAGGTCCAGATGTGATCTGTGGTGGAAGCTGACGACAAAGACATTGTGTAACAATGGCTTGCAGAGAGAGACAGGTGTCACACGTTGTGTCGAGAGGACAAGGATAGCGGCAGGTCAAGTTGCACCGAGAATACAAGATAGGATGTTCCTTGTCAGAAGACGGTGGCATGTAGAGTACGGATAAGGTGACGGAGTCTGTAAGATGATACACATCCAAGGACGGCAGATGAGGCAAGAAAAGGCACAAAAGGCAGGACAGAGAAGTGCAAGGTGTGTTACATGCACTTGATGACAGTGAAGAGCGTGGCATTGTGAATCAGGTAAGATTTCCCTGGATCTGAAGCAATTGTCTACATGATACTACTAATTGGGTATCTCATTACCATGTACTGAGGAAGCCAAGAGACTGACCAGTCGAGGCACAGGTCACTGTGAACTGATGAAACAAGACACTGATTGCATGGACGTCTCTATCACTGCTTGGTCAGTTTCGCATCTGGCCACAGAATATCCAGATGGACTTGGAAAGCAGTCATTTTGTTGTAGCCTCTGCATTTTGACAGCGGCATCATTAGTCAAGATGGTCACCACAACTGACGAGGCTTCTTGCTGATGCCTTGTATTCCTCCCGCTACTGGGTCTTCTTTTTCCACTGGTGAGATTGATATTTGGGAAGCACTACCGGCATCTGGTTCATTGGTTACCAAAACCCAAATACAGCTGCCCTGTGGCCTCGAATTCAATTCCACGGCCATGGAGTTACGAGTATTCTTAGGATCCTGGTCAACCTACCTTGCCCGTCTGTCCACCAAAGGTAGCTTCTTGTTGGTGTTGTATGCCTGAGCCAGGTATCTATGGTCTATCTACCTGCCACCGAGTGTGTGGATAGATTCAGATCCCTCCTGCCTCTGTTGGTCTTAGACGTCCCGGACTGGCAAGAGCATATCATCATAGCACATTATTGCTATCTAGGCCTCATATATCGAACCGACAGCGACCATGGTCCATGGTCTGCCCACCTCCCTCTCACTTACATCTGGATCCTGGGCCTTTGTCTTGATTTCTGTCACTCCTCGGCTTCGCTTGTAGCATTACTCATTGTCCACGTTTTCGAGTCACCTCGGATCCCTCTTTCGCCTCAGCTTCACCCCCTTCACGCCGTTCTTTGTCTTGTCTGGACCGTTTGGCCGCCACCCACTTGAATGCACTCACCGACTCCTGTATATGTCCTCCGTGCTATCCTGGCCACCATCTGGTACCGTGTAGGAGGATCTGCGGCACGTTGTTGCATCACCCCTGTTCCGATCTCTCTGTCCGAGTTCGCCCATCTCGGGTCGAGTAACCTTGTACACCCGTTGCTGCTGGTTTCCAACCTGATTGAGGTCGTATAAAGACTGAAGAACCTTGCCATATCAGATTGATAACGACATTCTGGATCAAATGCACGGAGATTGCTATGACTCTCAATCAAACAAACCACCAGGGGCAGAGCCTTTCGTTGTGAGTGACTCCTGGCCTATATCTGCCTCACACAGTCGTTGTGACCGCCCTGCACACCGCCCTCCATGTATATCCTTTCACTTCACTCAAGGCAGCACGGGCCTCTTTGTTGGCTTGAATTGATGACTTGAGTTGAAACAGTCCAACGTTTGTAAATGTCGTTCCCATTCTGTTGGTCAAGATGATGACGAGATGATCTTGCCGTCCTTGTTCGTTCAGTTGAGTTGTGGTCTTTGCTACGAACTGACTTGCTGACGTCTTAATGAACATACAGTGACGCCGGAATGGCTTCGAGTGCTCATCCACTCTCACTCTCCTCCGATCCCGAAGACAGATATGTTCCTATTGAGACAAACACCACCAGTTCACAAAGTCATGGTCAAGAGGAGACCTTTTCTCTTGACTCGCCTTATCCAAGATCCCAAACAGAATCGTCAGAGGCCACTGCGTGTTCTCCTATCAGTTCTGAAATCGTATTCTCTAAATACTACCCTGTCCACGATCGAACCTCCTCCAAATCAATGTCGACGATGGTGCACGAAAAACATCCTGCGCCGACTACCACAATGCCGGAGAAGAAGTACCACCGCATCTTGCGTAACCTACGGTGGACTGTCATGTCGGTCTATCGACGCCTCAACATCCTGGTTCTCGCTATAAACATAACAGCTATCATAGTGCTGGCTACACAGCATAAGCTCCTGACCATGTCACCCGCCACCGCTGCCACTGCTGTGGCCTTCAACATCCTGTTGGGTGTTTTGATCAGGCAAGAACTCGTTATCAACGCCCTTTTCTGGTCATTCGGGAAATGTCCTCGATGGTTTCCACTTTGGATCCGTCGTCTGGTAGCAAAAATATATCATCTGGGCGGCGTGCATAGTGGAGCAGGAATGTCGGCGGCACTCTGGTTTGCCTTTTTCAATGCTGCCATTGTCAGGGCCTACAAACACAATCAGCTGCAAATTCACCGAGCTGCGACATCTACCATCACGGTATTGCTCGACGTTCTCTTTGTTGCTATTCTATGCACAGCACATCCAGGCGTTCGCTCACGCATCCATAATCTGTTTGAGCTCATTCATCGCTTTGCTGGATGGTCTGCGGTGATTTTGATCTGGGCACTTTTCGGATTGCTATCAGATGCAGAAGCTCACGCCACCGACATTACAGTCTTGCAGGTCATGGTCTACAGCCCAGTCTTTTGGGCCCTCCTGATCATTACTATTTCTATTGCACTACCATGGGTCTGGCTACGAAAGGTTTCGGTCCACGCAGAGCCTCTGTCCGACCATGCAATACGCCTGCACTTCACATACACAAATCTCCCGCTGTGTGCAGCACCTCGACTGTCTGACAGCCCGCTCCTGGAATGGCATGCATTTGCAGGAATACCTGCCGAAGATGGTCAGGGGTTTTCTGTGCTTGTGTCAAAAGCAGGTGACTGGACGTCTCGTCTGATCAAGTCGCCGCCAACCAAGCTTTGGGTTCGTGGTATTCCTACAATGGGGGTCCTGCACATCGCTCCAATCTTCAAAAAGATGGTCCTCGTCGCCACAGGTTCCGGCATCGGACCTGTACTATCGTTGTTGGCTAAGCGGGATATCTCTTGTCGGATACTATGGTCGACTCCTCATCCCGAGCGTACCTACAAGGCCGGGGTCATCGAGGCTGTTCAAAGAGCTGATCCTGAGGCTGTCATTATCAATACTACCGTTGCTGGGCGTCCAGATCTGGCCCGATACACCTATGACCTGTACATGTCATCTGGTGCTGAGGCATGCTTCATCATTTCCAACCCGAAAGTCACAAGACGCGTGGTGTACGCTTTGGAGTCTCGAGGTGTACCGATATTCGCACCAATTTTCGACTCTTGAAGGCAAATCCCGTATGAGAGATAAAGGAAGATTAAGATTCAAAGGCACATGCACATATGGGTGCGGCCGGGGTCCGCGGAGGACACATCTGTCGTCTACTGCAACGACTTTTACGAAGTTCGGGATTCACATAATTATTTCCCTTGATTTGGGCTTGTACGTTGTCAAGATTACAAGAACACAATATCCTTCAGAGGCATATTTTCCTGGCACATCACGGCATCGGTTTGTATTGTATGAGGATCAAGGCCCACAGGCAAGAGATAGATGAGGCCACAATATGGTTTGAAGACGATATTCTTCGCATGGTAGCTTTGTAGTTCGATATCGCTGATCACCTCACAAGAATGACCCTTATTGAAATCAGAGTTCAGAACTTTGCAAGCAGAATGCCAAAGTGGCGGGCCAAATGCCTCCGTCGCATCATTATCCCTCTTTGTTCAAAAAGGATCTAATTTGGGATCATAGTTGGACTTTATACTTGATGTACGTGACTGACCATCGAGGTTTCTATTGTAGGCGCGCACACACAAGATCAGGACCAAGCGTTATTTGATTATATTGGTAGGGACCTAGTTACTTGGGTACATACGGTGCAGACGCGGCTCCATTTTGTCATGAGCCTAGGTAGATGGCGACCTGTAGAGGGTGCCACTCTGTTAAGATTGTCGGGTCATTTGACGCATATACCAGAGATTTATTCGTCGGCAAACAGCCAACGGCCGCCGCCCCTTTTGGCGTCGCAGTAGCGCCTCTCGACCTCTTCGCGTTCGCGCTGCCTCGCGCGTTCACGGTTCTCCCGGTCCTCCTGCGTCGAGGGGAACTCGGTGTTCCAGAAGCCGGGAGGGGACTGGGCCCGGTCGAAGGTCTGGCGGTGCGCCCGGCCGTACAGGTCCGCCAGTCTCTTGGCCCGCGCCTCGTGGACGAGGTTCGCGCGGGCGACGGCCGTCAGGTTGCGGATCTTGGCCTCGGATTCCGGGCCCGGGCCGAAAAAGGCCAGCAGCAAGTCGTCCTCCGAGAGGTCGTCGTCGGTCACGGGGAGGGTGTCGGCCAGCACGCGGAACTGGTGGCCGCAGCACTCCGGGCGGACGCAGCCGGGGAGGCACCTGCGGGCGCTGCGGCCGCGCACGACCTCGTCGTAGGCGTAGTCCACCCCGCCGGTATAAGCGGTGTTGATCTTGAAGTGCGTCAGGTTCAGGCGCGCGACCGGTCGCGAGCGGAATGGTTCGTCGTCTTCGGGCCCCGGAGGAACATTGCGGGAGGAAGACTTTGGTGGGAGGAATGGAGGTTTCCGGACCGAAGTGGTGCTGCTAGTGGTGCGGTTAGTGGTGTTGGGCTTGGTAGTTGTTGCTGTTGCTGTGGCGGTCGACGGGTTGGTGGTGGTGGTGATGGTGCTGGTGCTGGCGGCTTCCCCGGACGGTGTGGATGTTTGTAACTTGTGCTGCTGATGCTGCTGCTGCTGCTGCTGATACTCTGTAGTAGTAATAGGAGAGGGCGTCCCTCGTGATTTGCGGGATATAATACTCGTACTTCCGTCGGACCGTGGAAGGAGCACTGATGAATTTGCGGCCGGAGTCGTCAGGAGGGCTTTGAGACGGTTTTTAGAAGCTATGGTATCGTCGCCGTTCCCTTCAACGGGTTTCTCACTTGCCAAACCATCAGAGTGTAGGTTCTCGCTGTAGTCCTCACCATCCTCGGCTACGGTGGGAATCGCGTCTGCTCCTCGGTCGCTGTGCCTTTTGAACTTGGGCCGCGTGGTGGGTGTATTGGCGGAGCTTCCGGTTGTGACGTTGCCTGTAATTTCTTTGAGGACTTCTGGGCTTCGACTCCGCGCCCGTTTTCGTTTCGTAGTTCTGGGACTCGTCGTATTGGCGTTGGCGTCGGCATCGTCAGACAAGATAATCGGGGAAGAAACGCTGGGATTGGAGCAACGCCATTTACGTTCCCTTGCTTGGAAAAGACGCAGTTTTGATCTGAGTTGGTCAATCTCGGCTTGCTTTTCGACGTCCTTGCGGAATAACTGTTCAAACTGAACTGTCATCTCGGAAAGTTGGTTCTGCTTTTGTCGTGACTCTTCCAGCTCGTGCCTGAGTTTCTCGTTTTCTTGGGCGAGAGACTCGTCAAGCTGAGTAGATGGCACGGGGGCCATGAGCCGCTTGCTTTGAAGATCCGAGAGCTCATTTTTGAGTCGCTCATTTTCTTCTATTAGATGTTGGTCGGGAGGATCGATGGAAACGCTGCTCTGCTGGCTCCGGATCTGATCAAGTTCGAGCTTGATCTGCTCATTTTCGAGTCTGAATCTCTCTATAGTCTTGTTGCTCTCGTCCAACTGACGCAGAAGCGTCTCGCTATGTTGCAGAGCGAGTATCAACGTACTCGTCAAAGTCTGTGGTGTTGGGTCCATTGCGTTGGTTGTTCACAAGTCGCGTGCATCAGACGCGGGTACGAGGACGATTTAGAGTGGTGGTGTGTCCTTGTATCGGAGATTGTCGGTAGAACCCCGGCATCAATGCGACCTTGTATCGATCGCGGACCGTTTGCGCCTCTTTGCTATGATTCTTTTCTGCAGCCTGGCGAACAAGAACGAAAGACCACAAGATGGCCAAGCGGAGGAGAGTCGATGACAGTAATGATACACGGCCTCCTGTTAAGAGATGCCGGACAGGCTCAAAGCGCAATCTGCTAGACATCAGTGATGAGATTCTTCTCCGAGTCTTGTACTTCCTCCCCACACAGGATTTGTTGCGCACTGAACGGTAAGTCTCATTCTTCTGCCTCAGAGCCTGACTGATACTGCTTGCTAGTGTCTCAAGACGTTTCCACACCCTTGCGAGCGACGGGGAGATATGGAAGGCGAAATATTACGACACTTGGATCGACCATCGAGCCCGCCGGCTACCGCCCGAGAAGACTCAGGAAGGTTCAAGACAGAGAGTCAAGATCTTGAGATGGCTGGAACATGGACAAAAGTTGCGGGATGGTGCCACAATCGACTGGAAGCGTCAATTCAAGATCAAGACTAATTGGGCAGCCGGTGCAGCAAAAGTCCATGAAGTTGAAGTCGCCAATCCGCCTACGCCACCCGTCATTGCGAGAGTTCTTAAGGGGGTAGTATTCACCTTCGATCGGCTGTCTGGACTACGAGCATGGACAACCCTAGCAGGAACAAGGACACTCAAAGCACGATTGCCCTTCGAAACTTCTCGAGCAGCAACGGCCATGGCCGTCGACAGTTTGGATGGAGTGACCCATATACTATTGGGCTTCGAAGATGGCTCATTTTCGACGTATATGTTCACGAACGAGAGTGGGTTCGAAGATCGCGGAAGCCACCAAACGACGGACGGACCTCTTGTCGCAGCGGCACTCGCTATGCCATATGCGATGACCATTTCCAAGACGAAGTTTCTATCTTTGTACGACTTGACTGTAAGTACGCAGGTGGAAAGGCCCGATGCCAACCTCGTGCCCGTCGCTCGACTCCAATCCGATGCATCCTTCTCCCCAGTATCCTTGGCGCTGCGGAGGACGCCTAAGCGCATCATTGCGACCGTAGCATACGCCTTCCATCGATTAAATTCCGGTTGGTGTATGGGGCTACAAGAAATCGTCATGTCGAGTAGCGGTGTGGTGATGGACAGCAGGTTGACATCCACGATCGACACACCATTCGATGCACAATATCAGGGCAGGGACAGTTGGAAGATGTCGACGCGGTCGACCAGTTCGCTGCCATTTCCATTACATCCTCCGCTGATGAGCCCGCCCACTTCCTTATCCTACGAACATCCTTTCCTGGTCTGTTCTCTTGCAGACAATACCATCATGTCATTTCTCGTGACCTCCAACGAGAATAAGCTGGAAATAAGCGCAGGCAGACGTCTCTGGGGACACACATCGGCTGTCTCTGGAGCAGAAGTCAACAATCGCGGCAAAGCTGTGTCGGTCAGCAGCCGTGGGGATGAAATTAGAGTATGGGAATTGGAGCCCGTGATGACGACCAACAGTCAGTCCAAGGCAAGTACACAGATCAAGGCAGTAGATGGCTTTTCTGGAGTAACTGCGGCTCTGGCTCGAAGGGGAACCGGCTTGGGCCTTGCACTGCACGAAATGAAGCGAGAGCTCAGCCTGACGAGGAGCTGGGTTGGTTTCGACGACGAGCAGGTTGTGGTGTTGGGCGAGAGGGACCAGAAACTAATAATGGCGCTGTACGACTTTACATAGAAGACCATAGTCCATCAGCTTGGGAAATCTCAGCTACGAAGATACGATGAATTGAATGAATGAAACCTTCACTTTTAGAAGATGTTGACATGAAATTGCACTCGTGTAGACACTGTGACGGCTGGGAGCGGCTGCGAGGACTGTCAGAGGCGTCCAGACCCAACATCGACCGCAGCAGTGGATCAAGTTGCAGCGGTCATCTGCAGCTGATCAAGCCATAAGAGTGGGTGTTTCGACTAACTAGTAGGCAGATGAGCCGACTCGCCGTAGATGATCTCAACCATTAGCATATGGCCATTCGAGCAGCCGGCAGGGGGAATGTGTCCCGGGGGTCACTATTTACTTAGGGGCTTGTGCTTAGCCGCTGTTAGGCGTCTGTTTAAGCCTATCAGCTCCCTAGACAGATGTCAATGAGCCCAAGAAGAACTCCGTAGCCTGGACCGCCCTCAGTACAAAGCTGCACTTCTTTGGTCTGGCCTGGAGAAGCAAACAAAAAGTGACGTTTGCCTCCACACGGTCAATCCTTGCAAGCGTACAATTCACTTCAATTTTTCTCAGCCCTCATTCACTTCTTGCTCAATTGTCTCACTATCACTGTTTCCCCTCTTTAACAATCGCATCAACACTCTACAATCTTCATCCAAACACCAAACTTCCACAACTGGTACTTTCCCACAGTCTACAACCTCTCAACGAGTCAATGCTGATTGCGCCCTAGTCAAATCATCCAAAGCTTTCAAAATGGATCGCGGCTGTTACAACTGCGGTGATTCTTCTCACCAGGTGCCTATGAACACGATGCCTCCTCTTACATACTCTTACATTACTTCAGGCTCGTGATTGTCCCAAGAAAGGAAACCCGACTTGGTAAGAAAGTGCTTCAATAAGTGGAAATGTAAAATGCTCATCGCTTTTCTCGATCCAGCTACAACTGTGGAGGTACGGTGTCCCTTGATTCTTTTCAGCTACCATAACTGACATGAATCGTAGGCGAAGGTCACCTTAGCCGTGAATGCACTGCGCCGCCCAAGCCAAGAGCCCCGAAGCCTTGCTACAAATGTTGGTTCGAACCTCAAACATTGCACGGAACATAACTGATGATAATGGATAGGCAATAGCCTTGATCACATTGCTAGGGACTGCCCTGAAGGTGGTGCCGTCGGTGGCGGTGCTGGCTGGGGTAGCGCTGGCGGGAATGCGTACGGCGGCGGCGGCGGTGGTCGAGAATGCTATCGCTGCGGTGGCCAGGGTCACATTGCTCGGTGAGTCTTTATCAAGAAGTGCGATATCTCATATGTTGACAAGATTAGCGACTGCACCTCTGGTGGTCCACAAGGTGGGTATGGTGGCTTCAGCCGCGGCGGCGGTGGCGGTGGCCAGACCTGCTACGTAAGTTTGCAAATATCCTGCAGCAAAGATTGACCCCTCTAACAGCTCATAGTCATGCGGTGGCATCGGTCATATGTCTCGGTATGGCATCACTGATCATTCACGTGTTCGTTTGGCTAATTGAAACAGCGATTGCACCCAGGGTCGATCTCAAAAATGCTACGTAAGGCAGCCCGCTCTCCGCCATCGTTATCAGATTTGCTGACGTCTTGCAGAACTGCGGTGAACAAGGCCACTTGTCCCGTGACTGCCCTTCCGAGCCTAGCTCTGAGCGCATCTGCTACAAGTGTAAGTTGCTTCATTGTCTGTGAAATTCCAAACTGACGACGTCTTCAGGCAAGCAACCCGGTCACCTCCAATCTGCCTGCCCAGCTTAGATGCCAAATCGATCGGCCTGCACGAATTCATGTTCTTTCTCTCTCCCTTTCATGACATTCATGATCTTATCGACATGCGATGACCTCAATTTGTTCTCACGATGACCTACGGTCGAAATTATTCGTTGGGAAACCCCAATCTCAAGAATCTTTAAAGCCTCCAGTCTTCTCAGTCTCCATCTTCGGCGAAGGTTTCTTCATTTGGAGTCCAATGGCTACGAACAAATATGAAACTTATATCCATGCGAGGCAGCGTGGTGGAAGATTAAAAAGTGCAAGTGCGCGCAGATATGGGCGATCAGTTTTCGCGTTGTGATTCAAGGATATCGTCGTTGGGCTGCTGGGACAAATGGCAGACAATTGAAAAATAAGGTCTTCGGCTCCGAAACTGAATGGCCCTGGACTTGGTTATCATGCGAACCTGATATGAAAAGCAAAAAGAAAAACAACTCCCTCTGCTTGGTTCGAGCGAGCCATCTCACTCGTACTGGGGTGAAACAGCTGCTAGATACTAGTCTTGACTACTTTTCAATGCAAACTGTTTCACATGATGATTTCTGAAATTCAATTTTATCTATCCCGTACCCTACCACGGTTCATATTTGCAGAACGCAACCCCCAAGGATGTCTTCCCTGCAGTGAACCTTGACTACCTAAGGTACTGTAGTATATTTTGATGGTGTGGGCGTATTGTATGGACCAATCGCGGATGTGTATTATGTGATCTTACGGGAGTACTAATGCGACCACCTGGCCGCAGATACTATGAGACTATCAACCTCCACTGTCTGCCTGGAAAGTATATATGTTTTCAAATCCCTCTTAGACTTTTCTTTCCGTCACCAATTTTCGGGAAAAAAAAACCATGAACTTTCTTGTCTTGTGTTTTTCAAGAAGAAAATGCAAAAATGCAAAAACAATCAACAATTAGGATTCGCTGCTCGTCACCGACGCAACTACTAACTAATCAGCTTGTGGCTTAAGTACGGCTGAGCGAACGGGAAGCCCTGTTTTCCACAACCTGTGGTCGATTGCGGAATACAATCTACTTTGATGATATATATAGTCTAGATTAATCCTTCTCTCGATTGTTTTGGGTATTCACGTTCTTCTCCTCCGTACTCCGTATAATCGATCTACCCAGGCAGCCAGTGTAGAAACAGATCAAGAATTCCTCCACGACAGCCCTGAAAGACCTACCTAGGTACCGAGTCTGTATCTACACATCCAAGAACTTCACTCTCAACAAAATAGAAAAAAAGGGGGTGACGGAAAAAGTCGAATTGCGTATCGAAGCATTTTGCGATTCCTGTTGGTTCCAGAATTTAAGGCGCTATCAAATTCGTTCCTCATCAATTCCCTTTCCAAAATGTGCATTCCTCTCCAAAAGAGGGGTCATGTACACACTTTTCTGGCCGGCGTGCCCTCTCTTCCTTCAAAGTCGACTCGCCCCCTCAAATGCGACGAACCTCCTATCTGACCTGCTGTTGGCAAACATGACTCTTTTGTTTGACTTGCTCTGCAGTGGGAAAGATGTCCTAGTGTAAAGGTCCCACAAGACCAGGGCTCAACCAAATTACATAGCTGATGTGATTCCTCCCTTGGAGAGGCGCTCTCTGTCATGAGCAGGTATATCTTATCGAACTTGTCGGAAAGTCGACTTTTGCCTCCGTGGGCATATCCAAATACCCTAGGGCATGCAATATCGGTGTCATATGAATAGGAGTAGGAGTCGCCATCACTTTTTCACACCCGGTGCGACATCTGGCGCGGTGCTCCTGGAGTCATTGTCTGCAATCAACATGAAATGGCAAACTTGCGACCACAAGTCGTGCGTCGTCGAGAGTTACGCAAATGAAAGAGATTGCGCGGGGACCGTCAGCCAGAAGAGAGGATCCCTTACTCGACGAGCTTGAACATCTCTTCGAGGCGTTATGTATAGCCTTGCTATCACATTCACAGTGCCTGCTTTAGGTAAGTTCTCGCTGCGCACTCGGCCTTTTCTTTCTCGACTCACGCCTCTGTTTGCCTGCTCCAAGCTTTCCTCGATCTCGAAGCTCAGACAATAGTTCGCATTCAAGAAAGATCCCCTGAATATGGTTATCGCGGTGGCATCGCTGAAGCAGCACTCATAATCTCTCTAGCCATTGGGTCTGCAGGAAGCTCAGTCGGTCGGATGTCGGGTGTTGCCTGAAGCTCAGACAACTGCCCGCTTTGTGATGGCTGGAGATGTAAGCTACCTTGCCCAGGCAATTGCGGTTTGACATAGACTCCGCCTCGGGTATTTCCAGGCAGTTGTGGTTTGACATAGACTCCTCCGCGGTCATTTCCAGGCAATTGCAAAGGCTTCATCGAGTCGATTGTCCCTGTTGAGGGTCGCTTTGCCTTTCTTTTCCTTCGCCGGACTAGTAGCCATACTAATGGCGCAAGAATGAGAATCGCAACGAGGCATACGCCAATGCCTATTCCCGCCTTTGCACCTGTCGAGAGACCATCCGAAGAGCTCTCTTCTTCTTGGACGGGAGAGCTTGGAGATGATGTTGGAACGCTTGTTATAGTAACAACGTGGGCAGTAGATGTGGCGGTTGGGGACGACGAGGCGGTTGTGGTCGCCGCTGTACTCGTAGTTGTCTAACAATCCGTGTCAGAATCACTCGGTAATTTGTCTTACTTGACGGGAGCAATGGGCTGTCCGGACATACTGCTTCTTGTACCTTTGCGACCGAGGTGAAATACCACCGTTGATTGACAAGACCGGTCGACGGGTGAAGTTTCATGAAAACCCTGGCCAACTCTTTGTGACAGTCCAGTACGGGATCACCCAACTCGACGTTTCTGATCTTCCAAGGAAGTTGCTCTCCCCATTGATCAATGTTCCATCGCTGAGACGTGTCATTGGTCATGACCTGAAGCTGCGGTTTGTTGTCAGGCTCCTGTCCACCATATGGATCGAGGTATGTGCCAAGTTGCCACCAATCGACCTGAGTGCGGTTCTGCCGGAACGAGAAGTGTCCATCGTCGTGGGTAAGGACCTGCCACAGATTGTATATCGTTTTGTCTTTGGACGCTGCCGATGTACCGTTCGGGAGTGTTGTGAGGTAATGTAGTCCCTGGTCATTGAAGTAAATGCGATACCAGGTATTGGGGTCCAACATGGGAGGAGCCATGGTTACTCCGTGTGATCCAAGGGATGGCAGGCGCTGTCATCATCTTACTGTGATATGTTCGAGGAAGGACGGGGAGCCAGAATTATGAGAGAGAGAGCGAGGAAGGCTTGTGAACTGTTCGACTACTCCGTACACTATACTGTATCTTGGTTTCCCCCCGAGCCTAAGTTGAAAAAAGTGGTACCGGCTAAAAGTGTCGTACTATTTCAACCCCAGACTGTTCAGACCTACTGTACAGTTGTTGAATGGTTCGGATGGACGATATGGAGTACGGATACTCGTACTTCGGGACAGGCTGGTTTGAATAATCATACCTATAACATACCCCGTGTAGAATACAAGCTTCGTTCGGCGAAGGGTGCTTCCCATCCTTGAAGCGGCTTTGGCGCCTGGCTCATAGTGCCACTTTTTTCGCATCACTGACAGTAGGCTCATCCCTTTCGGAACCAGGCCATCCTTTCAAACATATGGCCAATAGAGCCCTTGAGGACCGAGCCAAGGCATGGGTCGATGTCGAAACACTGGAGGTTCTTGGTAGTCGTTATGGTATTTCTCGGCAAAGACGGCTGAATAGGTCGAGCGGAATGATGCTTGGCGCGGAGCCCAATCTAGGCGAGATTGGGCCTATGCAGATACCATGGGGGCCATGTTTCAGGCTGGGTATAATTAGGGGGCACCAAACTGTTGATCGCCGTGACCTGTTAGTCACACAGCCGCCTTCCGGAGGGCTTCAAGGCAGAATCTTGCAGATCGCAGGCGCTTCAAAGCTGAAGTCTTTGTGGGAACAATGACAACAGCCTACTGTACTGCACGAGCACGGGGCCACCTACGTGGTAGCGGGGCTGAAGAAATAAGAGTAGCTCGGTATCCCACAAACTGCGGAACAAAAATAATATACATATGCAGCATGAAGTATCAGTACTTGTTGCAAAGCGCAACGCAAGGAAGATAGATTGGTACGTACAGTAAAGAGCGGGAGAGAAGCCTCAGGCTGTATCGATGACTAAGCTACTCTGGTATCCGCACGTCATTTGGCGCTGTTGCGTACCTTCCTGCCTTATGTAAGTATTTTCATACCCTCAGACTTGAGGTCTAATAAATCTACCCGCACCACTACGGTTTGATCTCTACTGTACATCGCCTTTTGTACGTGCCGGCGCCAATTCGAATCCGGCCTATCGTGCGGCGTACCTATGCGCAATATTCCGTGATGTGATCCTTGAAATCATGCTAGCTGCACCATAACTATGACCACTGCACAACTCAGTCTCGAACCGTGTCACAACTGTCGTCGACGTCGTTTAAAATGCGATCGATCTGTTCCACGGTGTTCGAAGTGCACCAAAACCGGTCAGGAATGTCTGGGCTATCAGCGCTTGTTTCGTTGGGAGCCGGGAGTGGCTAGTCGTGGCAAGATGGCTGGTAGGACGTTCGAGGACATGACAAAGGGTCGAGAGGAGAAGAAGAATGAAATTTCCAATGCTGATTCATTGTTCCCTGCTGGGCTATCAAGCCAGAATTATGCCCCTGGATGTACGGAAGTCTTGCCAGTTGGATCATTGACGGATCCTCTGGTCCAAGACCTCAGTCATACATCGAGGAAGTATCTGTCTTACTGTAAGAAAGCCTCGTTGTCCTGATTCAATCGGGGGTTGGATGCTAATGGTATGTTGGTGCTATAGTTGCCAGTGATGTCTGCAGAGATCTTGTCCTCTACGACTGGCCCAACCACAATCATTTCCGAGAACTCATCCCATTGACGCAGCGGTATCCAGTCCTTCTTCACATCGTCATTGCAAACTCGGCATTGCACATGTCGAACGCAAGCCAGAAATTGTTGTCAACCTCCACTCCATCAGCTTTTCCGCATCGACGTCTGCCAGGCCAATTGAGCTCTGCATGCTTGAAATTCTCCGCGATTGAACGGTTGAAATCCTATCATGATGCTCTTGCAGCCAAACAACAGGCTCTCTCACTTCTTCAGTCCGGTATTGTCAGTGTATCTTCGGCGGACGTTGATGTGACTCTGGCGGTTGTACTTTTGTTCATCGAACTAGAGCTCATTGACTCTGGACGGGATCACTGGAAGTATCACATCAAGGGGGCGAGAACGATGATCGAGACTCTAATTGGAACCAATGCATTGACACGGCAGACTGCCATGAGTCCGCTCCGCAGGAGTTTGATTGCGAATTGCTTGGTGTACGTCGGGGCTTGATGCCAATCGTAAAACAGTGGTCCTGCTTAGATGCTAATATGACCGTGTTGTCTAGGTTCGATATCATCGGTTCTGCGCTGTCAGCCCCCATTGTCCACGATTCCCCTAGAGAGCAATTTCCAATTGCAAATCTATCCCTCTTACAAGATGCAGAAGGTAATCACTGCTCTTCGTTCCCGACATTTCTCTTGCAGCTCCTCCGAAGCGGCTCTGCGTTATCTTTGCCAAGCAACTCATCGTCGTCATCTTCTCCTTCTTCGCCCTTGATTGATGCCCGAATACAACAACAAAAACAGAAACAACAGCTACTCTCCCTCCTGTCTGCGGCACGAGATTTCGAACCCCTTGTATGGGCTACAAATGTTCAACCGCACTCTCCAGCCCACGACCTTCAGTACCGCACCCACATTGCTTCGGCACACCGGGCGGGAGTGTGCATCTACCTCTCCCGTGTTCTCCTGTCTCTCTGTCCTTCCATCTCCACCACCCAGCTCCCACAAGACCTTGATTCTCTCATGGGGGATATCATAACTCACCTCTCGTTCATTCCCAAAGAGCACGCCTTGTTCAAAGCAGCCACGTGGCCGGCGTTTATTGCAGGAGCAGAAACGAATGATCGCGAGAGACAGGATTGGATAGTGAGACGATTTGAAGAGCTGTGGGACGTCGAACCGTGGGGTTTGATAAAGGGAGCGTTGGGCGTGTTGCTAAAGATCTGGTCAAATAGAATGACCAATGTCGTGGATGGTGACAAAGTCAATGTCAGGGCTGAGAAGTTGGAACATAGTAATTGGATCCAAGACTTGCGAGGACGAGGCGTCGATTGGCTTGTCATATAGATTATTTTAAACATTCTCGTTTTGTATTCTATAATACCCTCTGTATACCGTCCAGATCTCTATAAATCTTGTCCACGCCCCAAAAGGGGAAATTCAGACATTGTGGTTCGTTCAAGCCTTCTTCGTCCTTCTGCTGTTGAGCAGCGAATAGTACAGATTTCCCCGTTCAGCCCCATCAAGGTGCCGTCTCTACTAAAATACTACCTGAATTCTCTTCTTCTCTCTTCGCGGCCTCCTGCATCAACTCCGCCTTCTCGTCTGCGGTCAAGTCGCTCTTGGCCTTGGGCACCTTGCCCCAAACCGCCATCAGCGCCAGCCCCACGGCGGCGACTCCGACGCCGAACCAAAAGGTGTTCTTGTAGCTCCTCGCCAACCCCGCCTCCTCCACCGTCGCCGACTGAATGATGTCCGTCAGGCCCAGACAGAACGCCACGCCCAGCTGCAGCGTCGAATTGATGACGGCCCCCGCCAGCCCTTGTTGCGCGATGGGGAACTTGGTGGTCACGAAGACCGTCATCAGGATCGTAGAGAGGTCGATGCCGATGGTGCTGAGGATCGTGGCGGGGAATATCCATGCCCAGTAGTTGGCGTCGGAGCCGGGGATCAGCGCGAGGAGGAGTTGTGAGCCGACCGCACCCAGGCCAGAAATGACAAGAAGCACTCGCCCGGGTACGAGATGGAGGATGAAGCCCTCGAGGATGCTGAGCAGGAGCCCGGCGACGCCCAGAGGGACGTACCACGCGACGACCTGGAGAGGCGTGGCGGACATGATATTCTGGAAGTAGAGGGTCCCATAGACGGAAAAGATGCCCCAGGTCCCGTAAAGCAGAAAAAGAGCGAGGAGTAGAGGCGTCATTGAGGAAGTCGTAAAGATTGAGGCTGGAACGAGGGGCTGACTAGAGACGTATGTCGCGAAGTAGGCTGCAGCTAGAAGACAAATAATACCGAGACCAAGACACGCTGGGATATACGGCGTTCGCCAACCCGAGGGGGCGTGTGCAGATTGGGTGATGGCAAAGACTGTGAGGGTGATGCCCAAGACGATAGTGAAAGCCCCGGCGTAGTCCATTCTGACCTTGCTCGAGGACGTTCCCTTTGATCGAGAGGATGGAATCGAAAAGATCGATGTTGTGAGCGATATTGCTGTCATGATGGCGCCGATCCAGAAATAAAATCCCCAGCGTAAAAACTGGCCTACAATACCAGCAACAAATATTCCCCCAAAGAAACCAAAGACCGCCGAAGTACCATAGATTGCGAAAACGAGGTTCTTCCGAGGTCCAGGCCGATATAGAGAACCCATGAGCATGACTCCTGTTGGGAGGAATGCGGCGGCCCCTAGACCTTGGAGTGCCCGACAGAAGATCAACATGAGAGGATTGATGCTGAATCCTGCGATGATACTCCAGACAAGAAGCCATACGAGGCCCCACAGGAAAATAGGATACGCTCCCCACATATCACCTAGACGGCCGAAAACAAGGAGAGTGCTGGCAATGACAAGAGAGAATGCAGTGGCAGGCCACACGCTAGATGCTTGTGGGACATTGAGCTCTCTTATCAAGACTGGTAGAATGACTGTAAACCCGGAAACGAAGTATTCGGTCAAGAATTGAGACATGATGATGCTGAAGACGAACAGCACTTCATTCCAGATGGTGGTGAATGAGGAAGGCCGTTCACGACCGAGACGCTCGATCTTGGCCTCCAATGATTCTTCAGGCGTAGTTTCTGGTTGATTGGTATTGCTAGGTTGATGTGATACATTAGGTGCGGCTTGGACCTTTGAAGCGTTGCTCAGACTTCGATTCCTAGATGATACAGGAGTTATCCACGAGATATTTCCCAAGGGTTCGAGGGGGGTATCAGGAGATACAGATCGTGGCATAATTAGGCGACTTTGTGAGGATGAGCAAAGAAGTGAACATTCAAAGGTGGAAGAGTTGGAAATACTCGCAGACACTAGCCCAAAGACTTAGATGTCTCCTGGAGAGATCTAGATAGCATCATAATGGAGAAAGCGACGTCAGGGATCATATCAAAGGACGCTGGCATCGGACCATGGGAATGGAAGCAGACATGGTGCCCTCGAAACGCATGAATCCGAGCGGAGATGCGTCGGATCCGGCAGCTCCTTCCAGCTTCTGCGGCCCCATGATAGGAGGCATGTCTATCATACTTATTGGGACCTAAATTTGATACTCAAAAAAGTCAATTAGTCTTCGAGATGAGTTGGTGACAATGTGTGCTTCATTGCAGGCTTTGAAATCCATACTGAATACTCTGTATTGTCAACTCAAGGCCCAAGCTAGTGTCTTGGCTGCCCTTTGGGGGAAGGCGCCGGGGGACCAGCCGCAGACAAAAGGCGGCGTCATTAATTTTCCCAATCGAGGGTGAAGCGCAGACAGTTCAACCGCGCCTTGGCAGTGGCCGAACCTGCGTCTCGAAGTTACAAAAAATTTTGGGATTTCTAACTAGACACTTGAGACTGCGCTCGCCATTAAGACCTACGCCCTCGTAGAATATCCAGATCAGCGATATACCCTTCATCAACCTACGAAGAGCCTTTTCACAGCTTTCACAATGGGTTTCACCGACTTCGTCTCCGACAGTGGCCTCACACGTATGTTTACCAGCAGCAGCGGCCCCTCCACGAACAACTCACTGATTGATTGACTCTAGTGCTCAACAACTGGCTCCAGACTCGATCATACATCTCTGGGTATGTACCTGTCCATGTGTTTCTTCATTCTACCCTTTGCGTTCCCCGGATGAGAACAAATTGGTCCGTGTTGATGAAGCGGCTTAAGACACCGCAAAATGACTACTTCCAATCGCAAACATTTGCACCTCTGATTTTTAGCCTCGACAACCATTCGATCTTTCTGGACTACGAGAAGCTAGTGGTTACTGACTCAACGTTTCCAGATACACCCCATCCCAAGCAGATGTTGTCAGCTTCAAGGCTCTCGACAAGGCCCCTGCTGTCGAGAAATACCCCCACGCCTACCGCTGGTACAACCACGTCAAGTCATACGAGGCCGACTTCTCAACCCTGCCTGGTGACCCATCAAAGCCATTCACCACATATGGCCCCGACAAGGTCGCCCTGACCGAGAACCCCAAGAACGCCCCAGCCGATGACGATGACGACATGGATCTCTTCGGCTCAGATGACGAGGAGGAAGACCCAGAGGTTGTTGCCGAGCGTGAGCGAAGACTGGCCGAGTACAAGAAGAAGAAGGAAGGCAAGACCAAGCCTGCCGCCAAGTCCATCGTCACACTGGATGTCAAGCCGTGGGACGATGAGACCGACATGAACGAACTTGTCCAGAACGTGATTGGTATTGAAATGGATGGTCTGGTTTGGGGTGCTCACAAGCTTGAGGCTGTTGGTTTTGGTATCAAGAAGCTACAAATCAACTTGGTCATTGAAGATGAGAAAGTCTCTCTCACCGACTTGCAGGAGAAGATTGAGGAGGATGAGGACCATGTTCAGTCAACTGTAAGTTTTGACTACCGCCCACATCAGGGTCTTGTACGCTGGTGGCAGTTTTCTAACTATTTCCAGGATGTCATTGCTATGCAGAAGTTGTAAGGGAATGGCAGAAATGCCGACCATCTGGTCAGGTCACACAAGACGCTGGCAAACTGCCTCGGTCGAAGAGTGTGATCTGGTGCAGGAGTCTTGAGAATTGACGAATTCTGATGGCCTGCAAATCTAGAGAAAATGCATTGCCCTTGATCATGATAGATGAGAATGAAAACTAAATGAATGATGGGTCGATCGAGATGGGTTTCTTTTTCTTTTTGCGCTCTATGTTTCCGTCGTGCTTCGTCCGTTCTGCCACCTCCAAGATGAAGACGAAGACGTAGCCAAGCGGCCTCGTAGTCAATCGTGTACCTTGCCATTCCATACCTAGTCAAATCGTCGGTGACAGGGTTATCAGATCTGAGACATTTTCAAGCGTCATGATTTGTTGAAAGTCGATTAGATCCGGAGTGTGTCCAGCCACATACAATATTCCACTGTCGCAGTCTTACTCCGTACCTTCCTCGATCAAGATACTATAATAAGAAACAAACCTCACTTCATCTCTTTCTTTTTCAATTTTTGTTTATTAATCTGCACTCCATACAGAGGATCGACTTCTTCCCACACAGACGAGAGACGTGGTTTACCACGAATTTATAAGCATTCTCTCGCCTCCCGCATTATATTCAGCCTCATTATCCGTCGGGCCGTGGATCGATCCCTTGAGATAGCATTTTAGGCGTTCTAAAGAGGATCGAGTCATCGAAAGATACAATCTGGCCTCGACTTCCCTCAGCTAGGAGTTACAAGGGTCGATTTCGACTACGGAAGCTTGGCTGACGATATATATTGCTTGTCCAGAGCTGGGCACATCGACTTACGCTCTAGTCCAGCTTTTTTGTTCGACTCAGCTTCTTCTGACCTCAGACTTGCATACCTCGATAGTCCAAGCACTTCCTTTTTTTTTCTTTTTTTCCGAGGGTATAATTTATCTTTCGTGAACCCTGAAACTTAGACCCCGACAACGATCAGGCAGAAACGATACGGCTACAATGGCATCCAAGCTAAAGATCGACCCGCCCCTTCTCAACTCGGCCTGCCCGTGGTCCACCACCATAGAAGATATCAAGGCCCTCTACGACTGCCCCTACACTGGTGCTGTGACGATCCGGACCTCCCTTCTAGAAGGCTTCACGCACGACGATGCCGTCCATCAGTTTCTCTTTTTCACACCCGGAACGACCGTCCCCTCGGACACGGCCAAGGGTGACGCCTCTGCCCCGGCAGCATCGACAAACAACCCCCCGTCCAGCACGCTCAACACCCTCGGCTACTCGCCGTTCACGCTCTCGGAATATCTGGGCTACATCAACGAGATCGTGGGCCAACGACACCTGGGGACTGACACCCCGACCAAGAAACCCTTCATCCTCAGCGTGACCGGCACGCCGGACGAGATCGCCATGGCCTACGCCCTGATCGCCAACGCCGCCGAGATGGACGAGGACCTCCGCCTCGCCATGGAGGTCAACCTGTCGTGCCCCAACATCAAGGACGCACCGCCGCCGGCCTACGATCCCGTCCAGCTCGCCGAATACCTGGAATCCATCTCGGACTCCAAGTCGACGTACCGGGGACGCATGGCCACGCCCGAGTCGGTGCCCAAGGTCGGCGTCAAGCTCCCGCCCTACACGCACACGGCCCAGTTCGAAATGGTCGTCTCGGCCATGCGCAGGGCCCAGTCCAGCGAGCCCGGCGAAGGTTGCGTGCTGGATTTCATCACGTGCACCAACACGCTGGGCTCCTCGCTCCTTCTCGACTCCGACCTTCAGCCCGTGCTGAACAGCGAGTCCGGCACGGGCATCGGCGGCCTCGCGGGTGCCGCCCTGCACCCTCTGGCGCTGGGCAACGTCGCCACGTTCCGCAGACTCCTCGACCAGACCCCCGAGACAAAGGGCGTGGCCATCATCGGCGTGGGCGGCGTGGAAGACAAGGCCGGGGCAGAGAGGATGCACAAGGTCGGGGCCCAGGCCGTGGCGTGCGCGAGTGCGTTGGGCAGGTACGGTGTGGGCGTCTTTGAGAAGATTGCAAGGGGAGAATGATTGATCGAGGTGCAAACCCCCCACCAAGAACGGCAACAGCTTGTTATCAAAGGCCCCCGATAGCGTCATAGATCGTCTAATCGACACTAGACTCACCTCTCCAAGAGACCAAGAACGGAGTACGGGTACTCGACAGACAGTACCTGCAGGGATCCTCGGACCTTCAGAACCGACAACGAGGGACGACGACAAAACCCCCCACTGGTGACGAGGGGACCAAAGCACGCAGCATCCTTCTTAAACCCCGTAAAGGGGACTCGGGGCACACACTCGCCTGGCAAAATGACCTGAGACGCTTGAGCATGGCATAAAATAGGTGCAGAGGGTACAGAAGAGGCATGACACGATTAACTCAACATGATATCAATACGACAAGGAAACTGCATGATGATGAAAGAAATAGAGACTTTTTAATGTCGCGCTCATTAGGAAATATTCCTGATTACAGTTCTGCATTCTTTTTTGGTTCCTCACTCACAACATACACACACTGTCTCTCGCTTCTCTCTCGAAAGCTGCCTTCCTCGAGCCCTTCATCACCCAGCATGTTCTTTGTTTCTTCTATCTCCCCTTCTCTTCTCCAGCGCAGCCTCTCTGCATTGTGGTGCCAGCCCGCATGGTCAAGCATAGCACACCCAAATCAAACTTTATGAAATATTCCCCAACCACCATGCCATCTCCAACTACGTTTGTTTCAAGGATAGGAATACTTGGTTCATACCGATGTTATGAGATACTCGATATTTTTCGTCACTGAATGCACCGTCGACGAGACGACGATTTGGCAACTCGCTTGCAGCATGTGGCAAGTATTGAGAATATGCATTACACATTGATTACAATGCATAGGGGTTCATGGAGCGAATAGTCAGGCATCTGGAATTAAAGTCAGTAAAAGGTCTTGAAACCATGCAGATGACCAAAACTTACGGAGGACTCTTCGTCATATCGGTCTTCAAGATGATCGGAACCCGGGTCATCTCTCGAATATCTTGAATGTACTCGCCACCTTCTTCCCGCAGAGAAAAGTAGCTTTCGTACTTCTCCTTCTTTGGCAGATGACTCTCGGGGATGTCACCAGTAGGTTTCTTGATTCTCGAATCGGACTGGGTCCTAGCAGGTCCGTGTGCAGAAGCGCCGTTTCGTCCGGGAGATACTGGCACACTCTGGGTCGAGCGCTCATTCAAAGAGACGCCAGAAGCCATCTCGGTGATTTCCGAAGCAGAGTCTTCGTCGTCAAAAAGAGCATCGACATCGTCCGTGGACATGGTGTTGCTATCGGTCTGTTTGCGCTGAGCTTCAAATCGTTCCCGGGCACGCTCCTTGGCGGCTTCTGATGCACCATTGGTTCTGGTACTAGCATTGGCACGAGGTCTCTCGTCCTCTGGAACGTAGGCAGACGAAGGAACACCCTTCTCCCAGTACAGCTCGAGCACTCGTTCTTCTTTGCGGAACTCGGCTTTCTTCAATGGCAACTGATCACAATGCACACGTTTCTCAAAGCCGTACTCGGGGATAAGAACGTCAAATGCTGATTCATAGACGCAAATAACAATGCCATCACTGATAAGGTCACCTCCCATGTCTTTACTCTTCTTGTCCATGAGTCTGCAGGACTCGATATGGACGCTCTGTTCTTGGGCGGAATGAGCAGAGTCTTTCTTGTTGTTGCATTGCTCAGCAGTCTTGGCCAAACTTTCGAGGTCTTCGGCAAACTCGACGGCGCCATTCGACAGAGCAGATTCTAGCTGACGATGAATGACAATGTCTGCATAACGGCGAGACGGGTTGGTGAAGTGAGCGTAGATGGGCAAGTTGAGAGCATAGTGTTGGCGTTGTTCCTCCGAAAGCTGATTGCCGAGATAGTATTTGGCACGTTGGAGCGTCTTCACGAGAAGCGTCTCCATACCTTTGCGAAGATCAGGATCTTGCACCTGGAAGAGGCTATTTTGAAGAGTTCCACTGCTGCTTGTGTCGATTTCATATCCGGCCCGGGTCATGCGATCAGCAAAGGTCAAAAGACGACGGGGGTTGGGTGGAGCCTGTCGCCGAAGGAAGGCCTTTTCTGGCATAGCTGCATAGACCTTCTGTGCAACAAAGAAGTTGGCCTTGCAGCTGATCTCTTCCATGATCTCGTGAGCAGCGGAAGAATTGAAGATATTCTGTTCCACAGGAACATTCTCGTCGTCGAGCTGGTAGAGAAGTCGAAGTGGCGCGATATCAGCAGAACGATGCCCGAATCGAGCTTCACGGAATTTGTTGGCAATGCTATGGAGGGTCTTGATGTCTGCAGCCGTAGCGCCTTGCAGGTCGATGTTTTCGCTTCCTTTAATAACGGCGTCAACCTCGTCGTACGCGAGCTTGCCAGAGCTTTGGATGATTGTCTTTCCAATCCAAGGCTCCCCTTCGATCTTGCCAGTGTCAGGATGGACCTTGAAGATAACACTGACAGTGAGACGGCCTTGGCCTGGGGACAGCGAGCAGACTTCGGAGGAAAGCTTGGGTGGAAGCATATTGACAGAGCGGGTCATCAAATAAACGCCTGTTCCCCGTTTCTTTGCCTCTCGGTCAACAAGAGAGTTTGCCTTGACAAAGTGAGCAATGTCGGCGACATGGACACCGACCTCCACCAATCCATTATCGAGCTTCTTGATATGAAGAGCATCATCAAGTTCACTCGAATGCATCGGATCGATCGTGAAAGTACGTTCCTTGGTCAGGTCGAGTCTGTTGGACAAATTTTCCTCACTCTCAGTCTTGAGAGACCAGTCTTCCCAGCCGACGCTCTTCAGCACAGCGTCAGAGAACTCATCAGCGCCAAAATTGTTATCGCGCAGGAGTGCATCAGTTTCGACGCGCAGATCTCCCATTTCACCCAGCTGTTCAACGAGAGTGCCGAACGGGTGAAGGGAAGTGATGGGCCACCGTTTGATGCAAGCAACAAAGATTCTGTTCGCGTAATCCATGTGCTTGTCAACAAAATCCCTTGGTGCTTGTTCGGTAGGGATGGCAATGAGAGGGACACGTTTGTCAGTCGGTTTGAACCAGACGATCTTCGGCTTTTCTTGTTGGCGCGACTCGGAACGGTTGTGACTACCATCACGTGCCTGACGTTCAGCCTCCTGCTTCTCTTTGGTGGCTTGGCTGCTTGGTCGAAGGAGACCAAGAGTACCTGAAAACATCTGCCCTGCAACACGTTCGATGACGGCAACGACATGGCCCGCATAAAGTGGCTTCTGTTCGTCACTAATCTCCTCCTCCTCCATGAGGAGCAGGCTCTGACCTTCGACCTCAACATCGTCATTCTTCTTTTGTGTCGGACGCTGTCGCAGGCTACCACGTCGCCGGATGCTACCATCTGGAGCAATTGACTGAGTCTCGGTGGATGATGAGGTTTCGTTCTTACCGTTCTGGGCGTTGCTTGAAGAGCGAGTATCCGTTATGTCCTTGCGCTTCTTTTTTTCCTCCTTCTCTCGTTTTTGACCCCAAACCTCGTCCACGTCGAGGAGCTCGATGGCCACGAGATCACCCTCCAGAGCACGATTGCGGTCTTTGCTTCCACAAATGAAGATATCAGCGTCAAGATCGCTGGTGGTGACGTACGCATCCGAACGGTTCTTCTTGTTCACACGAAGAATACCAGCAACGAGCTGGCCATCATTGAGCAAGGCAGGGAGACTTGCTTGAGGAAGATAGGGGGTGAAGAGAGTTTTGCGTTGTTGTTGCTGCTGCTGCAAACCCATGGGTGGAGCATGTTGGCTTGCTTGAAGTCCGCCAAGCTGAGCGTTCTGCATCGCTTGCAGCTGCGCCATTTGAAGAGCGTTCAGTTGTTGACCAGCAAACATCTGTGGTGCCATCATCATCTGGCCCTGAGGAAGTTGCATGAGCTGTGGCTGTCCGGGATATTGAAATCCGCTCATGGAACCGACTGATTGATTCATCGAGCCACGGCCTGCTCTGTGACCAGGTTGGAAGCCTCCGGCACTAGCATTCATACCCTGAGATTGACTGAACTGTCCCATCTGCTGCTGGCCCTGCTCGTTCTGTTGGTTATTCTGCTGACGCCAATTGCCCTCGAAATTTCGAGATCCTGTACGGCCGTGGCCACTCTGACTGCCACGACGCTGAAGGTCGGATTGATTTGTTTGCGTGGCACCACCATCATTGTTAGGCATAGGTGGGGGAAATTGGAAGCCACCACGGCCAGCAGCACCACCTCCTCGGGCGCTGCCAGCTGCCAAACTCTGACTGCGGTTATGGCCACTGACTCGGGCGTTACCAGCACGCTGCAAGCCTAGACCGTGGCCAGTGGAAGGCGTAGACTGTTTGTCGTCTGAAGGAGTAGCGGCTACCGGGCTGTCGGAGACACCACCTGCTCCTGGGATAGGGAACTGGAACCCGGCCGCAGTTCTCTTCTTCTCCGCCAATTCAGCCGCCTTCTTTGCCTCTGGAAGGGCCAGAGAGTGACGACGGGCATGACCTTGTGACCCTCCACCTCTTCCACGACCAGCAGCATTTTCTCGATTTTGGTTCATGGCTTGCTGATTGAAATCACCATAGGTTGAGCCAGCTGTACCGGATGAGGGTGCTGGAGGCGGGCCCATGGCCATACCCGGAAGAGCGGACTGATTCCTCCGATGGGCAGCAGGCTGAGTAGGAGGATTGGATTGCATTCCCATTTGCTGTTGCATTTGAGGAAACTGAAAGTTGGTATTGTTCGGTGACATCCCAGCCATATTCGGCTGGCCCTGAATTGGCGAGTAACCAGGCATATTTTGCAGCGGCTGCTGGATCATCCCCATGTTCACATACTGCTGATGAGTGGCAGCGATCTGTTGCTGTTGCTGTTGTAGCATTTCAATTTGTTGCTGAAGAGCCAGCTGTTCCATCATGAGCGGAGTGAGTTCGGAGGGACTGCGACGATGGGCAATGTGCAATCTGCGTCCGGCAGGGCCAGGAACGCCTGTAGGGTTTTGCTGTGCCATGTTTGTGATATTTGACCAAAGTGATTGCTAGAGTCTTCGCAATGTCTGGTGTGGGTTCGGTGGCAGATTTGGAATCAACCCGGGGGTGAGGAGGATGGACGAAAGCAGCGAGGCAGGTCAGGGATTGAATGCAAGGAGGGTTTGTCCGCTCCGAACTGGAAGAGACTGTTAGCACACTGGTGATACTGAGGGGAGGGGAAAATAGGATAAGCTTGGTGCAATGTGCATTGACTGAAATGCACCTAATCGTGGGGTTCATCCTAATGCGGGTGACAGACTCGAGGCTGAATTGACATAAGGTTCGCAGATTCAACGTACCAAAGATTGAAAGACTTGAATTATGGTATTGATGCAAGACAGTGTTTGCAGGTAGTCAAGGCGCTGAGATGGTTGTACAAAAGATGCTCAGAAATTTATCGCTCAAGTGTGTCGATGAGAGGGACTGCGGCCAAGGTGACGGTTGGAAGACCACTCCGGCAGCACGGAGACGGAATTCAAGCAGCACCGAGGTAGTAGCGTTGAGCTGAAAGGCAGTCGCAAGGTAGAATCAGAAGATGGTGAATTTGTGATGGTCTTGACTGAAACAATGATTGCGAAGTGCGACTGCGGCTGTGGGCTGATCTCTCGATGACGATGTAAGACTGGGTGAGGGAAGGACAGGAAGCGGAATAGCTGGCAGCGGACACGGGCGATGGGAGTCGACGCACAAGAGAGTGACTCTGGCTGTTTGCTGGAAGGATTGTCTTGCGGAGAAGCAAAGGATCGAGGTGTAGAGAGTGAGAGGGTGATGCTAAGGAGGAAGTGGGATGAATGAAGAGGAAAAGCAGAGAGCGAGATGGGAAGAAGTTTTGGTGGTGTTGACTGCGATCTTTTGAGGGTCGAGTGTGGTAGATACTTTCTAGTGATACGCAATGATGCCAGTGACAGTGGAGGGTTCATGAAGCCTGGTCTCAGTTTGCAGGGGGAGATGGGGATATCGTGGCCTAACTTAGAAGCCTTAATCCACCTAGTCGGTGCCTAGCATGTGCCTAGTATGTCCCCTCGAAGCCTGCAAAAGAGCCTCCAGCCTACCAACAACTGCCTGCAGCCTCTCCTTCGCTACCCGTCGTGCCGCCCACTACGCCGCCCGCTAAGCCCTTAAAGTGATTTGGCCCCCTCTTTAGCACGGTCCAGTCCTCCACCACCAGTTTGCCATCATCTGTGAAAATGCAATACGGGAGGCTTGCGGGAGATGTGCAACAACCGAATGCCATTGTTCTGGTAGTACGGCGTGGATTTTAAATGAACAGTACTGTATGGTGTACACATGTAGAGCACGAGAATGTGACCTGTTTCTCTTACGGACCAACTTGATGTGTGTTTATTACTGACCACACGAACCTTGATCGGCCGTCGTCCTTTCCCCTTGATGTTTGGCAAATGATATTCGCATCAAACCCTGACATACAACCCACTGTACTCTACCTACAAATGTGTCTCGTGAGTTTGATAAGTCCTCAAACAGGGGAAGCAATGTGTTCTCGTATCGATACCTTTCTGGGTATTCGAGCTGTGAAGGCCGTCGACGGTCGAGGTTGATGCCAAGAAAGCAGGAGGCGGGCGGATGCGGTGCCGCGACTCCTCACATTCTGCTTCTCTCCATCTCCAATTCCTCTCCCTCTCATGGTCGGTTTCCGTCAAGGTCGCTCTCTCACACACACTTGTCGCTGTGCGCAACTGTAGACACAACTTGCCACCCACGATTCGCTAACGCTTCGACACGAAACGCCTCGACTATCGACCGCCTGTGTTGTTTCTCCGCAGCCCTGAAACAAATTGCTCGGGCTTGCACTGTATCTTCTCAGCTCTAGAACCGCCTCTGTCGCTCTTGATTCCTTTCGACGCGCCACACGACACTGTTCATCACATTCGTCACCTTCACCATTCTTTGGCACTAGGTTTCGAATTTAGTTACAGAAATCGAGCGCATTTCTTGGCTTTTTCAACTACACGTTCTTTGTTCCCTTTGTTCATTCTAGGGTTTCGATCTGCGACTTTCATTTAGTCATACGGGTATTCCTTGACACCTGGCCGGGTGCAGTTACGAAATCGAGAGAGCGCTTTCTATCAATCGCCCCCAAGCCGGCCCTAGTTTCTCGAGCAATTGTCGGATCACAACGCGTCTCTGTAAGGTCTGTTGAGGTCACTTAGCCGCTGGCAACCCTGATGGCTACCTTCAACTGAGCTCCATTGTCTGGATATTGGCTAGTGTGGTCGAGATCTGGAGCTCTGGAATTCTGATTCCTGCACCGCTGAAGTCTTTCCCGCAACAAGTCCGCGAGGGTCTTCAGCAGCATCACGTGACGTCCATCCGGATGGCTCAAACAAAACTTCACTCATCGCCCTTTTCGGCCAGAAATAGCCCGCGCAATAGAAGACTGGACGAAAGTCCATCAAGACAATTACAATTTGAACTAGAACGGACTTTTAGCCAAATTCAATTGCAAGAATGTGAGCGCCAAAAGGTTTACGTCTATCAACGACGTCAGCAACAAGAGGAACTAGATGCGAAAGAGCTTGCACAAGCCGAGGCGCACCGCACGGAGTTGAGTCTGGCAAATGCCCAACATGAGGTTGTGCGGTTACAGGCTGAGGCGGTTCTTCACGCGTATCTGAAAAAGGAAGAGGAGGACAGAAGACGTCGTGAAGAAGAACGCAAGCGGCGGGAAGAGGAGGAGCGAAAACGACGCGAGTCCGAAGAGGCTCAGAGACGCGCAGAGCAGGAGCGCAAAGCTCTCGAGGAAAGGGAGCGTAAGGAGCAAGAAGAGCGAGCCAAAGCTGAAGCTCAGCGACAGGCTCTACTCGAAAAACAAAAGGCCGAGGCTGAGGAGCAACGGCGAAAAGAGAAAGAAGCAGAAGAGCGCAAGCAGCAGGAAGAAAAGGCCAGGGCTCATCAAGAAGCAGCACTGAAGCAGCAAGAGGCTGAAAAGGCTGCTGCTGCTAATGCCGCGGCCGCTAAGGTTCAAACCACCGCACCAACATCTGCTCAAATTCCTGCAGGCAGAGCCCCCACAAATATAGAAACGATACATCAGAATTATCTGGCGATCCACAAGAAGCTAAAAACATTCCGAAAGCAATTCACGGAGAATGTCAAGAAAGATCCAACTCTGAAACCACATGTGGGCGATATGAGACGAGCCATGAGAACTAGTGTTGGACAACTCACAGACGACAAGGTTGGTAACCGGAAAGCAGTAAGTTGACGTAATTATGGCATAGATTGCTCCATCACTGATGTCGCATACAGCATGATCGTGTTCGAATTACACTACAGAAAGCCTTGAAAGAGCTGCCCTCACCTTTGGTTCCAGTCAATGACTATGTCCCTTCCCATCTATCACTGAACGACAACGGTGCCACGACGATCCCATCGTTGGCTCTCTACTTGCTTTCAGTCTTTAGCAAGGCCATCATCAACGCTTTCGTGGGAGAATGTGCTGTCAATCCCAAAGCTGCCGAGCCGATCGGTACATTGGTCGCTCAGATATTCTCCATGGCAGAATTGCAGTTCCCAAGGAATCTGCAAGTATCCAACGGCGCATCAAACATGCCACCGAGTGAATCACTCATATCAATCCTCATGTGCAAATTCCATGCCTCGGCTCCTATCTTGTTCGGTATCTATGGACCAGAAACCACAAACGCGGGCAAGCTGAGGCTTGGTTGGCGCCTGGACAATGTGTCGGACGACAAAAAGGCTTTTGTTACTGAAAACAAGCATTACGACCGTCAAACCGGTCTCGGGGTTGGGTACGCCTCGATAGCTCTACGAAATTTCTCTCGAGCCAAGATGTCTAACCCTTGGCCACCCACGCACTTCTGGTCCAGCCTCGCGCTTATCGTCAACACGCCGCCTTCAGAAGTTCAGATTAGTCATCTGACTCTTTTGAAGAACATGCTCGAGAATAATGCGGTGGAACGGTTTGTCCTCTTCTTTGGAGCGGCTGGAGTGGCGGCTTTGCGTCAGGCGGTCGTCGAGTTTCCTCGAAAGTTGTCGAGAGAGTTGCAGGAGAAACCAATTACAAAAGCAATGGCGTTGATGGTAGAGGCTTGGGCAACAGAAAAACATTTCAGATTGGATTAAACTTGGGTCATGATATTGTGACTACAATGGTACAAGCATGGTCCGGAGTGCACGGTTTTTCTTTTCCAAGTTTGAGCCGCCGAGAACATTTATTTCTCAGTGTTCGTTGCAAGAATGGACGGATGAATGAACTGACGCCATCTGCAAATATATGGCCTATATGAATACGATTACTCCGTATGACCTTTCCGTTCACCCTACAACCAGCTTGTTTCGGTTCTCCGCCGGACGTCTGACTTGAGACATTCGTCTTCCTTCTGATTTGAGACCAGCTTGAATTTCAGCAGAGGTGTATTTGTGTTTGATTTTGAGACATTTCTTGCTTTTCTGTCGCTCACGCTCACTCACTCCGTCTCCCTCAACGGCGCCTCTTTGTCAAAGGGCCAGGACTGCGGGATCTTGGTGGCGATCCACCTCGCGATCGCGGCATTGACCTGCTCGGGCTGTTCCATGGCGACCCAGTGGCCCGCCTCCTCGATCCGGACCTCCATGTGTTTCCGACAGAAACTCTCCATCGGTTCTTTAATTTTGGAGTTGTACGTTCCCACGACGTGGTCCTGCCTCGCGTCGACGAACAGCGTCGGCACGCTCACGACTCCCTCGTTGACGGACCAGTCGTCGGCCCAGACCTTGTTGGCGGCGTGGTTCATGTACCACGCCGTCGGACCCCAGAAGCCTCCCTTTGTGTATGCATCGACCATGTCCGCCAACATCTCTTCGTCCAGCAACGACTCCGCAATGTCGGTTTCTGGGGCTTTTGCGGCACCGCCGAACAGACCGCCATCTCTGGTCACGGTACTCGTAGGCGCGCGGTGACCCTTGCTTTTTCCAGTTTCGTCCTTGTCGTCCTCCTCGATCCGCGTATCGCCGTGCTTGACTGCTGGACGAATCATTGCTTTCAAAAAGTTCCCGACGTCCGCTTCGCACAGTTTTATGGCCTTTTCAAAGTTGGCCCCATCATCCGCCTCGCACCACTTTTGATAGTCCCATTGGGCATTGGGGAATTCCTCCTCTGGGTACAAGTCCCGGTTGGCGTACTTGATGAGCTCGTCGACACCCATCTCGAGCGTGCGGTACGGCAGGCACATGTTGACCACCCCGCGGCATGCTTCCGGGTTGTGGGCGAGCAAGGCCCAGACCAGACCCGCACCCCAGTCGTGGCCGACCCAGACGGCGTCTTCGCGGCCCAGCCCCCTTTTCAAAAACAACAACATGACGTTGACGAGGGACTGCATCGAGTAGTCTTCCTTGTTTCGCGTGATTGTCGAGGCCCCATAACCCGGCATGTCCGGAGCGACGACTCTGAACCCTAGACCGGCAAAGGTCGAGAGTTGTGGACGCCATGTAACGGAAAGTGATGGCCAGCCGTGGACGAAGATCAAGAGTGGTCCATCTTCTGGACCAGACGACAGGTAAGAGATGGTCTTGAACGGGGACCGAGCCGTGTCGTGGGTGAATTCGTGACGGGTGATTTTGTTCGACCAGGAGGGGGTGGCCATGGTCCAGCACTAGTACGAGCAAAATGAGGATGGCGTACTCATCAAGTAAGGGAAAGGCTGTATATTCTTACTTCATCGAGAAGTAGAATGTGTGTTTTTGATGGGCCGGTGGTCTGGAATAGGGAGAATGATCTTTCTCCAAAGAGTGGACGTGGACATTGCGAGTATTTATGTCCAATCCACTCATAGGCCTCGTTTTGTGTCAAATGCAACATATTTTATCATTCCGTTTAGTTGTCTTCGTCCTCGTCCAGCGAGAGGGGAGAGAGGGGGCTCTCTGCATGAAGTAAAAGTCGGAAGAGTGGAAGTGCCGCCAGACACTAAGGGAAACCCCGCTCCATAGAATAAAAGAGCACAGAGGAATAGTAATCGTAAGCACGATGCTCGCAACATGTCACATCTTACGGACTAGAGTAGTCTGGGTTCGAGGGAGAATCAACATTAGGTTTTCAGAAATACTTTACGATTCAGTGTTTCCACTGCCTTGAGACTGACGATGAAAAGTTGTGGTGTTTGTGACGAGGCTGTTGAGTTGATTCTAAATAATATACGGACGAATTGGATGTCCACTCATATCTGCTCATATCTACACCGAGAACGCAATTGATATCCACCCAAACCTCGTCTATGGCAATGAATCATGCCCAAGAGCCATCAACTTGTGATTGTACCGCCTCACAGTCTTGGTTCCATCCCTTTCTCCAAAGATCCGTCTCCATCGATCAGGTTCATCGACCTTGGCAAGCCCGCTTTGAGTACCACTAAACACCATCACTCGTTGGTTCTCCTTGTACGTCTCCCACGGCTGCTTGCTATATGTAAAGTCCAAGACGGCTTCGTTGAACTTGTCGACCGTCGCTCTGACATCTTCTGCTGCACCGGGTCCGGCGAGTGACGGATACCTACAAAAGAAGGCGTTGTCGAGAGAGTGGAAGGCAAACCCGTAAAATGGGCTCTTTGGGAACGGATCTGGCTGATCGAACCTGTAGAGACTGACGGGGGGAGACGACGTGCTTGATTGCTCGGCGACAATGTAAGGGAGTCCTGAGAAGTTCGTGTCGGTCACGATGTCAATCAAGCCCTTCAAGTTGGCTTCAGCAGACGAGTCTGGGTCGATACCATATGCCTTCATCAACGCAGTTGCGTCATTCTGGTCTTGCACGACCGCTGTCACTCTCTCCTTGTACTGCTCGGGTTTCCACGCTCGCCAACCCATACCGATACCGAAAACGGCCGCTTCATGTTTCGTCGAGCCCACCACCACGCCCTTCACCCACGGACCCAGAGGGGCTGGCCCTGCGGTAGGGGTCGTGCCATCTTGAAAAACAAACCATTCCGGATCCCAATGTGGGGTCGAGAAGGAGTGTCCGATGAGCTTGAGGATATCGTCGGACGACAATGCTCTCAACGCCGCTAGCTTTTCATCGGTGGAGGCGGTGCTGGAGACAGCCGCGCTGTTAACGAGCTTGTCAAAAGTCGCTTGTGACTCCTCTGGACGAGGATAGTCGAGGTTGGGACTTGACATGATCATTCCTCGTTGACAAACCGGGACATCTGATCGAAGGTGAGCAAGAACGGACAGCCCTCCAGCAGATTCGCCGGCGATGGTCACATTGGATGCATCACCGCCGAATGAAGATATGTGCTTTTGCACCTGTCAAATTGATGTTAGCACGAGGAGGATGCATTATGGGGAAATCCGCTAATCACATACCCAGAGTAATGCCAGCCTCTGGTCGTAAAAAGCCATATTCGCATAAGGCTTCTCTCCATCCTTTGCTGCTTCGTCTTTCAACTCTTTGGAAGTCAAGAACCCGAAATATCCCAGTCGGTAATTCAGCGAAACGTACACAACCGGTTTACCAATGTTGACTGCGTGTTGGACCAGGTTGTTGCCATCAAACTCCCAACCTCCATCTCCGAAGACGAACCCTCCACCATGTATCCACACCAGGACAGGCAACGATTTTGATTGAGGCGCTGTCGGAGTGAAGACATTGAGTCGGAGACAACCAAATTCATCATCAGGCACTTCTACCTTTTGCACTCCTTTGTACAATGGCAGGTCTTTGGGTCTGGGATTCTGTGGACATCTTGGGCCGTAACGTGTTGCGTCCAGGGCGCCAGTCTGATTCGGGTGATCGATTGGCTTTGACTGTCGAAATCTAGCTGGAATAGTAGCATACTGGATACCGAGATAGTTTGAAACTTGTGTCCTTTCATTGACGAACCCCTTGACTTCGAGATCTCCAAGCCGAGTCGAGGTGGAGCGAGATTGGTCCGAGGTGCTGCCCATTGTTGAATGAGGTCGAGTTGTTCTCGAGTGAATCGCGCTGAATAAAAGTCCTTACGGGTTCACACAAAGTGAGCCGCATTTAACAGATTTATAATTTGGCTGTTGGTCAACGCCACGCCCCAGCAAGATGGCCGACTCGGCACTTCTGTGTGAGAGTAGCCGGCAAACGACAGAAGTTCTGGAGTGGATGATCTGTAGATTGCGGGTAAAAAAGCCCCGCTTCCCCAAGCATGGGGTTCGATTTGGGAGGAAAACGATCTCACAAAGGCAGCAAAAGGAGATTTGGCCCAATGGAAGTTGCGAGGGAATATTTGAGGACGATATGTAAGAAGCTTACCACTTAATTCATAATCCGGGTTAGTTGTAGGACAATATCCAAAGGCTGGCGAAGTGAAGACTTCTGGGGAGTGACTTCTTCAGAGCTCGCCCATGATATGAAATCGACGGCCTTTGTGGACTAGAACACTCTGTTTGGCTTGGTTCTAGCTTTCTGAGAAATCTATGACCCTTTTCTCCCACCTGAGAGGGTTTCAAAAGAACAGGCTCAGGTAATTAACAACGAACAGGATAAGCGAACACTGGAGAAACCACAATTACGCGGGAAGGGTTTTCCTGGTCGACAGTAATGTCAGTACGTTGAAGCATTGAAGAATTAATGCTGAATTCAGCACATCCAACCATCTCGGCATCAGCTCGACTACACGTACTCTACAAATACACCCAATTCCCCATTTGTGGACATTAACAAGGACTCAAGTCTTGCTCTTAAGCGGACTCAAGTCTTGCTCTTAAGCGGCTGTTTGATGCTCAAACCTATGCGGATAGGGCGGACTTTCTTCGGCAAGATTCCATACATGAGGGACAGTGGGCTCTTTCCTTCCTCCATTCCACCAAATACCAACAAAATACTTCTGCCTGATCACCACCAAAAGCTACATTAAGCAAAAGCCCCTCGCTTCAATAGACATACGATTTTGCCTCATCTTTGCACTCCACCAAGCATCTGACAGGCATAAGGCGTTTGTAACGACCTCACGACCAAGTCGCGATTCCTCAGAGATATCTTCGTATCACAATGAACCAGACTTCCAGAGCATATACCTTGCTGGTCTTTCTAAGCCTGATAAGCATTATTGCTGCCGGATGTAGCTATCAAGCCCCAGCCTTTCCATTACCAGACTACGACAATGTACCTCCACAACTCCTCGAAGCCTTTACCAAGATCGAGGCAGCACTTCAAGACACGCTCTCCGATCCAAAGTTCAACACCTCATCATACTCAATCGAAGTAACCTCCTCCCACAAAACACTATGGACTAGCTTCCACACTGCCCAATACAGGAACGAGGATCGACCTGGAGCAAAGCACATTACAGGCGACAGTGCCTACCGCATCGCGAGCATCACCAAGGTCTTTACGGTTCTCGGCATCCTCAAGCAAAGCGAGGCTGGGAATTTAAGCCTCGACGACCCCGTGGATAAATACCTCACAGACCTGCAACAGACCCAGACAGGGTCCATCAAATGGAAAGACATCACATTACGGTCTTTGGCTAGCCAACTCAGCGGCATTCCGCGAGACTGGGCCCAAGGGGATCTGAGTCTGGAACCAAACATTCCCTCAGCATTGGGCCTGCCTCCTGCTACATCTTCTAATCTCCCCCACTGTGACTCCTACGCAGACTTCCGACCATGTACCGAAACTGAATTGATAGACTACGTACGCTCCAGCGCTCCCGTTTTCTCACCAAATCATAAATCCACGTACTCCAACATCGCATTTGAGCTGCTGGGAATGGTCATCGCCAATGTCACGGGCACAACATACGAAGAGTATATCGAAACAGCCATCTTAGCACCGTTGGATATGAGTGGGACCAGTTTTGCGAAACCACCGGACTCGCGCGCCGTCCTGCCAAAGAATGAGAGCTGGTACTGGGACGTCGAGGCCGGTGTGCAGAACCCTACAGGTGGATTATACGCTTCCTCGTCCGACATGTCGATGTTTTTAAGATACGTCTTGACCCACTATGGCTCTGTCACGCCCACAGTGAACTGGCTGCATCCCGCATCGTTCACCTCGGGCATGTCTTCCTTCTATGGTATGCCATGGGAGATATTTCGAACCAATAAAATCCTTGCAAACACACGCGACCCAGCCGACACTGGCACAACCCGCACCGCCACATTCTACACCAAAGGAGGCGGCTTACCAGGGTACATCACCAATATCCTCGTCGTGCCTGAATATGATCTTGGAATAACGATTCTTACGGGCGGCGGCACAGCGTTACTTCCCCAGCTACGCGAAAAGGTGACTGTGCCTCTTATTCAGGCTGCTGACAACATCGTTCAAAGCCAGGTTGAGCATTCTTACGCCGGAAGATACGTGGTGTCAGATTCGTCACGCCTGAACTCCTCATTTGAGCTCATATACACCCCCGACCGAGGTCTGCAGATCGACAGCTGGATATCAAACGGCACTGACGTCCTAGCTGCTTTACCTGTCACGTTTCACGTCTCGCCTACTCTCTTCCGCTTGCAGCTTGTACCGACGTTCCAACATCGCGGACAGAGCAACAATAATGCGAATGGAGATGCATCTGCCGAATTCTGGAGGTTTACTCCCGCCATGAATGCCACAGAAGGTAATAATGACGAAGGTGAGATCTGGTCAAATTTCTGCTCCAGTGATATCGATTGGATGATTTATGACGGTAACCCGTTCAACGAGATCACATTCAGGAATAAAGACCGCAGTGGACGTTACAACACTGTGGAAATAACGGCGTACAAGATCTCGTTAACACGATCGACGATCGACGAGTCCATTAAAACGAAACTTGAGGGTAAAACCCTGATGGTTCAAGATCTCTAGATGGGCATGTATTCGGAAAACGGCTCTAGTCAATGAAGTGGCACATCATGATTGTACACTGTAAAAGTCAGCGTGACGCGCATTTCACTGTGGCACTTCCTGTAAGATTACAGCTACTGGAAACAGCAGCATCTTCGATTTCGTGAAACCATCTATTGGCTTCAATGTCTCATGGCAATGTTACAAGTTGAAAAATTGACCATAGCATCAGTATGTGCTTGACACATCCTGTTTGAGCTCAGATACTTCACTGTGCATGTCTGACACATGATATCACTCTCTGCACGATCTCCGGGCACTCCAAGCACCTTCCAACCATCTTCACTGATCAACCAATGACCGATCGACTCATTCACCAAGATGAAAGTGAGAAGTACGATGAGAGCAGCTCTGCTCCCAATCCTGTCTCTGGCAACTACTTCTCATCATCAACAAGTAATTCTAGTGACTTCATCACTGCAGCAACCAGTCTTCCATCACGAAGAGCTTCGTAGATTATCGAGATGTACGATCCAATCGTCTTTTCCGTACGACCGATGATGAGTCCCTCCGAATCTTCCTGAAGATCTCGATAGAACGGCACCTGCAACTCCTCCCTAACGAAGCGATAGAGTGCTGCCGTTCCTCGACCTAAGAGGGCAAGGGTGTCGGGGGATTTCGTGAAGCCTCCACGATGCTTTATGAACGAAGCATACATGCTCTCCTGAAGGTTGTCTTGAAATATCACGATGTCGTCAACTGGCAATTGGCCTGGAGTTGGTGAATTGTATTCGTGTGTCATCAAGTGGCCTATCACACATTCCACCGCTGCGGCGGCCATGGCGGATGCTCGATCTTTAGTGTCGGACTTGGCGCTGGCATACCAGGCATCGGTGATCTTGTCCCACATAGTTGGATACATGTCATCCACGTCTTCCAGAGAGATTGTGTTTGTTTCGAGGTCCACAAGGGATTCCTGGACAATGTCCTTGATCCAATCCTCATTCAAATCTAGCCAACGTTGATTCAAGACTCTGAGATCAACTCCTTGAAGTCCGACGAAGATGGCCGAGGCTGTCATCAACGACACCAACTCGACACTCTGCATTGTGTACCGTGCAGAAATCAAAGCCAACGAGTTGATGGCCTGATTGTGCATCTCGGCAGTCTGCACGTGCGAACTGACTGGGTTTGTCAAGAACTCCAGCTCGGACTGGTACGCTGCCATGTTGATGTCAACCCCCTTGAGGCAGTACGAGAGACTGGGATCATCGGGACTCAGGTTGGGAGGCAATCCATTGTTCAGCATAGGGTTCAATAACTCAGTGGTCTGCGCAAACAGCATCTTGCCAATCATCTGCAAGCAGAGGCGGGTTTTCTCGGCGGCCATGGTGACTGACGTGGCTTGAAAGTTGGCTCCGCAATGGACGTCTCGGGTATCACAGTTGATGAGAGGATTGTCCGTGGTCGAGTTGAGTTCACGCACCAGCTGTTCTGTTGCATGAATGAGATCTTCCAATTGTGGACCAATCCATTGTGGCGAGCTCCGGATGGCATAGCGATCTTGGACGAGACCTGCTTGTTTCCGGTCAATGCGGTCTCCAAGCCCGGCAACAAGCTTTGAACCCTCAAGGAGCTTCCTCATGTTCCTGGATACCTCAGTTTGACCTGGATGTGGGCGAACCTTTGCAATGAAAGGATGCGTCCATTCAACATTGGCGGCAAGTGCTTCAGATGTCAAGCAGCTGATCAACTGCGAGAGAACAGCCAGCTGGTTTGCCTCCCACATGGCCAATGAAGCCACTGTTGCCGAAGGCGCGGTGCCGTTCACCAAGGCAAGTCCTTCTTTTGGACCAAGTGTGATGGGAAGATAGGGATCCTCGTGCGGGTCAGCGCGTTCATCCATGTTCTGGAGGTGTATTTCTTGAAAGGCCTCTTGGGAATTGAAGATTTTCACCTCCTTTCCATGTCCACTGCGCACCCAAAGGTCGGGATTTCCCTGCAGGACTCCGGCAATGTACGACAATGGCATCAGATCACCCGAGGCTGAGATCGATCCTCTCAAGGGCACAATCGGTGTCATATTTTTGCGGAGGAATTCCATCATGGTGTCAATGGTCTTCCAGTTGACTGCACTGTGTCCTCTGAGATTGGTGTTGCATCTTACGAGCATGGAACCTTTCACCCAGCTTGTCGGCATTGAGTGCGGATTGGTGTTCCTGTCTCCGTCGGGATATGCCTTGAGATCATCTTTGGTCATGATGGCGGTATGTTGGTGTTGGGTCAGTGCACGTTGAAGGTCAACGAAGTCCCCAGTTCTCAAGTCGGCATTTCCTCCAAAACCAGTATTGACGCCTGGCACGATGTCAGCATTACTTCCATGACAAGAGGTCAAACACACCATAGATCATGTTTCCGGCTCGAAGATTCTCTTGAAGGATGGCTTGGCCTTCCGCTAGAAGCTTGCGAACCTCTGTGCCCAATTCGATGCGTGGGAAGCAATTGTACCTGGGAGGCCACGTCAGCATTTCTCATGCGTTTCGAGCCGAATATCTTACACTGCAACTGCAACGATCGTTGCGATGTCCAAGTTGTGACCATTGATCTTAGTGACTTCATGTCCAGTCGAGTTCTGGATCTTTTCCCATGTGCGAAAAGTCAATGTGAGGTGCGGTGAGCGTGACGACTTGCCCTCCATAGGATGGCTGGATAGAGGCTGATCGGTGTCCATCGCGCTATCGAGCCACGATGAGATCATCTCGCGGGAGGTCATGTTTACGATGTGGTAGCTCTCACAATGTCGCGAATTGAGATGAACGCGAAGAGGTTGGTGGTAAGTTCTCTCTCTCTCTCTCTCGCAAGTCAAACAGGTCGTTGTGCGCACAATGACCCTCAATCTCTGGGATGCTCGCCTTGGCGGTTTCTGGTTGAGCAGCACTTCACTGACTCAAAGTCAATGTGAGATGTGTGTGAGACACTGCTCAGCGGGTTTGCTGCTGTTTGCTGAACCTGTCTCGTGTCTTAGCAAGCAACTTGTTCGAATATGCCCAGAACAAACACTAACTTGCCATCTCTGCTCCTCTCACTAGATCGTCTACCTGTGGTCAAGGGATTGTTTGCGACAGGGAAACAAGACAAAGGAGGAAGCTCAGGACTGAATTCACGCTGCCTGATTCAGGAGGCAATCTTGGCCGAGCCTGTAACTGTTGACGTTTACCAGCGATCAAAAGTCTGTCGACAATGGCAATTGTGTGACAACTACAGGTATCAAGCTTCCAAGCCTCACAAGAAGCTCCCTTGTCAGATCGTAGTCCGACTGGCCACCCAGTCCACAGTCCTGCGCTCACGAGGCTGACGAGGCTGCGACTTTCACCGGAGACTGAACCGTGGGATTTTAAGCCCTACGAATGGACCTCCAAATGAATCATATACATAAAACACCTGCATCAATCCTCTGTCATCCCTAAAACTTTGATTGACTTATCCTGTCCCTCCCACCAACATCGATCTCCCCGTCCCAAGTGGTAGTGCTTCCTCATATACTTCTGCATAACGCTCATCTTCCCATCTTGGGCATGTCGCGTCAGAAATTGATTCACAACCTCAAATACCTCACTCCTCAGCAACTTGGCCGCACCAAGCAAGCCGACAGGCTCTTCATCGAGTATCGTCACGTGCCTCTTCCCGTACCAAAAAAGGAGCATATGACAAACAACCACTACCGCCATGGCTCCAATAAAAACATACGCAACTGTTGAGGCGACAAACAATCGGTCTTTCTGAATTGCGAGGGTGCCAGTACCACTGTCCGGTATTGTAGGTGTCGACAATAGCACGCTACTCGTCATCGATACGAATATGGTGGCGAACACAGCTTGCATGCTCTCGAGGATGTCTGAAGCGCCCGGCGAGGTCTGTGCAGAGCGTTGCTGCGCAGCACTATAGATCGTGTATCCGACTGAGTCGGCAAACGCGCCGTTAGCTGGGTTGAAAATAGTGTAGTCGGTCAAGGCTTGCTCGAACGAAAGCTGGACGTCCGGATTAATCTGCGTCTCGGAGTGTCCCGTGAAGCCAACATACGTCGGATCGGAAGTTGTATTGCCACCATTGCTGTAGGACATGGTCAACGACCCATTTGTTTGCCAATAGGTCGGAACACAACAGGTCACGCTAAAGTCTTTCAATCTGGTGGCCGAGGAGGCCGAGTACTGCCCTACGAAGAGCCCGAAGCGACCCGTCACCGAGCTCTCGCAAGGGGAATACCAAGTTGACGTATAAATAGGGGCGATGGATCCGATGGTGAGGACCTGGGTCACATTACACCCACGGTCGACAAACTTCACAGTCGCAGTGTTGTCGGTGTCACTCGACGAGCCAAGCTTGAAATCATACTCTGCCGGTGTGATTGTCTTGCACTCCAGAAGGGCCGAGTACGCTGAGATATCGGCTGTTACGTTTCCAGTGACCGTTGCGCTCTCTTGGATGGCAAAGCGTTGAAATGCATACGTGTCCGTTGTCCACACTGGAGGACTAGAGTTGTAAACTTGTACGGCGGTCGATCTGAAGATGAATGGTTGGAGATTGGTTTGGCTGCTAAGAAGAGACGCATCGAACGAAGTGGTGTATGTCAGGGGTACTGGGGTAAGGAATTCTGCTGACAGACTAACGACGAGGTGTGATGCGAGGGCACTAAAGACATTCGACACCAACCAGGCCAACGCCATGCCAATTACAAGATGACCATGCTTGTTCTTCGCCGCGACAACCCAGACCTTCCACGCCTCGACGGACTTGTAGTCCAACATGATGGTTTTCAGAGCAGGAGCTCCCCGTTCGAGTTCGATATATGGCTGTCGCGAAGCACTGTCCGAGACAACAGCAGCCCATGCGAGGCCATACAGATTGAAAAGAAAGGACGGCAAGAATGTCCACAGGAGACTGTAATAGTTATGTACGAATCGTCCAAAACGGCCGGATGATGTGGTATTCTGAGGAACATCAACGATTCCATTTTGAGTTGCAGAACGTCTTTCCAATCCAATGACGGTCGCTATGAAGGCAATCTCGATGAGAAGCAGTGGGATGTTGAAACTCCACGACAGACTCCAAGGACGCCATTCCTTAGGAAGGACATCTTTTGGTTCGGACTCTTCTGATGAAGCTGGTCTCTGGGAATGCTGTGATGATACCCTTTCCGGAGTTACATCTTGGCTTCTCGGGGGTGCCTGCCCAGGTGTTGCTTGCGGTGCAGCCTGTGGGTGCGCATGGGGCCGCTCAGACTCATGAAGGGTAGATGATTGCTGTTCGTGGAGGGAATATTCTTCAAACGGGCCAGTATCGGGGGGTTCCATTTGAGGCCCAGTCGCTGCTATTTGTGATTGATAACAATCCGTGGTCTGACTGGCGATCCTCGAGATTACAGACAGAGATGAAATCAGCAGTGGAGGGAGTCTTCAATTATCATATAAATGCTGGGTAGCCCCATTCCTCTCGCTCTGGCGGCTGAATCCAGGTCGCCATGTCTCACTACTTGCATTTAAAAGGAGGGTGGTGTACAAGTTACTCTGCGGTTCCCGCGACCAATTTTCTTCGTCTAACCGAGGTTTTCTCTGGACAAGGTCTCTATTCTAGACCAGGCCAAATGCACAAAGCCTGTCTGCGGACTTGATGTGGCGTGTCTTTCATTCAGCTGAAATGTCCAGACCTCAATAGCTGAACTTCTAAGCGAAGCTTTTCTACCCAAAACGACTTAAGCTAAATTTAGTCAAAGCTTCGAATGCGGACAATTTGGTGACAGCCTTATCGCTAACGATCACCCTTTGCCGCCGAGGGTGGTGAGGCTTGCAGCTTTCACAGACTCTGGACCTTTCGATTCGCTTACTAGTCCTCTTAGCGACCTGATAGAACCGCGACGGTGGTGCAAGTGACTCAAGCCTCGTTTGGGTGTGTCGTCCAATCAATCGAAACCACAGACCCCTGTGGCGTGTCCTATTGAGTTACTGAGGACGAAATTCCTTTCAAATCGAACTGACATTTCAATTTCTACGGACCGAACCCTCTTCGGCCGGACGCACCCACATCACCCGCTTCTGACTGGAGCCTGGTCTCTGGGAGTTGATTTCAAGGTATGCCGCAACACCCTACGGAGCTGTCGATGAAAACAATGAAGCCGAGGTACATATACTCCGTATGGTCCTTGTCGTCGACACGTCCATGACCTACTAGACTGAGGCAACCAACCTGGACGCACATTTCATTGTATTCCTCGACGATTTTAACCATGTTACGTTTCCCCAGTCTATCGATTGCGGTTTTGTTTACTCTACTCAGTCGACTTGTTACATGCCAGTCTTCTTCACCTTCGAGTCCCTCTTCATTCTCGTGTAACCAAGGCAGTCCGGTCACCACCCTTTCAGCTTGTAGTTACCTGTACAGTCAAATTACGTATTGCGCCGGACCACAAGTCGCTACCGGTGCACCGTTCATATCATGTTATTGCAACCAAAAAGTTTTTGATGCAATATACGAGTAAGTAAATACTCACAATCAGCAATTCCTGGGTGCTCGTCGACACGGTACTGATAAAAGCCTTCCCAATTTCAACAGTTGCGACAGCGAACAACGTTTGTGTTACGGTACTTATGAATTTGATGGAGACGAAATAGAGGCACTGTCGGTCTGGAACAGCGCTTGTGACGACCGGATCACATTCACACCCATAACACCGATCGTGTCGTCTCTGATGTCGACCTTCAGCGACCAATATTGTAAGACGGCAGAGTCGGCATGTCAACAAGGAAGCGTCGATCTCGATAGATGTTCGGCCAGTTACCTGGGCAAAGATGGCAAAAAGTACAGTTCTTGTTTCTGTGATCCTCAGCATCTATCCGAAGTGTACACTTGCGGATTTCTGGGAAACATCTCTTGTCACGGAGTACCGGCCACATTGACGAATCTTGTCGAATACACCCACTGTGAAAATTTTATGAGCGTGCTTGGAAGTGCAGCGTCAGGAATACAACAGTCAGGGAACAGCGTATGAAGATCTTCCCCAAGCTTTGTGACAGGCTCAGACATTTTTTTAAACTGACAATTTCGTATATAGGTCCCTCCAACGGTATCTGCATCTTCGACCAGTACTGGCAGCAGTGTATCGGAATCATCATCGTCGCGTACCTCACCGGAAGCTTCTTCAGCCGCAATCACTTCACCGCCATTGCCAGGTTCTCTTTCGGGTACCAATAGTCCAGGACCAACATCGACAACCGATTCGAGCAGCGATGCCACAAAAGTGTTGGTATTGGGGCATGGCTTGCTAATGGGACTTTGGGTTGTTGTGTCGTTGATTTTCCTAGAAGGTTGAACTGTTGGGTAAGCGAGTACAATTATATGAACCGAGAATCGTGGGAATATTTCAATTGTCATTACTTGTCGTTGAGCGTTTGACCATCGTAGAAAAAAAACTCTTCGCAGCCGTACCGAATGATGTTTTAGCAAGAACGAAGAGATGCCGGCGACTGTATTTACTTTTTTGTTCCCTTGTGGAACTGCATGTCCCACCATCATCTTTGGTTTCTCCTCTGTCCCACATCCCTCCCTCTCTCTCTCTCTCTCTCCCCGAAACGTGGAGTATGTAAGATACGGAGAATCTCCCGCTTTGCACTCGGGGATATACGGCGTCTATTCCCCCTCCCATGTCCGAGCAACGAGGGGCCATCTATCTCTTTTAAATGTTGCGAGAAGCTTTATCAATCTACTAGATTCTTCGAGTACAGTACAAAGACGACACTTGTATATCACTATCAACATCATCGCTACAGCAATCCGCACACCTCGATTCAAGACCCTAATCAGAATAACACCGACGACAATGCCAATCTATCACATAGGCAAGTTTCTTTCTTTTCTTCTCGTGTTTCTGAAATCGCATCAGACCCTCTTCATCGCTTTCAACTACCAACGGAAAATAAACACCTATCCTATCTCATCCCATCCTACCGTCATACACATATCCAACCAACGGTTTCTCCCTTGACCCAGTTCTAACTTTTTTTTTATCCATTCACAGTTTTATTCAAACTCAAACCCGGTACTACACCCACACAAATTGCTGAATTCGTCAAGGCCGCGAAGTCCATGGTCGGGAAAGTCCCTGGTCTGATCAAGATGGAATCCAACACTCCTCACCCTTCCACCGCACACCGTGGACAGGGGTTCAACATGGGTTTGGTGGCCACGTTGGAAAAGGCCGACGACATCAAAGTTTATGCCGATCATCCTGCCCATTTGGCGTAAGTTTTGACCTCTTGGAGACCCTCTGACCTATCTTACCCAACTCACCCAACCCTACGTTTCCGTTCCTGGAAACAGAAGACCACAGGGTCCAAATTTTCGAGGCTCTGACAAAAACTAACTCTTGATTCCTTTTCGGTTCAATAGAGTCCAAGATATTAGATTGAAACTATGTGATGATACATTGGCTTATGATTTGGAGTATTGAGGGGTTTTGTTCGGTCTATCAGCTTGTATATAACACGATACATAAATATATAAACATACATCATACACATCCCCGACCGTACTGTTGTCTATTACCCGTTTTCGTTCAGAAAATATAAAGCGATGCCCCTTTGATTTGGCATGTGAAAGGGCATCGTGGGAATCGCAGCAAGGCTAGACACAAGGTATCGCTGTGTGATGCATGTTCCGCCTCATCCTAGTGTTTTGGTGAAATTGGTTCCGACACCTGGATGTATTTTTCCGCGTCCTCGCTTTCCTCCTCGTCTGTTTCCCCGTGCCTTGTGGTGGTTGGCTCTTCTGTTTTTCCAAGCTGTTCAGTCTCCTTGGTTCGTTTATCGAGCTGTGGACAAATCGAATCATCAGCATCAGCATCAAGGAAAAAGCAGTCTCTGCAGATCCGAAATGAAATGTGGGATATGTTACTTACCCAACACATGCAGTACAGCCCGCCCGAGTAACACACCACCGCCACCATGACAGCGATGGCTCCTTTTTTCCAGTACGGCGCGTCGGTGGCGGGATACAACACGATACCCCACCAAGTGTAGAGCAGTTGACCACCCGTGTTCATGACGTAGAGAATGATGGCTCGCGCCGCGTTGTCACCACCTCTTCGGGCGATGATTCCTCCCCAGCCGTACAACAGTGGGTTCACCATGAACGACGAGCCGCTGAGGTAGAAGGCGAAAAAGGTTCCGGCGGTGGAAAGCGAGGGGGCAACCAGCATCGCGGCAGACGTGAATTGAAGAACGCCACACAGGATACCAACCTCCAAGCACCTTTTCGTCTTGTCCATGTATATTCCGGCCAGGATCATCGAGGTGATTGCCACCGCCTGGATGCCCAAGGGATACGTATTGACGGCCGTCTTGGGAAATTTGTCCTCATAGTACTTCATCCAAAGGAGAAAACAGCCCTATTGTGAGGAGGAGTTAGTTTTTGATTTGGTAGGAAGAAGCACGTGATGAACTTGCTTGGAAAGCAAATGCTTCGGTCATTGCACACAAGATGGAAAACATGGTCAAGATGTAGCTGTATGCAAATCAGCAAACCTTTTCAGGTTTCGTCCCCAGGCAGCGGAGGATTGGGGCGAAACGAACATGGTAGGTTTCTTCAGAACACGGCCGGCCAATGACCTGACATTGATGTTGGCACTGTCGTGAGCGAGAGGCGGTAGGCGATTGATGGCGAATTGGATCTCATCCTTGGAGAGGTAGGGCATTTTGGTCCGTTCGGGCGTGTTGGGTAAGAAGAGCTGTGTACCACACCATCAGAATCTGGTTGGCAACCCTCAAGATATAACTTGCAGTAGAGCAAAAAAGGACGTACGTACCAGGCCAAAGATTCCTACCGGCATACCCATGAGACCATCTACAAAGAAAAAGGATGTTAGTTTTGGCTGTACCCACCAAGTACGACCAAAACGCGGTGCAAGGCGGGCAAACCAATTATAAAGACCCATCGCCAACCTTCCATTCCGTTATGATTGTCCATGGTCTTGCGGATGGCCGTCATCATGATACCAGCAAACATGGAGCCCACTTGGCCAATGGAAGTGAAAATGGATGTTCGCTTCGAGATTTCCTCGGCTTTACTATACACAAAGAAAGAGTCTTGTTAGTTGATCCGTCTCGACATGTGCTTGTGTCAGAACGTACTACCAAGATCCAATGATAAACATGGTTCCACTGTACAAGCTTGCTTCGAAGAAGCCTTGTAGGAAACGGACTGCGGCGATCTGTGCAAAGTTGTGGCATCCAGCGCAAGCCATGGTCAGACCGGACCAAATGATGACAGTCAGAGGGATCCAGATTCTAGGTTGTACTCTCTGCAGTATCAGAGCATGAGGAATTTGTCCAATAAGCATCCTGTTTGTATGTGTTGAAGTGAGTTGCAATGCATGACACATGTGTCGATTGGAAGGAGGCAACCGACCCTGCAGTGAACAGAGAAAGCAAAAGGCTGTAGTCATTCTTCTGTAGGCCGAGACCTTCTCTCATACCAGCGACCTATTACATCTATTGTGAGGAAGAACAAATCTGGAGGAAAGGTGAATAATAGTCACATAAGCATTTGCAAAAGCATTGCGGTCTGGTAATGACTCGATCAGCAAAGGGGCTATTAGCAGACACCTAGAACCTTCTCACCAAGATAGTTAAGAAAGTAGCATAAGCAACAATATGCCTGATTGGGGGAATCAGCCATCGACATCTTCAACCCAGGGTTTCCTCGATTCGACCAACAATGATAAAGACATCTAGTTTTCAATGAGCTTTCGACAAAGGTTTGTTCGCCCACCAGGAGGCAGAGCTACCTAGTTTCAATAGCAGTCTCTTCTCGAGTGCTTGGCCGAGTTTAGCCATGGTGATATCAGCAGGTTAAGACCGGTATGACTGTGCTTGTAGTGGCTTGGACTTGGTACCACGAGGACCGAGGAATGAAATGATTGTTGCAACAATTGCTCGAGGAAGTATTGATCAGGCGTGAATGCGAAGTACTACACTTCGTATCAGATGCGGATTTAGCAATCATCTTATCAGATAATAGCCTTCCGACTAAATCGAAAATTTTGACGTTGTCGGCTTTTGAACCCAGATACAGGATGAAAAAGCGTTATCGGGCTTGGCCATGTCGGGGATTCATGGTCGTCGAAGTCTCGATCCTCCTTTGTCAGACTTGGCTTGGAGACGTTGGAAGGTATAACCTCCACCCAAGGAATGCCGTGGGAAATGCCGCGCGAGGTTGTTCAGTGTTGCCCAGAACCATAGACTTTTCGGACGCTTATGGCTATCAAGGTCTTTGCCATAGAAACTTCTTGGATCACCCTACGGGGTGTCTGAACACTCACTCTCTGTAGTCAAACGGGCAGTGTAAGGGCCGCGGAAGTTGGTTGGTCCCCGAAGAGACTAGATCGACGTGATCTCATTGGTGGATGGAGCACCTCGTGGGCTTTCTTTGGCGGGTTGATTTTCTTCTTTACCGTAAAAGTTGTATAGGAGATTTCGGAGGATTTGCTTAATTCAGTACTGGCCCCATTGAAAAAAAAAGCTCATGGACACGTATTGGTTCCTTGGCAATGCACAGGGAAGCATCTACGCAGCTTCCACAAGGAGATGAATACAAAGGGAAGTACAGAACAATAGTGAAACATCGAGGGAAATCTATACCAAGTGTGTACAATATTCTTAGTACCTTACTTTACCTCAATGATGTATTTGTTTAATTTAGAGATGACAAATACGTCCTAATTTTTCTGGAAGGTCTCCCGGTATTGTAGTTCCGAGAAGAAGAAACATCTTATGCTCACGAGAAGATAGTGGCTTCTATCTTTCATTCTCAAAGTGAGTCTTTAACTAGCTTATTCTTGATAGCGCTTCTAGTTCGAATGTTTGGTGTTCAGTGCTAGCGACTGTGTGTATGATGGAAATGGACAGACCTGGCCGTAGTGAAATACGCGGTCGGTCGTCTAGAATGTCATTTCGGTGCCCAAGTCATCCGCCTATACTGTATTCGTGACGGATAGTCACAAGGTTCTCCCTTACCACAGTCGGGTGCATCATGTTGTTGGCACCTGACGATGGGGTGCAGCCTTCTGGAGGTGATGAGGTCTGATATGAGTTGTGTGGCGCACCGTAGATAACAACGGTGGAGTATCTGATAGGCAGGGACCGAGTATCAGCATCATCTTTGCTATGTTCTTATAGGACGAACTACCTCAACTACCTTATCGATCTACGGAGCAAGCTGGACTTGTTATCCTTCACATTACACTTCTCTGTTGTTCTCATTGATACCGACTATAAACACTACCAGTATTCCATCAAATATTGATCCTGTCACTCTCGCGCTTGGAAGGAATCAACACTGAGCATTCTACGCCGTACGGGGACCATCACCGCCAAAGGACATCTCAGATCTTCTACTCCCAGAGCAAGGAGACTGGGCTTATTCAATAACACACTCTCGAAAGAACTGATGGTTATCTATTGCAATCCACCGCTGCGTATTTCAGAGGCCCCCAAAGCTTCAAGACACTCTCTTCTCGGCGTCACCAGAATCTTTACGTGATCGTCCTTGTTGGTCATCAACTCATCAAACCCCTTGGTCACCACATCCTCTAGCAAGATCCTACTAGTAACCATCTTGGCAATATCTGTGAACTTTCCTAGCGTTTCCCTGTCGTTAGTACTTGGACGATAGACAACATACAACCCCACGGGCCACAGGTTATAGGTACAACTCACCCGCCGCAAATTCTTCCACCACCTCACGAAAGTCCTCGTCGTCATACGCCATGGCCACTTTCAATGTGATCTCCTTCATCATGAAATGCTCCATGGGGACGGTGAACTTTTAGCGCCACGAACCAAGCGAAGTCAGCTTTTTTTTCTCTCGTCCTCTTCTTTCCCGCTCTCAAACATCTCGACACTTGTAGTTTACTCACCGGCTGTTCCCACCCAGCAACATTGAGGTACGTGCCTCGACCCTTCAACGCGTCCATGCCATCTCTCAAACCTGGTGCTATCCCAGCACAATCAAAGACGAGGTCAACTCCTTCCCCGCCAGTCATCTCGCGGCACCTCTCGGCAACATTTTCACGCACGGGGTTCAACACCTCGTCTGCCAGGTCGCGCAGCTGGCCCTGCCGTTTCACGGTCGGCTCTGACACGAATATCCTCTTCACCCCACGCGCGCGGAGGTTGTAAATGACCGCGATACCCACGGGCCCACCACCAATGATCAACACTGTGGCGCCTTCAAAATCCCCTCTCTCAAACCCCGTCATCTTCAAAGCATGCCTAGCTACGACGAGCGGCTCGATCAGCGCTGCCTTTGATAGTGGCACCGTCTCCGGCAAAACATGACACATGTCCTCGTCGACGGCGACGGCCTCGGAAAACCCGCCACCGCGGCCTTGGAGACCCTTGAACCCCCATTTCGTGCATATGTTCGTCTCGCCCTCGTCGCACCGGTGACATTTCCCACAGAACAGTCTTGGATCGACCATGACGGCCTGTCCGACCTTTAATTCGCTCCCGGCGTTGACTTTCCCGACCCGACCACAGAATTCATGGCCCATGGTGACAGGTACAGATTCGCCCGTCATCGGATGTGGATTGCCTTGCGTCGGAATGGTGACGGGCCCAACGAGGTACTCGTGCATATCCGTCCCACAGATCCCGCACCATTCAATGTCCACCTGAACTTGGCCTGGTTGGAGTTCTGGCCAGGGAACGTCATTTTCGACTCGGATATCGCGTCGACCGTAGAATCGGGCTGCTCTCATGATTGGGTTTCACCCTCTTTTCTTTTTCTCTGTCTCTCTTCTAATTTTTTTCTGTTCTAGAAAAAAGAGGTTGCTCCCAATTGATCTGGGGAAGGGTTAGATTTGTACCATAAACAAGGGTGAAGTGTGTAAATTCGTGATGTCTGGTAGTGGGAAAGAAGTCAACCCCGAGGAGAGTAGAGAATCAATGAATTACTAGTTAAAGTTCGATGCTGAATCGTCTCTGTCCAGTGTCGAGTGGTACAAATCCCGGCGCCCATGGAGACGCAGTAAGCGTACCGTTATCCGAACAATACTCCGCAACCTCGTGTGTCATTGAAATCTGACTCGACAGGATTTCCATTCTGACCTCGGATAGCGATCCTTTACCAAGTCAAAGATGGGCACGTTGTTTTGTGCGCTTTTTCTGCTGTCTTTTCGGGAGAAATGACCGTGGCCTTCAGACATATAATAGAGAGAATTGTCGTTTCCAATCTATAGACGCTACGAGTAGTTGAACCTTGAGATCTCTTGCAAGGTCCTTTCGAAGTTCGAGTTTCCGAAAAAGCTCCCACCCCGGGAGAATCGTGAAAATATGTGACGCAGGGGACTTATCTACTGCAAATGAATCTCAAAAAAGAAGATCCAAATGATGATCAGTCTTTTATCCCTTGGCTCGTAACTACAAGTACTTGGTAATATCTCTACGACTCGTAAGATGGCGTTCCAAGTTCGAGAAAGAAAAATCATACGACTCTAATTCCACGAGTCTACACACATGGCGACGACCCCTTTTCCATCTCTTGCACCCGCACATGCTGATGCTGTTCGAGATCATCAGAGTCTTCAACGTGTGCATGTGTACCGACCGCTGCCTCGGCTTCCACCTGCTTCCCAGCTTCCTCGAGCGTTTCGGCAACCTCGTCACCGAAAAGCGCCTCAATTTCCTCCAGTGTTTTCTTCCGTGTCTCTGGACAGTAAACGTAGAAGGCGACAATGAAAATGATGTCCATGATCAGGAAGATCAGAAAGTACCTCCATGAGATGGCGTCGAGAGCCAACGGCGTGACTTGCACCAGTAGGATGATAATGCAATTGAAGGTGAGGTAGCTGTTTGCCACGCCGAATGATCTGATGGACGTGGGCAGGATCTCGGCCGAGTACTATTTGGTAGAAAAGATTGTGTCAGTCCACAGGAGCTTTCACTTCTCACGACGTCGAATGGGCTGGGTGCACAGATAGTAAACATACCGTAGGCCAAAAGGTGTTCATCGGACCGGAATAACCACAAGAGAAGTAGTAGATTGAAAAGACAACACCAATGCCCAGCCCGCGACTGGTGCTTCCAGAAGCCTCATATCGGGCCCAAAGAACCACCAGGATCAGGGACGCCGAGATCATGATAGCATACGCGACGAACTGTGGTAATACATCGTTAAAACATGAAGGTCCGGTCTCTGAGGATCTGAGATGGTAGGTAGATGGCCAGCTTACCACGAGTTTGCGCCGGCCAATTCTGTCACAGAAAAACATGGCCATGATAGCAGAGGCTGTCGCTATTGTTCCATAAACTCCTGTCAAGACCAGCGATAGAAGGTTAGAGAAGCCCAAGCGTTGATATATTATTACTTGGTAGTTTTGAATTGGGATGACGCCGGTCAACCTGTAGGGACGTGAGTAAGTAGAGGTTCCGTTCTCAAGAGATATCATGTGTGGCCTTGAGCAAGGACTTACTGTTGGAAGAGTGCAGTTCCAATGATGATAACGAGTCTCTTTTGATATGACTTTTTAGACAAGATCGAACGGGCTCCCAGCCGCTCGCGTTTGTCCAGGTCGATTTGAGATCTGATCTGATGATATTCGCGCAGATAAAAGGTCTCGTCCCTCGTGCTTCTGTGCATTTTCTTAAGCACTTCCAGGGCCTCTTCGTTGCGGTCTTTGAGGATGAGCCATCGTGGTGAAAATGGCATCCAAATCGAGCCGATCAACATGGCCACTGCTGGAACTAGTTGGAGACCGAGTAGGAGCCTCCAAGATACGTTGGACTCGATATACCAGAATCCCAAGCCACTGTAAAAGCAAAGGCACGTGGTTAATATAAAAGATCATAACAATGGCTATTCTGGGTTCCCCTGACTCCCTGAGTCCAGCAAGGTATATGATATAAGTAACGTAGGATCGGGATGTCACTCACATCCATTCAGTAAACATGTATGCGAAATTTATGTTGACCCTGAGGTATCCAGGAAGATTAGTCACCCTGCGTTTCCCCCGGGTTCATGACACTCACGCGTATACACCACCTATAAAGCCTCTGATCTCGGGGGGACTGATTTCACTGGCGTATGTTGGACAAACGCTGAAGACGATACCGCAGGCGATGCCTCCGATCACTCGACCTGTACAAAAGGTGGCGAAGTTCGATGCCCCCGTCTGTAAAGAGACGCCTAACAGCGCAGTAATGCAGGATACCTGGATTGTCCGTAGCCGTCCGATCTTGTTGGGAAGGTACCAGTTGAGCATGCAGCCAACAGCAGCTCCGCCATAGTATGCCGAATTGAAGGCTCCGATCGTGGTGGAGTCCAGAGTGAAGTATTCCAAGAAATGGTTGTACCCGAGGATTGATGTGGTGACACCTGGGTGTAAAAAGGCAGGTGAGTAAGTCGGCCAACA